AGATTGTGGGCCAATTAAACGGAAGGAACTAAGAAAAATGAGGAAAATGAGAGGAGGAAGGGGATGAAGAGGAAAACGAGTAGATTTGCTTGGCTATAGGCTAGTGAGTCTGTCTCTTCTCTCGCTTCCTCTCGATCTCACTTGCTCAACCGGGTCGCTAGGCAACCCTCCACCTCGGCCTGGAAGCCCGCAGAATTGCCAGAGATGCACCCCCTTTCGAATGTATCGGCCCGGCCAACTAGCGTCGATTTTAGTCGAACTCAATGCACCCTACTCCTAAATATCATTCTCAAAAATATTTATTCCTTTACTTTCTTTTTATCTCATATACTATTATGTCTCTTGATGCTTCAGTTATTATTTGTTATATTTTTGCAGACATGACTGATTAACTGTGACACTCGGCGAGGGGTGTAAGGACAGAATTTGCTAAGGAGAAATACTAGGCGACGCGCTGTCTGGCATCAAGGACGCAGTTGGCGAGAAACATCGTTGGATTAAATCAAAAAATGACCAAAAAACGTGTGCTTTTATTTGGATGGTTTTAGTTGTTGCTTACCAGGTGTTTCTTTTCTAAAAAAAATTATCAACAATTATGAATAATAATTTTTTGTTCTTTCTTTTTAATGAGATAATTAAATTAATGACAAAGAAAAAATGATGTTGATTCATGATGTTTCATCAATGAAATGTTTCTTATTGTTGATTTAAATAAGTTATGCTTCTTTGAATGAATTATGTAATTAGGAATAATTCAAATCTGTTAATGAGGATTAAAATAAATATTAATGGAGATTTGATCAAATTTTGAATAACTAATGATAAGAGTATTTGAATATTTAATTGTTTTTATTAATGAATTGTAATTAAAATTAGTTGGAAATTTTCTTGAAAGAAAATTAAGTAAACTAAGTGCGAGAAAAGAGAAGTTTTTATAAAAAGAATATATTTAAATTTTTTTTTTTAAATATAATTTTTATTTAAATTGTATATATAATGGAAATGACAAGTTGAATATTATTTTAATATTTCCATATTTCAATAATACTTTTTTTTTATTTCTTAAACAGAACATCACCGAGAGAATAATTACTTTTATATTTCATTTTAGTTGAAATCATTTCATTCTAATAAAAAATTGAATAGCATGAAAAATAAATAAGTTGAACGCAGTGGGCAAGAGACAGTCTCGGATTAAACAGAAAATAAAAATGTCGTTGGAAGGAATAAAAAAGCGTAAAGAAAAAATAAATGGTTTTATTCCATTTTTACAATACTTTGTTTTTTTTTGGTTATTTTTTTTTTACTCCGAAATATTTATTTAAAAAAAAAAAAAAAAATATGCTGTAGAATTGAAAATTTAATTTATTTCGAGATAATTTGTTATATGAATCAACTTATTAACTCAATAATTAAGTCTCTTTGTAAATGGAAACAGAAAAAGATGCGAATAATCAAAATAAAAAGAATTCATTTAATGTAAAATATCTCTCACAGAGGGAAATTAAATATTTCTCTAGATTTTTATATAATTTTTATTTTATTTTTTATTATTATTATTATTATACATTGAGAGGAATATTTTTTATAAAATTCTTCAAATATATGTTTTAATATATTTGAAAAAAAATTCCAGTCTTTGTTTTATAGAGAATTTATTAATAGTTATTTTTTTAGAGAAAATTTTTTGTCAAATTAAAAATTAAACTCAATCAAAATAATAATATTATTTTTATAATATCTCTCCATTGTAATTGACTTCAAAGAGAATGTTACCAACTACAAAGGGTGAATTTTTTAAAAGCGAAAATTCATTTCATCATTTGATTGGAATTTTTGTCCTTTTTATTATTGGAATAATTAATTTACCATTCACAATAAATAATGAAAAAGGAAACTATTAATAATAATAAATAAAATGTAAAATTAAATAAAATATCTAAAATATTACTAAAATAATGAAATAGCTAATTTCAATAATAAATTAAATCTCTAGTTCATTTTTTAATGAATAAAAATTAAATGAATTATGTGAAAGAAACAACGTCAATTAATTTGTAACAAAAAACAATTATTTATGAGGTAAAAAGTATGTAAAATTTTCGTGAATTGTAATGATAAAAGAGCCATTTCTCATATCAATAGACCTAAAAAGTCACATGAAAGAGTAAATAATAGAATGCTTTGTTGAAGAGTGAGTGCATTAAAATGAATAATTAATAATTTTTGGCGAACAAACATGACGGGCAAGCTGAGTTGAAGAAAAGTGAATGGAGAAGTGCAGGGTACTTTGAATGGAAAGCGTACATTATTTTTGACCCGTTATAGAATAAGGGGGTTTGTAAATCTAGGCCCTTTTATGGAAACACGAAAAAAGAGTGTTACTCTTGACGCGGAAAAGAAGCCTACCACTTCGGCAAGGTTACTCACTTTCCCCCTGGCACAGAGAGTCCACGGATAAACGCGTTTGGCTCGCGCGCATCTTGTCGAAAACGAGGACGAGGGTGTAAGTCAGAAGGGGTGACATGGATGCACTATGAAGGAAGATGAAGCTTAAGCTAAAGAGATAAAGTGAGAAAGAGAATGGGGGTGTTGGCCCGCAGCCTCCAACATCGGTAGTAGTGATAAGCGCGAAACTCCGAGAGAGAAAGCTGGAGAAACAGAGACATCTAGAGAGGAGAAGGTGTGCGGGGGTTTGAAAAGAAGAAAGGGGTGCAAATCGATGGAGCAGTGACGTCATGGGGCGGGATGCTGCGTCTCCATGGTGACCGCCAACAGCCCGGCCATTTGAGGCCGCTTCAGGGCCTTCGTTGGATCTAATTTTATTTAATTTCAACCCCTAATCAACCCCTTCTTCCACCAAACTTTTATCTACTAAGCTTTTATCTTATTCTCATCAAAGAAAACAAAGTTTTAATAAATTATCTCGTATTTTCTTTGTCAGAGGATTATTTTTCTTTGTCTCTCTTCTACTTTTAAGGCTTTCACAAAAAGATAAGCTTTTTTTTTCTTTGGCAATTAAATTTTTATAGAAATTAACGATCGATTGATGAGATATATATGTCTTTTTATATATATTCTTGTTGATTTATGACTTTGCTTCGAGGTCTTAATTGCATTTTTATCGAACCTCTTTTTTTCCGTCAACATATTACGAATATCATCCTTTATATTTGAAATATTTTTTCTTGTATAAAAATAATAAAAATTATTTGTTAGCATGTAAATGCTCATCAATAGATGAAAATAAAATAATAAAAATATCATAATTAATGATATGATTAAAAGAAAAAAGTAACGATATGGCCTAGCTCCGGGCCGGAAAAATTCGACGGTCGGGGATCAATGCTTCGAGGCAGTCGCTCTGAATATCCACGAGTGACGGCTTTCCATTACATTTTCGTAGAGGGTGGCAGTGTGTAACGTGTTACTCTCACCCCTGACTTACCCTCTGGATGTTCGGGTGAGGCCGAATAATTTTTACAGCCTCCACACGCTTGTACAGAAGTACGAAGCGCAAAGTACAGAAGGATGAAATTGAGGGGTGGGGGTTTAGAGTTCAGAGGTGGGTTTGTCAGGGGGTGTGTTTGGTCCGGGAACTCGTGGATGCTGTATTGATCCAGTTGAAGCGAGAAAGAGCTAAAGTAAGCCGCAGAGCGTTACCATAGTAACCATCTTCCACACCTCACCCCTATATATCGAAAACCACCCCCACACTTTCGTTTTATTTTCTCCCTCTCTCCTTTTATCATTTACCCACTGTCTCTCTTGCTCACCTTTTCTCGCGATCCCACATATACATATATTTCTGGGTACATTTGCACTTCTTGCAACCTTTTCGCTGTGTAAAGTAGATTTTTGTACGTGTGGATTCATGTATAATTCTCTTCACCACCAAAGGCCGGATCTCTACAAGGTCCTTGCCATTTTTTTTATTTTTTCTTCTTTCCTCTTCCGCTTCCACGGTTTCCCATACAAAACTCCAGGGATTATTATCTCGGGGGTTGTTCTTTGTGGGGTGGAATATATTTACTAATGATCCAGGGAGAAAGTGAGATTATATAGCATACACCATATACATACATATATTACATATACTTATATTCATCGATCGAATTTCATTTCTTTCTCTTCAATTTTTTGCTCTTCAGATAAATTGCCTTCAACTATGAGAGAACCTATTGAGAGAATGAGACCAATTGTATTTGTTTTAATTACAAAAGTTATTATTTATTCTAACTAAACACTATGTATAATTCTTTGCTTTATTCATTTTTTTCAAAAGAATCAATAATTACTTACGATTTAATACTGATGTCAAAGTTTTTATGATCTGAAACTTGTTCGACATATGTGATAAACAGTTGTTCTGATTTCAACTTGTAATTATTACAATTTTTGATGCAGAGACACGTAGAAATACTTCAGCTGTCGATTTATTATTTTTTTGACATCAATTTTCTTCCTTTTGTAGTAGAAATAAAGATCTTTTTCATTTTGGAATTCCTAACCTATATTAATGCAATAAAAGATACAATTATCATGATTTATTAAGGGGTCATGAAAAATAAAGAGTGAGTATTTTATTAAATAATTAAACTTAGGCATTAATTTTTGCAATCGAGGGTTACTTTCGTTGGTACTAAACTGTGTGTTTTTAATTTTTCAAATTTACTCTAGAGTTCACTAGTTACTGGTCCACCGCAGCATCCGTTTGTCTTTCTGGCGCTATCTTTGGGATTTCTTGTGAATTACAATGATTGGGGGTGGGAGTGGATATGTAGAAGATAAGGGTGAAAGATCAGCGACTAGACGGGGGCGCAGGACAAATTCAGCGGTAAGTTGATACTAGAATTTAATTAATATTTTATAAAATTTTTATGCCAATTTACTGCTTTTTTAAAATAAAATGTTGCTTTTAATTAATTGTATAACATCTTTTGATTATTTTAAATGACAAAAGTGAATTAAGATGTCGAAAAATTCATTAAAAGCATTCAATTTTTTAGAGATTGATCGAAGTACCACAAATTGCTTTGTTAGAGCACGTATAAAATGGCTGTGATTTATTCATATCCTTTGATTATTTTTTCGACATGAATCATTGAAATTGTACATTTTATTTCTAAGTAAATAAAATCTTATATTATTCTTTTCTCCTTCTTTGAATGTCGAAATAATATTAAATAATTTATTGATAATTTTCAGATTACACAAAATGTCATCTTTTACTGTGGTTCGCAAAAAATCCTGCTGATGCCTAGGGAGACGCCAAAGTTGTCCTGCGCATTGATGATTCTTCATTGAAAGCTATAACATTTTTTCAATTACCATAGACATTTATTCTAATGCGATAATTACTTATTAAAAGAAAAGTACTTGAAAAAATTTAACATTTTAAAGCCAAAATTTAATTCTTTTTTTTTTGTTATTAAAATATTTATTTTATGTTTCAGAATAACAAGCCAAAAATTTTAATTGAGAAAAAAGTCAAAAAGTTTCAACTACGGCCTAAAGAGAACATGAGATCATACGATGAAGAAAGTAGCTCAGGAGATGAAGGTGATCACAGAGAAACTCTCTCTGAGCCGCATTTAAATCAAAGTCCTTGGAGAGGATCTACATCACATCCAACTTGGGCTTGGGAGCATCGTGGAGTAAGTTATTTATACATAAAATAATAATAAATTAATTTTGAAAAATGTGCTATATTTCAAGCATCAACTTCCTGGACAATCAAACGCAGCTTTGGAGTCAATAGCATATCCAGCTCCTCCACCAGCTCATCCTACAATGCCAGTTCCTCCAACAAGTGGATATTCAAGCTCAGATCATTCTCAAAATCATGGTCGCAGAACTCCTTTGGGTACAGTAGGACTTGGAGGTTTTTACTTCCAGCAACAACCACAACCTTTGGCTTCGTCTAGTGCTTTATCTTCTGATGAAAACCGTCCAGATCCTGAAAGGTATCGAAATTTATTCGTTACAGTTTCATTATTATTCAATCAATTTAACGCAATGCCATTTTATCAGGCCTACTGCATCCAGACTTAATTGTCCTCCAAAGTCTAAAAACTCACGTCAGGGAAAAAGTGTCAGATTAAACATCAATGCTCGAGAACGTCGAAGAATGCACGATTTAAATGATGCTCTTGATGAATTACGTTCAGTTATTCCTTATGCTCATAGTCCATCAGTTCGAAAGCTTTCTAAAATTGCTACATTACTTCTGGCTAAAAATTATATTTTAATGCAAGGTAAGTAACAGAAAAAAGTTTCAACATGCTACAATATTAACTACATTGTAAAGAAATTATTTAACACTTCGTTTGTTTTTATAATTAACTTCAATTAGATTTAGTATTAGTTATTTCAAATATTCCGTTCTTAATAGAGTAATTAATTAATTTAATAAGATTAAAATGATAAAAGTGATATTTATCAAGGAGAAATGAGCACATATAGAATATACTATCTACATAGTATAAAATTGTGTCCTTGTGAGCATGAAATAAAACAGCAATTAAAATGAAATAAATGATTAATTGTTTGATTAAATAGAGATAATGTCGAAATTTTCCTTCTCAAACAGGAAATGCCTTAGAAGAATTGAGGAGAGTTATAGCAGTTCTCCAATCTCCTCATGCTCACACAACAGCTCTACCCCCTACACCAGTTTCTTATGACTTACTCCAGGGATTCCCAGGCAAACTTTTTCAAGGAGTTCCAGAATTGCAAGGCATTCATGGTTTGAATCCACCAGCTGTTACTGCTAGCAGTCCTCCAACTGATATAACTGTCTCCGCAGATATCACAATTTCCGGTGCCGAATCAGCCTAAAATATTTGAAAGTAATTAACATTCAAAAGACAATGAGCATAAGAAAGAACATTTTTTGCTCTCCAATTTTTTTCGGAATGATAGCCTTTGGTCAAAATCATTGAAAGTCTCTGTGAAATGATGAAAGTATTAATAATAAACAAAGAGTCTCTTGGGATATTTATCAATTTAGAAAGATATTTTAAGAATATTAATTACAAATTGATTAATTAAATGAATTAATTCAATAATTATGAATTTTAAAGCAATAAGAATATGGCAATGGTTTCTATAAAAAGAGACTTGAGCTTGAAAGTTTAGAAGAAGTCGACTTTTCAGTCCCGTCCTGAAGACGATAGTCAATATAGCATGTGATATGTGTGAGATTTATTACTAGTCTTATGCATTAATACAAGCATTAAATTTATATATTTATTATGTCAAATTACTTGGATTATTTACTAATCGATATATGTATACACAATATTGTGTATGATATTTAAAATGATAATTAATAATATATAGAAAATATATTTATAGTTTTATTGAATTAAAGAAAAAAAAAAATTAAATATGAAAAATACTCGCTCATAAATATTAAGTAACAATACCAAGTGCCAAGGAGCATAAGTAATAAAGTTCATTTTTAGTCCAAATATACATTTTAATTGGAATAAATTAATTTAGATTTATTAATGATGATACAATTAATTATCACTGATGAATATTTTATTTATTAAAACCATCATCAATACATCATTGATATAATATACAAAATCATACTCATTGTCTACAAACGTCAATACTAGATATAAGAAATTAATTATATATTTATTGTAGTCTAGAATTTTGCTGTCTAGTATTCAACAAAATAAATATATGTTTAAACAATTTTATTTAATACTACTAAATGAAAGAAAGTTTATTGTTTTAACGAATATCTAACTTTAGGATGTATTTTAAGAGGAAAAAATAATATTCGAACAATCAAATTTAATTGATAAATAAATATAAATACTGCGATTGAAACTTGTAATAAAAAAACATCAGTATAATATATTTCAAAGATCTCATGTGAATAATATTTTTTACAATAGATTACCCAGTCTGATGTTTTATTTAATATTTTATTTCTAAAAAAAAAAAAAGAGGTATAAAAATAATATGACTTCTGCACACCTGATACACTAAAAATAAAATATTTACAAGCACAATAGAAAAGAGTACAGAAAATAAGATAAACAGTACAGCAAAATAAGTATGTAAAATACATAATATTTATTGTAATCATTTCTTTTGAATACTTTATCTTTCATTGTTTGAAATTACGCGCCAATGAAACTCCATCATGTGGCGCCATCATTAGAAATCATGTCGAATATTGGAATTATTATTTTTATTTGTTTTCTTTTTCTTTTTGCTATCTCTTTCTCTATTACCAAACTCATCCATACTCGCTGCTTCACTTAGTTTATACTTTGCTTATAGTTGCTACGATTTGTGAGTGCCTCAGCGGTTGTTGGTGCGTGTGGATGTTCAGTGTGTTTCTCAATCGTTCAACAAAACTTCAAGATGGCCTGGGTTCTTATGAGCATTTTACTACTTATTAGTTTTTAAAAGAGTGCATTGGTTATTATTTAATACAACCATATTTCTAAACCAACTTTCATTGTTATCTACTTATAAATAACCTCAAAAATAGTCAAATAATTCAAAAACGGTCCGCAAAATGGAGAAATTTTGGAAAGAAAAGTGATAATAAAATTTGAGGGTGAGTATATATTCTCACAAATAAAGATGATGCCGGTGAATTTTTTTAACACAAAAAAAAAAGAAGTTATCATCATTGGCGTAGGAAGTATCATTTATCACGTCAATTTAGCATTTATTATACGGCCTGATGCTTTTTTTCTTTCAATTGAATTTATCTAACATTATTAAATTTTTTGATTAAATAAATCAATTATTAACAGATTGAATATAATATTCATTCGATTGTGAATTCAGGTGAATTGCGGTAGCTAGTGATAGTTTAATTGTGTGGAGAACGGGGCTTTACCGTCTACTTAAAGTGGCATGAGTGGGGCAAGGTTTAACCTAACCCTAACTCGTAACTTTTCACGAGGTTGTTCTGAAACACAGCAAGTCTTGAAGATCTCAATTCCCATTATATAAATATTATTCAAAAAATTAAATATTTTTTACTGTATCTTCTATCTTCTATCACCAAATTTATCATCATTCAACTACACTATGCTTCTTGACTTGTATTTACTCAGGCTGATCTTGAATGGTTTCAGAATATTTTATTACTCACTTGTGTACATATATATCACTTAGTTCAACATTTATATTTTACGTGTTACTGTAAATTTATTAGGAATAGTTGATCACAAATTAAGTTTCATTACATAAAATATCTCTAAAATCAATCGTTTTTGGTGGTAATTTGCTCCATAAACATTCAAATTTACTGCATTGCTTTTAACACATACTATAATTGTGTCTCATTTTTACCTCTTCATACATACTATATTATTTCATATTACTATAATTACACTCAGAGAATGGCCAGAAAGTTTCTGTATTATTATATATCCAATTTCCTGCAACTTGAGTGTATTTATTGTCTGTTCTCTTGTTCAGATTAAACATGGATGCATCAGGAAAATTATTAATAGTTGATTCACTCAATCTATAGTCATATATCCTTTACAATTGTTAAATATTTTAGTACATTTTTAATCAAAAAACTACGTTATCATACCAGAATTATAGTTTTGATCAAAAATCACGTGATCTTAATAAAAGCTAAAGCATAAGAATTTACTTTAATTTTTAACAATGGGTAAAACCCATTTTTAAAATTACCATACTATTTTAAATCGTACTAATTTTTTCTTTTCTCAATAAGTATAATTACAATCTGTTGTATAAACATTAACTAATTCTGCTGTATTTATTTTTGTCTTGAATGTCAGACTAATGAACATTTTTTTTTTAATTTTATCAAATTAACTTGACTCTTAATCTAAATTATAGAAACATTCAAACCTCCTTAAAATAGTTGATTCACTCAATCTATAGTCAGATATTCTATACTATTTTTAAATATTTCAGTTTATAATGACGATTTTATCATTGTCACCAATCGATATGCCTCACTTTCAATCGAATTAAAAGAGAGAAAATTTCTGCTATACTTTTTTCTCTATTTTATACAGAATTACTTTTTTTACTCATACTTTCTAAAATAATGAAGCTAGAGTAAAAATAGTTTATATAAAAGTTGTTCTTCTTGGAATGAGAAATATTTTTTATTTAACCATTTTTTCTCTATTTGTCCATAGTTTACCTAAAAAAGCAAAAAAAAAAACGCATTTAAACAACAAAATTATTTATAACTTTTAAATGCACGACTTTAGGAAAAAAAAACTTACATATTTGGATTCAGCATACAAAAATTAATTCAACAAATCAAATTTATTTTATCTACCTTTTGAAAAAAAAAGGAATTGCATACACCTCTTATGGCTGGCCCTTGGATCATTTGAATAAAGTCTTCAATGAAATACCATGCAATCTCTTTCATGTGGGAAAGTGAGTGAAACACTCTAGTACACAATAAATTCAAGTAATTAACAGGATAAAAGCTTGTCTATAATTACATTATAGAGAGAGAGAGAGAGAGAATTTTTTATTTAATCATTTATTTATTGTGACGTTTAGTGTGATGATGAATTTTTGATAAAAAAATAAAGACAAGCATAGTAGAGTAAATACGTCGGTATTTAAAAGGGATTGTTGTGAGTCGCGTGGGTTTATTGTGGGAGTAGGGTCGAAAACATGTCTCATCTGAAGTACTGAAGGCCGCGTGATTTACGTTGTCGACGCGCGCACGTACGCTGGACTCCGCCGGCACTTGGATGCATCGGTCACAAGTCGTCGCGTGACGTCAGTGTTGTGAGTAACACGCGCTCGACAGACATTAATAGAGACAAATATACTGGGTGAGGAAGAGAGGTAGGGGAAATTAAAAAAAAAATTAAAAAAAGAACCTCAAAATGAAGAGGATAAATTAATAAATTAGATAAAATTATCAGTAAGTTTTTTTAGATATCTAAATAATCAATATGATCATCGCACTATCGGTAAAGGTGATTGAACAAAGAACTTTCATGGATCGTTTTGTTTTTATTACCATTGTCGATAAGTCAAAATTGAGGTCAAGGGTAGAATTGAGTAAATTACGATTGGAGATCTGAAATAATTTGGATAGGGATGATTTTAAATTGATAAATTATTTATAACAAGTATAGAATTTAATAGATCATTGTCATATTACACGATGGCTTTACAAAATTTGTAGATTCAAAAAAGAGAAAGGAGGAAGTCAGGATGGGAGCGCATCGGTAGGTGGCAATGGAGGAGGTTGAGGAGGGCGAAAAGTTGTTCCTAGATGGATGGAAGATCGGGCGCCGCGGTTGCCACGGCGACCGGCATTGATTCCTTCCCTCTCTCACCTCTTCTTCATTGGTCTATTCGTTTCATCTCTTTTTCTCTCTTTCTACATCTCTTTGTTCCTTCCTTTCTTTGCTTTGTCCATTTCTTTTGCCTCCCTCACGCTTTCGCCCGCGTCCAATTTTATCTCACTCTCATACGCAGTCAACCAATCAGGTGCCGTGGTAATGGCGAAGAAGGGAGAGGTGGTGAACGAGTGAATTAGTGTTCGGGGAGATGGCGAGAGGGACGAAAACTGGCACCAAAGACAGAATTCTGTCTCTCGTTGAGAGAACCGTTGCTTAGCAACCAATATATTGTTCTCATTGTTGTGAACGCGCTGTAAATATTTGAATCTACTCTCTACGATTCTGCTATATTTTCTTTTTCTCTTACATTTTTTCTTGTACTCACATCAATATTCTTTCTATGTATGCTCTTGTTCTAATTAAAGCATAATTTTTCGGTTAATGAAGAGCATTACTTTCTATACGTTGTATTTATATTAAAATAATATAAATATGAAATATTGAAAATTACAATTACATTAAAAAATATGAATAAAAGATGTGTCTTGAAAACAAGAAGGATTTTTTTTCTTCTTTTTTCACTTTATTGGATTGAAAAATAGCATTTTCTTAAATAATGTTTTTTCAACTTTAATCTCAATTCACTTAACAATATTAAAAGCAAACAATGTAGAGAAAGAAATTTTTAGTTTTCATTTTTATATAATCCAGTTGTAAACGTCAAGTCATGTGGTAAAATATGAAAGCACATAAATAGAAGTGAGCGTTAATGCATATTCAATTATGATGGCATATGGTGAGCTCTTGATTAACAAACAAATCTGTTGTTAACCACACTAATTGAGAACAGAAGTATTTTATTTAATTTAAAATTACTAATTCCTCATAATAATTTTTATAAATTAGTCCAATTGTTATCATTTAAAATAACAATAAAAATTAAATGGTAATTTTACTGGTAAATTAACGGACATATTAACCTATTATAGCTCAAGATCTTAAAAAACCGATATTTCTCGGAATTTAAAAATATTTTAATTGTTAAATATTAATAATAATCAATTATTAATTAATTATTGTGACTATTGTTAATTTGTTTCTATTGTCATGATTGTTATTGCGAGATTATTGTGGGTTTGTTACAGAAATGTCACAAATGAGTCTAAAAAGGGTTAAAGTAACAAAAACTAGAATATCACTCGTTAATCAGACGAAAATGCAGGAAAACTCTAGGGGGTCATGAAACCGTTTTACGAGCAAACTCGCACGTGCTCTCTGTTGCGTCAAAGATCTTCATTATCACAGTATGAGAAAAAGCAAGAAGTAGAGTGAATTTCATTATTATTGACAAAAAAAAACACACACACACACTTTTCTAACATGAAAAATTTCATTACCTATTTTCAGATAGAGCACATAATGTAATTGAGAATTTAATTTTGACATTTAACCTTACCGAGTTGATACAAACGTGATAACAAACAAAAACAGTAGTGACACACACACACACATTAGCTATCCTTTGTAGCCAGGAAAGAGGGGATGAAAGTCGAAGGCGTCAATGGTGACGTCTATTGAACAAGAACAAAATACTTACTCCACATTGAAAACATAGCGCGTGCGTCCGAATGTCGTAGGTCGCGATTGAAAATATTGGTAGGTTAGAAAATACTTTTATTCAAACTTCTATCGTTGATAAAAAGGAAAAAAAAACACTCATAAATTTTTTTTTTTATGTGACATCGATGGGGATGATATTGATAATGAGGAGGGTGTAGTGGAGAGGAGGATAGAGAAGGAGTTTACGGTATGAGTACTCTATAGCGCAACACTGCGGTGGGATCGATTCGTCAGGAGGTGGAAATACTTCCTCTCTACCTCTCACAACCTCGTTTACAAACTTCAATATACACCCACTACCTCTCCGCACCCTTGCCTAACCAACCTCTTGTTTAGAAATACGCTTTTTTTTTTTCATTTCCATAATCAACTATCATTTTCAGACATTGCCATTGTTAATAATGGAGCCATTTTGTTTTGAAAATATCAAATATGTTTATGTTTCGATTGGAGTTTTGTATTGAATGTCTTGAAAAACTTGGACATATTTTAGTTTGCGCATCATTATGTTAAAGGTAGACTAGAAGCTTTCGCGCTATGATCTGCCTTCTCATTGGCTTTCTTTCTCTCTCTCTTATACTCCGAATATTTTCCCTCACTTGTAGAGGTTATGTGCATGGTGTATATGTATTTCATGACACACAGACGCAAAGCTTGTACATAATGGATATATATATATATATATATATATATATGTATGTATATATTACTTGGTATTGTAGCATCAACGTACGATGGAAAGCCTCCACTGACGATAGGTCGCGCTAGGTATTTCTCATTTATGTACTTATGTATACATAGAGGTTATGTGCACATGACCGACGCAGACGGGACACGAGAAAGACAGAAAAGCTATCGGACCTTCACTGGAAAGCGGAAAAGCACGACGGCAATATCGTCGACCCACCGCCGTCTGCTTTACTCATAAAATCTGTCTCAATATTTCTTTTTTACCTTATTTTATTTTTCCTCGCTTTTGCTCTTTATTCGTATTTTAGGTTAAGAACCTTGAGATCGAAAAAGATTCTTTTTGATTTGAATTATATTTCTAAATAATTATTGATCTTTTTTTTGTTTTTTGATTAAATTCTATATCACCAACATGAACTATCATTTAAAATCTAATGATCCCTCCAAAGGCACTTGGTAATTTAAATTAATAATTAATTTTGAAAGAATCTCTGTAAGATCGCGCATGCGCTGCTCGTTTTTTCGTTCGTTGAACCATCGCAATACCGAAGAGAGCGACGTTCTCCGGGACACGAGCATTGCGCGCCGATTCTCCTGTGCGCTCTCGCAACTGACCCGACTCTTGATATGATGGAGGACGCAGTGGTGGAGGAGGCAAGCAAGAGGTGACGCGCTGCGCCCTACGACTTAACAACGCTCACTCTGACGCGAGCCGGTGAACGGATCTGACGTGGTTTCTCTAGCTCTTTCCCTTAACATAACGGATACACGTATTCGTGTGTTCTATTTTCCTCTACCATCATTCATCATTATCATCAATACCTTTTTATATATTTTAAAATACTTCATCTCAAACTCAATTAAAATTCATCTTTTGCTTTTTCTACCATTATTATGGAGCTCTTTTAGTCTTTTGTGTGAATTCGCATGTGCTTTTGGATGGTAAAGACAGGCTGAGTTTTCAGAAAGCTCAGGTATCTATTATTAGTAAGCTATGGAAGGATTTTTGATACTAATTTATTAGGATATTCAAACTTTTTATATTATAAAATAAAGGAACGTTTTTTTTTTTAATTTTTCAAGTACTGTTATAATAATTATCTGTCTATTCAACCACATTCTTGGCTCATGGTGCGCGCGGTACCAACGAGCGCACTACTTATTGATCCTTCGCTCTTCAACTTCCTATTTATGATATTCAATCGAAAAGAAAAAAAAACAAGTTAATTTGAGTAGATTAAAAAAAATAGCAAGAATTAAATAAGCACTTTTTTTGATAGATTTTTTTTTTGTTTGTAGACTAGAAAAGAGATGGAATCACTTTCGGCCGAAGATCCTGCTGCTTTGGTGGAGGTCCATGAGGATTCCAGCTCAGTGAATGAACCTCAAGAGAATGCAAGTGCGACGGCGGAAATCCTTGGAGTTCCAACATCAAAAGAATCCAGTGAAGATGAAAATATATCTAAAAGTGAAGAACATTCTTTGGATGTTAACAATGGATGTGAACGAGTGTCAAATATTGACAATATTGGAGAAATAACCTGTGAACTTGAAGAACAAGAAAATATTCAAAAGTGTTCAGTTAACGATAGACTATCGTTAACAATCCCAAAGCCTATTGAAGTATCGGACGAAAGATTAATCAGATCTTCCGATGAGTTCGTGCCTATTTCAGCTGAGCTGAAAACTATTGGGGTTGAAATTTCTGAAGAAGAAGCGAAACAGCTTAAAAATGATATCAGAAGACTTTCTCCAGTATTAGTGAGTCTTCGGGAACGGACACTTGGCGAAATTTCATTGACTTCTGACTCGAGATTATTCGAAGAAAACGTGTCTTCATTAACAAACAATGTGGCTATTGCTAAACAAATTGATCATGTTGATGAAAATGAATTTAAATCTACGACGAGTTCAGAATGTGTTGATAATAACAGTGATAACAGTTTACTAAGTGAAAATTTGTCAGAAAAATCTCATGTAAATTCGGACAAAGAATTAATGATTGTGTTGTCCCGTTTTAATTCTAATGAAGATACTGTATGTATTGATAATAAGGATAATTTAGATATTTTATGTAATACTTCGAAATATTTAGAAAATGATCAATTGACCAGAAAAAGTCCAGTAGTCATTTTAGAAAGAGCCGAAAATCAATCACAAAAAATCACTGATGAAGACAAGTTAAACATTGTAGTCAAGCTAGAAAATGAATTTGAAGATGAAGATGATGATCTTCAAAATATCAGAAAGACTAGTGTGTCACTGGATTCATCAGAAGAAGAGTTGCGAGTGGTCAACGATATTCAAGAGTCAGTGGACACCGAGACTGAAACAGAGACCGGATCTGATAGTTCAGAACTGATCTCGATGACTTCCGTCCACTTGAAAGACTGTGAAGAAACTATTTCCGACGGTTCTAGGTGTCAAGAGACTGATGTGTTGGTTTGTGATGAAATGACACCAGGTATGCTCACCAGACTTCAATCAGAACAACCGGATCCTTTCACTGAAGACTCTGCCGAAAGTCTGACACTGACCACGGGTGCTAGAGATGAAGTAAGGTCTGATGGTAGTGATTCTGGCCTTGGGAGTGAACTTCCTGGTGATCCCGGACCTACGCCAGCTCCTGAAAGTGATTCGGAGACTTCTTTTCTTGATAGAATTCCCGATGACATTTTATCTGACAAAGAAAAAGGTATTTAGAATTTATATTAAATCATTATCCAAATTTTAATCAATAGAAACGTTAATAAAAGTTTTTATTTTTTCCATTTTTATAGTAAATACCCTAGAAGATTTAGCTCCAAGTACGAGTAATGCTGATGCTCCGTCGGCATTGCCATTGCCGACTATTCGGGTGCCCCAAAAAAGCAATCTAAAGCGACGGTTGAGCGATTGTCTAGAGGGAGAACCAAGTGTAAAGAGAAGCAACGTAGGAGAAGAGCCAGAAAGAAAGAAAAGAAATATTCATTTTGATGCTGTTACTGTTTATTATTTTCCGAGGTCTCAGGGTTTCACTTGTGTTCCCTCACAGGTATTGATCGCTTTGCATCTTCAGAAAGTTACCATCATTTTAAAATAAAAAAAAAAAAGTCAACTTGTAAATTTATACAATTGAATTGCAGGGTGGGAGTACGCTTGGAATGAGTGCAACACATACGCATGCCGAAAGATTCTCTTTAACGGAACATGCAGCAGAACAGAGAAGGCTTCATCGTGCAAGATTAGCACAGTTGAGATCGGAAAGGGCTTCTAATTGTATCGTTGAAACTGCTTCGAGCTCCGAAGATCCTAGTGATGATACTGATGATGAACCTAGTGATTCCGAAGATTTAGATATTGACAGCTATTATTTTTTACAACCAGTCCCAACGTGGCAGAGACGGGCATTACTTCGTGCTGCTGGAGTACGAAGGATAGATGCTATTGAAAAGGATGAGTGCCGGGATATTCGTGCTAGCAGAGAACACTGTGGCTGTGCTTGCAAAGGATATTGCGATCCGGAAAGCTGTCCTTGTTCAAGAGCTAATGTTAAGTGCCAAGTAAGTCCTTTGAACGATTACAATTATTGCAGACATTTACAAATCATTACAAGATAGTTATTATGATAATAAAATCCAAGTGTCTGTGATAATGTTTTTTTAAATTAGTCATAAAAAATATCTGTAATAAATTATTTTCCCCTTTTTTATGAATATCATGGAAGCTTCGAGTAAACGCGATAAATATACAATACTATACCTATGCATACTGCATAACATTTAGCTTTAATCGAAGAGTGAAAAAATTAATTAAAAAAAAAAACTAAAATATTTCGTTTTGTATTTATATATTTTTGTTTCTGTAAAAATCAATACTGTTGAAAATTCATGGCTTCACAGGTATTTTATCCGATATTTCATTGACATGAACTAGCACAACTTTATCAAAGATAAATATTTTACGAATCGAAATTAAAGACAATCTTTTCTCATCCATGAATTTGATTGAAGAATAATTTTTATTAAATAGATTTAAATTATTTAATATAATTTTTATCTTTATACTTAAATGTCTAGTGTGATACTTGAAAGCTTTTTGGTTGAGCTGTAACTATTGGAACTTTATAGTCACTTGTTAAGTGTTGAACAATGTTTTACACCACTAGACATGATGATATTCCAAACTTATACATAAAATTTATTTTTCTTTATTTACATATATCTTATCTAATAGAAAGTGAGAAATTCAAATACATTTTTTTTTTTGTGAAAAAAATAGATAAAATTGTTCACATTAAAAAAAAAATTTATTTACCAAGTATTTAAAGGTTTTAAAATTTTAAAAAGTATAGAAATGAAACCGTAATATTTGATTTTATTTATCTTCTTGATAGAAAATGTACTTATTTCTTTCAAAAACATATAAAGAGCAAAAGATGCAATATACTAGACTTTTATTCCATAGAGACAAAAAATATTTATGTTTAGAAGTTAGTTTTGTAAATAACATAGATAAATATTAACAAAGTTTAATGTCATTGGTGTATTTACGGGTTACTTGAAATATACATCTGATAGTTAATAATAAATAAATACTATAAACTTGGTGACTTTAATATTTAATGTCGTTATAAATGTGTTAGTAAAAGATTAAGTAAATACAAAATGAAAAATAATTGTCTTTTAATTAATACAAAATTATTTCAGTAAATATTATTTATCTCAGGATATGTTAAATTCATTTAAATTTTTATATTTTCATAGCTATAGTGTATTAAATTAGTTGATATTGATTGGTTATTAAATTTTATTCAAGTAGAATTTTAATATTCAATATTTATAATGAACTAGAAGGGTTGTTAGAAAGAGTTGAAAGGATTTATTTTTTAAAAATCAAAAAATTAAAAAGTGTTAAAGTAATATTAAAACATTATAGATAGTAGTATACTTCATTTAGTTGGATTTATTTTAATGTTGATTTATGAGTTGGATATTCTAGTAAAAATAGATAACAATGAATTGAAATATAAAAATATATTAAAATTTAATCAAATGAAAATATACCGAATATTACATATTATGTAGTAGACATTTATAAATTTATAAATAATCGATGAGATTAAAATATTTTTATGTAAACATATTGTATGACCTACAAAAAGAGAATTATTTTTAGCAGTAGTTGTAATAATTCTCTATTTTTATTTTATCGGTTCTGTCAATTATTATATTGTTACATTATATAAATTACAATAAGGTTGAGAAGCGTGAATGTCATACATTCGATACAAATAATTTTAAATTTCTGTAAAATTTTTAGTTTTTCTTTTATAAAATAAAAATAATTGGTTTTGTCAAATAATTAGAATGTAATTAAAAATGGATTAAAAATGATTTTAGGTTGATCGAGCGGGGTTTCCTTGTGGTTGTTCTCGAGACGGTTGTGCAAATAGCTCAGGACGAATAGAATTCAACCCGGTTCGAGTACGAACGCATTTCATTCACACACTGATGAGACTAGAGTTGGAGAAAAAACAACGTGAAGAGGAATCTAACGAGCGAGAAATGGCAAATAAACAAGATCCGTTACGAGAAGGGAATTTATCAGTATCAAATGTTGATTCATCTGATTCTTCTTGCTTAAATGGCAGTGGATTTACGACGTTGCATTATGAAAATGAAGTGTCCACATCTTGTCAATCAATGCATGTTGCACGAGAAGATAGTCTAGATCTCTACGCAATTCGAGATGATTGCTATCCTAGTGAAGACAGTGAAAATTCTCACAATCCAACGAGAAAACTTCATCCAGAATTTAATCAAACCTTTCAAGCATTTCCTAGCCAACAAGCATCCTTTCAACCATCATCTTATCAAGATTATCAAAGCTACGAGACCTTGCCATCAACTTCAAGACCACAATTCCAACAACAATTTCAATCAATGCCATCATCACAACCTTTCTCTCATTACTTAGCTTACCAAAATGCAGGAATGCAAACTACGAATTGTCACTCAAATCATCAATCGCAAATTTATGATACATCTTTTTCTCAAGATGAAAGTAGTCCTCAGCAATACACTAATTTAAATTCAGTCCAACCAATGAATAATGTGGTCCAACAAATGGGTAAACTTGAGCCTTTTTCTGAGCTTTTAGCTGGTCGTTATTCATATTATGGTGATGTAGAGCCTCAGCAAATGACTTATCACAGTACGAATAATAAAATGGAAGAAAAAACTGAAACTAATGAACAAGAAGAAAGCAATGAAGATTGTGATGAAAATTTTGGTGAAATAATTAAAAAATCTATGGTTGAAACTGTGTCCGCTTGAAGAGAATGATAGATAATTGATGAATAAGTGGAGGCTGAGGTACCTGAAGAAGCTCTCCGGTCATGAAGGCCAGACAATCTTCACTAGGACAAATTAATCATGAATAAATAATTAAATGGTACACAGGAGAACACATAATTTTGTTGGGGGAGTATTAAAAGAGAATAGAAGGATATTAGATATAATTAAAAGGTATTCTTATGCAGAGTAGAATTTAGAAGGGTTATTTTTACATTTGAATATCAATAAGATTTTTTTTTTAATATTTTTATCGATATTTAAACACATACATAAAAATATTAGATAATTATAATACTCAGTGACTATAAAAATAAAAACACTAGGAGACAAGTTTTATCCATTGTGTGTTTGATTATTGCTTGAGTATTCAATGAATAAGAAATACAATGTTACTGAATGGTGGCCTTTCAAAAATGACAAATTTTCTAAATAAATTTTGACTTTTTTATCAATAAAATTATTAATGCACAAGGGTGATTATAATTATCTTTAATACGTTCAAATATAAAGAAATATTTGTATCAAACAATTGTAATTGTAATTAGAATCATTTTTTTACTCTAAATAAGGATACCTTCCACATTAATAAATCCATTCACATTTTATGACAATTTAAAATTGATATTTAACGAGGTTGTGACCAAGAAACAACATGGGATCAGCTTAGAGTGCAGAATATTTAATAATTTAAATAATTTTAATATTTGAATAAAATAGATATCAATTAAAAACAATTGATGGACGATGATTATACAAAGCTATAGGAATTTTCAAATAAAATCCTTTATACCTTTTCATAGAGGATCCAAGTTGAGGAAATAATAAATCGTTGATTATTAACTCTTGGAACGTACGTAATCCATAATTGACCACTGCATCGATTGTTAGATACACTCGTAACACATAATTGTGATAACGTGGATCAGACTAAAAATTATTATAGTGCAACGTTCGTTCAGGATCTTTGTTGATAAATCGGTTGTGATTCTATTCACGTTAATATTCCGTTAATTGTTAATTTATCTGTTGAGCACACAAATATACACAAAAATAACACATCAAAATAATTAATGAGTAATTAAAAATTATTAAGTATAAGACAATTCAAGGTGCTAATTCATTTTGCATCAAGATTAATAGTTTAATTCTTATTTGTTTATATATATATATATACATAAATTATACATATATATATATATATATATAATTATTGTATTCTTTTCTAATTTGTCTTAAATAATTTGAAATAATAAAAAGTACTAATGATTGATAAACGTGATTTAAAATATGAAAAAGAATTTATTTTGCAAGATCTTGGATGAATTTCGTTTCTCTAACCGACGTTTAATTTTAATAAGAATAAAAAAGATTTACAAATAAGGGATAAATCATTGTATAATGATAGTATTAAATTTATATATATTTACAATGGATGTGTCAGCTCCCAAGCAGTCACATATAATGTAATAATTAACTATTTGATTAAATGATAAGCAATGGAACAAAAGAAAAAAATGTTTTAAAAGAAAAAAAAATAAAATAACTATGTCTATGAAAATATAAATATGTATATTATCCTTTTGATAACAATTTTTTTCGTCGTGTCAATTAAATGTGAATAAAATTAATTTATTGATTGATTCACTAAGCAATTGTAAAATAGTAATAATAACTATAATGATAATAATAATAATAATAATTAAGTGTTAATGATTTTAACGACGAAAAAAATACATGGATAAAAAAATTTTCTGGCGAAAAAGTAGGATTGTATTAATTAAAATATATCGCAAGGGATGTGACACTTCCTAAACAATTATACATAAATAATATAAATATTATATATAAAAATTATATATAAATATATATATATATATATATAAATATAAATATAAACTATCACACATGTAAGAAAATTTAGAAAATTTAGAATATTTAAGTAAAAAAAAAGGCATAAATAGTTGATAGCATTTTATTGAATGTTGTAAAAAAAAAGTTTGCCTTATTTTTATGCCCTTCCTCAATTTTTTTTTTCTATTATCATAATCATTATTATTATTATTATGATTATTATTACTATTATTATTGTGGATATATACTTTTTTTTTGTTTTTATCCTTTGTCTATTCTATTCCTTTCACACTTCATTTTCATATTCAATACTGGCATTCAAATCACTAAGATAAGAACATTATTTAAAAAATTGATCAATACTTACTATCCATGCGCAATCCGTTATAAAATTATATTTAAATTTTGATGATTTCTATTAAATTATAATACCACTTAAGTAGATTTAGATGTATATTTTTTTTATTCTTCTTGACGAAAAAACTTTTCACCCGTTTTTACAAGATATGTTGCCGAACATTCATTTTGAAGAATTTTCCAGAGCACAAAGAAGAATTTTTATATTTAGATTTTTAAAAACTTATATTAATCAAACCCACATGAATTAAAATAATTTGTAAATATAAAATTTAATAAAAAGATGACATAATAAAGTTTATTTATTAACTTTAACTTTTTAAGACATAATAAGGTTTATTTATTAACTTTATACCCTGACGGGTATAGCAGGTCGCAAGGACCTGGTCATTAGTTCAAAGGGTCTCAGGAACACTGTGAAGGGACTATTTGCAGCTATTTCTCCTACCTCAATATTTTAGTTTAGACTTTAAAAAATTCTCTACATATTTTTAAACCCTTTTTTGCCTAATTATCATCAGGCAAAACTGACCGAGTTTAGCTAGACGCTAAAATATTTTTAAAAGAAGTTAGTTGGGTCGCAACGACTTTCAATACCCGTTGTGGAAGTCTCCAAAACATGTATGCCCTTTTAAGGGTTGATAATTAACATTTCTAAATGCATTGGTAAGTATTTTTCATGATGCATTTCATTAATTGACACAGCTTATGGAAGATAAATAAATAAATAGCAAGTTTTGTTAGAGAATAAATGTTTATTTTGTATAGTTTAAATAAATATATTTCATGTACAGAAAAAATTGCTAAAAAATTGATCAATTGATAATCTTAGTATTATTCTGAAATGATTTTGCAGTTAATTTCAATCAATTATGCATTAATTACTTTGCCTAAATCTTCATATCATCAATCTTAAAGATTGTATAGCTTCGGTGAGACATTGTAACTCACCTTCACTATTTTTTAATTTTTCAGTATTACTCTTCTGAACATCAATCGGAACTTTACTAGCGTAATCATCAGTAGCCATTGACTGTTTGAGCTTCTGAATAACACCTACGAGTTGTTCTTCTTTCTTACTAAGTTTCTCAAGTTCTTTTTGAGGATCAATGAGCCCTTTTAACAGTAAGTGAACTTGAACTTTATCAGTAATTGTTAGAATCGCACACCCAACAGGAGCTGCACTCTCAATAATTTTAGAATGAGCTAGAGTTTCGATGAAAGTGTAATAAGGCTTTAATTTGGTCTTCAAATTCTCCTCTGAGCATTCGATAAACGCATCTGTATTAACTTTATTCGGCAGTGTGTACGCTGATCGTACTGATCTGATGCTTTTGACAATTTTTTGAGCAAAGTCAATATCTTTTTCAATTTCTTCATTTCTCCAAATACACTATTTATAAAAGAAAATAATTAAAAAATAGATTTAAAAAAAAAAAATTAAATATTAAAGAGTTTAATAATAAATGAGATTTACCTCTTGAGCATCAGGATAAGGACTGATACAAATGCTAGGATATTCTAATTTTATTCTAGGTAACCGTTGATAAAGCTCTTCCGTGATAAATGGCATGAAAGGACTTAATAATCTCAATCCAATGTCAAGAGTTTTAAATAACACTCTTTTAGCTGCATTTATTTGTTCATTAGATCCACTTTGGAACACTGGTTTTAAATATTCCTACAATAAAATTTCAGGTAAATTAAGAATAAACTTTTTTTTTAAGATATTTAAGAATTATTTCAATTAATTAGTTATGTTCTCATAATTAATATATTCATATTTTAATAACTAAACTCACCAAATAAACATCACATAAATCATAAAGCCAAAGATTGTAACATACTGTAGTGGCTGCATTAAAATCGTATTGAGCAAGTGCTTTATCACAAACTTTAGCAGCATAACTCACTCGTGAGAGCATCCAAAGATCGATTTTTGACTCATTTTCAGTCAGCTGAAATATATAAAATACTCATCAATTTAAATTTTATAAAAAAGTTGTTTTTTTTTTTTTCATTATTTTTAAAACATTACCAAGTATATTTTAATACTTTCCATAATTTAATTTAAATTTAATTATAATATATATAATGTTTAATTAGTACTGTTAATGGTTAATTAAATGTTAATAATCATGTTAATAAAAAAAAAAAAAAAAAGGAAATTAAAGCAATTAATAAAAAAATTAGAATAAATTAAGCTTTAATGCTCGCACACCTGAAATCCGCAAGAAAGATTCGAAGATAGCCGCGAAGAAGAAGAAGAAGATCTCAAAGATGAACATTGTGAGAAAATATCTTCATTTTCTGACGCTCGGAAACGAGATTTTTCGGATCTGCTGAAGCTTTCGATATGCTCCCACCATCTTTTAAGATGTGGAAGATGTGAAAAATTAATATTAAGATCATTCAAGAATTCTGATATTTTACTGTCTGACTGCGATGGAATATAACCTCCGAGATATGGGTATTCAGAAAGATAGTCATTTAATGCATCTTGAATACAGTTCTCACTTAAGGTCTTCAAGTACCAGTCTTTATCTCCAACAATTTGACTGTTTCTTATGATCTTCTTTTGTCCACCACAAGATAGATGTTGTTATTAACAATAAAGACGGTTTTTTACATATATTTATTATTTAGAAAAAGCATAAATTAATAAAAGAACAAATTTTGAATCTTACCTTTGTTTCACCTTCATATTTAAAGTCTCCTAAATACATGAGAGCAAATTTAGTTGCATTCCAAAGCTTATTACAGAAAAATCTGTAACCCTGCACTCTTAAAATATCCAGATTGATGTCTCGTCCTTGGGAAGTATAAGCACAAAGTGCAAACCTCAAGGCATCAGTTCCACATTCAGGAATTCCCTGAGGGTAATCTCTTTTCTGACCTTCAATCGCATGTTGCAGCTCTTTGGCATCGAGATTGGATTCCTTTAGTTGTTTATGAAGATCTTCCAACGAAATTCCTCTGATGACATCCATTGGATCAATTACATTTCCCAATGATTTGCTCATTTTTCTACCGTGAGCATCACGGACCATTGCATGAAGATATACTTCCTTGAAAGGAAGCTTTCCCATAAGTTTTTGACCAAAGAAAACCATCCGAGCAACCCAGAAGAACAAAATGTCATGTCCAGTTTCCAATAAAGTTCCTGGATAGAAGACTTTAAGTTCTTCTGATTCTTCAGGCCATCCAAAGATAGAGAATGGAAACAAAGCCGATGAAAACCAAGTATCTAATACATCAGGATCTTGTTCTAACTTAATTTTATCAGAAGATACCTTAAACTTCTTGATTGCTTTCTCTTTCGCTTCAGCTTCAGTGCGTCCACTGATCCAGAATTCATCGTCAGAAATGCCTTTTGGAGTCAAAGATTCATCACAAAACTTTACATAGTACGCAGGAATTCGATGACCCCACCAAAGCTGTCGTGAAATACACCAATCTCTTATTCCCTCCATCCAATGATACCAAGTCTTCTTGTGTTGTTCAGGAATAATTTTCAATTCATTATTTTTTACAACATTGATCGCTTTCAAAGCCATTTCATCACATTTTATATACCATTGAGGTTTTATCAGTGGCTCCACAACATCTTTGGATCGACTACAAATTGGCACCACCATTGGATTATCTTTAATATCCACTAAAAGACCCTTTTCTTTCAAGACATTCAACAATGCTTTACGTGCTGAGAATCGTTTCATGCCAGTGAATTGTCCACAATCACCGCATATATTTCCCTCCTCATCCAAAATTGTTATAAAAGCAAGATTGTGCCGTTTACCTACTTCATAATCATTGTGATCATGGGTGGGCGTTATTTTAACCGCTCCTGTACCAAATTCCATATCGACAAAATCATCAGCAACAATTGGAAGTTTTCGATTACAAAATGGATGGATTACAAATTTTCCAATTAAATGAGTGTATCTTTTATCTTGGGGATGAACAGCAATTCCAGTATCTCCCAGCATTGTTTCTATACGAGTTGTTGCAACAGTTATCTTTTCGTCAGAGTTTTCTACTTCGTAATTAAAGAAAACCAACACTCCAAACTCTACTTTCTCTTGATAACCCGGAATTGACAGCAAAGTTTTACCAGTTAGTTCCATTTTTTCCACTTCTATATCAGAAATAGCACTTTTAAGTGTGCATGACCAATTCACTAGCCTATTGCTACGATAAATAATGCCTTCATCGTGCATACGAACAAATGCTTCTGTCACAGCACGACATAGCTTTGGATCCATTGTAAAACATGCACGATCCCAATCCATTGATCCACCAAGTTTTTTCAATTGTTCATAAATGCGATGTCCTTTTTCATTTTTCCATTCCCAAATTTTTTCTACAAATTTTTCACGGCCAATATCATGACGAGTTTTTTTCTCTTCTCGCCATAATTTTTTTTCTACCACCACTTGAGTTGCAATACCTGCATGATCACAGCCAGGATTCCAAAGAGTTGTACGACCTTTCATTCGATTCCTATTTAATGGATCAATTATATTAAATGAATTGAAAATTGATGAATAAAAATAAATTAGTATTTTACCATCTGACAATTGCATCTTCAACAGCACTTGTTAAAGCATGACCTAAATGTAGGAATCCAGTAACATTCGGTGGTGGAATTACCATTACAAATTGTCCTTTTGGATTAGGTTCTGATATCGATTTTCTTCCATATTCAGGCTTAAAAAATCCTTCCTTTTCCCACCATGAATACCACGCGGCTTCGACATACTGAGGACTATAAGCATCAGGAATAGGCACTGATATATCTTTCTTTTCTCCAGCAGGAGTATTTATCGAATAGACTGCAGATTCTTTTGGTTCTTTTTTCTTCTCACTTTTCTGAAAAGTTTCATTGATTCATCAGTCATTGAAAACATTATAGATGATGATGCAATAATAAACAAAAAATTAACCATAGCTCTTTTATATGACAAAATAAATTTCTTTGCGATAAAAATTATTATTTAATAATTAAATTGAGCAAAAAATGAATAAAGTTAATTCATAAAAAATCAAAATTTTTTGACCTTAAAAAATTTAATATTAAATCATGTATTTGTTTTATGTTTAATTAAGGAAATAAATAGCACGCGGATAATTTTCGTTGATAGTATTTTTCAAAATCCATATGGATCACAATGATCTGAATAAATGACAAGTCAGCTACTATAAAGTATTAACAATACTTATTATTACCTCAGCTTTTTCTTTTGATTTTGTACTTGCTGTAACATTTGTTTCTTTTTTTTCTTGCTTTTGTTTAAATTTTTCTAATTTCGCAAGTTTCTTAGCCTCTTTTTCCAACTGCTTAGCAGATTTAGGCGGTGCATTTTCGCCATTTAGTACATCATTCGAATCTTCCACCATCTTATAACCTATTTTTTTTTATTCAATATATTTTGACTAATTTGTACCTAAACAATTTTAATGATGTTATTATATACTTTATAATATTTTTAATAAGAAAAAAAAATTGTCTAACGCTCAAGCTTTACTGTCAAGAAACATCGTGTCGCTCTGATCATAAACCATGTAAACAAAGTGAAAGGATAACGGTAAAGTCATCTGGCAAGTAGCGCCAGAACGTGAAAATTCAGAACTAAACAACAAATATCCTTATCATCGGTCGATGATAATGCAGGAATGTGCACAGAACAGTTTTATTCGATGAACAATCTAGACAAAATATGAAAGTCACAAGACAAAATGGCGTAAAAGTTGTCTGACTCGAATAGACGTGCATTGAAATAATTACGCAAAAATAGTTTATTAATTTTTTAACATTATTTACTCGGAAATACAATCGACATCACAATGACCGCGATCCCGGGACAACTCACATTTGATGAATATGGTCGGCCTTTCATCATCATTCGTGATCAAGAAAAACAGAGAAGATTAACCGGCATTGATGCCATTAAGGTATACCATTTTCTTCTTATAAAAATGAGTCATTATTAGATGTATTTTATTTCATTATTTGAAGATGTATGTTTAATTATTCAATACCAAAGAAAAGAAATTATTCTGATTATAGATAAATACTAAAATGGTAGTAATGTATTTATTACGATCATTTATTAGTATTTATTAACCACGTGCCAGAATTCAGAACATTCAACTTTAAAAACTCCATCTTTTCTTTTGATATCCATAAAAGGAAATTTTTTATTCTCCATGGGAGAGCTGAGATGATTAATTTAAATTGTTATTATAGAAACATTTATTAATAATAATAAAAAAATAAATTCAATTCTATTTCTTTATTCAGTGAATAATGTTAATAAATTTTGTTATAATAATTAAATTGAAATATTAAATTTCAATATACCAAAACTCTTTCATTTTTTTTTTAGTCTCATATTTATGCTGCTCGTAATATTGCCAACATTTTGAAAACATCTTTGGGTCCAAAAGGATTGGATAAATTGATGGTTAGTCCAGATGGAGATGTAACCGTCACCAACGATGGAGCAACGATTTTAAAACAAATGGACGTAGATCATGAAATAGCTAAGTTAATGGTTCAGCTATCTCAGTCTCAGGATGATGAAATCGGTGATGGAACAACAGGAGTGGTGGTTTTAGCTGGTGCCTTAATGGAACAAGCAGAAGCTTTGTTAGATCGAGGAATTCATCCCATCAGGATTGCTGATGGATTTGAATTAGCTGCAAATTATGCTACTAAACATCTCAGTCAGATATCTGTAAATTCTCCGGTTGATATAAAAAATCTAGAACCTTTGATAAAGACGGCAATGACAGCTTTAGGTTCTAAAATGTAATATTCAACATTGATAAATAATTTGAAGGAAATTTTTATTATTAATTAATAAATTAATAATTGACTAATTACATTATTTCAGAATCAACAAATGTCATAGACAAATGGCACAAATTGCTGTGGATGCTGTAATGGCTGTGGCAGATTTGGAGAAACGAGATGTCAATTTCGAATTGATTAAAATTGAGGGTAAAGTTGGAGGAAAGTTAGAAGATACTGTTCTAGTACGTGGAGTTGTTGTTGACAAGGACTTTAGTCATCCTCAGATGCCTAAGGTATTAAAAATTCATAGCATACATTCGTTCATAAGCAAGGAGAATTTCAGCTTAAATTTTAATATTTTGTGCTGACCAGACACCTTGCAAAAGTAATGAAGTATTTATTCATATTTAATCTATTAGTTTCATTAATAGATGCTATATAAGAATACTCCAACAATATTATTCTAGTGTAATACTGATTGAAGAACATAATACATCTTTGCTTTAATTTTTCGTTTTAGAAACTACATGATGTTAAGCTGGCTATACTCACTTGTCCATTTGAACCACCAAAACCTAAAACCAAGCATAAGTTGGATGTTACATCGGTCGAAGATTACAAAAAATTACGAGAGTATGAACGAGAGAAATTCATTGAAATGGTTGACAAAGTAAAGAGTGCAGGAGCTACTTTGGCAATCTGTCAATGGGGTTTCGATGATGAAGCTAATCATTTACTACTCCAAAAAGAGTTGCCAGCAGTTCGTTGGGTTGGTGGTCCTGAAATAGAGGTATCAAATGTCTTCTTTTATTTCTACAAAACTATTCTAAGTAATTAATTTCCCATAATTATTTACATAAAAACAATTGCCCAATGACGACAAAATGCGCCAAGAGGAGGATGATGATTGATTGTCAAAGTTACTGACTTAATTCAACTTTTTTATACAATCAATAGTTAGATTCACATCTAATTGTTGTGCGTATACTTTGGTTTGTACAGTTAGATAATTTTGATAATTAAATTCATTAGGGTGCTCCTATGATCAATGATTATGAGATCTGAGGGCTTTAAATTTTTTATAATTATTATTAATCTTTAAATTCAAATTTAATGTTAATTTTTGTATTGAAATAATTCTTTTTTGAATTCCTAGTTAATTGCTATTGCAACTGGAGGAAGAATTGTACCAAGATTCGAAGAATTAACACCTGATAAACTCGGTTATGCCGGTGTTGTCAGAGAGTTATCGTTTGGAACGACAAAGGATAAGATGCTTGTCATCGAAGAATGCAAAAATTCTCGCGCTGTAACAATCTTCATCAGAGGAGGCAACAAAATGGTTTGTTTTATTTATAATCATAATACTTTTTAATAAAAATGAATAAGTATGCCCAAAAAAAATACCAAGCCACACATTTATTTACTCATTTTATACTTATCAAGTATGTGAAATCTATTCTTATCGTAGTAGTTATTATCTCATCATTGAATTCTTAATTTCAGATCATCGAAGAAGCTAAAAGATCACTCCATGATGCTTTATGTGCAGTGCGTAACCTTATAACTGATGACAGAATTGTTTATGGAGGTGGTGCAGCTGAAATTGCATGTGCCTTGGCTTGTGCTGAAAAAGCTGATACCATTGGTTCTTTGGAACAATATGCATTTAGAGCTTTTGCTGATGCCTTAGAAGCTATTCCCATGGCGCTAGCTGAAAACTCAGGTCTTTCTCCAGTTGATGCGCTTGCAGAAGTAAAAGCTCATCAATTAGTAGATAAAAATCCTGCTCTGGGAATCGATTGTATGAATTGTGGAAATCAAGGTTTGTTAATTTTATGTAGTTAAAATAAAATGATTTTAAATTTAGAATATTATTGATGGAGAATTTTTTTTCAGACATGAAAGCACAAAATGTCATCGAAACACTCAAGAGTAAAACTCAACAAATTTTACTGGCAACACAACTGGTTAAAATGATTTTGAAAATCGATGATGTCCGATCACCAGTTGATCGTGATCAATAAATTATATTAAAATTAATGTGAAACATTAATTTAAAATACAAAAAAACGTTACATTTGATTTAAAATGAAATTCTTTCATTCGCACTGCAAATTTTCATGAATATTAATGTTAATAACATTTATAACTTTTATTATTATTCATCGTCACTGTCTTAGCTTTGAGTACAGCCTAACATTATAATTAATAAATAATTAACAATAAAACATCCAAGTTTTTTCCAGAATGTCCTGACATTTATTTTTCTATCATTTTATTATTTTAATTGATTATACTTATAATTTTATCAATATATTACTTCGTACATAATTAAACATTAATTTCTACATAAACCGATCACAGATCAATAAACAATTTTTGTTATACAAAAAAAATTATTCAAATGTGTTACTAATAACTTAAATGGCACTAACAACATCGTCTTTCTTGTTAGTTTAAACAATGTCATATTATTTCCGACCAATAAATAAATTAATTTATTAAGTTCCTAACTTTACATCATTTTTCATTTGATAATATTATTTTTACACCTTTTCTGTTTTCTTTTGTATAACAATATATTTCTATATATATATATTTATATACTCCCGTCAATTTTTATAATCTATTACAGTTCATAACAATCCATAAAATTTTTACCACTTTTTTACAAGCCAACATAATTAATTCATTAATTGATTGAATGCTTTACTAATATTACACAAAGGGGCGGTTTTGCTATACTTCAAAGGGTATATATCTAAAAATAGTTTATTTTATTTAACGAAATGTGCTTTTTTAATTTTTCCCTTTCAAGTAAGATTATTAAGTACAATTAATTGAAAATAATTTTCTATCAATTATAATTATATTTTATCACTCTATTTATCATCATTATTCTTCATATTCTAACGATCGATCACATTTATTCATCACTCATTAATTTTATTATTATAATTATTTTTTAATTGATTGCTATTTTCTTAATGAATAATTCAGCTAAATTAACCGAATGAATAAGTTTCTTAAAAAATAAGAAGGAATGTTTAATTCATTTCTATAAGTGCACTATAAATTATGATGTAATAAATAATTAAATAGTAAAATATAAACAATAATAAAATAAAATAAAAGCACATAACAATGTTAAAAAATGTTCAATGTTTCATGATAAATCAAATTTTAATTCGCACATCAATATTTTCGTTCTCTATATATTTTTTTCATTTATAATTCATTGTAATATACCATTTTTATAATTATTTAGACCTTTTTGAGCATCGGTAAATTGAGTGCAGGTGGTATTTCAATATCTTCTAATCGAATATTTGAAGGATTGAATGGAAATCTAACGGCGTAAGTGAACTTTAGGTCCATTAAAAGCTGAAAATTTTTAATTCAAATATTAATTTCTATTAACTAGTATTTTTTAAAAATGATATTTTATTAAAACCTTTGTTTACCTGTTCGTTGTTTTCTTGACGGTGTTTTAATTCAGCCTGCACATTTTTGATGAACGACACGGGAACTCGAGTTTCAAAATCATCAGCAGGCGTATAGAGATTCAGTATTTTAACTATTTGATTAGCAGTTAATTTATTGCACATTTCACATACAGATTTAACATCTTCATCAGTCTTTCTTGCTTGAAGAAGTTGTGCAGCTTGAATCAATGGTAACAGAGCTTCAGCAGCGGCTGTTAACTTCTCATCTCTCGCCCATTGTTCTAAATGACTTAAATTATATCGAATTTGCATTCCTTTCGTCCAATGACACAACTCGTTTCTTAACAACAAGTTATTCAAAGCACTAGCACACATGAAATAAAATAGTTGCTTGAATACTTGTACAATGATTTCTGAATCAACGCCATGAAACTGGAGAGTCTTATGGATGGCTCCAAGCTCATCGAGAAGTTTATTCAACTTTTGTTGAGTTGATTCTGGCTCTTCGCCCATTGATGATGATCTAGGTCTTCCAGTTTTATTTGAATTCAATCCAGTTATAGCTTCATGTTCCAACAAAGCTGGTACTGTCAAAGCTTGAATTCTTTCTTTTAAAATGGTCATGATGTTTACAAAAATCCAAACACCCACATTACTCAATACTGATCTGTATTCACTTAAATCAAAGTTACGAAGACATTGTTCATTTTGTCGTGGTGTATTTTCTATCTGGAATGGTTTATCTCCTGAATATTGCTTCATGTTGTGTAAAAGACGTAAAGTATTACTAAGCCAAAGAACTGCAGAGTCAAGATCATCCCGTTTCTTTATCACTCGTTTGACGGCATTCAGGTAACCTGTTAGAAGAGAGCGCACTTTTTCGTCGTCGTTAATAAAATCTGTATGACGAATACACATGAAAACGATATAAGCTGGAAGCCCTGGTAGCAAAGTCACTGCTACCTTTGGTTTTAATTCTGCAAAACAATTTTAATTATCATTAATTTAATGTAAATTTATTAATTTAATTTTAAAAAAGACATTCAATTATCCAACCTATGACAAGATGACGAATAATAGCTGGAACATCTTCTTTTTGAAATTCAAACATTCCTTCGTAATCACGTTCTTTCTTTCGAATGGCAGGCATAATTGTTCCATTGGATGATTGAGATGCCAGCAATGATTGATTGGCAGGCGGATCGACGGTATCAGGCACTAGAAAATTAAATATTTAATTAATGTTTTTTAATTAAAAAAAATTTTATAGTCTAATTGGTGATAAATTGATTAATAAGTTTGTTAACACATTTGATGATTTGGTGGCATGGTCCAATGAATTTTATGAATATTTCATTCTGACATGTAAATATGATGATAAAATTGTTGAAAACAATGTTCTCTGAATTGAAGTTCGATTTTTATTCAAATAGGACCATTGACTCACCCGGAGGACCTGTTATCATATATGGATGAGGTTTTAGAGCCTCATTTGAATCCTTCGAATCAGTATCCTCGCCTTCGAGAGCGTAATAAAAATAAATACGAGTAAAAGCTCGACTTATTATTTAAGTTTTTTTAATTCTCTGTTAAAATTAACGGTTTTTTTTAAATATTCATTAAAAAAAAAGTGTACTTGGATTTGAAAATTAATTTTTGTTCAATTCTTTTTCATTGTTTACTTATTTTACTGATCAATAAGCAAACATTATAAATTATATAAACCAGAAGTTTTCTACTCTGTTATTTATGATAAATATTTTTTTTTGCATTAGCAATATTATTTGTACTTACAGCCTGCATCTCGAAGACGTTTTGCCAAAATTTTGCATCGTTTCTTCAGTTTCTGACATTCTTCAGCGACTTTATCGTACTTTTCTTGTAAATCCTGAGTTTACAATAAAAAAAGGGATTAATTTTGATTATATTCACATTATTTAAACAGCATTTGTATATTTACCAAATTTTCTGATGTTAATCTTGCAATTTCATGTTGCATAAATGCTTCATTTTGTGTTTGTGGAGTCTGACTTAAATTAACAGATAACAATTTTTGTTGATTCTGTATAACATCTTGTAAACGATCAATTTCACTTCGCCATTCATTTCTCTGCGATCTCCAGCCCTTTTCTTTCTCTTGTAATTCATCCTCCAATTGCCTGAGATAAATGAATATCAAATTTATTAAATAAAGAACTAGGATATATAAAAAAAAAATAATTATTGAAATAAACTTACCGGTTAATTTTTTTCTGTGCTTCAAAAGCAAGGACCAGTTCTCCATCTTCATTAATAATATCTACATCACGTCCATAATTCGATCCAAGGCTTTTCATTCTTCTTGTATTATCTGCAAGAACACTATGAAGCTGTATACACTCTTCTCTTCTTCGTGCCAGTTCTTCTTGAAGTGCTTCAAACTGTCCCAAAAGACTTTTCTGAACATTAGAAGAATCTCCATCCACTACACTTTTTCTCAATTCATTTAGATCTTTTTTCAGCTGTGCATTCTCCATCTCTAGTTCCTCTAACTTAAAAGTATCCTGAGTTCTAAGATTATCTTCAGGACTATCACGTTCTAAATCTTCTACCATTCTTACAAGTCTGCCATTAGCACTCTCAACATCTTTAAGTTTCTGCTGAAGTTTAAGAACTAGGCCAATATCAACAGGAGGTGGCTGAAGACTTCCATTTTGTGTTGGTGATTTAACTCCTTGATCTCCATCAGGTGGACTATCAGATCTACGTTGATTCCAGTCAATAGTTTCAACTCTAGAATACGGTGTTGATGAAGATATTGTTGACCGAACAGATCCATAACCAAAGTCAATATTTTGATCATCTGGAGCACCTTCAACACTTGGAACTGGACCACTGGAACTAGAAGCATTGCTCAGAGATCTTGAATGTCCTGGAACATACATAGCAAGTTTTCTTTCTAATGCTTCAGCATGCTCTTCAAGATCTTGATAATCTTTGAGCAATTTCTGATAAGCTCCACGATCCTGATCATGTTCCATTAGCAGTAAATCTTTTTCTTGTTCCAAACGATGTTTCAAATTTTCTTCAGCACCTCTTCGATCAGTTCTAAGCCGTTCAGTAGCTACAGATAATTCTTTTTTCAACTTTTCTGTTTCTATAATCAATTTTTTATTCTCTTCTTCTTTATCTTTCATCAATTTCTGTCTATCAAGTAATAATTCCATTTTTTCATCTCTTTCTTGTTTAACAACTTCTTCGAATTTCTCTATCTGTTTATCTTTCTCTGCCATAAGATTAATTAATCTCTTATTCTCAATTTCTAAGCTCTTCATTCCTTCTAATTTACTTTTAAGCTCTTGAACCTCACCTTGGACTGTTTTGAGAGCAACATTTTCTTTTGTTATCTCATTAATCTTATGTTGCATCGAGATGATCTTCTTTTCGAGACCCTTATTGAGACTCTTAACATGTTCCACACTTCTAGCTTCAGCTTTGAGCCTTTTAAAGATCTTTTTAGCCAGATACTTACGTACACAACATTGAACAATGATAATATTCTTGATTTTTTTTCTCACAGCCCTTCTAACTAAGTATCCTCTAATAAACCTCTGAATAATCATTGCAGCAGCATGATCTTTCATTTCAGCGTATCGTTTTCGAGCTAAAAATCCTCGGGCATAAGTTTGAAGACCGATAACAGTCCGTTGAATTCGTAAATATCTTGTTCTCGCCAGCCAACCTCTGATTCTAGCTTGAATTTTAATCGCAGCTCGTTGTCTTCTGATTTGTTGAGCTTTCTGTCTAGCTATGAAACCTCTTCCATGTCTTTGAAGTCCTATAATACTCCTTCTTATGATTTGATATCTCCTAAAATGAATAAATCCTCTCACAGTTTTCTGAATCATTATACAAGCATCTCTTTGCTTTTCTCCTCTCAGCTTCTCCAAGTACGCTACTTGACCAGCTCTAAAGAGGACTTTAGTTTTACCAAATTTAAATTTATCCTCATCTTTGATGTATTTCTGCAAAATTCTTCGACAAGTTTCTTTCAAGTCATCCCGAAGGATCTTTTTATAGGGACATAGACAGCGGTAACGTTGGAAAAAGTCTCCATAAGTTCTTTGACTCGGAAATCCTGCCGCCGAAATTCTGATTGTTTCCAATACTCCACAAGCTCTTAACTGTTGCATTGCACGCACTGCATCATAATCAAAAGATTCTTTAGAATCATTGGGTTTAATACATCGCACATAATGAGGTGTTGTGGCATTCAAAGTTGCCATCAACATATTTAAGGAATCTCTAAACTGGGATCCAACTGTTTTTTTGTTAGCTTTAGGTGCTGAACTTGTTAATGGCTTTGACGCCGAAATTTTAACTTTTGTTTGATTGGGAACTGATAACTTTGGTGGATCATCATTAAATAACTGTTTTAATAATTTATTATCACTTGATCTTAACATATCAACTTGTTCTTCAATAACAGTATCACGATTTTTATCAAGAAATCCAACTGTAGAGTATTCCACTAAGTCTGCAAAATGATGAATGAGGAATGCACTAGTTCCAAACCTAGGTTTTTCAAAATGCTTTGATTTAGAGCATTTTGTGTAAAGTTTTTCTGCCCATGAATCATCAGATCCACGAGGCATGCGGCATTCTTCATCCAAAAGATCTAAAATACCCAGCTTAGTTTCAATAAGATCAATGCAAGGCTGATTGTCATAAAAATCAATAAAAGTCCATTCAATTTCCTCTTTGAGATATTCTTCTTGTTCGAGTTTAAAGACATGTTGATTAAATTGTTGTTGAAGTTTTTCATTGGCATAATTAATACAAAACTGCTCAAAAGAATTTATTTCAAAAGTTTCAAAACCATAAATATCAAGCACTCCAATGAAGGATTGTGCTTTAATTTTGCTTCTAAGTGAGTCATTGATTCTGGTAACAATATAATTGAATAACTCTGCGTAAATATGCTTTGCTAATGCATCACGAGCACCCATAGCTTGTTCAACATTCATCGGTTTCAAGATAACATCTCTCATTGATACTATTTTTCTATGACACAACCACTTTCGCATTGCACTTGGATCAATACCTATCAACTTACACAAAATCATCAAGTGTTTATCCTTTGATGAAATCGAACAAGCTTCACTATCAGATCCATCTCCATGAGATATTTTAACATTTCCTAAATGTAAAATAGCTGCAAGAATTTTAAAAACATCATCTTGCTGTTTTGTATCAAATCCAAGTCTAGACATGGCATTTATAGTTTCTTGGAATAATAAAAAGTCATCAACACCGTCAATAGTAAAACTATTTCCTTGATTTAGATAATGAAAATCTGTTCCTTGATATAATTCCAGTTCTTTAAGCCGCTGAGAATGTTCTCGAGAATTCGCAGCACCGCAAAGTTGATAAAAAATATGATAATTTCGTTCGCCATTAGCTTGGAAGACCACTCGAGATTTTTCTAACAAGTAAGTTCTAATGCTAGCGCCGGTAATGTGATAATTCTTGTTAAATTGAATTTCAATAAATTTACCAAATCTTGATGAATTATCATTGCGTGTAGTTTTCGCATTACCAAAGGCTTCCATCAACGGTGATGATGCTAATACTTTTTTCTCAATTTGCGTTTCTGTCGACGAACCACCAACTGTTGCAAAATATCGCATTGCATATTTTGCTGAAACAGTTTTTCCAGCACCTGATTCACCAGATACAATAATCGATTGATCATGAAGTTCTCTTTCAAGTTTAGTGTAAGCTTCTTCAGCAACAGCAAAAATATGAGGCTCCAAATCGCCCATTGCTTGACCTCGATACGCCCAAATCGTGTCATTTCCATAGATTGGAAGCTCATCATACGGGTTAAATGCGACCAAAACGATCCCACAATAAGTATATATACAGTGGCGTTGAAAACGAATTTGAAGATTATATAAAACTGCAGGTTCATGGAGGAATGATAAAGACGTTAAATTATTTTCACCAATTAAAATATCTGGATTACGTAGATGCGGTAAATCACTGTCTGATTTTATTTCTATCAATCTTTCTTCTTTCGAATCATCAATTCGTACTTTCACTTGTGTGTGGTCACTTTTATAGTCTTCTATAAGCACTGCTCCTTCCCATACCTTTTCTGGGTGCGGTACCCATACTTTAGCTCCCTAAAAAACAAATAATTCAATTAATTAATGCTACAATTATTAACAAATAATTTAATTAAAAAGGCTAAACAATTCTAATAATGTCTAGATAATATTTTTAATTCATTTTTTACCAAATAATTTTAATAAATCAATCAAAACATTAAAAACGTTCGGTATTATCAGCAAATAATAATAAATTATTTTTTATTTATACAGCTTTTCTTCAGGAAATGATATCATTGAAAAGTTTTATCCAAAAAATATTATGTAAAATTGTATTAAAAGATATATTTATTATGTAAAGAATTTAATTTTATGCTCTAATATTTACTTAATAAAATAAAAATCATTTGGACTTGAAATAATTTATGGTATTAATAGATACACATGATACATTGTAATTGTTTGACGATAAAAATAATGAGTTTTAAAATTATTTAATACCAATAATTTGTTGTTGAAGTCGAAAGGAAAATTTTATAAGTATAATTACTTGTAACTATAATTTTATTTTTAAAAAAAAATTTAAAATACCACTTCCTAGTATATTACAGTAATAAATGCATTACAGAAACTTATTTTTTCAATATAAAAGAATGAATTTTTGTTCATTACAAGAAAGATAATACTTGAAACTATTTTTAGCAATATTACCGAATAAATAAGACAAAAAAAAAGTCAATAAAGAGTGGTGTTAAAATAGTCATTAAATCAATACACTTTTTATGAATAAATAAAAACTTAGTGACATGTCATAAAGATTATACTTGAGTATACTTTTGTCTTGTTAAAACAAATAACTAATAATAATCATTCCTGAATAACAGCAATTTTTCATGATTATTAATAATAATGTTAATTTCATTGGATCCTTTTTCATATGCAAGATGAATAATAAATAAGGAAGACTCGTGATGAACATTTCGATGAGTAGTGTTATAAAATAACTTTCATTTTTGTAGAATTTATACTCTCGGTGGCTGACCTGTGTCTAACGGGCAGACCTAAGAGTCACGAGTCGAAGGTTCAGTAACGGTACAGCACGAAAACAAAGAAGAAAAAGTAGAAATAGTTCCGCATTCATGTTCAAATCATTGGAATTTAAAGTATGAGAACATGAAATACAAGTAAAAGCTAAACTCCCTACAATAATTGTTTGTGATTTGGTCTACTGACTAGGTGTTAAGTCAGTTAATTAATTAATGTCAGTCAATTTTATGCTCTCTGGTCACACTTTAGTCTCGCTGCGCTCACTTAAGCCTCTGATCACTGTGAAAACGTGGAATAATATTCTCCAATCCCGTGAACTTTTGCGATTTCCTGAATACAAAAAGAGGTACTATTGAAATACATAAAATTTATTACGCAATGAGATGTTACTCATGCTTGATTATACATTTAATATATCTTATCGTGTTTCCTTACACTCAATACATAGTTTCGATTGAGAAAGTCTCTTTCAATTGACAAGTGCATTTGTATGAACAAAAACACACCTAGAAGATATCAAAAATGACTGTCTAATTTTGAAGTGAATCTAAAGGAAATCAAAATATTACTATCATTATCTACCTTGTTGTTATGATGATTACAACCTAGACTTCTCTCAACATATCTTTTTGTCAGAAAAAATGGAAGAAAATAATTCAATGCATTCCTGGGATGTATATACATTCGCGAAACATTTTTTGCTTGGTATAATATAATTCAAAACGATAATGTTTTGATTATAAATGAAATTTTTTGCAGCCTTGATTTGAACATCAAAACATTCAATTCAATAACAATAGACTGGAACAATACCAAGTACTGTCAACAGAATGTGACCAATATAATATTAATAAATTTAAAAATAATTTATAACTTATTATAATTGTTTTTTTTTTCAATTTCTCTCTTTTTGCAAGTCAATTTAATTTACTATCAATGAGACAGAAATATTTTTCTATCAATGATAAATGAGCTCAATTTAAAAAAAATGTTTTATCAGTCTTATCGTAATCATAATGAGTAGGCCGTTCACTGATTAATTAGAACAATTTTTTTTTGGTGTCATACTTAAATGTTTCCGTTTAAATAGATCATATTAAATGTAAAAAATATAATAGAATGCATGGTTTTTTGTTTTTTTGGTGAATGTTCAGAAAGCCATAGATAGAGAATCTCAATAGAAGAAATAGGAGCACAATTATCGAACGGCAACGTACACTTCCACATGACCTCGGACAACCCCTTTCAATAAGACCGTCAAATGTCAAATAGTGTAAAATAAGACTTGTATAACATAAGAGTTGGTCAATATGTCAATAAAATATAGGGTTTAGTTAGCACTCTTATCACCTAAAAAGAAGATTAACATAAAATAGTAAAAAAATAATGAATAAAAGCATTATTTAGGTCAAGTATTTACCTTGACGTAAAGCTCCCTTGTTGTCATTGTGACCTGTGAGACAAAATGCTCAGGTCCAGGTGTGGGAACGATACGACTCTCGACTTAATCACGTAAACACTTTCTCACATACTATATCCATATTCATAAGTCAAGATTCTTCCAGGTAATGCAGGTTGATTTTATCAAATAAAATTATTTACTTTGATAAAAACATTGAAATATAAATGCATTTTTACCGGGTCTTAAAACAAAATAAAACACTAAAAACACTGTAAATTACACTTCAAAGCCACCGAAGTATTGGAACCAGCTGGTGACTATCAGTTATTCTGCTGGTACTGATTGTGCGCGCAACCCCTCTACCTGTTCTTATTGCTCCCTTCTACGACTTTCCTTGAAAATGGCTGATTTTGAAGTTGATTCTGTTTCTCTGCCGCTCTGCAGCAGGTTCCAAAGTAGAGCACTAGTCTGAAAATGATGTATTCAACAATGGAAACTGACTTACCAGTTGATGTTCCACGTTATTGATCATGTTTTACATAAATGTTATTTATACACATGCCATCATTCTGATAAACTACTCATTTCTTATCATTTAAATCTGTTAAACACGTAATTAATTGAGGAAAATGATTTTTTTTTTTTTTTTTAAGAACGTGAATCATCATTTTGAGCTCAAGTTTAAAAGACAAGAAAACAAACGTGTAAAATTGAATTGATAAGCACTTTGAAGGTTTAAAAAAAGAAACCATTGAATGTAAGCTACAATTTTTTTCCAATTAATAGGTTTAAGTAGTCACTTCGACACCTTGTCGTTTAAATCAAATCTGAAGATAATCTATTTATAATACAAATGATTATTTCTAGTATCATTAAATGTATCTGACAGTTTACGGAACTTTATTAAGTTAATAATTCATTCATTGATTGTAATTTAAAAAAAAAAAAAAATTATTTTTAATAATTATTCATTCGAAATACTATTTTTGTCACATTACTTTTAAATTGAGAAATTTATCCCGCCATTATGTTTGAATTTGTTATCATTGATCGGTAATAAACATAGTTAATATTTGCAGTTCTTAAAGTGAATCCCTGTTTTACCGACGCCGATATCGAGCCAATTTTTCATCTTCTTTGTAATTTGCTAATCAGTCTGTTTACAAGCCACCAGCAGAATTAATGTTTAAATAAATGCTCCAATTTAAATAAAATTGTCAATTGTATAACAGTTTTTATCAATTTTATATTTATATCATGGAAAAGCTTTACTTACCATAATTGTTTTTATATAAACTGAATGGTTTCTTCTTCTTTCCAATAATTCAAATACAATATCATTTGTAATCCACTTTCTAATAACAACCATTACATGTTAAAAAATGACAGTTATTTATTAATTTAATAAAGCGTAAGTATAATATAATAATAAATAAAATAAAATGCACAATTAAATAACCTATAATATTATTCATTAGATCTCAAAGATAAAAATGAGACAAGTATTTTAATGCGAATAAGAAAAATGCAAAATTTTTATAGGTATGTTTTTATTTAATATCCATTATTAATAATAGTAATCTATTTGTTATTTCTTAATCCATTTATTTATCAATATAATAAAGTGTATACTTATTCTCTTATATTACTTGTGGGGAAGCGAAATAGGAACTGTGATCGCCTGTTGTACACTTATTGATAATCATTTAATTATTCTCAATATTTTTCTTTCTTTTTTTGTTTTTTTTGTTGTTGTTAATTCCATGTTCGTTCTCTTTTATTTGATAATAATATTCATTATTATTATAAATGATATTTAAGATTAAAAACACAAAAATTTGATGTCGAGTTAAATTGCATGTGAATTGCGTACTAACAGGCCGCTAAAAGGCACCGGGCCCTGAGTCTCACGAGATCCAAGTAGCAGCGAGGGCCTTGTAATTATATTAATTACATATATTTATATATATATATATATTTATATATTTTCAATTATTTATCTTTCATTTTCTTACATATTGCCCTTTCAAAAACTTTTTAAATGTATTTTATAATAGTTTTATAATCAAATAATAACATTAAAAATAAATAATTTCTAATTTTTAAATTTAATGCATAAATTATTTGATAAAAAAGTAAATATCTTAGTTGCTAAAATGAAACAAAGATAATTATGTATTATAATCTATCGTAAAATACATTTTAGAAAAAAGTATGTTGAAAAAAGCGATATAAATTACTGCCCCACAATAAATTTGGGATCAATTTTATGTAATACATAATTCGCAACAAATTATGCTACACATATTTTAAATCTAATCGCAATTTCAGTTCAATTTACGTGCAATAAATATTATAATAATGATCATTAATTGTAATATTGAACGATACTAACAATAGGCAACTCTTACATTAAAATATATATATTCGATTATAATAATATGGTATACATAAATCCTTCGAGATATTATAATTTTTCTTCAACTATCATCATTTGTATTCTCCTCTTTAATTATTATTATTAAAAACGTGTTCAAGTTTTACGTCAATTGCCAATCAATACTGATCTAGCATTTATTATTGTATAATTATCTCTTTCCCATGCTATTAAAAAATATTTTTCATTCAAAATAAAAATAAAATTGAAATCTTTAAAAATTATTCAATATTATTCATTAACATAAAATAATGGATAAAGGAAATTAACAAAAAAAATCAAATAATTATGAAAAGAAAAACAAGAAAATTTTCCAACACATTTATTGTATATATTGGCAAGTTGGTTGGCTCATACACATAAAAAATGGCAAAAAACAATCATAATAAAAATAATATTAATAATAATAAGTAGCGAAATTTAAGACTTAAGGGAAGACATAAAAATATAAACAGAGGTAGAGATTATATGAATATGAAGATCAAAGAGATAAATAGAGAATGTAAAATATTTACATGGAAAACTAAAATCTAGAAATAAGTAAAATTTTCCTCAGAACAAATATTAATAGAGGACGTTTTGTTTTTTTTTTAATCATCAGTTAATTAATATGAAAGTAAAATAATAAATTGATGAATTTGATTTAAGATTAAATTACTGTATTAAAAAAAAACATGACTGGTTAATTGATAAGATGAACAAAGAAAGTGAACAATTATGCGATATTGATACACTTAAAATCAATTAATAATAATAATAATAATAATAATAATAATAATAATAATTGCTACAATAAGATAATTAATTTAAATGATGGTAAAATAGAATGAAACATAACAATAAGCTATAAAAAGCACCTTAATGACGAAATAATTATTAATAATCATTCACATGAGGACAATGTATTAATTTTACAATTGTCACGAATCATTCAAAATTTCTTTCAATTAATCCTTTTTTTTTTTAATCATCATATTAATTATTATTAACAATTTAAAATATCATCGTGATAATTGTGAATCAATGTTCTATAAAAATCGGTAAATAACATTTATTTTCGAATATTCAATTGATAATTTTTTCTCCACATTCCATTAAACTTGGTCATTTTAAATTGCACGTAAAATCCCAAAGAAATTTGTAAATTTTTTAAACATTGACCAAGTTTTATATTTCATTAATCCATGCTATGAAACGAGAAAAAGATATTTCTATTTTCATAACATATTTCTAACATTTTTCTGATTATGTTTTCTCTTAAATATCACGTAATCAATATTTATAAGTAAATTAATAATAATACGTATACTTAATCGTACATAACTTATATACATATATGTTTTAGAAGATTTTTCATTTAAAATGTATATGTTCTTATAATCATTATTATCATTAATTACCATATAACTAATAACTAATTATTATGCAAGTAATTATTTCTTCATACTCATTTCGATATATGTTGCCATTATCAATCTAATTGCATATTTTTTTTTTCTCTACTTTTATCGCTTATCCTGATTAACTTACATTCTATTCTCACAATCACTCACAAGTTCATATATAATAATATTCTCATGAATTCACTTTTTCATATTTTTGTCGTACTCGGTTTCGTGCATACGGCAAATCATTTATTTAATTATATTCGATGAATTATTCACACATTTTATTGTGTAAGTACATATTGTGTATTGCATTGTCGGTTTGGAATTCAGTATTACTGTCACATTAATACGAAATAAATGAGCTAATTAATGGCAGTGTTTAAGTTTGAATTATTTTTTTTTCTTTTAAATGTCATTTTACATCAAATGTTTCCATTATTTCCAAACAATTGTGAACATATTCTGATATTATTACTATTATTATTATTATTATTATCATCATTATTCATTTATTGCTCGTATATTTCGTATTTTTATTAATTATATCTTATTAACTAATCAGTGGAAGTAGATATATTTCAAGTATTCTTTGTAAATGTTATAATAAAAAATGCTATCTTGATGAGTTATTCGTTTTTTATCCTACCATTTCAACAAAATTAATTATTGTTGTCTGCTGTGCGGTTTTATAATTAAAACTCATTCATTATTAATTATTTATAGTTTTCTTTTTTTTTATAATCGGACTTTATAATCTGTAAAAAGGGTCAGTAATCGATTAATAACAATTTGAATCAGTAAAAAAAATTGATATTTATATATTATACGGAGGTAGCTATGGTATTATATGTATATAATATTTTATCTCTTCATCCCTGGTAAAATCTGCTGGTAAAAATGAAAATAGTTAATAAAAAAAAAATAGTAAAAGCAATAAAGAAAATAGGAAAAACTGTTCTACTAATTATTATTAATATATCACGGCCTGACTGCTTCTGGTTTCCTGAGTTTGTTTGTTATATTTAAGATAATGTTATTCATTGATGATCGTTCAATAAGTACCTGAGTGTAACTGATTAACAATTGTGTTCACATATACAGTCTCATTAAATATACAAATGTGTTGATCTATTTGTGAAGTTGATAAATAAAAGATTCCAATTTTTTTTTAATTATAAAATGTCTGCATCCTCCAAGTGATTTAACTTTACATTTTTAAGAATGTATTTGTGTACACAGTCATTAGTTAATTATTTATTCTTCAATTGTTGTTTATATTGTTTATATGAGTAATGGTAGTAATCATTTTTGTTGAATTATTTTCAGACAACTGTGTAAGTACCATTGTTGAAGAATTGGAAATAAATTTGAACGATTTCTTATTAATCCTGCGCAAAAAATTCTATATAATAAATCTATTGCAATACTGTAAACTCTGTTTTATGTATAATTGAAACTGACTATTGCATACTATGACAAGTTGGTAAGACAAGATGATTTATATTTTATTATTATAATTATTATTAATCAAAGTATTCTGATAAAGAGGCGTGACAATTCGATTTTCGCTTTTACTCGTGAATTATTGTATTTTTTTTTATAATTATTTGTATGTGAAAAAATATGCTTATTTACTTCATTTTATTCTACACAACTTGAAAAAAAATCTGTTTAACGGATTTAGATTAAAAATAGTAATAAGGATTTTTATATCCTTGTTTTTTTTTGTTCAAACTGCGGTCATTGTTTATTAAAATTACTTTCCATTCTCGCAATTAATTGTTTGATGAATTTCTTTCATTGAGTTTTTTGGTCACTGTTATAATTATTTCCACTGCTGATAAATATGTTAAAATTTTTCTTCTACAACTCTTCAATATTTCTCATGAAAATTTGTACTCTAGAAGTGAATTTCTTTTTTGAAATAATCATTTCCGTTTTTTATTATTTATCGTTTTATAGATAAAAATAGATATTAGAGAGCTTCAAGGCAAGAATTGGTATTTTTGTACCCAATTAGACCTGATTATTATTTTTTTTTTATTCATAATGTTTCCTATTTTTTGTTTTATTTTTATTTTTCGCTTTTTCCATTCATAAAATTTGTATCAATGACTTTCTTTCGTTCCTGCTGTGGATACTTCTTCTTAATTAATTATAACCAGAGTAAAAATTATTTATCTACCGTACAAATTTTTAATTTTGTACTAATTTTTTACTAATAATTCTCCTCATTTTTTTTTTACATACTAATTACAAATCGTATACGTTTTTATATATAAAGGTTTTTCCATTTCGTATACATTAATATTGATCATTATTTTTTAAAATATTTAACTATTTTTAATTATCAAAAATCATTTACTTTGACAAATAAAAATACTCCACAGCCAGGAATTTATTCTTTTTTTTTTTCTCTCAAATTGTGATTTCCGTTCTCACGAGACCGCATATCGACTTGATTTATTTTTTAATAAAAAAATTCTTCCATTGAGCATCATTTACTGCTCATAAACGTGTAAATCCTTAAATCTAAAATCTAGTATACCTCAAAGTATTTGTATACAATTTTTAAATCTTAATTGTAGAGGTTACACATTTCATTTTTTTTTTTAGAAATTTTTCTTGAATCTAATTCTGTTAATTGTTTGCAAAACACTCTTGTTAATAATCTTCTCTTTAATATTTCTAATAATTTGTTTAACATATTTTTTCGTATTCAATTTTGTATTATTCATTATCATAATTATTTATTTAATTTATTTATTTCCTTTGCATGAATTATTTGATATTATTTATAATTATAATAATGATAAGCCAATACAAAAAGAAAGAAGTAAAAATATGGCAAGAACATTCACGTTTGCAAAGTTGCAATTGATTAAAGTTGTCGTTCAATTAAGTAAAAAAACGAATAAAAAAAATTAGTCAACATTAAAAATATTTGAGCCGCATAAGCAATAGTCGAAATCGTTTAATCTTTAATTTTTTTTTTAATAAAATAAAAGAATATTAATAAAATTCGACTTAAACCATATCTTATTTAATTCTGTCGTGATATTTCTTGAAATAAAACAAATCCATAACATCATGTGGGTTTAGTCATTAAATAAACACACAACAGACGAACTTATTTATTCATTTACCAAAGTAAATGAATTATTACGACTCATGTGAATACGTATGTCCTGTGGTACACCAATATTCACTACATATCACTACACTATACATATTAATTTATTTTTTCTTTATCAACATTCGAATAGAGGCAAAAATTAAAATAATGTCATTAATAATCAAACTTTCATTTCAAAATGATTAACAATTTTTTTTCGTGTGTTATTATTTTTTTCTTAAGCACCTCTTTTTTTTGTCATAACTTCCAACGTCGTTTCTTTTTTTTTTTTATGCCTATGTCTCTTCTTGATTGAAGAAAGATATTTCTTCCTTATTTTTTAATACATATTTATTATTCTTTTTTGTTGCAACAATTGCAAAATATATTTTCTTTCTATTTAAAAACAAAAAAATGGAAATATTTTTTCTCTTGTTATTTAATTAATTCTATGGTCCTATTGTTCTATTATGTGCACTGAGGTAGACGGATGGAATAGTTTCAGGGTTAAATCGCTATGAAACGTGATAATCGATCATAAGAAGGATCGGAGATCATACTTCCTTAATTTAATCGGATCGAGTTTTGCTATTTAATATAATCATTTATATCTCAACTGCTTGGCAATAATTGAAAAAAAAAATTCTAGAGCTATATATGAGGTAGTGGATGGATTTTCTGTTCAATTGGCAAAGCCCTTGGTATTCAATTGGACTTCAATAAAATTACTAATTGCTTTAGTCATTTCCATTTTCAATGTAATTTATCAATTATTCAGCTTTCAAAGCTTCAGGTTCTTCATTTTCACTGAAATCCTCTTCTTCTCCATTAGAAGATTCACCTTCGTCTTCTTCAACATTACCATGCCTATCTTGATCATTTCTGTCATCTTGTACGACATCACGACCTTCATCTCGACCAATCATTGGATAATCTTCAATACCACGACCTCCTAATTTGTCTATTTGTGTTACTTTACGAGCTGCATCGATGACTGCTTGTTGTTCTGGATTTAGACCCATCGAGAATCCACCACTCTCGACAATCATTTTGAAATAGGCATCAAGAACTGGAGATCCAGTACCACTATTGAGATGAGCTAGATGTGTTAATGACAAATGACCACTAGGATGTAGTGGTGCTGTGTTGGGCTCACGACTGTGTAGATTTAGCATCGATTCCATGGACTTGGCAGCAATAGCTGTGGCAGCTTTGTTATTTTGACTGACCTTGGTGATAACTGTGTTATTATTGGGCGTTGGAGAGCCATACCTTAGACTCAGAGGTAAAGTCAAGTCTTCAGGATCATCACCACCACAGACAGAACTTCCAGCTTCAGATGGTGCTCCTCCTCTTGGCAACTCCAATCTCATATCATTCCTACGTGGACCTGTTGGACTTGCACGTGCTCGCAATTCAGCCGGACTTACTTTGACCCCTGCTTTCGCTAATAATCGCGATGCTAATTCTGGATCAAATGGACTTGGCATCGGTAAAACTGGCAGATCTTTAGTACTGATACCACGGTGCTGACGTGACATGTGGGAGTGTAGAGAATTACGAGATTTCGCTACAGTTCCACATAAAACGCACCGATAACCTGGACAAACAGTATGTTTATCTTCTAAATGTGTTCTTAAGGTGTGTGCTGATCGATATATTTTGCCACATTTCGGACACGGTCTTGGATCTGTCGCTCGTACTCTCATCATGTCCAATCCTCGTCTTGCAACTGGAAAAATGATTTCGTTAAAATGAAATGTAATTCGGGACTGTGTTAGGAAGCAGAGTTGCGAAAATTATTACTCATAATAAATTAAAGTTATTTCAATAACTATCATAATTAATAAATAAATTTCATGAATATACACAGTATATCCAAATTGTATAATGCAATTATAATAATCCACTAAAAACATAAAATTAAAATATTGATGATTTTTATGCAACTCAATTCAGCTGAGTCGTAGGTAAATGATTAATCGAGAGTAATAAAAATAATGGGTTCCAATAAAATTAATTAATTATAAAATAATCAACTATTGTTAAGTCACAATAATATATAAAATAATACATTCCATAATGATCAATGTACTTTTAATATGCATCAACATGAAACAAAAACATATTAATAAATATTAATTAATAATTAATTATCTATTTCTCGTCACGTAAAAGTACATTTATCATTATTCTAAAATAAACAATAGAATAATTGTATTGAAAGAAAAAATGAAATCAATAACAAAGTTTTTGGTAAATAAAAATAAACTTTTGATCCGCATCTCTGCCAGGAAGTTTTGTCAGGTGAGAATATTTATAAAAAATTATTTAAACTTCACTCATCTTTTATTATACAAAGCATTACTTAAATAATTGAATTTCAATAAACTTCCAATATTTATGTCAATTTTTAAATATATGCCATAATAGACTAATTATTTCTTTTTTTTTCTTAAAAAATAATTATACAAATAATAGAGACCAATCATTTTGTCAGTTATTCGCAACAATGGCATAGAAAAATCAAACTAAATCTTTTTTTTTTTTTTGTTTATATTTTAATTATTTAAACAAAAATATATAGTTTATTATATAATATATATTTATATAAGTATAACTTTTAATAAAAAATTTAAAAAAAGAAAAAATAAAAGAAAGATTGTCATTACTGCGAACAACATTTGTGATTAATAATAACGTCATCGTTGACGATACTGCCATGGATACAATAAAGCTTTTTATATATTTTTTTTCACTCATATTGCTGCAAAATCTCGTAGAAAAATAACGCTGAGTATTGATTTTTCATGACTATTTCAATCGCAATTATTATTTTCTCTGTTTATTTTTTATTCGATAACCGAAAATTCAATCTATTGCGAATTTGTTTTGATTATAAACTTTCATTATATATCACAAAATAATATAAAAAAATTATTAATCAAAAAACTCCTCTTTATCATTCTTCATTGAATAATTAAAGTATATTCTGCTTACAGATAATTAAAAATTCAATTAATGGCTGATAATTTTAAATGCCAGAAAAAAAAATATAATTTTTGTATTTTTAATCTTAAATTCGTACACATTTGTTTCTCTCAAAACTACTTGTTTTTTGTTTCATTGAAATGCAATAATCTAATAAAACGAAATATTTCAATAAAGAAAAATTGGTTACTGTATATAAATACTGTTTGTAGTTAAGCCTAAGTCTTTATTTACAAAGAAAACACGACTAAGGTAGTCCCTATTTGTTTCATTATATACACAAATGTGTTAGTGAATTGATAAAACAATGTAGTTTTTCACACATAAGTCCATCTTAATGCTTTTATTTTATCCCACTGAAGGGAATGTTTGAGTCTCATGTGATTTCGGACACTATTAGGATGTGAGAATATTTTCCCGCACGAGACAACAGGACATGAAGGTGAATCTTTAGGATAATGTTGGTCTAAATGCGCCCTCATGTCTCCAATATCATAAAAAGTTCGGACACAAAGTGGGCAATCAATTCGGCGTGTGTTGAATTGACGTTGTAACCTTTCAGGGCCGAAATTAGCTGGACCACCAAACTTGTTGGGTCTCGAACCAGTTGAAGGCCCAGCATCCATGATGTCGTCCAAACTCTCGTCATCCTCGATTTTCACAATAGTAGTCTCCGTCTGGTGGTGGTGGCCAGAAGCTGCACCCCGTCCATCTTTACTGTCATCTGCAACCACCACACCACGAACGTTACCACCAGGCGCCTTTTTTCCGGTCTTCTCGCTGTTTTTTATATTTTCTTATAATATTCATATAAAAACGCAATAGTCTACTTCCTAGTATTAAAGGCCTGCTCCTAATATTCAAAGTTATTGCGCAACAATCTCGAAGACGAAATGGCGGTTTAAGGCCTACACAAAATGGCCGAAAATCTCACAGACAGCGGTTTGCCAGAGCTTACATTAAGTGGCTGATTATTTTCGGAGATCAAGTCACCCCATCAAGGGCTGCATGAAATGGCTGACAGAATCAAGTTTCATGGCATCGACTGATGCTGATTAGGATTATTCAAACTCGGTCTTTGATGGATACCATGTGCTTGTAATTGATGATTAATCAAGTAGTGTTTGGTTTTGCATCTTTTACCACAGACGTTACACTGTGGCCACGTTTCTGGTGGAGGCCAATCAGAGTGGACGTTTTTAACATGTTGCCGTAGGTTGCTTGGTGAAGAGTAACATCTCCCGCAATACCGGCATACAGGTTTACTGTCGTCGTGACGAAGTGCCGAGTAAAGTCTAGCCAAATTCTCTGCTGCCTGCGACGTGTTCTCCGCTGCCGACATCAACGTTTCCTCCCTCTTTGGCATCACCGATCCTACAACCAGGACGTGCCCATCAGTTCATTCAAGCAATTTTCTTTCGTTTTCTAATTTTCCTAGTTTCCCTCACTCATTCAATTACATTTTTTTTTTTCTATTAATTCATGATTTAATACGCACAGAAACTACTCTCGTACTCTCAGGGCATGCCTGGTTGCAGGATAATATTTTGTTTTCATTATATATTATACCGAATTTCTTAGTCCGCCATATTATCATTATTATTATTATTAATATTATTATTTTATTTTTGTTATAAAACCACTTTTTTCTCTTGTCTGATAATTATTCTTTCAAATTAATTTTTGTTTCTTGCATCTTGAATGATAGCATTTAGACATGAGGCGTGGGAGCAAAGTAATAAAGGAAGGAAATTGTTAGGAAACTTTTTACTTTCAGAGAATGAGTAAAAAGAAAGAAAAAAAAAACAATAATGAAGAACGAGAATAAGCTAGAACGAACAAACTATATAGATATAGTAAGGAGTTTCGTATTGATCCACACTAGAGTACCTTGTGGACTATCTTTCCTACGAATCTTAAAACATAAAGTATAAAAAAAACAAAAAAAGCTCACTTTTACCCTCAATTTTTTAAAACTTTAAATTTGTAATATAATTAAACACTAACCATTCTAGTTTTAAATCACATGTATATAGTATAATGCTAAATTATAACGAAAGAACATCTTCTAAAGATGAAATTTGAATAATTAAAAAATTTCTATGAATATTTTAATTGCATTTGAAATGCAAAGTAGTACAATCAATAGTTTTTATACTTCATTTGTGATTATAATTTATGCTAAAATTAAAAGCTAAATTGTACATCACATTTGATTAATAGAGAATCACAAAAATTTATATTAAAAAACGAAATTATCTCTTTTTGGGTTTAAAAAATCTTGAAATTATTTTTTCATAACCTAACTTATAAATCACATTTTATATCTCAGCAGTTGAAAATAAATTTTAAAATATAAATTCAATATCTTATTTTTTAAAATATTCATTGCCAATCTTTATCACAATTTTTAGTACGTCAATAATGATTTTAAAAACCCAAAATTAAATTAATTTTTTTCAATAAATGCATGTCAATGCAATGATATGAAAAAGGTTATGTCTAGTTCAATAACTCTTTCATATCAATGAGAGAATAAATTTAAGTTTCAAAAACTTATTACAAAAAACAAAATGCTGGAGAATATTGATAGTTGAGTCTGATTGGACGATGAAAATTAGAAATCGATTGAGAACAACTGCATTGCTGGTGTATCAATTTGAATTGGAACAAAATTCAAACATTAGTTTTAATGGTTCCTGTATATTGTGATGCTGATAAAGCATTCAATGACGAAAGTAAAAAAAAAAGTACAATGAGAGGAAATAGAGTGGTATCTGGTGGAAGATAAAATTGAACGAACCACACCCGGTGGTCAGTGAAAGAAAAAAAAAATAAGTAGAGATGACTTGCAGCAGCAAGGGAGGAAAAGAATAAGGAAGGAAGGAAGGGTGTGTGATGTGGTTGGGCACCAACGCCCACTATTGCCACTGGCTCAAGAAACCAGGGCTTAGATGGCCAAAGAGGTGGCAAATAGGTAGGGTGAAAATGGGAGGCAGATCAATGCGAAACATGTCCGCGAAATTGCTTCAGAATCGATCGATACTACAACCCTAAGGGGATACTGGAGACTTTACTCTTCCTTCCTTTATTCCATCATCTGCTTGCCTTATACTCATTGAAGAAGACTATCAGAGTATTTGTTTTCAAGTCAACTTTCAATACATAAAAGTAAAATAAAATTTCAAAACAAAAGTTAGCTAAACAGTTTCCATTTCTGCTAAGTAGAATAAAGCTTTTCAAGCTGTTTAATTCGACTTACACTAATTTGACTTTTCCAACTATTTCCTTTAAATAAATTGGTCAAAGCACAAAAAGATACCTTGGAGGTACTTTTTTTTTTAACTTTTGCTGTATGTAAATAAGTAGAATGTTTTTTTTTCTTTTAGAAAAAAAAGACAAATGATGGAATAATAGAAAATTGTAACAAAAACATTGAGTGACTTTCGATGAGTTAGGTGAAGATAGGAAGTGAATTAAAAAAATGATGATGTAGAATAAAAAAGACAATATTTGCCCTTTTTGTAGAAACGTCACCTGCAAGCTACCGAATCATCTCTTATGTCTGGTCACGTCTTTAATAATATTGGTAGGTACACCCCACTGGGAAAAAAAGGGAAAGGGACACGACCTTAATCAATCTCATGCGGTTAAAGATTTTTCACGGTGCAACTGTGAAAATTTGACTTGTATAGTACCATCCTCCCCATAATACTTCCGTACTGTGATCGATAGCTTTTAGGTTTCACATAAAAATAAAGAGAAAATGTATGAAAAGCTTAATATGAATAATTTTCGACCCTTGATAATCAATAAAATGATGTGAATATTTTGGTAAAATAATTTATGAGAATAGCTAAGAGTAATGTAAAGTAAAAATGTATGAAAAGATTCTTGATAAATAATGTATGAATAAGAAAATAGCAATGAGCTGTTATTTAAATGAAAAAAAAAAAAAAATTAAAAATAAAATACAGCCAATATCTTTTTTAAAAAATGACCAGATCTAAGTAAGAGCAAATCAAAGTAATTCTTATCGTGATTTTATTCAGAGTGATAGATGGTCTTAATCTACCACTCCCTACTAATACATGATATCTAGAAAGTCACGTTTCCCTTCTCTATTGACAAATCTAACCTAAGGGTAAGTATATATTCTTGCATATCCCATCATTTTTAGAGATCACACATAAAAGCTGAGGTCGTGTCTAGATGAACAATAAACTCTGATATGTAAAATATAAAATATTCATATAAAAAGAAACAAAAAAAAAAAAAACTATTTGGAGAAAAATGGAAAATATTAGTGACTTGAATATAAAAAGTATAGAAGTAAAGACAAAGAGTAAAAAAAAAGTCTTCCATTACAAGGGATGGAATTGAGTTGGGACAAGTTTGGAAACGATAGAAAAGATTCATGGAAACAGTGAAATTGGATAAGCCACGAAGGGTTTTGATTTGCTGAGGGTCAAAAAGGAACAAGTCTTGAATTGATCCATCCATTGCCGTAGAGAAAAAATATCTTTGACGAGGCAAAAATCGGCTAGAACCTCATCTAAAACTCTTTTATCACTCTTAAATATTTATATAGCTATATATTTATATATATATATGTATATCTATCTATGTATCTATGTATATAGATATACATATATATCATGATTAATTAATTATCTAATGAGTAATTATATCAGCTTGATTAAAATATGAGTTTGGAAGCTTGAATATCATTAAAATAGAATGTCCAGTTTCTCTGTCTTTTGCATAATGAACAAGCACAGCTTTAATGTTTCCCATTAATTAAATTTTATCTTCTCAACCATTTTCATTGCCATACTGCTGTTGCGCAGAATTCATCTGCGCGTTTCGGTTTTGAACATGGCTCTGGTGTACCTGCGCACTGCTTTGTGTTCGATAGATAGGATATCGGTTTCGTTTTCTGATTCCGTGCATAGACAGCAGATGAATCTGGAGGTATTGCTTGGTTTTGAATTGTTTCTGGCAAATATGACAAGATATATATTCAGTCTGAACAGTATGAACATTGACAATGTGTTGCTTAAGGTTTGAATTATTAGAATATATTTTTCCACATTCTGGGCACTTAGGTTTGCCAGACATATCGGCATTCGGCACCTGATGCTGTTGATACGGATCACCCGACTGAAGATACTTGGCACTAGAGGTAATCTGTAAACTCTGGAGGTTGTTCTGCAGCTTCTGCTGCATCATTGATAAGTCAGTATCGAGGCTGATGGAGTTAAGGGAGTTTGATGATTGTTGGTGACCACCTGGAGACGTCAGTTGGCCGGTGGCAAGCCGATGCTTATCAAGACGTTGTTGAGGTTGTTGTTGTTGCTGCTGCTGATGCTGATGTTGATGGCTTTCGTTCTCCTCTGACACCTTTTGGTTGCGTCTACCACGAGATGATACACCAGGAATCCAGCCTCTACTTGAATCCATACAGTCTTCTCCCGAGGGCTGCCACCGCTCTGGAACCCACCAGGCAATTTCAGTCCTTGGTCACCCTTTCAATGATTCCTTAAACACTAGATCCCTTCCCTTTCTCATCGCCTCTAAACCCCGCCTTTCACCTCCTCAATTACCACTCTATCTCTCGCTTTTTGTTTCGTTATTTAATTTCTTTACACTAGCTTTTTATTCAAATTCTTCCATGATGATTGAGCCAATTCCAGAGTCTTTTTTTTTCAATAATTTCACTTTTCCTGATTCCTTCCTCTCTTTCGGCGCATACTTGATATTTATTTTATACAAAGGGAATCAAATACAAAAAAAAACGCGAGACTCTCGATTTTACTCACCATGTTATTTATAATTTTGTTCATTAGTTTTTTTGTTATAAATAAAATGATGATTTCGTTAGGAACATTTGTGGAGTTTTAAGGAAAATTGTCAGGACATTGGAATATCATGAGAGGTACGAGAGTTCCATGCATTCAACGTAGCAACGAGAATTAATTTCTTTATAGGAATCCATTGGGAATATGCAGTTATTTGACTAGTTCGCAGCTTAAGACCGTCAATGATTTCAATTATATTTTTTTGTTTGTCTTAATTATATTAATTTTATCAAACTCGACTTACCGTAATTTGGATCCTGGTTTGCTGCGTGAATTCCGGAAGGCCCTGGCATTAATCCTGAATTGAAAAAAAGAATAATTTAATTTAATAAATGTCCGAAATTTCTTCAGCCAGCAATAAATATTCCAAGGAACTCAACAAACTAGATAAAAATTTAATTGGATGCTTACCTTGAAGTCCTAAAAGAGCGGCAGGGAATGTGTTACGATGATGCTCCATGGAGTCATTAAGAATATCATTAGGCTCAGCTTTCACAGAGTTCAGGATACTGTCATTGTTCGATATGTCTTCATCATTATCAGACACAGAGTTAGAGTCTTCTCCAGTGGATTGAGCCTAAATAACATAAACCCATCGATAAATTAGTTAGTTAATTAAATTATAATAGTATGAATTGATAAAAAAAAAAAATGAATAAAATGTATATACCTGAATGTTATTGCTTGGTGTTGTATGTATCGTAGGACCTCCTTCAAGGGCTTGACCTAAAAGAGACTCCTGAAGCTCAGCCTTATGTTCAAGATGATTTCCCACGGGTGGAGAGTAGCTCTTAGATCTTTTCTCAGGTGGTGGACTAAGACCACTGTCACTTGGGTCACCTCGATCGTGCCACGTGTTTCTTGACGTTACCTAAATAAACAAAAACAAATGTGATTCGTATTCTATTTCGGAAATGAATGTTAAACAGTGAATATTATAAATTCAATATTTAACTTTCAAAAATAAATTTTAATGGAAAAATGATTTCAAAGAATATCTAGACATTATGATTAAGTAAATAAGCATTTGATTTTTAATGAAAGACTTTCTGTAGGTGTTATTTTAAAAATAATATTTACTGGTGATTCATTTTCGCGACCACTTGATCCAGAAGGTAATTTTGATCCTGCTGAACTGCTGTTAACATCCGCAAGGCCTCGAACTTGAAGCATTTGAGCAGTTTTTAAGAATGCAGCCAGTTGTTCCTGACCTACATGGACTTCCCCGTGGTACATAAACCTTAATAGGGACTCCATATCTGATGATGCTACATCCCTGAGAATTACTATTGGATGTTGGCACGGATTTGCCTGGAAAAAAAAACAATAATCATTTATTCTAAATAAATAATTTACAATAACAAATGACATTTATTACTTATATTTATGAGATTATGTCATGAAATTTCCCTTAAGGTGTTGTTAAAATATGCAAGATTACGTTGTAACATAATATTCGATTTATGTATTTATTCATACGTCAAGTATCCTACTATCAATGAAAATATAAAATGACAAAATTGAAAAATAAAAGTTTATAAAAGTACCATTATTATTTACACAATTGTTCTAGATGCATTAATACTGATTTCACAATAAATTTTTTCCGTCCCAATTAGAGTTCCGTTACCATTCAAGAACTTTATATAGAAGTGTTGGAATTGTATTGAAAATGCGTGGTTGTATCTTAGTACAACCCACAATGAATTAGTATATTTTTTTCATGCTTGAATACTCGGCGTAATTACAAATACGTGTAGGTATTGCGAAGGCGTTTTGATATCAAAGTGCAAAAGCCTATCATCACTCTTCTATTATTTTCTTTATAATTGTTTTTTAATATACTTGGGAAAGCTTTATATAAATCAAATTAAAAATAAAATATATAAATAAATAAATAAATATTATATGAGTGTTGTAAAATCATAAAGCTTCTGTGTTAAAATAAAAAAGATAGGAAAAATAAATACATGAGATACTGTAGTACGGTTTCTAATCCATTTATGAGTTCTATTATTTCAATGAGTAATGCAAGTAAATTTTTTTATTTACTCATTTAATGAATACCAGTAAAAAAAATCCAATTAAATTTAATTCTTCTTTTTTTGACTTATTTATTTATTATATTAGTTTGTTTATCTTTTATTTGTTAATAATATATGTGATCATGAACAACTGATTAAATTTAAGGAAAAAAAATGGTCAAATGAATCTTGTAAGTACTCTCCAGTGTTGTCAGAGGAATGTGCGACGAGCAACAACGCACTTCCGTTGATAAAAATACGCATAGCATAATATGTGACTTGGTAAGTCGGTACACGCGCCAACTACACACCCGTTCACTGACATTCCATACGATTATGTATATATATACATATAAACCTTAGGCTCAAATTCATTTACTGCAATATATACTTCATCATCATACTGCCTTCCTAAGCGCATACTCTACGTACTCATATATTTTTATTTTATCTTTTCGAGATTACTTTTTTTTTTTCAAGCCTTTGACAGAATTTATCTTTTTTTTTTTTCATTATTATAAATAGAGTTATTGTCATTAAAGTTTGATTACAAAATATTACTAATAATTTTTTATAATTATTATTTGTCTTTACAAATTTTTACATGACATTAATATCAGTATTATATGTTATTTTCTGAATGATATCAGTTTTTAGTATGTATTAGACCATGTAGGAAGTTTGAAATAAGAAAAACATTCAAACTAGTATAAGGAAGACAGTCCTGAAGTAAATTTAATGAAAAAGATGGAAGTAAACTAATTAAAGTAGATAAAAATTCCATTGGTAAGTTCAAAGTTTGTTATAGAAATAGTTCTCTATTAATATTATACTTCAGTCATGTTACTGTTCAAATATTTTCTACTTACAAATTTTATTAAGATTTCAAAGAATCTATTAATTTTTAATCAAATGATCAATTAATCACTCATCTTCGTAAGTGATGATAAAAATTTATTCAATAATCCATAAAAAAAAAAATATTCAAAATTATACACACGTGTATCCCTAATATCCATAAATGTTAACGTTTATTACTGTAAAGTTAATAAAAGTTTAAAACAGAGAAAACATTTAAAATTTTTACGAATGTGAGCTAGTAATGAAATCAACAAACTTCAAGTACAAAGTCAATTGTGATTATTTTGAGTCAATTAAAATTGATTATATAAAAATAAAAAAAATTTAGCAAAAGTGTTAATATTTTTTCATCATAAACTTGTATAATTACTTTTAACATTAATTAAATTATTTCAAATATTGTAAACAGTCATGTCATCAAATACTTCAAGTAAATAAATTGACAATTACTCATAAAATTACTGAATAATAATTTTAGATAAAAATATTAAACTAAATGGTGATAACAAGTAATTATAACTTTTAATGCTCTAAAATAAAAATATAAACAATAATTAATTTTAATAAAACAAATTATTCAAATAAAAAGTTTAAAAAATGTTGATATCTGCTATTTGCTGATATTTTAAATAAATATTTTTGACGAAATATAAATTAGCTATCAGAATAAGTATTTATATTATTTAAAATAACATCTATCCTTTAATTAGAAAATTAAAAAAAGAATTTTTCTTTTATAAAAAAAAGAAAAAATCTGCAAATAATGAAAGTTAACGAAAGACGACAGTACAATAATCTTATTGGCTTAATACTTTTATTAATGTATTTCATGTCATTACCATATTTAAATTTATTTATTTATTACACGAGAGTTTACAGTCCAAGGTAAAACTTAGTGGAAAAAAATCGTCAAAAACATAAAAATAAATTGAATTTTTCAAGATATTTTTCTCATTTCATCATTTAAAGAATTTCCTCCTACTTGTAATGTTTTTTAGTCCTCTCTCTTTGCTTCTGTCGCTGATTGGATAGTTAAATTCTTGAATTACATCGTAATGTATATATAGAAATATAGAAATAGGCGTCAAGTCACGCACACACATTAGGATGATAGTTAAAGTGTCCCTTTCTCATCTCCCTTCAAGTTTTTCTTACTTAGCTACGTTAATACGAGCAACTGCTGGCATATACAATTTATTATTCACGCCGGGAGTAACGTAAGAATATTAGAGAGTAAGCGAGAGAGAGAGAGAGGTGTTTAAGCATTTTATTTTTAGGTAAGATCATACAGAGGAATAATAAAAAGAAAAAGCGTCGTAGCGCGTGCACTTAAATATAAAAGAGACACACGCTACTCCATTATCATGGATTAATTTTATACGCGTTTAGTTACGATGGATATAAATATTGTTGTAGACAAAGTAGAAATAGACTTTGAGAATAACTTAAATGTGACTTTAGTCAATTATAATGACTTAGAAATATTGTAATAGATAATTTTAGCTTTATTCTAAAAACCACTTCACTGTTATTTTCCACAACAATCCAATAATTCATTAAATTTAATGATGGTAAATCTTAGAATAAAATTCGTGAAAATATATCTCTTGTAGTTCTGTAAGACATTCAAGTCTTTTTTTTTTAAACCCAAATCGATAAAGTAATTTTATTTTGTATATTTATTTCTTTGATCTTTTCATTTGCCGACTCTTGGAAAAAATCTACACTTTAAGGTAAAATTCACTGAAATTACTTTAAAGTTTTATTTTAATTTTAAATAAAATTCCAATCTTCATTCAGTAGATTCTTCATCATGAATTAAAATGACTATTATTTTATCTTTGCAATAAAAACTGGATTGTAATTTTTGTAATTAAAGAGTTAAGTTTGACAATCAAATTGCTCGACATCCAGTACGTAAGATGATAGATCTACGTGCCAACAACCTTAACTAGTGTTGTTAAATATAGAATATAGAGCAGTATGTAGAGTTACACTTAATATTTAATAGTGTAATGAGTGATAAATTTTGAAACAGAAAGAATTGTGTGGAATTTTATCTCCAATATGTGCTAAACAGAAAAGAAAAAGATGTAGAATAAGAAGGAGAAATCATATATGTGAGAGTAAAAAATACCTTCAAAAGTCTCCGGAAGTAGGGGCTGCATGCTGACAAAACGACTTTGTGTGCGTAGAAGCTGCTGCTGTCACAGGCTAGTGTAACATCGACAAAATCCTCTTCATCGCGAAGATGTCGAAAGGAGCTGAGAATGCTCGAGTGGAAGTCATTCCATCTGAGCGAATACTGTTGCTCACTAATCGAGGATGACGAAGAGGCCGCCATGGCGTCCACCCCCTCGGGACCCACGGCCGAGGGTACCAGAGGTGCTATTGTGCCCACACTGGCACCTCACTTCAACTCAAATATCACTTTTTTTCTTATTTTTCTTTACCTTCACTCAATTCATCAACTCACTATATATTTTTGCTCTAATCTTTTTGGATTTAATCAACTCTTGCTGAGATTTATTCACTTGGGTGTGTTACCTAGAAACAGAAATTCGAATTAATTTAAATATTTATTATTCTCGTCATTTTATTCAACTTTCTTTAGAAGTAGCTTTATTGAATTTCTTTCTCAATCTTTTTTTTTTTTTTTATTTTAATTAATAATAAAGATAATGATAGTTGACAGAACAGGAAAAAATATCACAATTTTATGTTTTAAGTACAATCGTTACGTAAATTCATTTTGCCTTTTTGATTTCGTTTTATTGGCATAAAATATCATTAAATATGATTCTACATAATTATTTAATGTATATTTATCAATTAAATGTCAATGAACTTAAGTACCTTTTGAAATTATTCATATGATTTTAAAGAAATTTCTCAAAAAAGAATTAAATTATTTTTATATATAATCTTTTTGTTTAAAATTAAAATCTAGAGTACTGAATTAATTAGCTAAATAAATATAAAATACTTGTTCTAATTAGAAAAAGTTTAAGCAATACATAACAAAATTATAACAAACTAATTCAAGTCGATAATTAAACGAATATATTTAATTATGTTATCGATAAAGACACTAACTTTAGTAAACTTTTTAATAATAATAACATGAACAAATTTATAGGACAATTTTTGTAAACAAAAAATTCATCAAGCTATTTATAATTTCTCAGTTGACATTATTTATTATATATTATATAGTTCTATTGATAAAAATAAGATGTAATATTAACATCTAATTTTTTTATCTAAAATTAGAATACTCAAACCCCTTTGGATTTATTTATTTTTAGTTTAAAGTGTGATGAATTTTTTTCTATTTTTTGTTGTTAATTATCATTCATTTCGAAAAAATCATTAAAATAAAAACAAAGTCAAGACTTCTGATTAACTGACTCTTTAAATACCTTAGTTTTTTTTTTTCACTCTTTATTGATCTTTGATAAATTAGAGTAAAAGAATTTTTCATTATTTGAAAAACTTTAGATAAATATCTAGAATAAAAAACAAAATTAAACTCGAGTCATTTAAAGTTTATACTTGTAATGTACTTTTTTGAAATAATTAAACAAGTTTGATAATTATTAGATAAAAAAAAATACAGTAATATCAAAAAAATGAAATAGTTCTGTTTAATATTAAAAAAGTAATTATTCTATAATACAAATATACCTCTATTGTAAGTAATAAAAAATATATTTACCTTAATGTGTTGATTTTTATAACTCCATTTTTTAACACAAAAATTCAAGTATCCCAAGTTTTCCTTTTGACTCCAGTTTTATCATATTATATTCCCTTGTCAGTCTTTACATCAGCGGCCGCCTTTCCTTCTCGTTTTACTCTTCTTTCTATAAAAAAACCACAAAAGTATACATTATTATACAATATTTATTTCCAACAATTCACTTATATGACAAAAAATATATTCCTACGAATTTAAAAAGACCAAAAAAAAAAACCGAAGCATTAAATTTTCAGAGTATTTTCCTTTTGAGTAAATGTTCAAGTACCAGATGACAAGAAAGAAACTACGTTTACTCGAATTACTCAGGGGTTACTTGAAGACTCAAATCCCAGGAATTTATTTCTTGAAATGAAATAACGAAAAATGTTGCCTCCAAGATGTTGGAGCATCACACATTGCGTTTACATTTAAACTGAATATTAGGTAAACTCACTCACACTCTCTTTCGTTTTTTTTTCTTTTTTTTTTTTCGTCCCTTACTTTACTATTCAACAACACTAGTCCCTAATTTCCTGCCTAGTATGAGTTCTCTTTACTAAAGAGATTGCTAGCTGCCATTGCATTCATGTAGTTTAACTTAAGTTTCAGTACACGCTATCTTAGCCCTCTTTATTATCTGAAAACCATTATTTTATTTTATTACTTCATTTCCCCTCCAGTGTATATTGCTGTTATTATTCCTTATAGTTGTTCTTCTACCGCAAAACAAATTTTAGTTGGCCACAATATCTCGAGACTTCATAATAAAAAAAATCTGATATCGATTCGAGTTTACGTCGCCAGAAATACGATAAGCGTTGGATTACTCTGCTCAAAGTACTTTTTTCATATCATATACATGTTATTTATCGATAATACCATATTTTTGGCGTCGTAGTCATCACTGTGAAGGAACAAAATCATCAGATGTTGCTTCCACTAAATTATCACTTCAACCCCTAACCAATTGAACATCCATACCTTCAAGTCATCTGCTCTTTCATTAACACACAACCATTATATATTCTTTCGTTGGAAAAATATATACAATTTTAGAGTAATTTTCAATGCAATTATACCTGATGACCTCATGACTTAAGAATTGCTTGAATTTTGGTGATTTAAGTGACATTTATTATAAATTGAAATAAATGAACTAATGATAAACATCTCAAGTATGAAAGTTAATTTAATGAGCTTCAAGAAAGTAGACAATATTTTACTGCTATTTATTTTAAATATGAAAAATTATTTCAATTAAATTTTCAACTATAACTTGAGCTTAAAATTTGTACAATTTTAAAAATTTACGTTGCAAATTGCTTTTTTATTTAATAAAAAAAAAAAGAGAGAATAAGTGAAAAAAAATGATGACAATGGAACGTAAAGGACACACTTTTTAATAATAAAAATTCTTTCCTAGTTGTCCAATTTAATTAAAATCTAACAGGATTCCACGGTATGGTATATAATATGAAGCGAATAAAAAAAACTGAATGCAACGTACTAATTTTTTGGACTCGTAAATTGTATACTGCAACCAAAATTGGCATTTAATATAATAGATTAAATTTATGCTTTATGTGATAAAAAGTTTAACGTATTAATTGATTACAAACTTGAAACAAATTTAAAGTTAATTTATTTAATTGATTAAAATTTATAGAAAATTGTTGTAAATTTTTTAGAAACAGTTGAATACAATCTATAATAATCTCCCAAGTCTGTCTGAGTACTTGAAAAGAAAAAAAAATTGTATACACAATAGTAAAATATGTCTGGAAATGAAATTGATTTTCTACAATAGAGAATATTGAACGCAGTATGGCCATTTCTGTCTAGTCGTAGACCTTGTTAAATTTATCAAAATGTGAATATATTAGAAGTACTGCAATGTTGGCAATGAATTGCAAGTAATGATCATACTTTACGAAACAATGTTACATTTTTGTAAGACTATGTATTCTTTAATGATAGGTTTGACATTAAAAATAACTAAATAATGTCATTTTACAGTGAAAAATTCATGACACAAAATATTCGAGAATTTCACACCCTCTGTGAAGACATTAATTCAGCACCGAGACGTTTTTATCGATCAAATAACGAGTGTTGACGAATCGCCCGTACTTTTACGTCATTTCCGATCATCCTTTAATATTCCAATGTCAAGTTTTAAGTCAAAATAAATTAACTACTACAAATAAATCATTAAAACTCTAAATCAATTAATCATTAAATCCATAAAGTGATTTTTTTTTATTAAATCTTTAGTTGATCATTTCTCATCGGACATTTATCAAAAACGGAAAACCGAAATCGAGATAAAGCTAAAAATTGAATGGGTAGATTAAATATTTCGTTAAAATGTATACAATTGATGTGAAGCAGTAGATAAAAAATTGTTTGAATTATATTTTTATCAAATCGATATCAAGCGCGAAATCAAGAAAACAATGACTCTAGAGCTACGATGATGTATCATTGGAGATATTTGAAATATCAAGTTCAAAAGCCCAAAATATTGTTATTATTTATTATTACATGATTTTAAATAGAATGAATGATATTTTATATTAAATATAAGGAACAAATAAAGGAGAGCAACGCCCGCTTGGACGAGCAATCGGGAGCAGGAGAGTAGAAGCTAGCAGGCATATAGCACGTGCGCACGTGAGTAGCCAGATCCTGTACGCGTTGTTTGCCTTGCTCGCGCCGGATTTATTGATCACACACGTCACACGCGATATGACGAATAGGGTATAGTTGAACCGAATCGTCGTTGCTATCGTTTGCCTCCCTCTCCCTTCAAACTTTCCTTATTTTCTCTTGCTAAATAAAAATAGCATCAACCTTGAGCTTTTTCCCCATTTTTGCGCCATGGAAATTCCCCCTCCTCCCACCCTGCAGGCTACTACTATTCATTGAAATTATTTCTTTCAATAAAACACCGAATACTTTGGAATTACATTTCTAATATAACCTCATCTAAGACACTTTGATTATTAAACTAAAATAATAAATGTTATTGATAATACACAACTGTCGATTTTATTGTCCAACAATGAAATATCAAATTGATATTACACACCAATGGTATATTGAATCAATAGTATAAAAGAGTATTGAATATTATTTTGGAGAATTGCCTACACACAAATTGAGACGAGAGTGTTATAGGTCGGCCCGAATGAACAAGTTTGCGTCCAAGGTCGTGAGTGTCCACCAAATGAACGAAAAAGGAAAGAATGAGAAATAGAAGAAGAATATGAGGATTCAACCGCGTCACTGTCTGTGCAGCTGTATCGGGTTTGTAATTGCGTTGCTTTTGTATAAGAGACATCAAAATATATCTATATATATAGATACATATAATCAAAATATCTTTATAACATAACACATTTTTATTACTATGTATACGGTTTTAATTCAACCGATGACAAATTTCGATACAAAAAAGTCTATCGTATGTTAAATTGAATTTAAGATCACATGACGAGTGAATATATAACGAAGATGATAATAAGACGGAATTAATAATAATAATAATAATAGTAATTAAAAAAAAAAAAAAATACGAAAAAAGTTTTTTTTTTTTTAATTCTGAGCAAGGACATCATAATTAACGTCTGTACACTCTCTCCACGATGGTACAATTAACTTTAACGAACGGGCGGCCTTGCGATTAAACTTAATTACTATCAAAGTAATAACTCGTTAAATATCCAATGATAGACACTAACTTATACACAATAGACTGCAGGAAAAAATTATCCATAAATATTTTAATTTATTTATAAAACATTGATTCATTTCAGACAACACTTTGTCACTTCCGATATTTTTAAACTTCAAAATCTAATTTAAATTTTGCACGTCGATAAATCACTTTTTTATTGCAATTAAAATTAAAAAAAAAAAAAAAAGAAAGAAAAAAACATGATAAAATTGATGTTTGATTTTTGACCACGTTACATCGTAATTCCCCGGCGTAATAAGAAAATAAATATTCTGTTGGTAAACATGGTAAAGTTGTTGGTTGAAATGGATTCACAAAACAATCGACAAAAGAATAACTCAAGCTGCACTTTACCGAATAATTTTTTTTGTTCATTCTCTCTCTCTCTCTTTTTTTTCCGTCATCTCTATCCATCTTTCATTCTCTCATACACATACGCACACGTTGCCTCTCATCATCTACTTCCATAGCTTCGGAGCCGATCTTTGCTTGGTTTCTCTGCTAAATAACCACGCATTCGATGACTGTTGATTAAATGAAAATAATTAATCCCAATACGTAACAACACTACACTCAATTTCACATTATTATACTCAAATGATACACATTTAATTAAAAATTCATCACTTATTTCAAAAATCTACTAATGGACGAATAAAAAATGAAAAAAAAAACACGAAAGACGCCAATGAAAAAGAATCAACTAAATTCTCTACAATAGATGTATATAAAGAATTAAAATTTAAAAAATAACACTCTTAACATTTAATTAATAATATAAAAAAAAATATATATAAATAATCACAACCTAATTCACTAAGACCTTCAATTAATTATTTATCAATTGTTTACACTATTCACAATGCGATTAATTACCATCAATCATAAATAAATATTATTAAAAATCTATGTATGTGTATATATCAGTATATATATATATATATATATATATTTTGATACCACAATGAAATAGCGTTGAGAAAATAATACGAGTAAGTAAAGAGGAACGTACACGAACCTGATTGCGGGGCGGCGCACCGAATTATGGGATGGTATGCGCTTTCAACCGTCGACGGCTTTAGCTTCACCTCCCTCCTACTCTCGTTGCCCTCTCCTCGTTGCTAAAACTCCCTACGTCTCAAGCACTATACATTATCCCCTCTCACAAATGTTACCTTCCCTCCCGCGCTCTTTTTTCTTCTTCTCACTCACGCTTTGCATCTCCAATTCTCATTCCTCGTCAAATTCACTTTTACTTTCTACCCTAAATGTTTTCTCTAACGTCACTTCTTCAATTCCATGACTCATTTGTCTACAATCTCACTCAAAAATAAAATATCATTTAAAATCATCACAATTTCTTGCTTCTTTTCTATACAGAATTTTTAAAATAACTAAAACTTATTGTTGAAATAATTGATAATTTTTTTATGGAATTAAAATTTTTTTTATTGATAACCATCTTCATATTATTAGAGTCTCCCTCTTTCGGGAGAATCCCCGCCACAAAAGACACTAAGCGCGCGCATCAAGTATCAGGGCTGGCAATAGACAAGTACCGAAAACGAGTGTGCCAAGTATTAATGCACGCCCTTCTCTTTTCTTCTTGTTTTTTTCGTCTCTCGCAACCTAATAGTCATATCTCCCCTCCAAAATAGTTTGTCTCACTCATTGCAAGTATACATATATTCATCGTGGCCCCTATTGCGCTTCACTCGCCCCACTTAATCATCAAAAAATGATACTTGTTCTATTCTTCAGCCGGTACGTCGCGACATTCAATGGGTCCATTAATCATTCACATCTAACCTTATTTTCCCATTGCACTTAATCTATGTGGTTGTTTTGATAACTGTTCTAGGGATGATATTGAGGATCGATCTGACTGAGAACCGAGATTGTTAGCTTAGATTTCAATCGCCACGTGTTTGTTGTTCTCTACGACAGATTGTAGGGGTGGAAGAGGATATCACAATCGCATGCGCCTCGAAGACGATCGATAAAAGACCACCAGGTCCGCTATCGCATGACGTCACGGGCCTGACAGCGAAAAGCCTCGATAATCAGCGAGCAATCCCGATGGTGACCGAGGCCTCTCGAAGCAACCCGCCTTCCATCAGGTCGTAAACGCGACCGACATCCTACCTTCCGTCGTTTTGACGTATCCGTTGTTACGCAAAAATTCGCAAGCTCAATCTCTTTTTATTATATTCCATGTAATCATTAGTCTAGTGACAGAGGACCAACAATTTAAACAGAACCTCAGTGAATCAATAACTGTCATTAACATCAGTGAGACTCATTTTTATAAAACACATAAAAAGCTACGAATATGTGGAAATTATCGGGAAAAAGAAGTATTTAATGGTTGAAGAAAAAAAAGTACAGTGAATTAATGAAATCTAGAGGGTAATTTTAAATTGATATCAATTAGAGTGAAATAAAAAATAAATAAATGAAAAGACAGATTATTTTTGATGATTAATTAAATGAGAATGGTATAGTTGAGTATAAAAAGGTGGCTGTAAAATTAAAAATAAAAATATAAAAGAAGAATAAAAAAAAAATATATAATAAATAGTGTCAAACAATTGCATTGCTGCAGCAAGAGTGGCGCAGCTGAGCTAGAGCAGTGTATACGACGAATCGGTGAGACCATATACAAACGGGTGGTTGGGTGGGTGGTTGAGCTAATACGACCCACAGCCCTACATTCAAGAACGACAACTAAGTAGTGCAGGTTAACCTCTATAAGTCTACACACCCTCGTTGTATTTTTTCACTTTATTTAGCTGCTTTAACATCAGAATAGCATTTTTATTATCATCATAACCTACTTATTTAAGAAGGCCTAATAAAAAATAGCATGAAAGTTGATTAATTAAAGGGGTTGAACGAGAGTTAGGGTTGGGAGTGGAACGGGAAAGTGACAAAAAGTGTGAAAAAAATCAAGTGGTGACGCGTAGAAGGGAAGAAGAACGTCCCCGTGTTGGGGGTGGAAGACGAGGGGTGGTGGTGTTTGCTGGATCTCCAGTTGGATCACCATCATCTAGTGTGCCAGGTTACAGTGAAGGCATTGGAAGAATACCAGGTGGATATTGTGATGTGTTGGAGCCCTCAAGTAGCCATCGATCACGCGAGATCGTTGGTCGATCGGTCGTGAGGGCACCAGGGATTTTACCAACGGCCCGCGGGCTGGCCGGGAGTCCGGGTGACGACGAGGTCGGTGGAGGATGGTGTGACCTCCGTCGTCATCCCGCACGTAGACCTGGCGGTGGTGGTTTCGGGACAGAACGTCTACTTGATTCTGAAGAAGACGAAGAAGAAGACGAAGAAGCGGAGGAGGGGGAGGAGGTGGGAGAGGCGGAGGACGAAGAGCTGGCGATGTCGAGGCAGCCTCGTGGAGATCGGGAATTGAGTCGAGATTTGAGAGATAGAGATTTACGTTCTGATCATCGGGATCCTGATCACGTTGGTGGTAGACGGCATCGAGATGTTGATTTCGAGTATGAACATAGCACACCTGGTGCTGCTGCTTCTTCAACACATCCAGTAAGTATATTTCTATCTCATGTCTTTGATTTATTATTTATATCTTTAGATGATGTTTTTTTATTTTTTTTTTTATAAGGAATATCAAAAATTAGAGGTTTGCGTTGACTTGCAACGGTTTTAACTCGGAGGGAGACCCGGTTTGTGGGAATGTAGGTCAGTGTATAAGCTTGTAGGAACATAAGAGGTGCGCCGACTCAGGAGAGTAAAGGGATAGTCCATGGCCGAACGGGTTTCCTCTCTCGCACGTGCCCTTTATCATTTTCTCTCTTCCTGATTCTCTGCTTCTTCCAAGCCTTCACTTTTTGCAATCTACTCAGAAGTATCTATTGTCAAGGTTACTTGTTTTATTTTAGTCTGTTTTTCTCTCTCTCTCTTTTTCCCTCCTCTCAACAGAAATGGCAAATAGTCTAGTGCACTTGCACACCTGCCTTTAAGTAACGTAAGGCTAAACAAAAAAATCCAACATCCTCGAGGCAAATTTTGTGCAAAGAATGTCTAGAAACGCCCATCCGTCTTTTTAGGATTGTCGAATTATTTGTATTCTCAGAAATTCATGTCAGTTGTCAGTTTAACTTTAATTGTACTAATAGTATGTTTACTTGAATTTTTACACACATTAAGTGATTCTAAGAAATATTTTATTAATCATTATTCATTAGAATATTTAAAGAAAATCATATATAAAATGGAAATTAATCATCTTTGCAATTCAAATTTTTTTTATTCAATACAATATCATTGTTGTAATAAATGTGATAGAGATGGGTCTGAGGTTCAATTTAGGCGAATATCAAGCTCGTAAAATAACTAATGAGCAGCCGCAGGGATTACTTAATGACGCATGGTCAAATCTATATAAATCCTGCATTTGAATATACTGATAAATTCGAATGATGAACAAAGAAAGAACAAAATAAATACGTACATATCGTAAAAATTTAGGTATTGTAAAGAAAAAAAAAAGCCGTTATCTCAAAATTAACTTGAAACTCAGCACTTGCGAAAGACGATTGAAAATGCACGAAACCGGTCTGATGAGGGATAATGAAGTTTAAAAAAAATTTTACTCACATTTAAACCAAAAAGGGGCAGCAATCAAAAATATTTTTCTTGTGATGTATAGAGAAAAAGATTTGTGTATATTTAATGTCTTCTTGAACATCTGAAGACTTTCTATATCTACGTAAACTGACAGCTAGATCAAAAGTTTTTACATTTCTTTAAGTAAATGTCGTGTCTAAATGTATATATTTTAAAAAATCCAACTTACCTGATCCTTTTTTTCAACCTGGTCATCTTTTAGTCAGTCTTAAAGCTTTTGACTACAATTGAGCTTCAGGTGCATACCCTAAATTGAACAGGTTTATGGATAAGATGATGAAGGATGGATAGACAAAAGACTTATTTCAAATACTAACATAAATACTGTAAATTTTTGAATATTTTAACGTCACTCTGTACATTGTTTTTTTCCTTCCTTTCAATTATATCTGTAAAATAAATAAAAAATAATCAACAAAAATTAGCAGATTAAATAATTAAATCAGCTTAGTATGACCTATTGAAGTATTATTAATCATTTCTAGAAATATTATTATTCCATTCTTTTCACTCAATATTATTATAATTATTAGGAATTCCTATTCAGATTATTAGAATGTCGTTTTTATGAGCTTGTAAAAAGTGTCATTCAAATTATCGACTCGATGATAGAAAGAAAATTTTGAAAAATTAGTTTTAGAAATATTCTTGATGAAAGAGAGAGTTAAAATGACATCTAGCTTTTTGGAGCATTCAAAAAAAAAATATAATAATTAATGTCTAACTTAAATTCTAATTACTTTTAAAATTATTTAATGTAATCATTATTTATAAGTAATTATTGTAAATAATTTTTTTGTATTACTTTTTGTTGAATTTTAAAAAATAACTTGATCCATTGGATGCAAAATTGCGAAATACTGGTGAGGTATGACCGTCTGGTGGATGTCGAATGCTGATGATCCTAAAATTATAATAAAAGTTGCATGATTATGATTTTTCGGATTTAAGTATCTCATTTAAAAAAGTCAACCGAAACGGACATTTTGAAATTTTAATACTTTTATTTCGTTGTAATATCGACAGATGTTTAAAAATAAATTGTAACGAGTAAAACCGGAATTGAAAAAAATAAATAGAAAAGTAATTTATAGTATTGGTATAATAATTCAAATGTTGGATTAAAAAAAAGGACTTTTTAATGAATAATAAAACATTTATTAATAAACCAGTAAATTTAAGAACAAATAAAAACACCAGAGTTGTTTGAAAAATATCTATTGATAACGATAAATTTAAAAATTATTTTATATTAAAATATAATTAAAATATTTATTTATCAAAATTCATCTGTATAATATTTAATGCTCTATTAATATTAAATTGTGTAAAAAAAAAAAAATATCTTCCGGGATTGATTGGTAGGAAAGAGAAAGGATCAGCTTCTGTATTTATCTCAGACGTTGTAAAATATAATAAATAGTGTGAGAATAAAAATGTACTTAAGTGCACATTGAATATGTAATTGGATGAAAATAATAAACGGTCATTGATAAACAGTATTTATTAATTAATAATAATCTAATAGTTATCTATGGTGAAAGTTGATTATAAATAGAGAAACTCCAATATATAATATGCATTCTGATATATAATCGACGTAAGTACATAAAAATATAAGCCGATTGGTAATATAATTTCGGGTTGCAAAAGGTTACTTGTTCTAGACATGAATGATAATTAAAAATCGAACGGCGGCTTAATTTTAAAATCATGTCGTTCTCGTATTACCTACGGGTCTGCGCACACAGCCAATAAGCCACTTTGGGAAATAAAAAAAAAAATTTCTTTTTTTTTTCCACTAAAATAAGAAAGAGAAGGATTGTATAAATAGAGATGAGAATACAGATTCGGTATAAAGTTTAAAAGTGATGGGTGGTCAACTGCTAATAAAGAATTTATGTTGCTCGTTACCTGCTGGTACGGTTTTCTACGAAATTAGCGTCGATTACAGCTGGGTAGAGCGCAGCACACGGGTAAAAAGACTTAAAACCTGATAGACCAGGTAGGAATAGGTGCAGAACGCGATTAAGTGAATTCATGAATAACTTAATAATAAAAACGGCAGTTTGGATAGAGCACCTGGCTACAATTCCTCGTCTGTCGATTACCAACTTACCATACATGTTTGCCAGTGTATGCACAAAAAATGCCCAAATAATTATGAGAATAAATGTGGTAAATAGTCGATGGATGACGATGATAGTCCATGGATACTTTTATGTTATTATTATTCATTTTTTTCCAATCATGATCACGATGAACAGCATCCTTGTTGTTGTTATTATTATTATTATTATTATTATTATTATTATTATTAATATTGCTGTTGGTTGTTATTGATTAGTAAAAAGTATTCACTACTTATTACAAACTCAATAGTCAGACAAACCGTTAAAATCTTTCAGATAAAAATCTATCGTATCGTCCATAAACGATGCTTGGGAATTCTCAGCTCGACGAGGCATGAAAATATGTCGGAGCCATTAATACCCGCCTTTGCCTACTTATCTCTATCTCGTTGCGACAAAAAAAAACCACTGAGGACATGGTCCTGCAATTACGTCATCAGAAATAAAAAAAATAATATAAAAAAAAATTATAATCAATTTATCAATATTTTTAATTCTTTAGTACCTGAGTGTTATAAATCATTAAATCCGTATTATTAAGTTATTCTGTGGGAAATGAGTATTGAACGTTACACACACATACACACGTGATCATTGAAGCGAAGATTTGTACGTAAAAAGGGATGAGGGATATAATAATCCGACAATCACCCCTTGCAAATACTCATGACATTTTTAGCTAACGGATTTTTCGAGTTATATTTGTGTTTCAATTTTAGAATTATTTTTTGGAGTAATTTTTTTTTTATCTAGTATTTGTCCAATCAAGTATTGATAAATTACAGATCAATCCTTTTATCAATGTGTTCCATTTAATTATTCAATAAATTGGCTCCTCTAAATTCCCTCAATCTGAAACAAATATTTAAATAAGTTAAGTAAATTTATTCATATTGAAAAAAATAAGCAGTCAATTGTTAATGAAATGATTAAAAAAAAATTTCCCCTAGTATTTATAAAATATTCTCTTTAGATATATTTAACTGTCATCAATTCAATATTGGTATTTGCTGAACACAAATTTATTCATTATTAGTTAATTTGTATTGACTAATATTGAATGTGAACTTAATGTAAACTTAATCTATTAAACATAACAGAATCAATACTCTGCCTACACAATAGTTAAATTATTTTCATATATTGTTATTTCAATAACACTTACGTTATTTAATTTATTAACTAATTAACGAAATATCTATTGTAGAGAAAGAGAGACAAAAAAAAGAATGTTTGAAAGAGAGAGAGAGAGAGAGATAGAGAGTAAATAGATTTGACTGGGGTATTTCGTTTTCATAAATTTTTGAGTTATGGTCTATGAAAAAAGATGATAATGGTAATTGGGATGGTGAAACCTCGGTGGAATTGTTTTAAAAAATGGTCGAGGTAAAGGCAAAAGAATGTAACCAAGTACTTTAGCAGAAGACTGAGTAGGTAGGCCAGGCAGGCGGTCAGGTAGTTGGTAGATATAATTCGGGAACGTAAAAACGAAAAAGTAGGGGGGAATAAGAAGAGAGAAAAAGAGATGAGGGAGAAGAGCGAATAAGAGATGACTATTTGGTTGTGCGTAGGTATGTCGTGATGCTCAAGTATGTTATGGATGTATGTATGGTATATAATGTAAGAGTAGTAGAGTATACACTAAACTAGGTATATAAAAGTGAAATAACTACCCTATACCTGATGCAAGATGTATGCGTATATATACACACAGATGTAACCCGACGAAATGGGTACATAAGCTCCGGTCCATTTGGGATGCCAGTTCGTCCCTTACCCTCCACAGTTTCTCTTTCCCTATATCGTTTTCTTGTTGGCTCGTCCTTCGGGTCCTGCCGCCGGCACGAATCTTTATACCGTTTAAGTCTACTCGCTGGACCTCTTTGTTTCTTTCCCATTTACTTGTCTACCTGCAGATCTTTCTTTTCTAGAATCATTAAACAACAATCGTCATGCAGAACTAGTGTATTTCAATTCTTTTGTTCAAACCTCATGGGTAATGGCTTTTTATGCATTTTAAGCTTTCAACTTACCTAGAAACGCAGGTGCAATAGATCCATGTTATTACATAGATAAATGATGAACATGTACATTAAATAACAGACCAACAGATCAATCTTTAAACCCCCAAAAAATAGGATAATAATTTGTACGTTCGTCAGATGGCGTCTTTCGTGACCGGTTCGTATTATATCGAGTAATCGGTTTCAGCAAGAAATTTGAATTCAAATGCGCTTCGTCCTGTATTTATTTTTTGTACCTGCTTCTAAGTATACTCTGACTACATTTCAAATTTTACTTCTTCTTTTTTCGCGTTAAAAGTCCTTTTGATTATACGTATTAAAAGTAATTCTCCATAAGGTTCCAATAGTCGATTGTAAACTCTCTCCTTTTTCTATTATTCTTGGAAATTATGTATGTATTCATACGTGTATATATATTTTTATTCTCTTTCTCTCTATCTTCCTCGACGTTTTTCTCTCCTACCGACTAATAAAGCCCGTCGTACGGGTTTCAAGGTCCTTTAGCTAAAATTCTTTTGCTCATCATCTCCTGCTGACTCTTTCTTTCTTTATTCGATATAAATTTACTTGCGTCTTACAGAAAATAGTAACAGATGTCTTGTATTTAATTAAAATTCTCGGAATCATCTATAGACCGGTAATTATATTAAGTGTATATGTGACAGTACATCTTGGAAACCTAATCAGCTTAAATAATTAGAATTATGTAAACAATATTCAATTATATTATTCATGAAATACTCATGCATATTGAGTAATTCAATATTACCAAAATTTTATCTTTAAATTACCACCACCATTATTTTTATCCTAAAACCCATACCTAACTTACCTGAATAAGTACACCAAACATTTGGTTAGAATTTCCAATTTTGTAGAGTTTACTCGTTAATCAGATTACGCCAGTTTATTTATTCTATTTCATCAAATGGTAGACCTTTCATTTCCATGTTTTGTATTTCCTGGATTAGAAAAAAATAATTCCACTTTCGTTGGAGTATCAAGTCTTGGTGTTGTTCTCCATAATTTTACTCCAATTTTCAATTCTTCCTTCATGATTCCCATGAGTATGGTTTCAGGGACAAATATGACAAACTGTAACAAAAAAAAAACATAAATTCATAAAACGAATGTGTAAAGGATCAATAATAATGATAGTTTTCAAGAAAACGAAAAATCGTTTGAACCATTTTCAGTCACGTTTGAGCTAGTAGTAAGTTGAACAAAGGTAAGTGTAATCTCTGAAGTGTAAGAAATCTCACGTTAAATCTTTTGTAAAGTAAAGAAAAATACATATTACTATTTATCTAGTTTTTCAAAATCATTTTAAATTGTAATAAAGTACTGGTTATGAAAGCATAAAGTCAGCAGATTTTTTGGGGGAATAGAATGTTGGCAAGTAATATAATGCATATGAATGTGTACAGTAGGGATGTGTTAGCAGTTGTGCTGGTACATTGAGTGAAGTTTAGGTTGGGTATAGGCTAGCAGGCTTTAATGTGGTCCCACACATCAGGTGCGGGGGTGTGATGAATCCTGGTAAACTGAACGACTTGACTCGCATCAGTTGTGCACCACGGTGTCGCGCCATTTCTCTCTCGCTCTTTCTCTTGTGCTCATCTTTTTAGCTGAAACCTGAATAAGAGAGAGGCAGTAATCAGCTGGGCATAGTGGTATAAGAAGGAAACGCGTATGGAGATGAAAACGAGAGCGTAAACGCAGAAAAGAACAGATGATTGAAAAGGATAGACTAAACTTATGGCAGAAGGGGGGTAAGGAGTAAGAAAAGACTGTGGTCAAAGTGACGAGGGTATGATGTTCTCCTTAATACTCAACAGCAGGTATATTTTCTCACTTGTTCTTTCTTCTGACTCTCTTATGCCTCGGTACTTTTGTTCACTTTTTACATATTTTTTATACTCGGTCGTTCTTCTTTTTTTATTTTTATTTTTGTACCGGAGCTTGTCCACGTTGAGTTATAATGGAGGAATTTAGAGAATTTTTAGTAATAAACTTTTAGAGAGGCGTCTTAACTCAAGTAGATAAAACCAAGCGTATGATCCTGAAATTACAGGCGAGGTCTAATGGAAGGGCTTACGCATTCACGGAGAAGAAATGTGATCGTGACAACCTCCAGTTGGTCAATTTAAGTGTTCCCCCAAGAAGACATAATGTTGTAAGTAAATTAATTAACAAACAAAAAAAAAAAAGATACTACAAAATTCAATTAAACAGCAATTATTCAAATTCATTTACTGCACTCAATTAATATTAAATAAACGCCAAAATTCATCAATTGTTACCAAGTTTTTAGCTTATTGGCATTCTCAAAAGCTTTGTTGCACTCATAACTTCATTGCTTCAACTCGCACGTTTAACAATAAGTTTTAGAAAATTTCCAACTTTCTTATTTTGAGTATGAAATTTATGAAAAATGAGTTTCAATTGTTTTGTGCATTACAAGCGAAAATGGTAATTTTAAAGTAACCCCAAGTCTTACTAGAAATGACTCCCGAAGTGGTCCATTTTCTCGGTAAATAGCCAACAGTTTGTAGAGTCGAAAGTCGGGTCAGGTTGAAGCTCAAGTTGCTCGTCATTTATTGGTTTGGGCTATTTTCATTTTTCTCAACGTCTTTTATTCTTTATTTTAACCGTGTCAGAAAGTTTTTACCTAGGACCTAGACATTTTTCATTTCATGCAAACAATTTTCTATTGTTATGAAGTAAATGATTTTTTGGAGCTCCATAATCCTTAGAAAATTTGTTAAAGTTAAAATTATTTTTTAGCCACAGCTGTGACTAGTCTACTTGGTTCTTTTTTTTCCTTTTTTTTTATTGCTCTTTAGAGACTGATAATTATTAATTTGAATTGAGAAAATGAAAATATTAAAAAAAAGTAAACTCAAAACAATAACTTGAGGAATTAAAGAACTCTTCAAGGCTTCATCAAATCCGTAATTGAATGAAAATAAATCAGCTTTTTCTTAATTCTTAAAGCATGTTTAGATATCTTAACCCAGCCTCTTTCTTATTCTTGTTGGTTTCTTAGCTTATATTAGCTCTACTCTAAGCACTAAAGCGTCAACTTGCTCTCTATTCATTGGCCACTATGCGCCGAAACAAAACGAAAGAGTGCACACGTCTCTCAAGGATAACGACTATGATCCCAAGCTTAATACCCACCGCGAGGATCCAACACCATATTTTTTGACAATTGAATTTATTTCAAACATTTTTCCTCTTAACTTTTAATCACTCCTTTATTTTTGAAATATTTCGTCCACCAAGTAAATAATAAATGATATGAATATGCAAAATATCCTCGGAATAAATAATAAACAATCTGAAAACAAAAAAATAAAATTAATAATCGAATCATTCTTCACTTATTCAGTAAATGTAAATTAATGAGGAAATGATAATGAGAGCTGAGTAAAAAATTATTTTTAAAATAATACATGACGTAAATAAATGAATGCATGGAATAAGGATGAATAGGAGAAACTGGAGAAAAAAAAGATTATAAAGGGTTGGGCCACAAGGTGCAGTAAGACGAGACAAGAATAAGAGGAAAGAGGAAAGTAGAAGAGCGAATCAAGTAAGCAGACAAGGCATAGCAGGCACGATATAATACAAAATCCGTCGAATCGGTTGGCGATGCCATACTGACCTTGACTAGGCCCCAAAGTTACGGTGGTTGGGGTGTTGCTCGCTATTTCGCTCCTTAGTTGAGGGCCCTATACCCCCTTTACCGCTTTACTCCCCTCTCAGTCATGCCATCAGACCCTGTAGTTCTGCATTCGCAGACTCCTCCATCAAGGACACTACAAAAAGTACATTAGACGAAAACACGTTGCCATTATACGCGGCTTAAACTCTATGTTCTTTAGCAACCATTACTACAACACTCTCACTTGTGCTACCTTGTTTTTTTTCTTCTCTTTTTCGCGCCATCAGTACCTGTAGCCAAACCTTTACTTTTTGTCTCTTGCTGTAGCACACTAAAGTCTGTGTAACTATAAAATTACTAAAACCTTTCAAGGTATATCTCACCTTCGTTTATCATCAACTGTTCATCTCCACCATCTCCATTATTCTATTATTTATTCAAGTCTTCCAGAGGTTAACAATTGTTGTTAATATCATCAACATCTTCATAGTAACGTTCATAATTATTCCTTGTTTTAATTTTCCAATGAGAAAAGACCATTTTATCTCAAACACAATTTAATCTTTTTTGTAATGTGTGGCGTATCTCACTCTCCTTCACAAGATCAAGGCCATCTTTTGTCAGAGCGATGACTGAGCTATTGATAGTTGATTTACAGACGTTATATAATTGTAGTATTTTTGATATTATTAAATTTTCTAAATCAGGAATTTTGTTGAGATTGTACTCTTAAGATTTGACAGTAGATATCAGTCTAATCTATTCTTTTGTTATATTTGAGTATCGATCAATTTATCAAGTACATTAAATAGCTGTAGGTAAAACGACAAACCATGTAAACAGGTTTCCATATACGGTTGTTGTCTCAACAACGGCATACATTTCAGTTGCAGAGACGTGAAAGTTTATTGGTTACTTACATATCTCCAAATTATTCATAAATCACAGTAACTGAATCTAGAATATGAATGGCTTTTACATAAAATGCCATCATTTTTCTTTTATTTTATTCATTTCATACGAATACGTCAATAAATTCTCCATGATATTTCATAATTTTTTAATTAGTTTCACTTAAAATATCATTAAAATTTTTAAATTTAATATTACTATTTAAATAATAATTTAACGAATTGTTTAATTTAACGAAATATACAATGTATTTGTTTTAAACATCTCGATGATTATGAAACGACATCTAGTGGCTAGTGTAGGTAACAAAATCAATCTCAGCTTGAGACAAAATAGAAATCTTTCTTACCGACGGTAACTTATCTACAAAATTTTGGTGAGCTTTTTTGATTATCAAAAGAATTAACGCTTTATAGTGGAAAATTGAACTTGCAAATATAATTAACGATTAAATTCATCAATTTTAATGATAAATTTTTTACAATAAAATTTCAAATAATCTGTGGATGATCGTGGAAATATAATTAATTGATTGATTGATTAGTAAAGTTAATAATACTCAAATAAAAAGAATACGTATAAAGATTAAATAGTAATAAGAGGGGTAAAGGCATGTTGCTGGCAGAGTGGTAAAACCAAGTTTATTTATAGCTGAGGAGGTTGCGTTGCGTTCCAAAATGATCAGCAATCGCAAGGGCTAGACAGTCACCAACAAGTCAACGCGTTTATAAGATTCGTTTGAGCTCAAGATCGATGTTACATCAACGATTAACGTCAAATCATAATTTATATTTCCTTCTCTAAAAACAAAATAGTATGCTGTAGAAAAGAAAAAAATGAAAGTTCTATTAAAAAAATCCAATGATGCCTGTGAATGTCATTGAAAGAATCAAAGCACACATTCTTATGAAAAGACTTCTGTGAACTATTACTTATTTAATTTTCTTTTTTGTCATATTTTTTTTTTTGAAAAGTACAAATGATAATCTATGATGTGAGGGTGGAAAGTAAATAATAAAAATAAAGCAATGGCAGTGATTAAAAGACAGATGACAATGATAGACAAACAAAGCTGACAAAAGTTAGTATTAAATTGGAATAGATTCCATTAAAAATAATAGTGATATTTATATTATAATTAGTTGAAGTTGTGTAATAGTTAATTTAAAAATATGGCACATCATATGCGAAGACCAATGAGAAGAGAGCAATATAAAGCATTTGGAAGAAGAAAGGTAAAGAACAAATTAATGTGTTAATGCCTTTTAAAGATAAAAATAAGAGAGAGAAAATTCTAGTTATAATGCAAGACTTTTCAATTTTATTTAAATTGATGATAATTTTAACTGATAAGTAAATAGTTTAATTCTAGAAATAAAAAGTGAAACATTCCATTAGTCAACATTCGAGTTCTGTGTTATTATTATCATCAATTATCAATTCATAAAACGGGTAATTTACAAACAAGTAATTGTAACTAGTGTTACAACAAAAAAATGTCACTTGGTGATATTTATTATTGTTAAGGATTCTATGATGAAGTTTAATTAATTATTAACATGATACCTCTGGGACATGAACACTAAAACACGAAGCTAGTTGACATAGTTTCCAAGAAGTTTGCTGTGTTTGGATTGCCATTAATAATTAAAGAAGTCAAATGTTTTCAAAATTACCATACTAGTTTCAATCGTGCTAATGAACATTTCTTCAGAATTTGATTCAATTAATTTGACACACTCGAACTACCTTAAATAAACGAAATTTTATTGTAGGATTATTAGATGATAATGATGATGAAAGAGTTTTCATCATCAAAGTGACAGTAAATTTAAGAAAGATCTTTTTAAGAATAACATGACATTCTTTTAACTCTAAACATTACAGTAATATTTATACTTACTTGTTTTAACATCAACTATTATTTTTTATCTTCAATTGAATAAAATTCTGCTTTAATTAAATTCACGTTCATAATCATTAGTTATCATTCGTTATCTGCATAGTGATGATAAAAATAATGTTTCCAAAGTTGTACTTCTTCTGAAAATTTATCATGTCAATGTAGTTCATTAAGTTGAATATACTGACCTCAAACTGTCATTTAGACAAGTCTAAACGTAAATTATTAAAAAGTTGATATTTAATTGTCTCTACGACCTGTTACAATTACAATCTAAAACATGTATATACTTTGAAGAGAAAAACAATCAAGTGTAATGAAAGATATAGTGAAAGTGATAAGTTAGACAATTGGAAGTCGTCTCAACGTGGGTGCAGTGGCCGCGATCAAATACAATTGAAATATCACATCATGACATACAGGGTGTAGAGGAAAGTTAGAGAATTGGATCGATATACATAGTACAATGTGGCTAACGGGTGGTCGAAGGGGGTGTAGGTGTTTTCGCGCTACCTCCATCTTGTGGCAGTCTTGGTAAAAACTGATCCAGTGATATCGAAACATTGGAAAAGATTAACATGTTTCACTACATTTCCTTTAAAAAGAAATATTACACTTTTATATTATGCGTTATTTAAATTCTTCATCATGCAAAGACACTTAACCTTTCAGTTACATCAAGTGTATCTGAAAACATGGACGTTTTTTTAATAGAACATCAAATCAACGAGACAATAGATACTCTTAATAAACAGTTCTTTATTAGTGTCTGATATCATTTTGAACCAATATCCTACGATTTGTGATGGGTTATTAGGTCATGAGCTTAATTACGGAAATGAGATTTTCCAAATAACCTATACATAATCTTAAATTAGACTTTTTGTTGAGTTTATTGATGGTATGGTATTTTGTTGTGTATGAATAAATAATGGAAAATCGAGAGATTAAGGTAAAAGGGCGAGTCTCATCTAGCCGGGGAAAACAAGGGGTCGTTGATTCAATCAACGACGCACGAGGATTTAGATAAAAATACGCATGCGTCTGTGTTAAGAACATATAGATATACATATCCTAGTTGTACGTCGGCGCTGAATCGTCCGTTACCCTCACCCTTATACGTTTAGAGTGCTTTTTCATCCAACTTTTACCCTCAGTTCGGGAAAATAATTTCACCATGACTCTTCTTCCGTTTTTCCTTCGAAGAAATAACCTCTTATACCAATCTGACCTCAAGAAATTCTGTGATTATATTTTTTAATAAGTCAAATGGAAAGAATAAAATTGTACAGCTAATAGTGATGAATAATGTTGTCTAATTATTTAAAAGTGTATAAAGATGTTGCTAATGAAAAAGTGACAAAATAATAGATAAAATAGTGAGCGCAATGCGGTATGTACATGTAGAGTCGGTAAATGAAATGTCGGTCAATGTGTCTTTTTGGGGCTATGAACTTTGCCATGACTATAGATTGGACATTATCAGTAACTGCGTAACAATAAAACGTAGGTGTAAAATCCACCTACGTTAAAAAAAGTGTTTACAAAAAGAAAGAGAGCTGCGCGGTAGCAATTGCTTACTGCGTGGCTCTACATCAACAATGATAGGATATAATCAGCATAATTCTGGCTACAACAAGCTATTTACACAGGTAGATGTTTATCTTACTTAACCCTATAAACAAAAATAACTCTGTTCAATTCCCTTTTGATAGAAAAAAAAATAAAAAATTAATAATAATACTTCTTTACATCAAATATTTGTGATACTGACCTCAATGTTCATACGCCGAGTGAGTGCACGCGGATGGCTACAGTTATTTGATACTCAATAGCCGGTTGAGAAGCCATGAGAGCATTTAAGCAAAGGAAAATCAATCGAGTGTATATTGAATAAAAAATCGATGTTCTTATTTTTAATCAGGTTTAAATTAAAAATAATAATTAATGCATAAATTGTTGTCAATACGCGCATGAGTACAGTTGTCTTGGCATTTGGCATTTATTCAAGAACTTTCTGGGTAAAACAGGGTGAGTCGAGGCCGTTGCTATGGCTACCGTTACCCTCGAGACGTCTGAGACGTCTCCTAAGCGCCATCCTCTATGCTTTAATGAAATTTTTCTACTCTTCCGTGTCCGTTCCACTTCATGTATGTAATGAATTGAGTTCTTCGGATGTTCACGCACCTGTAGCATCTATTAGATGTTTCTTTATTAGGTTAAGATAATTGATTCAAAAGACACTCAGTAATCAATCAACTTTTTATTGCCTAGTTCATTTTAACAATTGCTTATATTTTATTATTTATGTTTATTTATTTTTAAATCTTCTTTCAGGGCTCAGCGGACTCCAATTATTCACAACCAAGTTCCGATCTTTCTCTGGACGAAGAAAAAGAGAGCTTACGTCGTGAAAAAGAGAAAACAGCACTCAGCCAGCTTGAAAAAGCTCGAGTAAGTAAACAAACTGTTTGGAAGTTTGATCAACAATGAAGCCAAATTTAATAAAATAATTTTATTTTATTTCAACTAAACGTTTTTATAAATGTTCTAGACGAAGCCTGTAGCCTTTGCAGCCAGAACCAATGTTAGCTATGATGGATCCATTGACGATGATTCGCCTGTCCATGGATCTGCTGTTAGTTTTAATGTTCATGACTTCCTTCATATTAAGGTTATTATTGAACAAAATTTCTATTAATATATATTCTAACGTATATAGATAAATTTATAATAATCTTTTGGTTTTTCTTTTATAGGAAAAATATGATAATAACTGGTGGATTGGAAGGCTCGTGAAAGAAGGTTCTGACGTGGGGTTCATTCCATCCCCCGCTAAGTTAGATGCCCTCCGAGTCCAAGCAAGTGCGGCACGTGGCACAAAAGGTTTATATTCAGCACGTGGTGGATCATCGAGTAATCTTGGGGAAAGTGGAATGCCATCGCGTGGGTCGACGCCACCTACACCTGGTGCGGAAGTCAACACTTGAATCAAATTAGTTTATTTTTATTTTATTTCTTCCTTTTTTTCATTTTATTATTATATTATTATAATGTGGTCATTTTTATCCACAATATTATCAATTCAATATTTGATTTTTTCGTGGAATATGACTCCATAAATAACATCAATTCGTCAATGAAATAGTTTGAATGATATTTTTATAATAATCGCGATGTATTTTGGAACTTAATAAATAGCTTGATACTATTTTGATTAGAATATAAATTAGATTATTAAACAAATGCTTGCAAGAATGAATAAATATTTAAATATTCTGATTGTTTATGTTAGGTGATGATAGCGACAGTGTTGGCAATGTGAGACCTGGGAAAACAACGTTAACTACTCCGCCTGTCAAAGAGAAACGAAAGAATTTTTTTAAGAAGCCGGTAAAATAATATTTATTAATTGGAAAAAAAAAAAAAATGAATTAATTAATTTTATTACTGATGAATTTATATTTAAGGATAATCAAAATTTAATTATTTATGTCTTTTTCAAATTTTCAATGCGTTCTATGGAATTTTTAGTCTTACGTAAGTTCAATTTTTTTTATTTATTTTTTCTGAAAAATGTTTCTATTATTTTGAACATTTATTTCGATACATATATTAATATATGTTGTAAATAATTAACAATTTATAAACAAAGAGCTTGCTAAAATTATCTTTTTACAGGAAACTACAACACCATACGATGTTGTTCCATCAATGAGACCAATAGTTATAGTAGGACCATCGTTGAAAGGATATGAAGTCACAGATATGATGCAAAAGGCGTTATTTGATTTTTTGAAGCGAAGGTTTCCAGGACGGTAAGAAAAATTTCACTTTTTATTATTAAAATTAATTTATAAGAGTTTATAAAATATTCTTTTAGAATGATTTAATCTTAAATATTTATAAAAAAATATTATGAAACAATTTGCAGTGTGATTTTCTTTTTTCTAATTACATTTAAAAATTTTAATTAATCTTTATAATAAAAACAATAGTGGTTTTCAGGATAATCATCACGAGGATAACTCCAGACATATCGTTGGGGAAAAAGTCACTATTAAATAATCCGACAAAACGAGCCATTATGGAACGATCAACAAGCAGAAGTAGTTGTTTAGCAGAAGTTCAAGCTGAAATAGAAAGAATATTTGAATTAGCAAGAACACTTCAACTGGTTGTATTAGATTGTGATACGATTAATCATCCATCACAATTAGCAAAAACAAGCTTAGCGCCAATCATTGTCTACTTAAAAATATCCTCGCCAAAAGTTCTTCAGAGACTGATTAAATCTCGAGGTAAATCACAAACTCGACATCTAAATGTACAGATGGTCGCGGCGGAGAAGCTCGCCCAGTGTCCTCCTGAAATGTTTGATGTGATAATTGACGAGAATCAGTTGGATGAAGCTTGCGAACATGTAGCTGAATATTTAGAGGCTTATTGGAGAGCAACACATCCCCCAGTTATGGCAGTTCCTCGAACCATTGCTACAGCATCTGATGCACCAGCAGATGTTTTAGCACCAAGAGTGCCGTCAGGTAATGGTTTAACTTTTCATGTTAATCATTTTTACAACAATTGTCTTTTTGAAAAGATTATTTTTATATTTAAAAATCAAATTACATTTTATATTTATTTCATTATCACAATTACAATCTTTTCAAAAAGAAATTTATGAGGCACAATAATTTATTATAAAATTCTTATCTTATTATTTAATGTTTAATATCATATTTTTACTTTATACAGGCTTTAATGTAAAGCAGTAAATTTTTATAATTACGTGCCGACTCTATTATGTATTTTCTTTCTAGTATTTTTATTTTTCGAGATTCATCAGACGATTTTCGTTCTACTTCTTAAAACATAAGGGCCGGGAGATTAATTAATCAGTGAATCAATGAATAAATTTACAATCATTAATATAATATGAAATTTTTTTAAACAATTAGGCGGCCGACACGACTCTTACTACGCTCACGAGTCCAGAGGTAACAGAAACAGTTACGTTTGTATAAACAATTAAATTACTATTGACATCTATTTTTTTTTAATTTTTTTTTTTTATTACATACTTATTGTCAATGTTGTTACTGTTGTATCAATGTTGCTACATTTCTGATCTTATCTTTTCAATAAACTTCTCTTCACGCTGCAACTTATTTTTTCCATTTATAATTTTCTTGCATTTTGAATGATTGTTAATTGATCGAAAATCGTTACTGAATCTCACGTGTATTTATGAACGCGTTGAATTATTAATTAAATTATTGAGGATATATTGATTGAGTACCCTTAGGGTGCTTTAGTCCTCACATTATATTTATTTTCAGCGGCTATGTATGGATCTACACACTTATATCCACCACAGTGATAAGTGGGACTTCGTAACCCGCGTTAGTCTTTTTCTTTTCTTTTCACCTTTTTTATTTATTTTCTCTTTCTATTTGTCTCTCTTGCTCTCTTGCTCTTCTTTGCTCCATTATGTACACTATCAGTGTTGTATATTTGCTGTACTACCAATTGCTATTTTACTACTGGAGTTTTTTTTTCTAATGTTTTATTAACTATTTTTTTTTTTATCCATGTTTTTGTTTAATTTATAGCTTGACATCTCGTGCGTTCAATTTTTAATTTCACTATCAATTAGCTGCAAGTATCAAATGATTTTGTTTTTTTGTTTTTTTTGTTTTTTTTGAAATAAAAATGAGGGATTTTTAAAGTCCATGGGGGGATAAAAGCAGGCAGGTAAGAGAGGCTTGGGAAGAGGTTTAGAAGAATTAATTAAGCTTGATCTGAGAAGAAATAAAAAAAAAAAATGGTTTCAATGTAAATGAAAGAGAATAATTGATAAAGTCGGCTTGTAAACAATAATTAGCAATTCTAGATTAATTAGAAGGCAAAAGAACCAGTTTTAATCGGAGTAGAGTTAGTTTTTGTGAACTTTTAACTCTTATTTGTTAATATTCTTCTGTTCCCGGCTATCATAAAGCCGTGGACCCTGTGGCTGCTACGGGGATCATCCGGAAAGCAACAAGACTGAGCATAAAGAAGTAAAAAATGGCTCTTGACTGGAATCATCATCGAGATTTTGAATCAAATTGAGAAAGAGACCGTTCGCACCCAACTTGTGAGAGAGTCATCGTTGCCTTAATAGTTCTTCCTTAAAATCAGTGGACCAATTTATCATTGACATGGGATTGTGAATTACTTCATTAGCTGATTGATTAGCTGAAATACTCTAGGGAGAAAGACGAGCACTTCTACACTTGTCTTTTAAAATAGAAATTGTTTTATTGTTAATCCAAAATTAACGCGAAAAGAATTTTTTGCAGTCGCGTTGTAAGTACCGATATGGCTTAAATAAAAAGGAAATGCGCATGATAAACGAATAAATGGTAATCGGGTGCGAATGTGTCTAAATGTGTCTTCCAAATACTACTATCAATTAGATCCCACCGATTTTATCAATTTATTCTGCCCTCTAATTGTTTAAATCAAGTACTGTTCAAACGTTTGGTAGATTAGTCATTGATATGAATAAAATACTTACAATTAGATCATTAGATAGAAATGCAAGGGACGCGACCATGAGATGTTAATATACCTCCAGCTAATGCGGAATTTAATCAGTTCATCAGGCAAATCCACTTAATTTAACCTTCTTTGCACTCATGGGTCTTTTTTATCCTCATACATGCATTCCTTTGTGTAATATTCCCCAGGAGGTTATATTACAAAAGACTTATCCTACAACCTTTATTCTATATTGATTTTCATCGTGACATTCTATTTTTGATGTTATTTTTTTTCATCTTGGGAAATACTAGAAATTCAAAGTAATATTCAAATAAAATCATTTTCTTGAAAATTAAATAACATTATATGACATTTTTATTTTATTTTTTTTTTATTGTAAAATTTTATATTATGAGATTATATTTTACTTTGAAATATTATTTCATTGCTTGAATATATTTTTTCCATCAAAAATAACAATAAAACTTGTGAGTGCAAAAAGAGATCTCATAAATAAATTGAAATAATTCGTTTTTTATAAATTTATTTTAATTATAAAAATGAATATTTTTATTTACCTTGATATCATTTGCATGTTTGTGTTTTAAAATAGCTTTTTTGCAAGACAACCATAAGTGTCATGATACCATGACCAATGACACTAAATAATTGTGTGGAAAAGTGTATTGATATTTGTCATTTGTCCTTGTAAATAATTTAATTTGTAATAATGAAACATAAACTAATGAAGTATTATTGATCAGCAGGACAGAGTACTTATGGTGGAGCACATGCTAGTACAAGAAGATCTAGATTGGAACGAGGTGATCGTGAAAGAGAACGAGAACGTGAGAGAGAACGTGAACGGGATCACGATTATGGGACGGAAGAAGAGCCTTACTTGAGCGGTGGTGTGGACTATGGTAACGTTTCTAGACGTCGTCAACAGCAAGACTCAAGGGCGCTCAACGCCATTTAGGAGCTGGAGCCCCGGGGTTTATCGTTACAACGGTGTCCCCATTTAAAAACTACCGCCCTTTAGGAAATAAATCATTTTAAATGGATCCTTTTTGGAATGTAAGAATGTCATGTATAATTATTACAATTAAGCCTATTTAATTTTGCCTTGTGTAAGTCATTTATCAATATGGAAAGTAAAATTAACTAATGGGACTTTCCATTCGTGTGATATAAATAATATTAAAAATATAAAAATAACTTTTTTATATTAATATCTGATCAAGTCACACAAACTATGTTGAACAAGTTGATGCAAAATAAAAAGACTACTAGTTGCAGAAGATATAAAAGACTCCGATAGCTTCAATAATCGGAAGATATTTTATAAATTATTGCCATATATTACAGATATTTCAATATTTTGCTAAATTCAATCATAATAATCTATCATTTAAAAGTTGAACTCTGATTCAAGAATAATAATCAATAAAATTAGAATTCTGGTGTTTTATTGTTTCATTCAAATTAATGCCCAAGTGTTTCTGATTACTCCATTTTCTCTTACGTTTATTTCTATTGGATAATGTTAAATAATAGTATGTACTTCTTTGTTACAATGAGAAAGTTTCAATTGAAAAACCTGTAAATTAAAAAGGCTTGATTGTATTTTATGCAAACGAAAACTCGTTGATTAAAAATTTGCTCTTGAAGTATATAGTGAATTTATTGACTCACTATACACGACTTCTTCTTTCTGAAGACCGACCAATAAGTATCCAAATGTTATGTTTTAATGATTTTAATGAGAATTTTTTAAATAATTAGATGAAATGCCAAACTCTATGGTATGTTGAAATTATTGAAGATTTATTGTAGATAATTTTTTTCTCGTATAATGAGTCGACTCAAATGATCGCAGAACTCGCGGTCTACTTTTTGATTTTATTAGTTGACAAATTTCCATTTTAGCAACAATATATATTTTTAAGTAATTTTTTTGTATATGAAATATCTCGATAAAACAAAAAGATAAGCCCCCGGGGCCAAAATGTGGTGAAAAAAAAAACAAATTTTTATTGAAAAGACGATAAAAAAAACTCTTTCTTGTCATTTTGTCGATGGCGAACGACAAAAAACGCAGCGCAAAAGTCATGCAATTATACTCTTCATATACGTTTTAAAAAATATTAGAGTGTCCGCGGATCCTTTGGGTCGATTATTAGAGTTAACAAATTGCTCGAACATCTTGTTAAAATTTTAAATAACTAATTCAAAAAGATTAATACTTATATTAAAAAAAAAATTATCTGGCGAGCGACAATTTATTGTATTTAGAATTATTTAAAGTAGTCCTTTTGTAAAGGATAATATTTTTTAGATGACTTAAAAGACACCTGTACCTTATTTATTTCGTGTACCTAATTACAATTTTTATAAAGACATTAATTAAACTAAAATGCTTATAGAGGTGTCCTAGCTAAGTCACGCCTAATATAATAGTTATCATTTTTTTTTTTTATTATATATAATGAGACTTTGTTTCTAAAAAATTTAATTTAAAAAATTTATTAAAACTACTTCTTCATTAGTATAGAGCTTTATTACATAAATATTTAATAATAAATAATAATGCTTTAAAATTATGGAAGGACTACTTTAATAAATGAAAAAGAAAGTACAGCATTAATTTAATTCCTAATTTATCTTCTTTTTTTCTTAATTATATTTATTAATAAATTATTATTAGATTCAATTATTGTAGCTGTAAAAAAAAAAAGATAAATTATTATATATAATAGATAAGAAATGTTTTTCTGTCTAGATGCTTTTTATTTATCATATTTGTTTGAACGATATGTCGATGGAAAACAAAACAACTGAAAAAAACGAAAATTTTTGAATTGTCAAATGAAAAATATTATGAAACAAAATTCAAATTGCATGTTTAGTTTATAATTATTAAATAACAATAAAATGATCACAAAAATCAATATAAATTATTAATTAATGATGATCATCGACAAATAGATCAATATCACCGTAGAAATTTATTACAATATTTTCCAATTTCATCAAAAAAAAAAACGCACACGCTACTTGTGTAAATAGAAAATCATTACGAAAGAATAAAAGTAACAACATTAAGTAACATAAAAAATTATATTCTATGTAAAAGCGAATAACGCGATAAGAAAACGAACATGATCAAGATTAAATTAAAGATAAATTATCTCTGTTGCAATTTTAGCATCAAACTTATTGTATCGAAGCTATTGTAAATAATGTATAAGAATTGAAAATATTGAAGAAAATTTCAGAAGCATTGCGATTTTTAATTAAATAAATGTTTCGAAAGAGTATTTTGATTTAAAAATAAACGTAAACGTTTTTTAAAAAATTTGTCTTTGTGGATAAATTTATAACTTATAAAAATAAGTAAAAATAATGGTGATTGGTAATATAAGTAACTGCAAATCATTTAAATCAGTTTAAATAAATTATTTATTATTAATTTTTATTAATAATATATTATCAAAATTCGAATGTCAAATAGAAATGTTTTGTTACAATCAAAAAACTCTTCCGATAGTTACTTATCAAAATTAAATTTGGTTTTACTCAAAAATGATTTATTGAAATTAAAATCTATGAGATAGATGAAAGAAAAGTTGATTGAAAATTAATCAATCAAATATATCACAAAAAAAAAAGTAAGTGGAATGCACTGAAAAATTTTCTATTCACTTGTTTGCAAAAAATAGTTTGATAAAATTAAGACGAAAAAGTAAAAATTAATTCATTATTTTTGAAGAGTATCGAAAATGATACTCGAAAAAAATATGGAAACGAAATTTGCACATAAATTTTTACATAAATAATTTAATGAAAAAAAAAAAAAAATTAATAACGAAAAAGACCATTCTAAAATATATATCTTAATCATAAAAATTTATTTAATTTTTACAAGTAAAATGATCGAAGGAATTTTTATAAAACAAGCAATAAAATCTCATCTCGATTGTTATACGTAAAATTCCCAATTAAATTCAAATCATTTACATAGTCTGTTATTTATTTAAAAAATAAATCAAGTATAAGATACGATTGTTATCTTGAGTTATTTTATTTTTAATCTTCGATACAATTGAGAAGAATTTAGTGCTTGATTATTGAAAATGAAAAGGAAAATATTTCAAATTTAAAAAGAATTATAAAGAACAAAAAATTTTAATAATACCATTGTAAAGTTTATTTCTTGTTGTTAAAAAATGATGTCAATGCTGTGATGTTAATCTCCGAAATGTAAAACGAAAAAAAAGAAGAAAGAAACAGAGAAACTTAAAACCCTTGAATCTTCCTTCTTACCGTTTTCAAAATAGTTAAGAATCATTTCTGTTAATCTTCTTGCGAAAAATAAATATTTCTATTATCTAAGTGATAAATAATTATTAGAAATAATTTTATGTTCAATTCAAACAACAAAAATTTATTGCATAAAATTTAGCTATATTTATTCATATTTTTATCGTAACTCTTTTTGAAAGCTTGTATCAATCAATTTTCTTATTTATTCTCCACTGGATTGATTCATTTTTAATTATTAAATCGATTTATTGGTAAATTTAATTACAACATAAAAAATGAAAACAATACCAATATTAATAAATTAACAAATGAATTTTATATACAACAAAAGCGATAACTTTATAAATCTTAGAAATATGTGATAAACAAAATCGCTTAATTCTTCAAATGTTTATAGTGATTAGTCTATGCGCAGAACTCATTAAAAAAAAAAAATGAAATTACCTTTGGTACAATTGTTTAGCTTATTATCTAACGACATAGTTTTTTCTTTGTATTGACTTGGTATATTAAATTTATTACGACCTAAGTGGTCATAATAATCAGTAATACATTAATAGCGATCTAAACAAATACTGGATCAATTTCTCTATCTTTTTGTTAACATAATTTTTTTTTTTACAAAATACTCAGTTAAACTTAAGTGTGTACATTTTATCAGTAAAATTTTGCATTTACATCTTTGATAAATTATTTAAAAAAGCTAGAATATTTTTTTTTCTACTTTTATTGTGCATTATTATTAAACTCTTTCAAATATTTTAATTAGCAGTATTACGTACTTTTAAAAAAAATAACATTAAAAATTGTTTCGGAGTTTTTCTCCTAGCTTTTCTCTTTCAAAAACAGATCAGATTAGTCCATTGGTCACCAATTAAGTCTATAAGTCTTAATTAATCATTTAGCTTCACTATGTTATAGATATATAATAGATCTATTCTATGCACACAAACTTCGATGGTGAAATGGACTGAATAGTTTGATATTTACAACGAAAATAGCTTTTATAGAAGCCTAAAATTTACAAAAGAGACTGTTTTTTAAATAAAAAGATAATTTTCATAATTCGTGAAGCCAGATGACGGTGAATGCTTAGGACTTATTGGTGTTGATGGTAAGCTCTGAGGCAATACATTGGACAAATTAGAAGCCCTTAAATTTCGGGAATCCTGACTTGACGACGAACTTGCATTTTTTTCAGTCTGACTTTGATGATTATGATTATGACTGTGTTTATTATTATTAACTTTACTCTTCCCACGTTGTCGAAGCAGTAAGCAATGAGCATTGATAGAAGTACAGTCATTATTAGATTTTGTCTGATCATTCAAACTCTGCTGCGATAGATGATACATCTTGTGGTTCTGTTGATGAAGATGAAGCCGAGATAATGCAACACTTATTGTCGTGTCGGATGCCCACATACTCTGCAAGTTAAGATTACGTCAATGTATTTATTATACAATGAGTCATCATCGCATCAGACAATGATGACGATCAAGAAGGATCTGGTGATCGAATAATGCAGTGGATAAAAAATCTTTACCTTTCTCCTATGTGGGTTGTAGTCTGGATTTCTCCTAATGCGAAGGTGTCGATCGATGCTCGTCCACTTCTGAGTGACTTTAAGTGGCGAATCATCGGGATGTAATTTCCTCTGATACTCTTCACTTTCGCACACTTCATACAGTGAAAATTGTTCAACTCGTTCAGTGGAATTGTAACAATTCAAAAGCATTTGAATTAGTTCGTCCACTGTCGTTCTCTCGGAGATTAGTAGGCTTTTATATTTCGACTGTAATACAAAAAAAACAAAATTAATTAAAAGTTGACGGTTAATTAAATTAAATAGAGTTAATTTTTTTTAATTAAATAAAGTATACTCACTCCCGACATTAACGCGCTGTCATAAATTTTAACTAAACCACCGCGCCTTGTTTGTAATGAAAACCTGCAAGTAAATTAATTAATATATTATTCAATTGGATAAAAGCATCATTTTTATAATAAAGAAAAAAATTGTCTTATTAATAGATTATTGTTGTTTTCTTGTGAAACATTTTTTAATAAGCGTTAAAATAATCAATGTAAATGAGTTTAATTATAAGCGTTTTAATGATAGCAAATGTTAGGTTTTATCAATGTACACTTGTTAGTTAATTGCATGTAATTAATTAGTGACTTTTCACATAAAACTCAATCAAATATATATTTATTACTTCTTGTTAACCATTTGTGAACAGAAATAAATTGCGACTATTTTGGAATAATTTTAAATATAGAAAGCTCTTATCAACTGATATGACTTAATGAGATAATATTTAATTTCTGTTAAATTATATGTAATTAGTATACATCGTTAAATGAGTCAATTACTTGATTCATCATATAATAGAATACAGATGTATCACCAACAAATAAGAAGAAGTGTTTTTTTTAAAAATAAAATACTTGGAAAACTATTAGTCAGTGATAAGAAAAAGTTTAAAAAGCGGAAATATATAATCACAATTATCGCAAGTGCAATAACAGATTAAATATTCAATTTTATTATAATATTCATTTCATAATCTCTACTTAATAAACGTGATTACTACTGTCAAGTTGGTATTTATTTTAATTTTATCGATAAAACTATTCATCAATAAATTAATAATAGTGTTCTTTGAATGCTCATTAGTGAAAGTAACGTTTTAAGAACGACATTAATAATTCGTACAGTGTGCAAAAAAAGTTTAAGTTGAAGGAAATATTACCTTGAATCACCTCGAGGATGACAAGACTGTAAAACAGCAGGTCTGGCGTCTTCATCTAATGGTATAATGGTTCGTACATTGGCTCTTCTAACAGTGACTTCCATTGTCATGTAAAATAATCTTGGATCTCGATGTCTCATGCGGTATTTATTTAGCAAATTTTGTACAACTTCTCGACATGTTGTCTCATACGTTATTGATAAGGTTTTATATTCGATGTCCGGTCGTAAACAATTCGCATATACTTTTATCGTTGTCTGTAAAAAAAAAAAGGAAAATAAGAAACCAATTAATAAAATGTAATAAATTGAATAATAAATAAATGTTAATTATAAATATATTTAAATGTTTTTGTTCATGTTCATATGATGTAGCTTTCACCATTGTTAATATCAGCAGTATTTATGAATAAATAAATGCCTGTCATCAAAAATAAAATTTACTTTCATGAAATCATCTATTGAGAGCAGTCAAGTCTATTTTTCAATCTACCTACGTTCGTAGTTATTATTTTGTATTACTATGTATATGAGATTGTGATAAACTGAGCTTATATTAGCTGTTCATTTCTCTTCTTAAATCAACCTTACAAGAAATACATTGGCTCAAACTCCCCTTGGTATTAACATAAATATTGAGTTCTTGAATCTGAACTGGTTTAAATAGAAATAAAGTAATAACATCACTCTAGAAGATATTTTTTCAGCAACTCTCACTTAATCTTTTGTATCATTATGTTAATGGTGTCGTCTATTAATACACACATTGGTTATGGAGCACAAAAAGAAAATATTGTAAAGTAAAATCGTGAAAGAATTTTTAGTGTTTTTGTAAACATTGGAAATAAATAAGCCTTTCATCAATCCTACCATCATCGTGTTTAAATTATGTTCAATTTAGGTATACACCTGGCGTGAAATTTCACTTAAACACCAAAAAACAGAAAAAGATGTTTGAAAAGGAAACATCCTTCCTTTTGGGATCATTTCCGACAATCAAATTTTTTTTTTTACATTTTTTTTTTGAATTTTTATGGTAAGACATGAGGCTACAACGAAACACCCTTGAAAGAAGCATTGGTAATAATTGAAGTAGTTAAAGCCAGGATAAAAATAAAAAACGGAAGTTTCTTGAGCAGAAAGTGAGACTTGAAATGAAAGAAGAGGGAACTTTGAAAGAAGGGAAACACGAGAGCACGCGCTCAAGAGAGCACGTGTAGACATCCTTTAGCTCCCTTTTGACCCTTCTGTTAACGCTCTGTTGGATCGCTCTTCGTTGTGATTGGCTCCAAACTCTTAATCTTGCTCCATTAATTTACTATTTTATCTTCCCTTGAAATATACTTCCTTCTATTCTTAGTCCATTTTTATGACTTTCATTTCTTTTTCAAATACACTACGGGAAAAATCAGTTCACATTAATGACAAAAATATACTATATTTAAATGACATGTCTTTAATGTTTAAATTAAAAGAAAATTTTTTTTTCCTTTCCTCATACCATTTTTTGAAGTAAATTTCCCAGGTTTATGTGGCTAAAGTGAATACATAAACAATAAAACACTACAAATCCGGAAAATTTAAGTGTTTAATTTTCTCATTAGACAGCTGTGAGGGCTTTCCAGACAGTTGATTGACGAAATCTAAAATATTTGTTTTGGAAAGATTCTTTTCGCAGTTACATTGAATATTATTTTTTAAATATTATTCAGAAATTAGGCTATCAAAATTATACAATCTTGTCAACGACTATTTTTTACAATGATGAAAAATATTATAATCAATTGACATCAATACTCTAATTTCATAATCAAAGTTGAGGTTATGAGTGTGTAGCGTCATGAATTACTTCTCAGCGATGTAAATGGCTATTATAACTATCTAATATTGTTCTAACAGAAATTTGCAACAATATTCTCGATAATTCTTACAACAATACATTTTTTTCAATGCAATAAAACACTCAGTGTTTAATAATAAAACATCTAAGTGTTTACGATGTTGAACGCCATAACCAAACTATAACATTCATCTGCAGAACTGCTATAGTTTATTTATGGCGTTAAAAATTGCAAACAATTCAAGTATTTCATTCTTAAACATTCCGATTTGCAATGAAAATTATGTCATTTACTAAATTTTTTTTTGTTCTCTCTTAAATGTTTAATATCAAAAAATGGTATTTATTAGTAGGTTAGTTATATAAGATGTGTATAAGTAAGTATAATTAAGTAATTTCTCCAAATGAGTAAATGACGGATGTGGGTGTCCAAAACAATTGAAGACCCACATGAGATGCTCACAGTATGATTTACTCTTCCGGATTGGTGTAGTGATAAAGACGTGAAAATAAAGTAAATAAGGCTGATTAAATTGTCCTTGGTATTTCCGGACTCATATAAAGTATAGTCGCGTGATGATGATTAAGAAAACGCAAAAAGTAGCCCATGCGAATGTCGGTGATCTCATTTTCATGAAAAAGTTACTTAAAAATAATTACTACAATTTTAACGTCAAAACCTCTTCATCTTTATTTATCATGCCCAATGAGTAAGTATAATTACAAGTAATTAAAATAAATTTTATTGATTTTTCCAATAAATATCTTCATTATTGGATCAAGTGAAATTATAATAAGACAAGTCAAGTCACTAGAATAACCTTCAAGTTATTTTAAGGAGTCTAAACAGGAAGATGTTTTTCTACCTATTTGAGAAGGATCAAAAGACTTGCGGCTACCGAGGAAAATGAGAAAAAGTTACTTTGTGACTGTCGGCTTATTTTTATAGATACAAAGTCGCCTTGGAAAAGCTATTTAAAAAGGTGAAAAGTGGTTTTACCACTAGAAAAAACACACAGAGGAAATCAAGGTGAGTTGAAGGAAAAGAAATCTTTGAGACCCTTAACAAAATTTTAAAAGTCACTCAAAAAGATTTAATTGTGGTATAGGAAAAAAAAACCTAGCAATTATTTTTTATGCAAGAAGTCAAATTAAATACCTTCATTTTTGAAGTTTGACTTTTCAAGGTAATTATGTTTATGCACCTTTCAATTCACTTTCATTTGTAATATTTTAATTAATTACCATATGCTCGTTTTCTTGCAGGTGTTTAACATTTTTTTCATCTAATAATTAACTGATTAAAGAGGTTAGAACGTTTCTATGATTAAATTGAAAGTCAAGTTAATTTAATAATATTTTAGAAAAAATCATAACTATCATTTCTTCTGGTATGATAATGAAGTTTTGATCAAGAATCATGTGATCTCCATGAAAGCTTATGTATAATTTACTCTAATTGTTAATAACTGTTAAAATGCTTTTAAAATTATCACACTATTTTCAATCGTATTAAACAAAACATTAAACATTTCTTCAAAACTTTATTAAATTAACTTGACTCTCAATTTAACCACATGAATAAAATTTTATAGTAAAATTACTAGTTAATTTATAGTAAAGTTTATCAGCCAAAAAAAATTAAAAATTCCTAGGTTTTTTTTTTAGTAAAAATGTCTAAAAAATAGTAAAGTCCTTTTATTTACTATTTTAATTGGTTATTTTAATTAATAAAAATTTTTAGAACGACTTTCAAAAAAATTAATAGTAAAAAGTACAGTTCTGGTTGGTAAAAATTACCAAAATAGTGATTGACTAATAAAAGTTACTATATAAATTTTATCTGTGCATAGAAATGTTTCAACTTCCTTAATAAACAAATTTACTAGTTGTTAACTGATTTGAAAGAGAAACAAAAAATTAGATTGAAATAATTAATTGGTAGGACACAACAAAGATAACGAAAAAAAATGTGTTTATTCAATTGTTAATGATAAAGTGTCATGTATCAGAGTGACAAGAGCCTATCGTAAGCAAAATATGAATCCTGTATTTGATTACCAGAACTTGATAGTAATTAAATAAAACGATTCGACTCACTTTCAAATAAATAAATGTATCATAAAAAAATGCTCATACATCAAGTTTTGAGTGATGTGTTCGCTTTCACGAGAAAACAACGTGTTTATTAACGTCTATGAGACAATGAGTTGACGCGTCTTTTATTTCTCGTCGCGAGAGAGCCTGGGAGAGTAGGAAATTTATGTTTGGTTGTATACTTGTTGAAATTCCCTGACTACGGTATGATACAATGTACAGTGTATTGCTGGTATAAAATATCCTAGTAAAGATGAAAATTTCGCACGACAATAGACGTTCGTGCGCGTTATAATGCATCTAGAAAAAGAAACTTTAATGTTGATTCGTGCGAACGCATTTTCTTCGACGAAATTACGACCTGTCACACGACCTGGTTTACATAACCCCATAAATTAGAATCTAGTTCCGACATCCGTCTATTTCGGACCAGGTAGATTTTACATTTATTGTCCTTACCAACTACACCGGAGATTGACTAACATCCGAATCGTATTATTTTTCCTTCTTTAATGAAATACACTTTTCAGAGTCACGTACTAATTTTTACATCTATATATATACAGAAATACCTAACGATTTGTACTAAATTCCCTAAGATATTAAAAATCACTCATCTCTAAAAATGAGTAATGATTGTAGGATCGTAATCCTCCTTAATATATTGGTCCTTTTGATAAGATTAAAGAGAATTATGACTCTACAATAAAAAATGGATCTAGAGATACTTTGTGCTCTAACGACCATTGACCATTTATTATTACATTTTGTATTTTTTGTGACAATTGTATCAAATTTTTATGTATCTACATTTTATATGAAATTGTTAAAAGTCATATAAAGTCATTAACAACAATAATAATTCAATATCGACCTGAGTATTTATCAATATTAATCATTTAATAAGTAGAATCCATTTCATGTCTTTTTTTCTCAATTTATTTTACAGTCTTTTTGTTATAAAAAAAAACGACTGAACCAAATTTGTTTAAACTTTTTTCAGATCTTCTTTACTGCATTATCTTTTGAATAAAATTGGTCTGGAGTCAATATCTTCATTGGTTCTCGAGATATCGAAAAAAACCTGATATACGTACGTACAATTGTACGCACGTAAATACATCTATTTTTAAACCTTCGAATATGCTTTTAAGGTTGTTCGATCATGAACAATAGTATAGTATAGGGAAAACCTATGTTAAAATTTAATTTAAAGATAAATGACAATATTTGATATTAAATAAAACTTGACAATTAGAATTGATTTATTACAAAATTATGAAACTTTTGACCGTTTTGTTTACGAGAAATCTGGATTTAATAGTGCCATTGGGTTTAGTGTTTAACCTAACTTTTAACTGAACTTTATACATTTATTATTGCCAAACTAAACGGTGAAATTTATTGATAAAGCGAACTTGAATTCTTTGAATTATTAGCTATCACTTTTGCAATTTTTATAGATTAATTGTTATTTTAAATGAATTTTCATGAGGGTTATGTGAATTATTTGTTGATAAAAATAGTCATAAATGAATCTATAATGTAAGGGGAATAATAAGCATTAAAAAAAAGAAAATAATTATTAAAGTGATGATAATAAGTTTTTATATAAAAAATACTTGATGAATATTCAAAAATTGAATTGGCAAAGTAATTTTATTCGAAGGTGATATCGTTGCGTAAGAACAAAACATTGTGAATTAATATGGACACTTGATGTTTGTAAATTTAAATAGAAATAAATCTAGACATTTATTTCTATTGTTTAGATTTTTAAATTTCCTCGATAGTACAAAGGGCAATATTTCCGGCTGGTAGAGACTCGTAATAAGACTGCTATTTCATAACATCTAATGTAAGTAAAACATTGTACACTAATATAAATTTCACGTGTTTAAGTGTAAATATAGTACTCTACTTTCTCTTATTGAATATCCTAAACATCATTATACATAATAAGTACATAATAATTACTTGAACATAAAAATATCTCATGTTGATGTAAATAAAAATTGTTTATTACATAAGATGTATTTACGTTATGTTTTAAGGTTAATTTTGATGATTTTCTATTTGGAAATATTGAATGTTTGATGACCAACTTACACCTGTTGTCCACCATTATGATTACAAGAAGTCTTAAAGTACTGTTAAATATCATCAATAACCTTCAACTAGGTATATACGAAAAATTTCAAAATATTATGAGCAACATCGTCATTCATCAACGTCTAAATATTTCATTATCAACGGAAATACATTGTTTAAGAAGATGATTATAATTATTATTTCATCCTTCGTCTTTAATATGAATCAGAGAAAGTAGAATACAGATTTACATTCCAATGTCTGTTGAAAGTTCATAGCAATTTACGTGCTTTAATTTTTTTTTCTTGACATAACTTAGGAAGCCTGTAGGCGAGGGTACCAAAAATTCAAGTTTACATCTTGTCATGTGTTGAGGAATCCCTAATTGAGGTTAGCGCTCCAAGACAAAGGTTCTTTCTCAAGTGAACTTCCGGTGTGTGCGCGTGCCTATTTCTTCTTGACAAGACGCCATGGGATTCAAGAGGAAATGACAGCTGTTGATCAAAGGATCTTACCGAAATCTTTCAATTGAAAATTGATATCTGTAAGTATGTGTTTATTGTTGTTGTTAAATTATACATAACCTATCTAGTTGTTCTACAATAATTTGCATGATGATTAACGGATACAAATTTAACTTAATTGCTTCTTCCTCTTCTAGATTGTTTTAAACGAGAAATAACCAATGGTCCGACACGGTACAACGCTTGTACTTGGCGCACGCGCACAACATCGTGTGAATGAACATCCGGTATGTTCTTGATGGGTTTTTGTACGACACACGACACAATATTCAGGGCCCTATGTATTTTTAACATTTTTTCAAGCCCTTTTTTGTCTATCAAAGTTTTCAAGTTTCAAAAAAAAAAATCTCTTCTTCAGCTGTGTTGTGTCTCAGAATTCAGTAAAAGAATAACTAATTAATGAATCAGTGAATTTTGAGTAATTTTAATAAATAATTCACCTATTGCTTTGGTGGTATTTTCTATCAGTTCTGAATTGTAAATGTTCTTATCATAATTACTTGTAAATTATGACGTAACCTCAATAAATAACAGAATTTTCAAGATTATCTGAAAATTTAAATAGTGTTATCGGTGTTAAAAATCATAAGAACAACCGTATAAGTAGACAAAAAAAACCCAATGTCATTATTAATAATATCTTGAAAACAATATGCTAATCAAATTGATTTTGGTCATTTTCTTAAAGGTTATCAAGAGTATTACGCTCACTTAATCCTATCTTATGTTTTAATTTGAATAAAAGTGAAATCATCAAATCTCAAATGTCAATGTTAAAAACTTGCCAAAGACATTAGAAATGTATCTCACGCTATTTATTACACAAAAAATAGTTATTTACTCCAAAAAAAAATTATTTAATCATTTTTCATTGTTGACCAACTGAATAAAAAGAGGAACAGTTATATTCCATTTCTAAGACATTGATTTAAATAATTTCACCTAAAACTATTTTGAACAAAAAACGAATTTATGTTCTAATTAACACAATTTTTTGTTCTATGTACACATGATTTCTGAGGCATCTGTTAATATTTTAAAGTCGTCAGATAAACTAGACGTGATGTGTTCACTTAACCTCTTTGCTTGATCTCACTTGACCAAGTGTCAATAAGTCGCGAGTATGAGATTGCCCTTGAATCGGGGATTGCTCTCGACCTGGAATAACAATAAAAAAACTTGCAGAGGTTCTCTCTAGCTGTGATTTTATTTCATCATTTTCCGCTCCAATGAACATGAGAACCTTTAGAAGCAGTCTCGCGTGATTCGAGACGACCAGCAATGAAGCCACGAGAATTCGGCTATTCATTCTTCATTCCTTCAAAGGGCTTTTGACCATTCAAGACTATAATTTCGATAATATATATCATCAAAGTACTACTGTGAAACCGCAAACATCCAAAAAGGAGCATCAAAGTGTAGAAAGAAAAAAGGATTACGAACAAAAATATTTAAAACTTAATTCGATATGTCGTTGACCGCACAAATGTGAACGTGATGCATCTGGTCTTGTAAATTTGACGCAATTGCAACGCAAAACCTTGAGACCAGATGGTCATATAACAAAGTTTGCAAGTAGTACTGAAAGACTCTCAACACATCTTGGTATACCCATGACAGAAGAAAGGGAATGTGAGAGATCTCATTTATTGCTACTTCATCATCAAAGTATCTTCAGAAGTGTTCATTTTAATAAACAGACTAGGTGAATCTGTAAACATCAATTGATGAAGTGAGTGTCGATCGAGTGAGATAAAAACAGAATTACCTTAATTATCTAAACTATTAATATTATCAAAATTTATGAAAATAGTTTTCAGTTTATCTAAAATTGTGTAAATATTTTAATCTTCTAATAAACAAAAAGAAATTTTAAATACTCATTATAAATAATGAATAAAAAGAATGACAGAATGCAATGTAATTTAAGAACTCAAAAAATATTTCATAAGGACATGAATTTAAGACTAAAGACTACACATTTACAATAGTTATTGTTCTTATGAAATTTATTTTAATCAGTCTTTATGAAATAAAGAAGGTTCCCAAGGTTAGAAAAATGTTGATAATTATTGTCAGAAAGTAACAATTATTATTTGAACATTAGGCTTATAATATTATAAAATTGCTGATCATTCTTGATACTGCACAAACAATAATAGTTAAATGAATAATGATATCTTTCTAGAAATATACATTTAAATGAAAGGAAAAAAAACATAATTATAGATTAAATAATTATCTGTAGTTATATTCTTCAGTAATATTTATATTCTATAAGAAGAATTTCTTTCCAATTTATTTGTTGTTCTATCAATAGATTTCTCTTTTAGATAATTATTTATAGATGTTACCTTCTATTTTTTCTTCTCATCTCTATTAGTGTTAAATATTTTTCATCAACGAACGAATTTGTATATATTTTGTATTACCCTACAGAAACAAAAAAATGTTACTCTTTGTTTAAAAATATCATTTATCATCTAGACTACTCTAGTTGATAAAGATTGATTGTATATTATCTAATAATTTGTATATAAAAACTGGAAACTGATAATGATGTTGAACAGAATGGTATTAATACATGAAACTCTAGTGTTAGATTAATTTAAAAGCTGCCGTTATGTCTTTGCCAGACGTTTCATTAATATATGTAATTATAAAATAAAAATAGTTCCAATTGATCCCGTTGGAATAAACTGATGACAGTGATCACACTGGAGAAAAATTTAATTTCTTCATCAACTTTCAACAAATCACCATCAATTGGCGTTGCATAAGACATGAATATTAATCACGAGAGCTTCAAAAGAATGTCGATATACTTAAACTTGAAAATTGGTGAAGGTTTAAATGGATATTAAGGACAGTTTCCAATGAAACTGGATCTGAAGCGATTGAAGGTTTGGCGCCCGCACGAGCGTTTTGCAGGATGTAAGGTCTCAAGACAGTCCGACAGCTGGGAACGATCAAGTTGTTGAAGAGAGTAGGACCGGAAGTACGAGTGGACGAGCTAAGGAAGTCTCTACGATGTAATTGCCCAAGGAAGAAGCAACGTGACAAGAAAATTCCTTTGTTTTAAAATGTCAATATTATTATACCTTTCTTTTCCTCTTTCTTATTACATTTCATCTGCTTATTATGTGTACAAGCGAGTCACATAAATTATACCAATGTAATACTGTGTAGATATTTTAAATTTCCATCAAGGTTGGACATTTTTCCTGATTGCAGCTACACCAATACAAGATACAAAACTACTTTGAACTACTCTAAAAGGATTTCCTTCAGGTAAGATGAGGTAGAAAAGAGAATGAGATGAGAAAAAACTTATTGGAAGATGAGGAAAAAAAAACTTGGAGTTAAACCATGTGTTGAAGTTTAAAGAAACCACGAACATGATGTAGTCTTACTTCATAAAAATTTTTTTTTTTTGTTTCTGATGGTGGTCTTTATTTTTTTTTTTCTCTCATACTCTCTCTTTTGATCCAGCTACATATTCGAGAGACAAACACGAGGACAAGCTTCCCACGGTAAAATGTGGGCGACAAAAAAAGTAGAATTGGCGTAAAACATTACGCCCATGAGTCCAATTGAAAGGTTAATTTAATTTAAGAAAATAAATGTGTATGCATTTAGTGAGGATTTTTATTTCATTTAAATTAATTTCATTTGTAAACTGACCTGTTGTAGCATTGTGCAGCGCCGAGAAAAAAAGAGAGAGAATAGAATACTTTGCAATGAATACTAAAGATATGCATACGAAGGGAACCTTCAAGGAAACAATTTTAAAATTACTTTTGATGAATAAAAAATGATTGTTCCAAAAATATCACACTTTTGAATCTACTCGATGAATATCTTTACTCTGTCTCGTCTTTAAATTCAATTCAACTTTTTTTTTTTTCTAATTTTACTTCAACTTGAAAGATATTCAATTCCAGAATAGTTGTCTCGTGTAACAACAACATATGTATGTGCAATTTACAACCTTATAGAAATGCAATTTCATGTCTACTCAAAGTTAACTTCACACTTATTAAAATCACTTTCATTTTTCCCTTCCAGATCATTATGTTCAACAGATGATTTTTTTTTTTATTGTTCAAACCTCACTACGATCTTAGAGAATTTTTTAGTCTATAATATCATAATTTTTTTCAATCTTATGATTGACAAGTTATGTATGAAATTATCTTTAATTCTAATAACCTGATAAAATAAAAACTGCTTGAGTAATATAAATAGCAAATACAAAAACGAATAAAAATAACATGTACTTAAGGACGTCCTTGCGTGACCATTCTGGTCAATAGCTTCTTTCTTACAGCAAAATCCTAGCCAAAGTATTATTATAATTAATTAATAATATTAAATCAGTTAATTTTACCAATATAATAATAAACAATTGAATAAAATTATATAAAAATTTGTTCGAAATTAATTGACTGAATTGAAAATTAGATGAAGGCCAGAAAAATTGATTCTCATGACTGAGAAATCGAACCTATGACCTATCATTAATCACAGAAATATTTTTCCTGCTAAATTACTTTAAACAAGTGAGTTATATTGCTTAATAACCATATTATTGATAATCTTCTTAAAGGAAATGAATTGTTACATTTCTAATTTCAGGTTTACCATCGACAAAGACTGGTCTCCAGCTTGCTAACATATTGAAAATAATTCTCACATTATTCTGTAACGAGAATCCACTTGTTTACTCAATAAATGACAAGATTGATGACAGGGTATGGTCTGAAATTTTCTAAACCAGAACAAATAATGACGTCTTTAAAAAACTGACCTGTTGTGGTGCTGTGTCTGCGGGTGAAAATGAAGAGAGAGCAGTGAGTGCTAGAGATGCACAAGAAGAGGCTCGTGAGGGTGGTGGAGTGTGACTAGGGGTTGGGCTTCCGCTTCCGCAACTGCTGGTATCTCCATTGCTAGAGGAAAGAGACACACTGTCAGATCTCCCTCTCCATGGTGATATAGACACGTGTTTTAGCATCCTCGTTATCTCTTCTTTTACTTGGTTGTTCTACAATCAAATGATAAAAAGATATCTATATTTCTAGTATTCACTCATCGATATAATACAATACATAACAATATAGTTTAAATGATTAATTTTATTCCGAAACGTTGAGAAGCATTAACTAATAAATAATGTAAATACGATTTTGGTATGTAACACGTGTGTTGTCTTACTATCAGTAAGATTATATACTCTGGTGATACTAATTGAAATTTATATCAAGTTATTAATACACAGTGTTGGTGGAAAATTATTATGCCAATACAAAAGAATTTGCTGACGAAACAAAAAATTTGTAGTAAAACATGTGTAATAATTTCTTCCGTTTGACTTTGAGTAAAGTTATCATTTACTACACTTTGATAAAAGTTCTACAGAAATAACTAACATATCATCTTCTAGTATATTTAAATGTTTAAAATTTTTTATCAAAACTTTTCAATATTTTGGTATTGATAAAAAAACAAATACCCAGAACGTTAGAGATTATTAATTATCTTTCGATAAACTTCCACTTAATTGGAGCATTTTAATCAAAGATATAATTTGTCGCTAATTTATTATAGAATGAATTTTTTTGATATCAATTTCTTGAATATTAAATCTGAAAGAAATAAATATAGAATTTAAAATATTTAAAACAAAGATATTAAAACCACACCTCAAAACCCACCTGACGGATGCGAATCAAATAGAAAATGAGTCAAAGGTATCTGGAATTACGCACGTAATTTGTGCAAAAGTCCAAGTCTTTCGAAACAGCAATCGAGTCACCAATAGTCACTGAACACTTCACTTTTTTGCAATAAACTCCAAAGTAATTAATGTTCACCATAAACAACTAAAAATATAAAATTTTATGTAAACAATGATAATATTCCATTGATGATATTTTTTAATCACTTGGAGATAATGTTGATATAAATAAAAACAGAACTGATAAAAAATCAGACTCTACTTACTCCAGAGCCAGGCGAAGACTGAAGAGGCGCATAGAATTGAACCTCTCGTAGCACGTTCGTCTTACTCCTGCGACCAGCCCACGTCCGGTACAACTCGGAGGGGGACACAAGTGTTATACGCGACCGATTGTCGACTACCAAGCACGGCCGTCTACCCTCCTACACTGTCAAACAAGCGGGGGCGTCCAACGATACTTGTTCTTTCTCCTTTTCTCGCTTTTGTTGTTGATAGTTTGTTCTGCTTCAGAGTAGAGCCAAAGCCACCCTGTCTGTTGGGTATTATTTACGCTCGCTCTCTTTCCACTATGAAAAATTATCGTAAAAGAAGAATCACTGCTTTCATGTCTATACAGACAAGGAGTCACTTGTATTAGATGCATCCATGAGGAAAATTTCGCTTAAGTGACCTTAAATTCTTTAAGAACTTTTAAATGGTTTATTTACTATTAAAGAGAGGATAAAAATTTTGTAACGTTCCTTTTCATTAATACAGCCTGTGAAACTGTTTCTTTTCATCTTTTTCAAAAGATTCTTGCGGATACCATTTTTCAAATTACTAAACAAACTCTAATATATCATTTATATTAAATATATCTCAAATATTCTCATTTTATTACCAGAGTGATTATCAAATTATTTTTATTTAGAAGTAAATACTTAGATGTGGTGAAAATTATCTTGAGTTTTAAAGTTAGAAAAACATTCTATTGTATGTTATTGAGTAAATATTACTGTAAATATTTCTTCACAGGAAAAATGAAATTAATTTCATTCAATGATGATTCCTTTATTCGCACATTCTTATTAAGAAAAAATTTTTAAATTATCTTGCAATTTACCATTGATATCCTTACAGCAGGTGGTAAAGGAAAATTTTGTTCCATCAGGAGACTCTTGAGTCATCTGCATAATATTGACCTTGGCAATAAAGAATGTATAATATCATTTATGCTGAAAATATCAATTCCGGTTCCAAACACGTTGCTGCCATCTTTTCCCAATTTTATAATAATTATATGGATGCAATTTACAAAAAAGTCAGTTATATCATTATATTTTACAGAGAATGAATAATAAAAAAAAGTTAAATACATCGTTGGGTGTAAATTACGTATCTGTCTTTGGGAAATAAGTTATTTACAAAAGAATGTAAAGTTCTTGTTGTAAAAGGAACAATTTTAATAATATTATTATTATTATCATTGGAATTTTCATTGAAATCTTTTGTGAATGCAAATATATTAATTTACTAACAGATGGAAATAGAATTATCACAATATAAAAAATTTTTAAATTGGAGATCAATTTATGTATTATAAAGAAAAAAGTTTACCTTAAAATATTAAATGTTGATGATTGTTCGATGAGTTTTTTTCTTAGAAAAATTTTGAAAATTAGATAATTTCTCTGTTAATTCAGAGACAACATGAAAATTGTTGATTTTGTCGTTCTTAGATCCATTGAAACGTATTAAGATTGTTGAAATAAGGTAATAAACTGTAGAAATGTATTGAATAAATACCATACGCAAGGTGACATTCAAATAACACTTGTCTAAGTAAATTGTATATTTTCCCACTCTGTAAACAAGAAAAAAGTGATAAGTTTAATAACAAAAAAGAGATTTAAAAAATTTTCATATGAGTATTTAAAGTTTAATTATTATTAAGAACAATAAATGATATTATTAAGTGTACTTATGTACAAAGAATAAAAGAAGGAAGCAATTAATGCATGAAAGCGATGTTAAATAATGAACAATTGTGCTTAATAAATAATTCATAATCTCATAATAATAATTGTCATGCACAAAAGTAATACAACAGTAGCGACTAATATTTAACACGTGGAAAAGAAACTTTGAAAAAAGTTTCATAAAGAAATAAAATGAATTGATGAAAAATATTTGGTACAAACTATAATAAAAATAGTAACAATAGAGTTACAAAGGGTGAAAATAAGAAAAAGACGGCAATATTTGAAAAGAAATGGAAAAGAGGTGAATGAATTGAGGTTTAAACTTGATGACATTACCACAAGAAGTGTAAGGATGGTCTCGTGGGAGTTTTGGAAGTCAGGGAATCGCGGTCCAGCAAACCAGCGAACCGGCTATGGGTCTCATGGTGTTGCGTTACTTTCCCACAGCGTGTGCACAACACCAACTTTCACGAATGTTGAATAGTCTTGCATGTATGTATTATATTATTGAATGTATGACGTACACAGCGTATGAAGTAGTATACAAATAAATGGTAAAAGCACCAAGCAAATCTATCATCTATCCAACAGCACAGTTAAATGTATAAGCAATCGCCCACATGCACCTGCAACACATGACGGCGCGAGCACAAGGGATCATATAGGTTTTGTTTTATTTGTTTAATAATAATATACTTACGTATCATATGCATGTGCACATCGCTTTGATATATTTCACACAAACATATATGTCATCTTGCAAGGTGATACATTCCTGTCCATTCAGCCGAATCGACGCTTGCATTGCGCTAAATAAAACTTGAGTATTGCGATCTATCTCTACACTTAAACTCTTTCATCCGAGATATGCTTTTTATTTGATATCATTTATCACTTTATTACATCATCCACTAGCAAATAATGCTGTAGATAAGATAAGACTCTGCAAAACGTAAGCTTTGTTCGAATTTTATTACTAAATAGTACCATTCTTGTTTTTTTTTTGGATCATTCATTCATCTTTATCTTTGCTTGGAGAGTTTTTTTGATTTTCAGTTGAAAGCACAGTTTATTGGACAGTTTACTCCGTACACTGATGGTAAAATATTCTTAACGTTACGATAACATAATTTACGGCTTTTGATTTTTTTTTATTCCATCGAAGGGATGAAGATTGATGTTGCGTATAGATTTCAGTCTGGATATTCTGTGAATTGTTTTGGCACTCCCTTAATGCCGCTCCTTTAGGGTGCGGCAAACATTGCACTTTTCTACCCTTCGTTATTAACAAAATGTTTGTATATACCGTGACTTCTATCACTGGGGAATACAATTGTTATTTTTAATTAATCTTCCTCTATACTTTGTTCTTGCTTATTATATTAATACTGTTTAATTCGTTACTTTCATGTTGTCTATTTGATAAAATTATTATCATTGAATATCCGTTCATCAACCTGCCATTATTTCTTTATGAACAATAATTGATGCGTGATATTATAGCTGATTTTCAGATTAAAACAGCTTAAAGAGAGAATGCAGCAGTGTAATTAGCAATTTAAAGTAATTGAGAATGAATAGATGAACCTCGGACTCTATTTCATTGCTATTAAAATCGTTTACGTTACATTTATCATATCAAGTTTCTATCTCCAAAGCTTTCTTTAACATAATGGAATTATGTATTATCAAAATGGCATAAAAATAAAATAATTTTTAATCAATTTTTACTTGCACAATTATTTCTAAATGAGTAGTTGTTGTTAGTTTGTTATTGTTTGACTCTTTTGTTGAGAAAATGGAAGAACAATAAACACGCGCCATCTTGTGGAAACATTTGTTACTGATTTTTCTTACCATGTGTTGATGTGCGTTGATTGTCGATAAAGTAGAATATAATCAACAACTAAGCAGATGAAGCTGATGGGGAAAAAAATGTCTACTACCAGCATCAAATTTGTCGAATATTACGTGTCTTTATGGATTAAATTTGTAATTGTGAAAGTTAGTGAATAAGTTATTCAATTAATTGAAGCTTGATATTATAATAAATATCTTAAATAATAAGGTGAAGTGAAAAACGTTATAATAAAGAATAAACAATACCGGGGCGTATCCCAAAAAGTGACAGACAAATCCTAGTGTGTTCATGTTCATCTATTTTATAAAATAATACATAAGTTATTAATTTTTTTACATTAGAAAAAAAATATATTCATAGAATAATTATTGATATAAAAATCCATGATATCTTGAGTAATTTTTCGATTAATTGGGAATAAAGTTGTGATCAATTGCTTTAAAAACAAAGAAATGATTGATTTTTAAATGTAATGAAAGATGAATTTATTAAATTTCCACTAATAAATAAAAAGACTTTTTGTGATTTCAAGAATTAAATTATTCAAACGAAGTAAAAAGTCAAATAAATCACACAATTTTGTTAAATTAAGAGCAGGAGAGAGTAAGTAAATTGGCCAATGTGTGACTCAGCGGACGCTTACGTCCAAAAACTTAGTTATCTCCATCTAAATGATGATGGAGAACGTGGAGGTATTGGGAGAAGTAGCCCAGGACATGGGATAAGTTCAAAACCAGAGGCTCAAGTGCCTGTACCAAATGATCAAACAAAACAACATCATTACCGTCAGCCTTATCATCAATATAGAGATACTAGAACTCACAGATCAGTTGGAGCTATTGAAAGCTTCATAGATGACCGTGATATAGCAGCTTCTGCTGCTGAATATAAGCTTTATGAACGAGAAAATATTGTTGCAGCTTCAAGACTTCCAGTACCAAAGGTAGAACAGCTTGATATTCATGACCAGAATCAAAGTCATGCTCCAGTTTATGAGAATATTGAGTACTATCCTTCTCAAGGATCAACTCATCCTCCATACTATCATTCATTAGATAAAAAAAGTCCAAAAGGAAGTCCCAGAGCATCTTTGGCAGGTGATTGTTATGAAGCATCATTCAGAAAAGCTCAGCCTCAAGTACCTACTGGCACAAAATATCAAACCACTTCATCTACTAAAGAATTGCCTCCCTATGAAGCTCCACCTGTGTATGAAAACATTCAAGAAATGAATTACCATGATGGAGATGCTCAAAATAAACCTGGGCCTCAAGTTTCTAATTACTATCATCCAACTAACATTAATGGTGGCGATTATGTCGTGATGACTGGAAAGGTAAGTTTTAATTACAGAGATAAACTAAAATTTTTGTGCTATTTTTGATGATTACAAATGGTGATGTCACTATGAAATCTTTCTGTAATTTTAAAAATTATCTAGAAAGTTTCGTTGATGATTAAATCACCAAAAATGTATACCAAAAAGGAGTGACTTTTATTTTGATTGTTCACAATTTTATTAAAAAATTGCATAAACTTAACTTAAAAAATAAATCAAAGGTGAAAGTCTACTCTTCAAAATAATCATGACTAAAATTATCAAAGAAACTAATAATTGAATATCAAATTATTTCTTTAGGTACAACCACAACGACCAACACGAATTCAATCGTATGATGTTGCTTGTCTGAGTAACAATTCATCATCAAGGTATTTAGGATCATCAAGTGTATCAGCGGATCTCCAAGCATCTCGAAGTGCTTATGTTCCACCATCAGAGCTCCAACAACAGCAGCTATCATCAAATTCTCCGCGAACACTCAACACTTATCACAATGAATCATCGCCAATGCGGTTACCTGCTGAGTCACATTATCGTAGTAACATGACTAATGATTTGCCACATGCAGGCCATGCTTATAGATCTCTCAGTCAATCTGATGCTTCAGTTCAATATCGTAGCGAAAATGGACAATTCAAACATTCCTATCCTACTGAACCAACTCGACATTCCCCAGTTTATAATACGAGACCCGGAGACTTTACATCTGGCAGAAATCCTCAAGGATACTCATCAAGAAACACTCTCTCCAATAGCTGGAATCAGAATGACAGAAACTTCAATTCACCTTCTGGAGAACGCCGTGGTGATTACTCACCTCGAAATACTGGACTTTATTCACCAAATCGATCAATAAGTGGTGGACTCCAGCAGAACGAGAAAGCTCCTGATGGTCATGAGTCTCCATCATCATCAAGTAGGAGCTCCCCTCTATATGCGATTCCTCATGCAGGCAGAGAGCATTCTAGAAGCAGAGAAAGTACCAAAATTAGTCCAACTCATTCTTCATCAAGCCCTCTAAGCCAGAATCTACCTGCAGCTGTTTCTAGACAGCCTTCTGGAGGTTTTCCTTCAAATTCTTTAGGATGCCCTACTTCTCCAGTTCGTGGACAAGTTCAAGCTGCTGTTTCGAGTGCCGCAATGACTGGTGATGACCAAAGCTTATCATTAACTACACCTAAAATTACCAGTTTACCACCTGGAGTTACCAGTGGTGTTGCTGGACCAGTATATCTGAATGCTGGAGTTCCAGTTCTTCAGAAACCTCAACTAGAGCTTAATGATGACATCAAACGCACTGTAAGCCCCACTGCTAAACCTATTGCAGGAAAAGGGTTATTACCTTATAATGTCACACCACCTAGACCTTCCGGACCTACCGAAGCTGAGAGAAAAATTGAGGAATTAACAAGACAACTTGAAGAAGAAATGGAGAAACAAGAGGAAGAGGGGGAATACTTTGGAATTTGCCATACTTGTGGAGAGAAAGTTACAGGAGCCGGACAAGCTTGTCAAGCCATGGGAAACCTTTATCACACCAATTGTTTTATTTGTTGTTCTTGCGGAAGAGCTCTACGAGGCAAAGCTTTTTATAATGTTCATGGAAAAGTTTACTGTGAAGAAGATTACTTGGTAAATAATTTAATCACTCAGTTTTCATCAATTAATTAATTTTTTTTTTTAAATATATTATTTTTGTAATACTTATAATTTACAAAATACCCGATTTTCAATCTCTATAATTCTTATTAGTTTTAAAATGAAAAGAAAAACTTCAAATTTATTCATTTTAAAAATAAATTTACTAAGTTCCGTTAGACGTACAAAGTAAATTTATTTTCATGGCATTTAAACTTTCCATAAAGTCTTTATTTTTTAATGCCCCCATTCGGACCTCATTTTTTATCTTTAATTTTAAATTTCTAAAGAAAATTTTAATTTTCAACTACCAAAGAAGTCTTTTTTAAATTAAAATTTATTGAAACTAGAAAATACTTCTAAAAAAAACGAATTTATGATTTTTTAATTGTATAGTACTCTGGATTCCAACAGACTGCTGAAAAGTGTGCCATTTGTGGTCACCTTATAATGGAAATGGTACGTAAAATTTAATTTTCTAACAGATATCTTATTTCTAATTGAATTAACACTGTATCATGTGTCAATAGATCAACAAAATTTTTATTGTAAACAATTAAATAATAAAATTCTTCTTTTAGATTCTCCAAGCTATGGGAAAATCTTACCATCCCGGATGCTTTAGATGTTGCGTTTGTAACGAATGTCTTGACGGAGTTCCTTTTACTGTCGACGTTGATAATAAAATTTATTGCGTTAATGATTATCACAGAATGTTCGCACCAAAATGTGCATCATGTGGTAAAGGAATTACTCCAGTTGAGGTAAATATATAATAAAAATACAACTTTATTAAATTCTTCCTCTTACCTAAAAGAAAAATAATCATTTTCTGTTCATTAACCCAACTTTTGTCACTAATTTATCAATTATTTTAATTTCGTAAATCTTATTTAAACGACATTGACTCATACAGGGTACAGAAGAAACGGTCAGAGTTGTATCAATGGATCGAGATTTTCATGTTGATTGCTACATATGTGAAGATTGTGGTATGCAATTGACTGATGAACCAGATAAACGTTGTTATCCTTTAGATGGACGATTAATGTGTCGCTCATGTCACATTGAACGTATTTCACATACTCAACCACGTGTTCCACAGCCGGTTTCAGCAACTTATCAGTACATGGGCTAAAAATTCATCCAAAAATCCATTTATTCTCTCTTATGACATTTCATCAATTTTACTTAATCAAATAATCTAATTATCAATACCTAAATAATCGAAATTGTTTTAGAAAATTAATTAATATTGCCATGTACTGATAGTATGTGAATTAAAAATATGATCTGAAGTGTAGATATACCTATATAAAAATAATCATACAATAATAATAATAATTACTACTTCATTATAATAAATAGTAATTGTTTTTATTATAAATATAATGAATTTTACAATAGCATTGAACTAATTCTGCAAGTAGTTTGAATTTTTATTTTTCAATAAATATTAACTATAGACTATCTATCATATTTATACGCACAAATGTATTTATTAAATTACTGTTTACTGTTAACTGTTTTAATTTCCGACAAAGATAGGGTTGCGGAGACAACTGTGATACGATAGCATAATTGACATTGAATTAATTAGTTTGTCTATTACTTGATAAACCAATCATGACAACAAATATTATAATTGTAATCGTTATTATTATATAGAAATGATAAACTATTGTGTATTAGTTTAAAATTCAAACTGCGTTTTATTTTTAAATACGTTATACATATTTTGAATTAATAATTTGTTAATTATTAATTGACATAAAGATCTGATGTACTTGTGTTAATAAGTAATATTAATAACTATCATCATTCCTGCATTCTGAGTAGCATAAGTAATCGAATTACTTGCATTTATCAGTAGATAATAATTGCGATACGAAATTAATATCGCTCTAGTTGTATTTTAATAGTCGAGAAGTGTTTTAATTGTTGAGGGTAACATTTTGAATCAAATGAAATAATGTTTTAGTGAATTAGACAAATTTAAGAATACACAAATACGTAAGAAGACCATTGAGACCAAAATATAAACATGGAAATAAAAGACATCAACATTTTACTTACTATTGAAATGTTTTTTTATTTAATAGTTGCAGATTTTTTTTTTGTCTATACATTAATTTAGGTAATGATAATGTACACAAATTGTTTTTAAATCAAATTGAATTCACTGCCACAAAAAAGTAAAAATTTTTATGTCATTGATAAAAAGTATTTAAGTTAAAAAAATGCAATAAATAAAAAAAATAATTAATTTTTATCTTACTTTTATAACTTTGTACAATTGATAATATTGTATTATTAATTAAAAAAAAAACTTCATACTATCGTTATAAATTACTCTTAGTCGCGTACAAAAAAGTGTAAGCCATTGACAACAAAATAAATAATGACATACTTAAATATAATTAATGACTTTAAAAAAATCTTTTATGAAATAAAATTTTTTTTAAAAATTAAATTAATTAATTAATTATCAAAGACTGAATTCTATATATCTATATACATTACATTTATTGATTAACATAAATTTTTTACAATTCGTAACGTCAATAATGTTTAATTATTTTTATTATTCTAACAAAGGGAAAAAACCTTTTAACAGTTTTATTTATTGAAAAACTTTCATTCATTTTTATTAATTCTTGACAGTTTTTAAAATCCATCATCTCATATATGTTTTGACTTGCACGTATTTTACATTTTGCCACTAATTCTCACTTTGTTGTTTCCCACTTGTTGACATAGATGTGTCACTTGTTTTTTCTGAAGTGGCACTGGATTTTGTTGACGACATTGTCTGTATCATAATATAAATTATTAATTTAATGCAATATTATAAATAAACAATTAATTCTAATACTATGAATGAAACTATAGTGTACTAACTAAGAGGCAATAATTTAACTACTAATGTTATTATAAACTAACCCATGAATAAATCTTTAAAATTCATTTTTATTAAAAGAAAAATTTTCAATTATGCAATAAAATTTCGTTATTTATTACTTAAGCTTGTTATAGAGAGTTTGTATTATTCATTGGTTTGTTTATTTTGATAAAAAAGCAAAATATTTAATACTTCAATTAAATGATGAGTAAATAAATGCAAAAAAAGGTTTAAAATTATGATTTTTGTGAATTCATTGACCTAGAAGCCTTACGAATATTCTGCAGATCGATAGCATGAAATTAGAAAGATATTTGGAGTACAGAAGTTAAAAGAAATAATTGTTATCTAATATTTTAATTGTCAAATTCTTTCAAGTGTTTAATTATTGAAGCAGAATATTGATAGTAATTTTTGTACCTTTGATGAAGGTAATTTGAACTTCATGTATCCTTTTTCATCAAGATACTTAATTGTCATCGTTGTTCCTCCTATAATTTTACAATAAATAAATTAGAAAAATTGATCATTAATGATTTTGATCAATTGATTAGGTTTATTTAAAACAAAGTATTGATCAAAAACCAATAAATATTTGATAATATTAAAATTATTACCAACAGTAACTGTATATCTTATTGGAGTAAATATTTTGTACAAAGCGTAGACAACTGCCCAGTGACCAGCACCTGAATTTTTAATCATGTCTATGTATTTTTCGGGCATGTGTATGTATTCCATTAGTCCTATGACATCAACTCCACTAAAACAATTAATATTTTATTTCCACTAATATTCTATATCAAACTGAAGACGCTACGAGAAGAAAAACGAATGTTATATTTTTTGTCATTTTATAAAATTATCAATTATTAAGTGAACAAATGAGATTTGATTAGATCTAAAGAGTTATTAAAAAATATCAATAATTTATTAATTATTATACTTTATGGCTGCCACATAAAAAATCGAGACCCAACACGTTGAAGTCAAAATGTGAACAGGAATTAAAATGTGCCAGTAATCTTTGGCTAATTGTTTCATTTTTTGAAAAACATTTAATTTCGAAGATGTTATAGTTGGCTCATGTTTAGTTTCATTTTCTGTTTTACTAGAAAATTTTACAAGTAAATATTTATTAACTGATACATGTCTCGTATTCGCAATACTTTGTAGAGAACTGGGTCTTGGTAAAAAGCATTTTGTCAATGTTCTATGTTGTAGTTTTGTTTCTGAAAAAGAGAAAATATAAATATTTAATTCAATTATCTAACAAAAATTAAATTAAAAAAAAAATACTTAATACTGTGATATAAATAAAAATTTATACATACCAGAAAAGGTAAAATTCCATTTCTTATGATCATATGGACATAAACATCTCAAATTTGTTAGAGTTTTTGTTTTTTGTAAAACAGAAAAAGATCTAAGGAATATTCCGGTGAAATTTGTAGAACGTCCAATGATAATTTCCATGATAATTAGATAGAATTTTTCTTGATAAAATTATTTTATATTTTTAACTACGTTTTCCTAACCAAGAAGCATGCTATTCACTGAAATTGATGTCATTTCTCATGTGCAATAAATTACCAGTCTTGAATTTTATAATCAGCAGAGCTTTTAAATAAATTAATAATTAAAACATTTGTTATCTATTAATTTCAAATAGTTTAAATAACTTGATTTTATTTCTTCCTATTCGACATATAGCTTCATTGAAGCTGAGATACTTTCAATGTCGGCTATTTGTAAAGGAATCAGCATGATATCAGCGTCTTCCCTCTTTATTCACTCTATTTTGACTGTCCATGATCAAAAAGATATCTGCAAAAAATGATAATTGTTTAATTTTGTTATTCTTTTCTTGGAGCGTTCAATATTTCACAGTAATCGTGCTCTAAAACCTTCAAACAACTGTTACGTAGGTAAATTTTCAATAATAAACTATCAAATACCAATACTTTGCACTATTGAACTCTGTCTATTTGATAATTAATATCAATAGCTCCATTTAAAGCTGTTTGTCAAAATTTTAAGGTTGTAATCGCCATCATATAAGTTACATAAAAACTTGTTTCAACAATTAGACATGTCCTAAATAGTGAATAAATATTCCAGGAAAAAATAGTCGTAAGTTTTTTTATTATAGATCTTCATTTTTAACCATGATTTTTAGGATTATAAACAATGTGGTGGGAAATATTACCTTCAGCAGCAATTATGCTCGTGTGCCTTTCTCTTCCGCACTATGCATCTCTTGCATTTAATCGAGTAGCTTATGGCAATGTAAGTGTTAATTTTATTGAATATTTATTATTATTAAAACTATCTTAAATTTCGTTAACAAACAAATAAATATTTGTACCGTAGGATTATCGAAGAAGATTAGAATCTGTGTTCGAAAGAAATATGTTTTCAAGAGATGGAGGACTTACTGGTGCTCCATGGGTTCTATCTGTAAGTTATTTTATGTTAATTATCAAAAAATTAATTTTTATAGAAATCTTTGTTCTAGGGATTAGATGCAATTCCTGATGAGGATAAAAAAGATTAGGTTATGATAAATGTTGATAATAAATAATCAGTTTTAATAGGAATTAATAATTTGTAAATGTAATTGTATTGAGAAAGATGATTCAGAACATAAAATGAATAATAAAACATTGTAATCATTATGAAAAGTCATTTACATAATCTAGAAAGAGGTGTATATAAAATAATAAATGCAATTATAATAATATCTTAAAAATTGATGTTTTTAATGTATGAAAATATATAACTATTATTATAGAAACTATAAAATGCTATATAATACATCATTCTTATAACAATCAACATGATCTTAACGTAGAAAACTAATAGTTTATGTCTAAAAATATCAACAAATATTATAAATTATATGTACACTATTTATAATTTTTTTATATAGCCATCATGGTGATTAAACTGATTATGGCGGTCATAGTAAATTGAAAATAGATTACAAGCTTGTCAGCCAAGACCTAGTACGTATTTTGGCAAATTGTATGCAAATCGTGGAATCGCCATTACTACTGACATTCTGAAAAATGAAAAAATTCTTTCAATTAATAAAATATAGCATCATTTATTCGATACTTACTTTTTCAAATTGATTACACAAATTCACAAAGCGACTGTCACCATAGGCGTGCACTGAATGAAAAGCGGTGTTATTAAATTATACATAAAATTATTAATACTCTAAATTGACTAATAAATTAATTTATTACTAAAAAAACAAATATATTAATAAAATAAAAGAGAAAGATTTAAGTAGAGAAAATATTAATTAGTAATATTTTTTTTTTATTAACTAATATCCATTAAAACATCGTCTTTTTCATCCACCAATTTTTTACGTACGATAATTTTAAACCATTGTATATCCATTCCCGCCAGCTACTTGTTGATATTCCATCGATTCGAGATTCTAGAGTTTGACATAACATTTTTCGATCATGACTACGACCACTACGAAGATCACAAAGCAATCTTTTCCGACAATCATTGTTACAAGCTGGTCTAACAGGTGAGTTTTTATAATAATGCCTAAAGTAACAGAGTATTTATAAGAACACAGTTATTAATAATTACAAAATTTCCTTTAGTACAATTACAATACATACTTGTAATAAAGATCAAAGTTCGATGGCTCATTCGTCATTTTATCAATAAAAGCATCCCAATCTTTCGGTAATAATGATGACATCTGATATGCCTGACGTGCACTGTACATTTTTCGCCAAATAGGATAATCATAAAGATTAGCTTCCTTGAGATTCATCACCCAACTTTCATGATCAACAACTAATCTTGTTGTTTCTGAATGATCTCCATCAACGTAATATATTCTATAACCTGGATTTAAATCATAATAAGGCGAGACAGAAGGCCCGACATAAGCAATACTCAATGCTCTACTAAAGTCTGAAATGTCATAGAACAATTGAAATTCATCGTAATGCGTATGTCCGAAAAATTGTGCCGTTATAGTTGATTCATAACGATTGATTATGTGATAGTAATTTCTTGACCATATTTTTAAACAATCAGAATGACCAGGTGGTATATGACCGATTATATGAACTTTTTCTCCGTTCATTTCAGCTCCTTGGAGTTCATACACCAACCATTGTAATTCACTAACAGGATCGGTGCTATTTATCAAGAGCCACCAATTTTTGTTATTACAGTAATTCATGTTTACTGAAATAATACGAAATCCTGGACGAACTAGCACTGAATAAAATGCACCACGTCGAACAGTATGAGACACGCCCGCGGGTAACCAACGTCTCCATTGTTTATCTAATTCATTGTAAAGCCATGAAATACTACTGTCTTCGTCAGGAGTACTCGAAGGTGGTGGAAAACTATTAACTGGAGCCGACTCGTGGTTTCCGAGTGCTGGAAATATTGGTATTCCTGGGAATGTTTCAGCCATTTGAACAACAGTATCTCTGAGAATTTTCAAATTTTCCTCTCGAGTTTGATTCCAAATGTCGTGAGGTGGTAAATCACCTGTCCATAAAATATAATCTATATCGGAATGGGTCTGTTTAATATGATTCAACATATGGTCCACTGTTCGTTTTGGCGTATCACACTTTCTATAATCACCCCATCGTCCAGCTGCTGCTCCTGGTTCATGTGCTAGTCCATTTGTTAAACGACAACACAAAGGCTCATTACACTGTGCATTAGCACCTTCATGATAATAAGGATCATAATGAGTGTCCGAAATATGTAGTACTTTAAACGTAGGAGCATTATCAATTGGTGGATTTGGTGGTTGAATTGGCGGTTTATTTACAGGTGGAAAAGCTACTTCCCATTCATGTTGAGGATTATATGCATCATCACATGCATCACCAATTACAAAACTACATATTTGAGCTGGCTCCATATTCACTTGTTTTAAAACGTGAATTACTTCTCCCTGAAATATTTTTTAGCTTAATGAAAATCTCACACAAATTATAAATTAAGTAAAAATGATGAAATTAAACATTCTAATTAATATTTATTATATTTGGAAAAATATTGCTCACCCCAAAAAGCAGAGTAACTCCATGACATACTCTTGAACTTTGTATGCGTAATGATACACAAAATCGATAGATATTTTTCATAATATCTTCATCACTTTTTCCATGTTTAATATAATATTGTAAAAGTCCAGCTCCAGCTTTGCAAGCTGTACATGATACTTTTGACATTACGGAAGTTTCTACTTCAATCATAACTTGTTGCAAGTCTAATAATTTAATTGCTTTATCCACAAATAGTGAAAAATGACCACTTGATTGTGTATTTTCCATGTCCCATAACATTCGTGAATAATTTACCTAATAATATTAATTAAAATATTTTTTTATATGAAAAAAATTTATTAATAGTCCAATAAAAAGTTAGAAATAATCATAATAAATAGTGGTTTATAAATCTAGGAAGTATTTTTCCTCAAAACTTTATTCATTATATAATAATCTATTAATCTTATCTAGCGTAATTATAAAAAAAAAAATTCTCTTTTACTTGTATAATATTGTTCAATATCATCTAACAATCATTCCTACAATCTTTTGTTGTTTTTTCTAAATTTATATTTCATATAATTAACTATCATTAATTCTTTTTAATCATTTCAGCTTGAGGAAGAATTATTTAAAGATTAATTACATTTGTAGATGAAAATCTTTTGAAAAATAAAAAAATCATAATCAAAATAGTAAATAACATTTTCTTGTAAATAATCAATGCCTTTGTAATTTATTTGAATCAGATATTACTAATATAGTAAACATTTATGCTCAGTGTAATATTATTCATAGTACCTTTGCTAATTGATCAACGGGCATTCCATTAACGTCAACAATAACGACCTTTTCATTCTCAGGTGCAGCAGTTGGTGGTAATTCTCTTGTCACACCACTCGATGCCAATATTGGAGACAATCGATCTCGAAACTTTTGTTTCGCTATGAGTAATTCTTCTGAAAGAATCTCATCCGCTAGTTGAGTCCAATTTGTGTTTTCGATTTCCGTTGCTCTGTCATTTATAACGGCTCCTTAAACCCAAAAGAAAACAGTTATTTTTATCCTTCACAAAAATTCTAGAAGGATAAAAAAAGTTTCTTACCTGAAATTCCATCTAGAATAGTTGTTAATACCAAAAGTAATAATAGGTTGAAGATTCGTCTTTTCCATGGCGTCTCTTCCAGATTTATCATACTAATTTAAAAAAATTCTGAAAGAAAATAAATATACATCATTAATTGTAATATTTTATGCGCTGATGTAATTGTAGATGTAGTAAAATAAATTCATTGTACATCCTAAGAACTTGGTTTCTTGTAACCATGATAAAATATCTACATTTGAGATTATTCAAAAAAAATATGATTCATAATATAACGTAGCTGTGTTAGACAGTCAAGTTAAATGCACACTTGGAATAAGTTTTAAATGTGAGAAGACCGTTATTTGACCCACCAAGTAGTGATGTAGGTATATAATAGACCTGATGTAATAAACGATTGAAATAAATTCAAAGTATTAGTCTAAACCAACCACTTACACCAGTACACAAGCACTTTAAATTAATAAAAATGTGATTTTAAAATATTCATTGAACTTGAACTCTGCAATATGTAACGTACGATATTACACAGTTTTATTATTAATTACAATTTGACATAGATAACAAAAAATATAAACGTACCGTATTGTTAGTCTGAACAAAAGCTACCGAAGCTATTATTTTTTCTTTGTTCAATTTGTAAAAGGTGTAAATAATCGTTGTTCTTGACCAATGACCTCGAAGTAGTGTAAAAGTGTATATAAAAACAAATGTGACTTTTTGCAATCGTCAATGCGCATCATCTAACCTACTTTATATAATTTGCTCTCTTTCTTTTTGCATTTTATTTTAAATTTTTATTTGTAGTGGTGTTTTGGAGCATTAGCTATCCTTTTGTTCCATCGACTCGTTGAAATTACTTGACCTAATGTTCCAAATAATTGCTTCGTTGAAATTATATAATCATAAACAATAGAAATAATTGTTTAAAAAATTGTTAAATTGCTGTGTAAGCAAAACAAAATGAAATCTTCTAATAAAGAATGGAAATGTCTGTTAAACTTTTCTTTCATTGTTTACATTCATTTGATTATCGTGCTGTCATTTATTCAAATTGTTCGAAGTAACGATTGTTCACAATAAAGCAGTAAAACATCAATTTAAACTTTATAAAAACACTTACTTGGTGTTAAATTAACAAAATAACACTAATATTAATACTGAATCATTATACGACACAGTACATCACAAAGATTATTTCAACAACACAATTGACAATGACTGAAAATGTTTAGCTCTACAACCGATCATAGTTGAAGGCTTTAGGGAAACTGACCGTTACAACAAGGGACAGCTATATGTATATCTTTTGTAATGTTTCGTAAGTTTAATTTCTCCCGCACTACCAAACACACACGCAGAAAAAATCACGAAAAACTTGGACCCACACATTTTTATTATTTTCGGGATCACTTACCGACTGTCGGTAATTAATCCGTTCAAAGTAAATCTTTTTATTTATAATCTTCTACGACAGACGGCATAATATGGCATTTTTTTTCCCTAGATATTTGTATGTATAGTATATGAAGGAGTATTTACACTCAGCGTCATTGATGTCGTCGGAATTTGTATAGAAGAGTATAGGGAAATCTAATGTATAACCTTAAAAAAACTGGACGACATTAATGACGCTGACTGTACACCTAATGTATGGTAAAAATATAAATGTCAATTTTGGCAAGAAATAATATTAACAAGTGTATAAAAAAATAGCTAAAATGAGTCATTTAAAAACAAGTCAAACGGAAATGGATATTGATGAAAATAATGTTAATGGTAAATACAATAAATAATTATTATTAAATTTTAAACTCATTATTATTTATAATTTATAGCATCACAGCAAACGACAAATAATACATGTCGTGTTATGGCATCATCAGGAACCGTTGGATCGGTTTCTGTTAGTTTACACCCTTTAGTTATTATGAATGTCAGCGAACATTGGACGCGACTTGTAGCTCAAGAAGGCAGTGAACAATTAGGTAAATGAATTATTATATATCCCATGGTTGATTAAATGATTAATTATTTATCTCGTTTTTTATACAGTATATGGAGCATTAATTGGCAAGCAAAAAGGTCGTCACATCGAAATAATGAATTCTTTTGAGCTGGTTTTCTCAATCATTGGTGGTGACGTTGTTATTGATAGAGATTATTATAATACCAAAGAGGAACAATTCAAACAGGTCTTTAGTGATATGGATTTTCTTGGATGGTACACAACTGGTGATGTACCTAATGAAAGAGATATTGGAGTTCACAGACAATTAGTCGTAATAAATGAAAGCCCAGTTCTTTTGAAATTGGATCCTCGACCTAAAAATACAGATGTAAATATAAAAAATGAATAGCAGTTAAGGTTATTGTCGTTATTTTAATGATGTAGATTATTTCTTATTATAGCAATTATCAGTTTCGATGTATGAATCAGTCATTGATTTAGTTGCTGGAGAAGCTACGATGCTTTTTGTTCCATTAAGTTTTACCCTCGCTACAGAAGAAGCTGAAAGGATTGGAGTGGATCATGTTGCAAGAATGTGTAGTAATGATCAAGGAGAAAATTCTCTCGGTTAGTAACAAGAGGAAGGATTTTTATTTTCAATGCTGACAATTGGACTTATTTATTGGTAATCCCATAGTTATGATCATTTTTTTAAGTATATTAATAAAATTTCAGTTGCTAAACATCTTATGGCTCAACATAGTGCTATAAAAATGCTCTACTCACGAGTAAAACTTGTGTTGATGTATGTACGGGCTGTTGAGTCAGGTGAATTGCAACCCAATCATGAAATTATGAGGGCAGCGCGATCATTAGCTCATCATCTACCTGTTCTTGATAGTGACAAATTTAAAGCAGATTTTTATAATGTAAGTAGATATATTTCAAGTTAATACAATACAATAATTAATGTCATTATTTCTTTTTTAGCAATGCAATGATTTTGGTCTAATGACATACCTTGGAATCATAACGAAAGGCTGCAATGATATCAATCAATTTGTTAATAAATTTAATATTTTATATGATCGTTCTGGCATGGGAGGACCTGGTCACATGAGACGTATGCGCAGCTTATTTTTCTAAATTGCTCATCAACGTCTTTTCTTTTTTTTTTTTTATTAAATTAATACATTTCAAAATTAATCATTTTCTGAAGTCATATTGATTATATTGTAATTTACCCAATTTCAAACATTTTTTAGTCGTTGTCATTATAAAACTTTCAATTCTTAATTATTTTTTGATCATTATTTATTTGTCTGTGCCCACAATCCACAACCTTTTAATTAATAATTCAAAAATCCCGCGTTTATTTTTTTTTTGGATTGCTCATGCGCAGAAAAAAAAATAGATATGTACAGTCAGCGTCATCAATGCCGTCCAAATTTGTATAGGGAAATCACATGTATAACCTTAAAAAAAACTAGACATCAATAATGACGTAGGTGTATGTATTAATGCTGAGCTTCGACATACATTTTTATTCGATATTTATCTTTAGAAATGTTTTTATTTCCTCATTATTTATCAATTAAAGAAAAACCAAAACTATATTTATAGTTTAATACTGGAGACCTACATCACTTGACACGGTTACAATTAAGACTTGTATACGTGTACGTACATGCAGTAAAATTGACTGTAAAATATATAAATAATTAATATAAATTATTAATTTGTAATTGCATGTAAGTAAATTTCAATTTTTTTATTATTTATTAAAAATTTATTTTGCTTTATAAATGAAATTAAATTTTATGTTTAGAGACATTTTCGATACCATGATAGCTTCTACGATTTGTCAAGAGGACACTATTGATGACATAGAAGACTTAACAACGTTGTTTGAACAACCGAAAAATCCAAAAATGAAGGAAACAAATGGACCAAAAGTTATTATTCGTCAATTACAGAATACTAAGCATTTAAATGAAGAAGAGGAAAATGCAAAAGATACTGATACTGAGAGTTTATCAAATTTACCATCAAGTATTGTACCTGGATGTGCTACTATTTATGTCAAAACATGGGGATGTACTCACAACAGTTCAGATAGTGAATATATGGCCGGGCAATTAGCTAGTTATGGATATAAAATTACGGATGATAAATTAAAAGCTGATCTCTGGTTACTTAATTCATGTACTGTGAAGGCTCCTGCAGAAGACCATTTCAGGAATGAAATCAAAGCTGGAAAGGAACTGAACAAATATATTGTTCTAGCAGGGTAACATTAATAATTATTAATAAATAGTCTAAAGATTTGATTAATAATTTATATTAGTTCAGTCAAAATTTATTTACTGAGATAAAAATGATAATAATTTTTTTTTTAACAGATGTGTACCACAAGCAGCGCCGAATAGTGAATTTATAGAAGGCTTTAGTGTTATTGGAGTACAACAGATTGATCGTGTAGTAGAAGTAGTTGAAGAAACGCTGAAAGGAAATTCTGTAAGATTTTTAGGTCAAAAGAAAGAAAACGGACGAAAAATGGGGGGAGCTTCATTATCGCTTCCAAAAATTCGACGAAATCCTTTAATTGAAATAATTGCTATTAATACTGGATGTCTCAATCAATGTACATACTGTAAAACAAAACATGCTCGAGGGAAGTTAGGTAGTTATTCTCTAGAAGAAATTGTGGATCGTGCTGAGCTAGCATTTTATGAAGGTGTTTGTGAATTATGGTTAACATCTGAAGATACTGGTGCTTATGGACTTGATATTGGGACAAATTTGCCAGAATTATTATGGCAAATAATTCAAGTCATACCAAACAATTGTCGAATGAGAATAGGTATGACAAATCCACCTTACATTTTAGAACATCTCGAGGAAATTTGTAAAATTCTCAATCATCCTAAAGTGTACAGTTTTCTTCATATACCTGTTCAATCAGGTAGTGATCAAGTATTGATTGACATGAAGAGAGAATATACTAGAGCAGAATTTGAAAAAGTTGTTGATTTTATCAAAGAACGAGTACCAGGTGTTACAATAGCAACAGACATCATTTGTGGTTTTCCTACGGAAACTGAACAAGATTTTGAAGAAACTATGGATCTATGTAAAAAGTACAAATTTCCAAGTTTATTTATTAATCAATTTTTTCCAAGACCAGGAACTCCAGCAGCAAAGATGGTTAAAATCCCTACTCAATTAGTCAAACAAAGAACTAAAAGATTATCTGAATTTTTTCAATCATACGAGCCTTATGCTCATAAAATCGGGGAAATTCAAAGAGTGTTAGTGACTGAAATATCACATGATCAAAAATATTATGTTGGACACAATAAATTTTATGAACAAGTTCTTGTACCAATGAAAAAAGAATATATGGGTAAAATGATTGCTGTTAAAATAACTGAAACGAGTAAATATTCTATGAAAGGAGAACCAGTAATTTTAATTATTTATTGGTGTCGATTTATAGATAAATTGAAAATAATATTATCAATATTTAATTTAAATAATTTGCTAACACTTATTATAATAATCTTATTTGCGATATTTGTTCAAGTTTTATTTTATTTTTTCGGTTATCAAAATGATCATTAAAATGTTAATAATTAATAAATAAACATAATTGAATAAAATATGTAAAAATGTATATTTATTTTTAAAAAAGAATTACCTACAGATTTTTTACAAATATTTTTATACAATTACATTTGGTATAAATTACTTTTGTTACACACTTCTTTCAATAATACTTAACAGTATGAATTATCTATAATAATATTGAGCAACATTATGAATATAAATTATATTAAAAATACAATAAATAGTATTCTGAAAATTTACTTGTTTCATTATGTAAAAATGATGTTATAAAGTATCAAGTTATTTGAGGCACGTTGTTTTTATTAAAATATAAAAAATATATATCAGTTATACTAATACTTATCATTTATTACTATATTGAATTTAATAATTAAATATTGTTTTTATTATAAAAGTATGTACGATTAAATAATTTTGATTATAATCTCGACAAAAAAGAGTACTTTTAACCATCGACAAGTATAAAAATATATTTTAAAAAAAAATGAGTTCATTTATCACTGGGATGTTTAATAATATTATTTGTTAATAATGGCAATCAAATGGCACATACATTTTTCTATGTATTATTCATTAAACAGAGAGCAAAAATATTTATTGAAATAATCTTGTGTGTTTTAAAAAACTTTGGAAAATTTCATAATAAACAGACTAGTAATTACTTTAAGTTAAATGGACAAGTTATTTAGTATTATTAAATTCAATTTTATGTCAATATAAAATAATGTCGACAGTTATCAATGTGATTTAAATTTGATTCACTCAGTAAGTAAAAAAAAAACAAAAAAATGAATGCTAGTTTTATATAACAAAAAAAAATAATAATAAAATAATTAACTTTTTAAAAAGAACTAAAAATTCATAAACGTCTAAGATTTCTTTTACTTTTTTTTGAACCAACAACAACAGGTTGTTCCTTGCGTTTTGTTGGTGTTAACAACAGCGGTGTATTACATGCTGCTCCATCATGACGTGATGATGAACAAATAGTACAAAATTCAGCACCACATCCTTCTCTAGTACAGGTACCTACATTATTTTCAATGTTCATGCGACAGGCAAAAAAACACTTTGGACATCGAAAGAGACGTTGTGATGGTGATAAAGTACGGCTTGCCTGAAACAAACAATATCATTTTAATAATCTCACAAATATTTTTAATTCATGAACTAAATCTTTTTAGGAATTTGGTAATTTAAAACCGAATTGATTATCGATATAAAGTATCAAATTTCATACAGGTATAGAGTATTTTATCAGGACTTTGAAATATATTTGTTTAACTTTGATGAAAAATTGCATTTTTTTCAGAATTATCTGGTTGTTATCATAGTCAAGTGAATAATAACAGATAGAAAATAGTACATAGAGAGATTGATAGCATGATGAAAGTAATGGTCAGCGTCAAGGGAAAGTAAAATTGAAAGGAGCGCCTAGCAACTAACAAAGTGTAAACGACAGTTAAGATGCCACACGTGGATGTATTTTTCTTTTTCATTTCCCTCCATATCAACGAATTTCTAAGAAAAAAATTTATCTAATTAATTTCATAAGATTATCAAATTGATTTACAACAAAGCCAAATCAATGAGTTGTCATAAATATTATTTTATTTTATCATCAATAAAATAATTAACAAATAAACTGCAGTTCTATGATTTAATAAATAATTTAAATAACGACATCTGTATTTTAATAGAGTGATAATTTTAACGGTCATTCAAGACAATATGGACATTAATTAAATTAATATAATATTTAAAATTACAACAAAAATATCTAATATATATCGGTTGCCATGCTACAAATTAAATAATAATATTGAGTTAATTTTAAATTATTTTAAATTAAAATTTATATTTAAATATATTTTAAAGTAAACGTGTGTGTGTGTTTGAAATTCGTTATAAACCGTCATTAACGGATAAAAAATTTGAGACATAAAATAAAATCAAAAACATTCATCAGACGTATATGGTTCTCTGTTTACTTGTGGCGCGTTTTTTTGGCTGGACCACGTTTCACGTCCGATACGATAATGATGCCAAGGCAGCGAAGATCTGCGCGAGTGCTGCATAGCAACAGAGAGCGCGTTCTTAACTCTGCGTGCGCGTCATCAAAACGCAATGTATTTTTCTCTCTTTTCCCTTCACTACCGAATATATATTCTCACCCGTAGAATCAAATTTTTAACTAAAAAAAAAACATTAAATTATCACAGAAAAAATACATCTACATAGAAATATTTTCTTTTGTTTTAATTATTGAATTAAATATCAACGATAGTGTTTTAAATAATCAACAATGTTGATTATAAAAACATATTTAAATTTTAAAATGAAACATCAATTGGCATTGAAACTGACTTCGTATTCTTTATTATTGTTGTTTATTTAGAATTTTAATTAGTTGGAATTATTTATTTTATTTTTTTTATTATCAATTGATAGAAATTAATTGAATGAATGAACAAAAAGTACCTTAACATATGAGTGAAATTTAACTTTACTAGGAGATACTGGCGGACTGCTAGATGGGATCATACGTCTAGTTGATACTTGAGTGTTTTGAACCTCCATAAGGTAATTTCTCTTAACCAACTTAATTTTTGGACTCAATGAGAAACAGTTGGTTTTTTTAACTAATGATGTTGATTTTTGATTATTTACATTTTCTTTGCTATTTTGTTTCCATTCAATAAATTGTAATCTTCGTAGATTTGCTAGGGTATCCAACCGACATATTCTTTTCCACGATCGTGATACCATACTTATAGCACAAAGATCTTGAGGTTTTAAATAAGAGAATATTTTTCTAATAATACGTGGATGATAAGTTTTTTCACCAAGTAAACTAAGAATATCCACTGTTTCTTTACCAGTATAATCAGGTGTAATAATTCCCTGATAATAACTCTGTTTCAAATTAAAATCAAGTCTTTTACGTTTAATGTCATGAGCTAAATGATTATATTTTAATTTATTATATCTATTTTTGATTGATATAACTGATGCAGGACTAGTTTTGCTTGTTTTCGGAGTGCAAGTTATGTGTGATAATGATTTAGATGAATCAACATAAGGTGTACTACTATTATGCGGTGGTACGATGACTAGTTTACTTGCTATTTCGTCTTCGATAAATGAGCAAGAAGCAGCAGGACTGGCAGGTGGTGATAATAATGACTGCACTACATTGTTAGTTGTTTCTGTTGAATTCGACTTTCTACTTCTTGTTCTGTATTCTCTTAATTCAGTTTTAAATTCATTACGATCTTTACAAACTGTTGATGTATTACTATCTACAATCAATTTCGATAAATATTGTTGTCTTAATTTTTGTTGTTGATTCTCTTCAAAACTGTTTAGATGAGGTTTCATAAAATTATTAGCATCATGATCAAAATTATTATTAAATGTATTTAATTTTAATTTTCTTCTTTCATAATAATTTGATTTATTTAGCCAACAAAATTTTTGATTTGTACTCAATGTTCTTGATGATTTACTTCTTGATTCAGTTGTATTATTGATGTTGTATGTAATTGAATGTGGAGTCGTTGATAGATATCCACTATCTGTTTGATTATTCGATGAATTATTGAAACTAGGTGTGAAACTAGAGTTTGCAATACTGAGATGATGATGGTGAGGTAATGGTGATGATGATGGTTCATTAATAATTACATCTTTTATTCCAGACATGTTTACATCTTCAAAAATAATATGTTGATTCATATTTCCTGCATTTATTGAAACTTATGTATTTCTTCTTATTATTACTTTAATTCAAACTTCTTCACAAACACAAATGATTAATTAAAATGTATTAATGTATTATTTACAATTTTTATATGAAATATTCACATAAATTGAGTAACACATTGAATTGTATATTTTTTTTTCCAACTACATCCCCAAACATAGTAGTGTGTTGTAGTTACTATCACCAAACAACATGGCACCCTTCGTAAAAAGTTTTTCTATTGTATTTTGTTTTCATTTTTTTAATATTGCATTCAATTACGTATAAAGCAAAAGTTTAAATATTTCATGTACCCCTGCCATTAAATATTAATTAATTGCATGAATATATGCAATATAACGGAATAAACGTCATAATCTACACCAATAAACACTGCGATAACTCAAACAAAACAATTTATACAGCGCGTAAGGGATGATATATATATTAGTACTAAACACAGCGAGTATTTCTTCACACAGTCAGTATGACCACCAGACTAATCAATGTAGTGAGTGTTTCGATGCTCCAAAAACACACACAATGAAACCATACACGCATTTTTATAATACACATTGATGTATGAATGGGTGTTGTTTTGTCATGTCACACACAACTGTTACACACGTATACACACAGACACACATCGTTATGTATAATATCTGTGGTGGCAACAAAAATCTCGGTATAGGAAGTATATTCGCGCTTTCTTATGTTTTGAAAAAAATTGTACGGTAAAATAGGACGCTCATAACCACACATTGTTGTTTATTAACCACTTGTGACGCCCGCAGCGCCCTCTAATGTCGACGCTACAAACTAACCACAATTCAAATGTTTTGATTCGAAAAAAACGGAAAAACAATTTTTTTTTTAATTATTTCATTGTTACGTTGTTCAAAAATATTGATAATAATTATCATAAATTATGAGGAAAAATTAAATATAGAGAATTAGAAATTTATGATTGTTTAATGAAAAAATACAACAAAAAAACTCGGTCGATAAATTTTGAAACAGTGTGTAACTTAACTATAGTGATGTGCATGTATGTATGTAAATAATGTTGTTATGTACACGAATGTGCATTCCTGACGAGAATATATGTATATATTTTTCATTGTAAATCAAGTATATTGTGATACTTGATTTTAAAGCATTGAAAATTTTTTTTTTTATAAACAAACGATCTTTTTTAAACTTATTATCAGTGTGAGAACGAAAATATCAAATTTCCAATAAAATAAATCAAGAAATTCTTGATAATGCTTTAAAATGTATAACGGCATATTTTATTATAATCAATCATACACAATTAAATAATATTCTGGAACAATTTTTATCAATTTATATTTAAAAAAAGGTATGTTTTCAAAAGTATTATATGCTCTTCTAAGAAATAATTTTAATATCTAAGATTAATTACATTTTTTCAAGATTCCATTAGACAGACTGCAATATTAATATTAAAAACAAACAATTAAAATGGCATTACACAGTGTTCCTCCTAAGAGGAAAGAAATTTACAAATATGAAGCACCTTGGCCTTTATACAGTATGAATTGGTCAGTGCGACCTGATAAAAGGTTTCGATTAGCCCTAGGAAGTTTTGTAGAAGAATATAATAATAAAGTACAAATTGTATCTCTGGATGAAGAAACTTCTGAATTTAGTGCCAAAAGCACATTTGATCATCCGTATCCAACCACTAAAATTATGTGGATTCCTGACAGTAAAGGTATGAATTCTTATTAAGTTGTAAATTCAAAGTTTAATCGTCATTTTTAATAGGTTTATTCCCGGACTTGTTGGCAACATCGGGAGATTATTTACGAGTATGGCGTGCTGCAGAACCAGACACACGACTAGAGTGTGTTCTTAATAACAATAAAAATTCCGACTTTTGTGCTCCACTGACATCATTTGACTGGAATGAAGTGGATCCTAATTTAATTGGAACCTCTAGCATTGATACAACATGTACAATTTGGGGATTAGAAACGGGTCAAGTTCTTGGCCGTGTAAATATGGTGACTGGTCACGTGAAAACACAATTGATTGCTCATGATAAAGAAGTATATGACATAGCATTCAGTCGTGCTGGTGGTGGACGTGATATGTTTGCTTCAGTTGGTGCTGATGGTTCAGTACGAATGTTTGATCTTCGACATTTAGAACATTCAACTATTATTTATGAAGATCCTCAGCATACTCCGTTATTAAGACTAGCATGGAATAAACAAGATCCCAATTATCTGGCTACAGTTGCCATGGATGCTTGTGAAGTTATTATATTAGATGTTCGAGTTCCATGTACTCCAGTAGCACGTTTAAATAATCACAGAGCCAGTGTTAATGGTATTGCCTGGGCTCCACATTCGTCTTGTCATATCTGTACGGCCGGTGATGATCATCAAGCACTGATTTGGGATATTCAACAAATGCCACGAGCTATTGAAGATCCTATTCTAGCATACACAGCTGCTGAAGGTGAAGTTAATCAAATTCAATGGGGAGCAACACAGCCTGACTGGATTGCTATTTGTTATAACAAAGCTGCAGAAATTTTACGCGTTTAGTTATTTTTTTTTTCTTTATTAGCTTTATTATCAATTTTTGATCGTTTTTTTTTTAATGGACAATTCTTGCTGTGCAGAATTTTACACAAATGAACAAAATTTATACATGTAAAAAATTTGCATATACAAATTGAATCATTGCGTAGCATTAGTACGGAAACGAATTTTTTTGTATATACGTATTTGATCGTATTTGAATTATTTTATTATCGTATTTTAAAAAATTAACAAAAAGTATTTAAAATACTTATCAGTTCTGTATTAGTGTTTCTGATGTATTCATATTCATATATTACTTAAAGATAATATTATTTATAATAATTAGCGAAAGAGCATTTATAGATTTAAAAATATATCTTTTACAGTTAATTATAATAATAATAATAATACTAGGAATAGTAATATAATAGAAGTAGTAATAATTTACTTAATATTAATTGACTTAAATGAAAATTTAATTTTTATGAATCAGTAATTTTATTATATTTCATTTTAAATATTTTAACAAAATGAATTTGGCTACAGTTGAATAAAATAAAATTAATTTAAATAAAATAAAAAAAAAAGCAGTATTGATGTACAAAATTTCAGATATTGCTTACAATTAAATATTGAAAATTTGTTAATACATATTTTTTTTAATCATTCTTATTATAATTATAATAATGATGGTGACGATGATTATAATGATAATGACGATAATAATATTTACACAATAATACTAGAGTAAAACAAGTTTACTTGCAATATAATGTAAATGTAACAACGTACAAGCCATTGTAAGAATATTACCCACAGCAATAAAAGAATGTGTTTTTCGAAATGCTTTGTAAATTTTCATATAATGTGGGCAATGTTTGAGAGTTGATAAATTTTGATAACCTATTTCATTACCATTTCCTGCTGCAAATTCTATCGCTTTCTTTTCTATCATAAGATGTAATAGTGGTGGTGTAAAATATAAACGTATAAATAGTTCTAAGAATAAAACTATCAACATTCCACCAACCTGAAAATAATAAATAATTAATTCTTATATTATCTAAATATTTATTTTAATTTTATTTCAAGTATTACTTACTTGAACTGCTATTTCAGTATCCCAAGTATAAACTGGATGATGTTTAACAAAAATTAAAAGCGTGATAAAACTTAGACAAGCATTCATCGTGAAGTATCGTGGAAAGAGTACTCGTTGGACATCATTGAATACATGTCTTGGTAGTGCAAAGTATAATGATAATCCTGTACATAAATAATAAAACATATTAATGATAATGAATAAATAAAATATACAATATAAATTATTTTAAATAATATAAATATTGATTATTTACCTGATACAAATGTCATCCAAATTTGACTTCCAAAGTGTACAACAAATGATGTTAGATAAATGAAAGACATTATTTGAGAATTCGATTTTTCAGAAGGTGTAATTTTATTATTTACAGATGCTGAATTAACTACTGACAAAATACTTAGAACAGCAACAATCATAATGACATGACCTGGTTGTGTTGTTGTAAAAAGAACTCTGAAAAAAAAAAAAAAATTATTATCAAATAATTAATAGAAATATTTTAAGATCATAGTATAAATATAGAATAGTTCTTTTATTATTTTAAAATTCTTTTCTAAACAAACATTTGTTCTATAATGACGTAATAAAGCGCTTAATGTATATATATAGTTATATATATATTGATACAAGTGTAGGACAGATATATGGGAATTTTAATTATTCAATTAGTGTGAATTCAAATCTAAAACGATAAACTATAATTTACAACTTAATATATTAAAAAATAATTAGTAACATCATAAAGTAATACATATTAATTTATAACTTGATCATTATTATTAATTATATAATAATTATAATACTTACTTGTATAGCATAGATTTTTCATTAATTTTACAATATCTTGCAAGAAAAGCAATTATGATTTTATATTTAATCATTATAAGTGCTAAAATATCTGATGAAACGTAATCATCATGATTATTAATTTCTCCTTTTTCAAATTTCTCTTCTCTCTCCATTTGTTCATCATACTTTTTACTATATTTTTCTTTATATTTTAAATTTTTCGTAGTTTTACTTTTAGTAGTTTGTAAAACTGGACGTTGAATTTCGTCAGGATGTGTATTATTATTTGATGGACACGTACGGACGCACATGATGTCAAAATATTTATATTCACTTGGTAATTATTATTTTTTTTTCAAAAAAGTTGATAATATAAATTATGTAAACGTTTAATCACTGTTAAACATTACATATAAGATACATGATTCCCAAAAGATGCACTTAATTTCAATGCTATCTGATAAACACAATCACTCTTACTTCTGTCGCGGCTGTCTAGTCAGTCTTTGAGAAAGATTTTGTATTTATACCCGTCATCTTCACGTTTACCCCTCCCCTAGTGCCGGTAACTTGACGTTATTGGTATCCCAGTGCAGAACAGTGCTGGAAAGTCTTTGGAGAGAAGGGATCCAGACAGGCTATGGAGTAAAATTGCACGAGTGGGGAACGTATGCAAAGAGGAGTGTATAAATGACCAAACTAACAAGAACGCCAGTTGCATAGGATTATTAAAAATAATGAATTATTAGAATAAATCAAATTACAAATATGATCATACTTAATAGAAAATCAGCATACTGATTTTTTTATAGCTTTGTCAATTAACGTTATGAAAACCTTGATAGAATGATAATGATGGTAAGTTATAAAAACAATAAATATGAATGATAAATAGCAAAATGTATGAATAAAAATATTTTATAATTTACACAGAAATAAATCATTTTAAAATATCCAGCCAGACGTTAAGAAAAAACCAATTCGGGTCCTTGATTTTGGTCACGTATTATATGCACCCGCTATTCCACTATCATAAGTAATCTTACTGTCCTGACAATAAATGAAATATAAATAAAAAATAATCTTTTATTTGAATTATTTTTCATCAAAGTTCGTAAGTATGAAGAATATTATTTTACAGTTCCAAATTACTTTGATATAAAAAGATTAATTTTTGACAAAAATACTATTATATTGTATTTGTTTAGTTTGCAGATAAAACGTTAACTTTTTTCTTTAATAAAAAAAAAAAGGAGAAGAAGAGATAGTTTACGTACTATAATTTTAAATTTGTGACACAGACATTTGGCATATTGCCTGTGTCAATACATATGTGTATATGTGTACGTAATGAAAAGATTCCGGAGATAAAAGTATACTGACACACAAATCAATTGAAATATAATTGCTAACTTTACTGCATACGTATTACATTTATTATAAAAGGAACACAAATTGGGAATAAAGTATTATATCTATGTGTCATATAAAGTAGAGATATTATTCTAATAATGTGTATTTGTCATATTTTTTAATAGATCGATCAAATTATATATCAAAATCAATGTGCATTTTAATTCAGAGGATTTAATGTAAAATTACTCCCTAAAGTGCGTACGTGACTAAGCTTACATACTTTTCACTGTGCCTGTAAGCCTCATACACTGACCGAAAACTGCTCATATATGTGTACAGAAACACAAATATCTCATAAGTAAAATTGAATTATCAATAGAACCCATTATCAGTAGCTTGCTTTTAACATAAAATCAAAAAATCATTAATTTTGTAAAATCTATTTATTAATTATCTTTTTTTTTTCAAGAATTATTTTCGAAACTATTCTTTTTTCTTGGGAGATAGGAATTTATATGCATTCAAACATTTCTCATTATATAAAATTGTATGAAAACTAAATCTACTATAGATTGTTCATATAATATTATAAGAAGTAAATTGAAATCATATAAAAACAAAATAAATTATATATCCTATAAGTATTTTTTTTTTTACAAAATTTTTTTCTTTAATATTTTCAAGTTTTCATTCATGCATATTTATTACATGATATTATGAATTAGATTAATTTGTTGAATTTTAAAATAAAATTATCAGCTACTGAAGAAAAGAATTGTTTTTTTGTTTTTTTTTTTGTTTTTAAAAAATGAAATTTACATTTTAATAAACTGTTTAGAAGAGCAAATTTACTTAGTGACTTAATATAACGTACATATTTAACTTTGATCCATAGTATTAACATCGTTAACACTATTACCAGAACAATCTTTTTGAATTGCGTCAAATAAAACACGTAATTCTGGAGCACTCTTGATCATTCCCATGAACTCACTCAATGATGGATTCTTATCTGTAACAATGACGCAAAATAATTATTAGTCATACTTTATGGCTTTCTTAATACTGTTTAAAAATAAAATAAGTAATTAAATATGTACCAGCATCAGGAATAGTTAAAAGTGCAGCTACAGCTCTTAGAGCTGATCTTTTTAATTCTTCTTGCTTTTCGTATTCTTGCTTCACAGAATTGGCCTTTACTTTCATTGTACATGTATTTTTCAAGGGTTCAACCAATCTTTCTAATCCTATAATAAATATTAATAAAATAAATTTCATAAAAAAGTAACAATGTAAAATATTTTTTTAGATCTGATAAAAAAAAAGCTATAAATTTTCAAGTATAATTAAATCTAAATTAGCCAGACGTAATAAATTCAATAATAAAATGATCAATTATCGTTAATTTTTATCTAGATTTGATTAGATAAAATCAGATCCAAAAAATACTAAAATTTTCCGGGAAAGAAATATAATTACGTTGTAAAACAGCGGTTGGACAAAGTTGAGCAAGACGTGCGGTCATCAGATAAGTCAACATTTTAATATCGTAATGATCTCTTAAACCACTTTCAACATGTTGGAGAAATTCAAAAATGTCTAGTCTATCCAGACAAGAATCCAACAATGTATACATACATTCAAATGCAGCTTTTCTCAAATCCAAACCATCATCAACTGTATGCTTAAATGGTCCCATTTCAACTTCTCTTATCAATTCTTTCTGTAAAATGTATTAATTATTAAATTAAAAATGAATAAAATAAAAAATATAAATGAATAATAAATAAAAAAAATTAATAAAATAATGTCATAAAAAAATTACAATTAAGATTAATGTTACCTTGGTTTTAGTTTCCGCATAGAGTTTTGGTAAAACAGTCTCTAAAAGATCTCTAATTAACATTGGTTTATTATGAGCTGCTGAATTAAATGCAACAAGTGCTACACGTCGAACATTTAAATCTGGATCTTCTAAAGCTACAAGAAAACTACCCATACACTGTTTAAGCATTGCATCAATTTGTTGAGGTTGATCAGATATTGTAAATTTAACAGCAGTAACAGTCGTGGTTCTCATCAAAGGTGATAGCGATTTTAAAGATTCTTGAAGTCTTGGAAGTAATGTCATTGGATCAATAAGAGTAAGCTTTCCTAAACATTCAGCAACAACATTTCTTGTACCCTCTTCAGTACATTCACAATGCCGATATAAAAGTTGCCAAATTAATGGTACAAAATTCTGAAGATGTGAAACGCCTGTTGAACTACTAGATTGACATGTTATAATTTCTTTTAATGAATGAAGAACAAGATATTGCCGTTTTGGTTGAGCTTCAATTTCATCCAAAATAAATGGTAAATATTCAGGTAAATTACCAACAGCTATATTACCAAGTGTATAACTTGCAGCTGATTTAACTTCTTCTGAATGTGATGAAAATGAATTAAGTATAACATTCTTAAGTGTTGGAATACCACTTAAATCAACATGTTTACCAATCTCACCAATGACAAGAAGTGCAAAAATATGTTGTGCATCATTTTTAGAATTTTGAACATCGCGAATAAATTGTTCAACAACTTGGTAAGCTTCCTCTTCTTGACAAGTTATAGTTAATGCCGCGGCACATTTTGCTAATGAGTGATAAGCTTGTTTGTGAAGTAATGATTGATTAACAGGAGCAATTAACATTGATAGTAATTGTTTATAACCAATCTCTGGTATATCAGCTTTCACTAGTGCCTGGAATAAATCTAACATAGCATTCAACGCTGCGCCTTGAAGTAAAGGAGATTTCACTAGTTCAAGAACTTCAGGTAGAATACTGTCAGAAATACAATTCACTAATGCAACTGGATAAAGTTTAGCAATTGTAGTAAGTAAAGTAAGCGTTAATTGAGCTATATGAAGATCTGATTCATTTAACAAAGCTGGCAGCTCGGCAGTGACTTTATCCAAAAGATCAGTATGTAAACTTGATGAATAACTACGTACTAATGTATCTAACAGAGTTAGAGATGATAACTTGAGTGCCCTTTGATTTTTTCTTAAAAATGATCCAAGAATAGGGATTGCTTCTTCCATTATTGGCTCTAAATCTACACGTAATGGTGATGCCGCAATACAAGTTAATGCTTTGACAGTAGTCAATCTTGTTATTTCATTGCGTAAACGATCAAGAAAGATTGGTAAACAAACAGGTAATTGATCATGTAAAGTATCACTGAGATGTGCTATTATTTGACCCATACATGCTATTGCTCGCTCTTTGACTTCTTGATCAATATCAGCTGTTTTTAATCTGGTTAATGTACTATAATAAATTTCGCTAGATATTGAATTAAAGTCAAACTCAACTGGTTTGCCGTTATGAGGTCTAATTACTTGTACAAGCTGTTGAAGTACTAATAATGCTTCAGCTGTTATCTTATAAAATGGATCACTAACAGCAGCGATAATTGGTGGAGCTAGAGCTGACATATAATTGTGAAATGCTTCAGGTTGATGTGTCGTTAAAAGTGTATAAACAAATGCAAGTGCATCAATTTTCATATTTGACGATGAATTTTTATCGCCGAGAGAGTATTGAATTCCAGGTATTAATGCTGCAATATTATTGGTCAATGCACCAGGTAGAACAATAATAAGTTCTTTAAGTAAAGCGAAACAATCTTGACGTGTCTTAATACTTTTCTCTTTCATTTGACGATGAATAGCTTTAACAATAAGAGGTACTTGTTGTTGAAGCAAAGCTATTGGACACTCTTCATCTTCCATTGAATCAGGATCAAGTGCTGATACTGGTGTAGCACAACTTGATGTTGGTTTAGTTTGTCGTAGTAAAGCAATGTAGGCATGGAATATATCTGACTTAACATTTTCTTCACGTTCTTTAAATCTAGCAATGATGGCAGGTGATACATTCTTATATAATTCTGGTAATAATTCTCGTCTTGTTGAAACTACGGCTTCTAAACACTTGGCACCAGCACGACGTACTTTCCAGCTCATGTCATCATCATCAGAATATTCATCTTCACCGTCTTCTTCCTCTCCACCTGCACCATCATCCTCAGTTTCCATTGTTATTCCATCCCCATGATGATACATATCACCATCATTCATTGTATTATCATCATCGTCATCGTAATTGTAATTTGGATCATAAGTTATGTAAACTAAACATATTTCAATTATTTTATTTATGTGAGGTGTAATTTCTTTTGGACAACGATAAACAAATGATTCGAAAGCTTGTAAGCAATATTCACGTAATTCATCATCGTCTTCATTACTATATTGTACAATAAGTGGCATCACTCGTTCTATTTGTTCACCAAATCTATGTCCAGCTTGACGACATATTGAAGCAATACATTGAATATATGTACGAATAATATTCTTAACTTTTGGCGCAGTTAATCCCTCAAGTAAATGATCGATAAGTTTTTTATACAAAAAATTATTGCTTGATGTTAACAAATGACTAAGAGCTACGATTGTACGTTTTCTTACAGCTTGACGTGGTGATGATAATTGTGGCAATAAAGCATTTAAAATTGTCGAGTGAAAACTAACTAAAAGAGAACCAAATCTAGACAATAAATCTGCAACAATATCTAATGCCTCCAGTTGAACTGAAACGTCTTCTTGTTTTTCAATGGCGCTGCTTAATTTTCCTGTTATTCTTTTACAAACATTTTCTGACAAATCACTAGACCCTAATGGAAGCTCGGATATTACTGTTTTCAATCCTATACTTGATATATCTCGAAGTTGTTCTTTATCAGAGATCATGTTGCTACAAAGAGCATCAACAATTGTTTCGACTTGATACTCTTTTACTTTATTTACTAAAGGCCCCAAACTGTTAACAAAAAAAAAAATTTCAATATTAATAATTTATAAAGATTTTTATATTTTTAGTGATTAAAATGCTGATAAAATTTTATCATTATGATAGTTGCTATTACTAATATTGTCTAGCTTTTAAAATTATTATCTTTAATTTATAACATGCTAAATATTGTCTGTCATTTATACCATTTTACAGCAAGATTTTGTACTTCTCCATTTTTATCTTCGAGCAATCGAAGAAGCATTTTAACAACTTTTCTTTCGGAATCATCATCCAATTTAATATTGTCTTTCTGCAATTCTGTCATCAAGTCATTTGTAGCCATGAACCTAAAATCTTTATCACTTGATGTCATCTGGAAAGCAAATTGAAAGTAATAATAATAAACAAGAAATAGGCAAAGTTTTTAAAATATTTATGGTGCGTATGAAAATATTCTATAGGTTATAGACTAGCATTGGAAATCTCTCTACGAATAAAATATTTTCAGACCAAAAGAATTTGCTTAAAATTCGCAAAAAATATATTATTTACAAGACATTTACCTTTTCTAGCAGATTTGCTATCTGATATGAAACACTAGCCATTGTTGTAATGTACAAAAATTCGTCAACCGGTTTCTTTTAATGAATCTTAAACTCTTGAATGTATCTTGATTGTTTCACTCATTAATTGTTTTTTTGCATGCGCTCACACATACGAGATATGCGTTCTAAAACTTTCTTTATTATTGGTTGAAATTTTAGAGCATATATTCGTGTACGGTATAGCGTCTGTTGTGTATTTTCGAATTATACTATATTAAAACATGGCCGTCGATGATGCCTCTTTCAATTGTTTGATGGTACTAATGTTTTGCAATGCGTATTTTCCTAATAAAAAAACAAAAATTCATCAGAATAACTTTTAATTTTAGGATTCAAAGTTATTAATCTTTAACACAAAATTTATCTCTTGATTATTATCATAACCTATAAGCAGCCGTTTACATTTAGAACCAGACAGTAAACAGGATTTGGGATTTTCCACAGAATGTCTGACCATTAATGTGGATCTGTTTATTGTCTAGAAAGCCTAGATTAGCATTTCAGCTTAAAAGATCTGGGACTTAAAAATTTTTCCATAATTGTTTGTGTTCGTCACTAATAACTGATTTGAGATAAAATCAGTTTTATTTTTGGAAAACAAATGATTACAAAGAAAAACAGGATGGAAAATCATGCGGTATATCCGAAGCAATTGTCATCGTGTAAAATTTCAACGTTGCCTCCTTGTTCAAAACTTCTTATTATTTTAAAATAAATTTATTTAATTAGTTGAGATATTAAAATACCTTTCAATCATTCGAGATATTAATTTAGTAAACAAAAAGAAAAATATAATCGCTGTCGACGCTGTGGCTTCCCGCTCTTTTCAGTGAAATTTTCTAGTTGCGATCACCACCGCAACATTCAAGAGTCGCTTTTTAAAAAAAGTGTACCGTGCGCCCTCTATACAGGAATTAACCTAAACATATTGACGAGAGAGAAAATTTTTCTTGCCGAGTTTATAAATACACTCGGAAAAATTAAAAAATTTTATTCAGTGTGTTTTATATGCGCATTTGTAATATTATTTTAATTAAAATGATTTGGTATTAAGTTTGAGTTGATACTTTTTTTTGTGAATACAATACACGTGCAATAGTGTTGAATAATGATTATGTGATAGTCAATAATAATGAAGATTATCATTGTTTATTTGTTTATTTTCTGATGTTTTTTACTTGCAAAATTGAATACAATGGCTCAAGAGACTCACGATATCAATTTAACACCTCAAGAATTACAAATTTTGTCGGAATTGGACAGGTAAATACATTTTTTTCAATACATAACATTTCACTTTGCGAATCTTCAACCGTGTGATTCTGACCTACATTTAATATGCATAACCTGCAATACAAAGTTGTTGATGTTGTTTGAATTTTACATATAATTATCATATAATAATTATTGTAATTAATACATATAAATTTAATTATAATTCATTAAAAAATACATTGAAATAATTGAATTTTCTTTCTTCAATTTAGCCGACAATTTGGATTCCTCAAGTTGAATTCTCCAGAGCAAGTGAAAAAAAAGGCTCTAGTGGTGAAAGCTATAAAGTATCTGGAGAAAATGCTGATACAAGCACAAGCAGAAAAACAAAGACGAAAAATTGACGGTATTAGGTCGACTAATTGTGACTCGAAGAATGATGAAGATGATAAAGTAATCAGCATAGATCCTAAAACTTATTGCAAACTAGGTCATTTCCACTTGTTACTTGAAAACTATAGTAAAGGTAACACTGCATTTATTGCATGTAATTTATTTTATCTAAACTGACAATACATCATTTATGTAACCATTTAGTTGTCAATACTTAACTTAATTTTAATCCCAATGATATAATAAATATCCACTTATTTCATTTCTGTTAATACAGCCATGTCAGCATATCAAAAGTTTTATGTTTTAAAAACGGATTATTGGAAAGATGCTTCATTTCTTTATGGACAAGGGCTGGTTTATTTTCACTTCAATGCTTTTCAATGGTGAGTCATTGAATATCAGTATTTTACAATAATTCAATTCATTCATTATTCAAACGAAAAAACAAGTACTTCATGAAATGTAATGCACTTCATGGTGTACACATTTTCATAATCATTTCATATATTTAAGAATCATCAATGATTCTAATTGTTTTATATAAATTCACTTAGAGATTACAAATGCAAAAAGTGACAGAAGAATAAATAGTTTGTTGATAAAAAAAAAAATACAAAAATTCGAAAAATTTTTTTTTTTCAATTTCATGAACAGTATAAATTTTATTAAAATATTTATTAATGAATATATTCCTCATTCCCCAATGAATTCAATTGAAATGGAAACTGGATTTTTTATATAAAAGTGTTCTGTTGGACACAAAAATAAATGCATTTATCTTCAATTACCTTTAGTCGGTATCATATCATATCAGTTTTGACTCTAATTAGACCGCTAGGTGTCGAGAATCATCAGTCTGAGGTCTACGTGTTAAATGAAATTCCCTCAATGGCGATCAAAAAATATAAATTATCAATCAAGTTTATAAATAGACTTAGTTACATAGACAGATGATTCATAGACAACAAGATATTCATTATCATCCAAGAAAATTCTTTTTATTCCCAGAATTCTCAGAGTAGATCAAATCATTGAATATTTTAGCTTGATACCTTTAAAATAAAGATTTTCCATTATATTTATTAATAGAAATTCCAAAAATGCATGATATTTTAATCAATGAATTTTTTAATGATCCTTAACCTATAATACTAAATTTTATTAACTACTTTTCTGATAATATATCAATTAATTATATCTGGTATTGTTTTATCATCATTTCTTGAAAATTATATATCATTTTAATGGATAAATATTTAAATTTATTATCATTACATATACAAAAGACAATAGAACATCAAATTTTTCGTTGCACAAAGCATGTAAATTTCTTTATTCTTAATTGTTAAATATAAAATGGAAGATATGAATAAAAATCAATTTCAAATGCTTATAAATAACTGTTGTCGGTGGAGGAATTGGTAAAAATCGAAACAGTCTATAAAAGAATGGAAATTGCTTTCGCCATACCTCGAACGTCGTAGGTCACGTACACAAAACGAGTAATATAATTGGTGTAGGCAGGATACAATGGCTTAAAATTCTGAAATTTTGGCAATGCCATCTCTCACATCAAACATATCTTTTTATTATTATCAAATAAACGTCAATATTTACTTAAAATTATTTTTATTCATCAATAATTCTTATTAATTCGAAAAATTTATTTACCAATTTTGATTTAAAAAATCTCTGCTTTTTTTTATTAATTAATTATTAAATTATTTAGACATGACAAAACTTTTTCAATTCAATTATCTTTATTCATTTTAAATTCAAAAAGAAATTTCTTATTTTTAATTTATCGAAAAATTCAGAGAAATATTAAGGATAATTCAATTGAAAAAAAATGCACTGTAGTTGAACTTTCATTAAACAATTAATTTTTTTTAACATTATTATGATTATTAACATATGCATTTGTATATTTATATCTATATGATTCACTTTTAAAGGTCAAAAGATACAGTTATATAAAAATTTTACATTTTCATTAAAAATATCTTTATTATTCAAACGTTATTATAACAAATAATGAATACTCCATTTAAATAACCTAAAAAAAAAAAAAAATTTCGAAAAATTATATAAAAATAACTTTGTAATATCATGTATACAGTATATAACGTATCGTGTGACGTCACGATTCACAGAGTTACTGTAGTGTCGTAAATAAACATGGGTAATAATGAGAGTACGTATACATATATGTACGCATTGATACATGTTTATGTGTTTATTATTTTCGTGTGACGTCATTTAAAGTATCTTGATGCACCCGCGCGAGAACGCAAGTAATAAGAGACCGAGACCAAAAAAAAAAAAAGGAATAAACTAGTAAGCCTGTGTGTATTACTCTACGAGTTGAATGACCTAACGTTCAGAGTTCAATACACTGCAGCGTCGTCATGCCACTTACACTACACGGCAACTACACATTGTATATATTTGCACTTCCTCAGGTATTTGTCTGAGATTTTCGCTTCAACAAAATCATCTTATCATTTTATTTTGATGTATTTATATATATATACATTCAGTGTTAACGGTTTTTCCATTTAAACTCCAAAAAGAAGAAAAAAAAAAAAAGAGGTTAAATATAACCAAAAAAAATTTTTTTAAACATTTCATGATTAAATTCCAAAGTCTCTGATTAATTAAATAAGATAATTATCACGCATTAAAAGATACTGAATAATCGATACTAAATAGAATAAAATATTTACATATTCAACTGTGTGATGATGTGTAGTGTATGTAAGTACAGTTTAGTATTAACCTTGAATCAAATGGATTTTTTATATTAAAATACAAGTCTAGATAGCGATAATAATATATTCGTAGAACGAATAATTAATAATTTAAAAAGACAATGAATACAACAAAACTTTTTAGCACAATAATAGTGCTTATTGGACAGTGGTTTACGTCTACTTGCACTTCTAGTCGATTGGCGTTGATGTAACAAAACAGTACAAGATGGTAAACAGTGGTCGTGACTATTGAATGTGTTGGAGGGCTGAAGGGAAATTAATGGTAGGCGACTAGAAATAGGGCCATTGCGCATGCGCTTTTTCACATGTTTTATATATATGTATATATACCTATACTTATATCTATAGAGAATTTTCTATCCATACTAGTATACTTTACCCCTACTTTGTTCTCTTACTTAGTCGCACCCGGTTTATTCTCCCAGCTCCACCCCTCCAACCTCACTCACTTCCCTCAAGTTAGAGTCAGTCGCGCGAGAACCTTTAGTGGGTGAGGTGCCGCGCTCTCTCACTGCCATTTATTTATAGAATATACATGAAAACCTACATACATTTATACAAATATGTATTCATATGTATATATTCATCTATAAAATAAAGAAAAAATTTAAATATCAATATTTATAAATATGTGAGATATTTTAAATAATATTTATACGTGAATTTATTTTTAAATTCTAAAAATCCCTTTGAAACTTGATAAATTAATGAAATAATAATCAATTTAAGTGAATTGCTAAATATTGATACAAGTTTTGAAGTATTTAATTATCAGAGACAAAAGAAAGGTATCAAGCTTGGTGTTGTTATTGAAAAAGTATTTAAAGATAAATTAGTGTTAATAATCATTTTTATATGATCAATTTGTATTGTTTGGATTTATTTGTCATTTAATAAACTTGATATTATGATAATTAGTATTATAAATACTCAAAAGAAGTGATGAAGTTTTGAAAATAGTGTTTTTGTTCTGATTCAATTGGAAATAACAAAAAAATAATAATAATAATAATAGCAAATACTGCAGTGAAGTGTAATTTATTGTGATTAACCCATATGTTGATATACAACGTGATTACATATTGATAACAACGTAATCTGTGTAAACAAAATCAAGTGATTCGTTAAAAGAGTCATTTAAACATATTCGAAAGTATTTACTCAGTCGTAACTTAATTTGATAGTTGAATGAAGAACTACTAAGATATTTAAATGGTGAGTTTTGTTGTCATGTGTTCAATTAAGATGTATTGATAATGATCAATCATTGTTTTTTCAGACGCAGTTGATGATAGATTGTCGAGATATATATATATATAAATATTTAAAAATTATTAGAAACTAAAAAGCAGATTAAAAGTTAGATGTAGCAAACATTATTTCTGAATGTCACAAAATGGCGGTATGACACAAGAGTTGTGTAGCAAACGGCTGCGGCAAATAACTATAGCGTTTAGTTGGCGAGCGCGTGGCACACACGATGGAGAAACCGTTACGGCATATATTGCAGTGGGTCAATGCAACAAGTCGCGCGAATACGTCGCGATAGTCTCACATTTATAAATAATTGGTATGCGTGTAACATGGTGTATGTTGCATGTATTATTTTAACTAGTATCAGTGAGTGATAAATTCATACACTCATATATATATATACATTCACACAAACTTATTTATTCTTATATCTTTTTGTTTTATAGTTGCTGTCTTACGTATGTTATCTACAATAGACAATGACAAATTAAGTAAACACGTGCTTGATCATAGAATATAGAAATTGAGATGAAAGTAGACATAAATACTTGATTCATTACAATCAAGTGTTGATGTAAATAAAAGTTAAGGTTGCATTTTTTATGAGTATAGTTGATTGAGCAAGCAGCTGGATAGAAACCAGGTCACGTGTATGCACTACAATGAAACAATGCAGTACTACCGATCTAATTGCGAAAATTTCAAATCATATATACACTTTTTTAATATTCTAAAATATTATTTTTACTCAAAAATTTAATAATTACATTTTTTTTCTATAAAAATTAGCCATTTTTTGTAGTTAATATAATTTTTAGAGTAGAATGAAATGATTATTATATATTTTATCTTTACATAAGTTATCTCAATTGATTTTTGTTTACTCATATAAATTATTAAATTACCAAAAAAATTTTTTATCATAGTCATCTGAAAAATGACATATTGATGTTAATTCAAAATATTCTTTTAAATTTTATTTAATAAAACAATGATCAGTCATTGATATTTCATGTTATATATCATTAATTATTATCACTTTAACAATATCGTTCATGTTAATATGTATATTAAAAGTATAGTAGGGTTCAATTTCGTATCAATACGTACCTTGTAGGTCTACGTGACCCTGAAAGTTCAATAGCCTTCAGGTTGGGGTATTATTCATTCCTTTCAACAATATTACTTTTATATTTAATTAATATAATTAATGAGATACTTATACGGACATTTTTGTCAACATTTATCTTTCATTATCATGGAATATTAACAATAATTTTATTGTTGGATTTAAAAATTCTTGATCTACTTACAACAAATTGTTTATATTAAATTTAAAAGAATTAAGTTTATTCGATATACTTTTAATGGTTCAATGAATTGAATATTATATTATAGATATAATAATAGACAGTCCAGCTGACGAGCAGCTGCCGACATCCTGCTTTATACACACGTTGTAACTTATAAGACCTTTGCTGTTTAAGGCTTAATTCTCCTTTTTTCTGTCTTTATAGTAAGAAAAAAAAAATGATTGCAATACTACAGTTTATGAGAGCAAAGAAAACGATGGACATAACAGTAAGACAGGTGTTCAAGGCACGCGACTGTATCGATAATGCTTAAATTTGTCAGATTAACGTTTATATATGTCTTTTTTTTCAATCTTAACAATTTTATATATATATTATTATCGACAATTATTTATTTAATTATATAAATAAAATTCATGATGATAAGTTTTGTATTATTTAAATATCTGTAATGTAGATTGTTTAATATGAAATTGATAAATTTACATTCTCATCCATTGAATATTATTTGTTACAGGGCTGTGAAAGCATTTCAGCAGGTGTTATGGGTAGATCCAAGTTTTCCTCGTGCATGCGAGGTACACCTTCGCCTCGGTCTTATGCTCAAGGTTTTGTCTGACTTTGATGCTGCTCTCAAACACCTGACGCTTGCATTTATCGATGCTAGCACACCAGCATTATTTTCCAAACTTGAAAGTATGTATATGTATAATATTATTTTTTCGAATTATTTAATACCCCCATATTCTTAACATTGAAAGAGAAAAACATAATTATTATTTAATAATAATATTAAATTAATAATCATCAATAATATAGAGAATAATTTTAAGCAAAAGTTACATTTTTAATATGTTAATTTATTAACAATAAATAAATTACTTCCTTTGTTTTTATTTATAATAATATTTATGATAACTTTCTCTTTAATTTAATGATGTCTTCATCATCAACATCAAAATAGAATTTTAATTATTTTTATTGATAGAAAAGCAATTGAAGTAATTTATTAAATCATAATTAATATATTAAATAATATGATTACGTTATTAATTGGGTATTTCTTTTTTTATTTGTTACAGTTAAATTTCATATTGCTCATTTATATGAAGTTCAAGGAAAATATCGTCTTGCTAAAGAGCATTACGAGACACTCCTCAAAGAAAAATCCTTACCATCTCATTTAAAAGCAGACATCTGTCGGCAATTAGGTAATTAATGAATCTTACATAAAGTGAAGAAGGTTAAATTAAAAATGAGGACGTTATTCTGAGCATAAGTAGAATTGAAGGTTGAACAGTATACGGCAGACACGTGTATTGATTTATTCCGAGGGTTGAAGAGAGTAAACGAGAAAGGGTCGTCGCGTCGGGGATGGAACAGGGAGAGAAATTTTCGGGCTAACAAAAGAGATAGAAGCCCACTATGGTATATAGCACCAATGGCAAGCAAATTGATGTCCATCTATAAGATAGTGTTAAAAATTTTAAAGTTATACTCAGATTAGTTTTGTTTTCTCTATATTTACAATCTAAATAATTATAGAATTTAAAAAAAAAGAATTCTATTAATAACAATACAATTATTTATCTTTTTATTTCATCAATTTTATTTAACTATGAAATATAAAAGAATAAAATAAAAATTAAAACTATGAAAATGCTAGAGACACATATCAAGTAGTCATGATGTTACTAGACGACGTGATATTCTTCCCTAACTAAATGGCGGACTCCCGAATGGTGGATTTTGCATTAAAAGATATAATCTGTACTATATATTGTATTGTATTATATAATATAAAAGAAATATAGAGATCTTATTCAAAAGCTTCAACATAAAGTAGAGAAAGAAATGAAAATACTGAAACCAGGTGTTCTTTTCATACCCTTATAAGTACAGTACTTTTGACATCATTGATATATACTTCTTTGATATAAATTAATTTAGTTTGCATCAATTTTGTTAAATAATAGAATAGAAATAATATCAGACAAAGTCTTATTACGTATGCTATGAATTTATAATATTAGAAATATTGAATTTTGAATAATTAATTACTTTCAAACATAAATGAGACATTTTCATTTAATATTTATATTATTATTTGTAAGATTCAAGTAATTTTGTGTCTTGTAAGTAAAAATATGAAAAATCAACCTACGCCAATGGTTATAGGGATTTGTAATTTGAGAGAAAATTGAGAAGAAAGAAAAAGGTCCAAGGAGAAACTTAACAACAATACTGGTAGCATAAAATGACTATTCTTAGACCCGTATCTAATACTGTACTGGAAAGCTTTATTGTACAGATCTACCTGATGCTATATATAATATCAAAAAAAAAAGTTTTGAACAATTTTATACTATTTATATTAGCATAATTTAGTTGAACTTTGGTTTTTATGACCTTTTTTACAATTACTTGAAGCAATTATATTCTGTAATATATGACAGATGTTTAACGTTGTTAAAATCACATTCAATTTGAATATATTTCATTGATTTTAATAAATATTGAATGTGAAAATAGAAAAATAAAATTTTCTATAATGAATGAACCAAAGAATAGACAATTAAGACTTTCAATTTTAATTATTTAATTTTTATTACGTAAAAATGGTTGATAATAGATTATTATTAGAATACAAATTCAATAAGTATGAAGTATACCTTTTAAAAAAGAAAAAAAATATACGACAGTTACTTAGAGTACTAATTTAATTTTATATATTCATTCAGTCTTTATCTGTTAATTTAACTATATTAATTTATTTTTCAGGATGGATGTATCATGTAGTTGACTGTTCAATTCTAAATGTTACTCGACCACAAAAACAAGCATTTGCAATACATTGTCTTCAAAAGTCAATTGAAGCAGAACCAAAGAGTGGTCAAAGTCTTTATTTATTGGGTCGTTGTTTAGCAGCTTCTGGAAAAGTACATGATGCTTTTATTGCTTATAGGTAAGATTAATTAATATTATTATATAAATTATCTTTAAAGTATTGTTGTAATTATTTTACTGACTTTAAATCAATTTTTGTTATTTTTGTTACTAGGAACTCTGTTGAAAAATCTGAAGGTAATGCGGACACTTGGTGCAGTATAGGTGTCCTTTATCAACAGCAAAACCAACCTATGGATGCACTTCAAGCGTATATATGTGCAGTTCAATTAGATAAATCACATTCTGCTGCATGGACTAATTTAGGGATTTTATACGAAAGTGTTAGTCAACCTAAAGACGCTCTTGTTTGTTATGTAAACGCTTCTAGGTAAATATTATATATAATATTACTGTTATAAATGATTTTTTTTTGTTTTAAAATATAATTTTTCAGCATTCAATAGGACATTCATTTATATATTTTTTTAGAGGTAATAATAATACATCAAACTCATCGAGTTATTCAATGAACTTGGGTGGCGTAAAATCTGGTGGAAACGTTTCGATGAATCCATCTCTTCAACAACGAATTCATTTTCTTCAAAGCCATCTAAGTCAAGCACCAATGCCTTCTATTGCTGCCAAGTAAGCATATTTAACTGATTTGTATGAAATTCAAAAAATATATTCTTTCATAAATCAATAGAGTGAAAATACGATAAACATTTTATTGTTATATTTTGACTAAAATTATGAGGTACAAAAATAAACAGATGAAAAATATAAATCAAATGTTTTTTTTTTCAATCATTAAAAATGCCATCAATAATTTCTTTATCTATTAGATAAATTAACAAAAATTTTTAATATTCAATAATAATTTCAATTTATTTTTGAAACAGTTATATTCAGTATAAATTCAATTAAAGTATTTCTTTTGATGAATATATAACTCGATTGATGAAAGAATTTTTTTACTAGTTCTTTGGTAATTATAATTTTATTTTTTTTTTCTATAATTGAACTTTTATTTTTTGTTAAGGAGACGACAATTACCGTCAATTGAAGAAGCATGGAATTTACCAATAAGTGCCGAAATGTCTAGTAGACAACAACAACCTGCAGTACAAGCAGGTTATAAGTACACAACTACACCACCGGGACCTCCACCTCCATATCCTCAAAATCAAGCTGCGACTAATATTACCACAAAAAGATTTAAAGCTGGAGAAGAACCGGTATCTCCTGGTGCGCAGTCCCAATCTCAACAACAACCACAACAAAAACAACAGTCGCAACAACAAACTCCAACACAGCAACAACAATCACAACAGCCACCACAAGCGCAACAACAGCAACAATCTCAACAATCACCAGCATTACAACCCCAACGTACACCACCCTTTTATCTTACATCTCAACAATTACAAATGTTACAACTTTTGCAACAAAATAGCAATAATTTAACGTCACAGCAACAAGGTATTTTACAACAATTACAATTACAATATCGATTAATGCAACAACATCAACAACAATTAAGAATTCAGCAACAACAAGCTGCTCAACGTGGTTTAAGACCAGGACAGCCAGGTTATCCACCTGGTTTAACAAATTTAAGAGAAGGACAATCAGCAACTCAACAAACAGGAGCTGTAATAAAAAATTATGGAATAGATCAACAACAACCACAAGGTGGTACTGTGGCATTACAAACTGGATTTTCTGATACAAATATTACTTATAATACTGTTGCTACTGGTAATACTCAACAAAGTCCTGGTATGCCATACAAATCAGCTGCCGATTCAAGTTATGCTCAACAAAATGTTAGTCAATACAATCATTATCAATCAAATCAATATACAATGCAAGGATATACTCAAATGAATCCTACAACAGGAAATTATCCTGAAAACACTGTTAGTAATAATAAAGATATTGGTGTTACAGATCAAGAACTTCAAGCTTTATTATCTCAAAAAGATATAGCTACTTCATTGGCAGAAGATTTATTAAAACATTTTGGTTCTGAAGATTTGGAAGTAAAAGATGAAACACCATCAGCGATAAATAATGGAACATTAAGTTCAGGACCATTTTCACCATCGAATATTGAAAATAACGAAAGAATAAAAGAAGTTAAGGTTGAACGAGTTGATATGTCAGAGTATGATAATATTTATAAATCAGAAAAAGTTCATTCAGACACGTTAAAAATAAATACGAAAAATATTATCAAGTGTGAAACAACATCTTCAAATATTTATCAAACTGATTGTCATCGTAGTGAACCAGTATTGAAATTGGAAAGTTTACGTGAATCATCGACAGAGGTTGAATTTTCAATTGATATGGATGCTAAAAGTGTTGTTGAAGCATGTAAAGGTCATGGCTTAAAAAGTGTACCAAATTGCTCAATATTATCAGATCGATCACCACCACCTGTACCCCCAGATCCACCAAATCAAAAGTTAACCAAGGAACAACTTTTACCTCCAACACCAAGTGTATACTTGGAGAATAAAAAAGATGCATTTAGTCCTCAACTTCAAGAATTTTGTCTCAAACATCCAATTGCTGTGATTCGAGGTCTTGCAGCAGCATTAAAACTTGATCTTGGTTTGTTCTCTACAAAAACATTAGTTGAAGCAAATCCTGATCATGGGATTGAGGTGAGAACGCAAATGCAACAAACAAGTGATGAAAATTGGGATCCAGTGTTGTCGAGGAAGGTTTGGGGATGTATAAGTCATCGAAGTCATACTACTATAGCTAAATATGCTCAATATCAAGCATCTAGTTTTCAAGATAGTCTCAAAGAAGAACGTGAAAAGACACAGGGTATTCATACTGCTAATTTATCAGATTCTGATTCTAAAGATAGTACGGGTGTTGTAAAAAGAAAAAAGAATGCTTATGGATTACCAGGGCGTCCAGGTTCTAAAATGTTACGATTTGGTACAAATGTCGATCTTTCTGATGAAAGAAAATGGAAATCTCAACTCAAAGAACTTATGAAATTACCTGCCTTTGCTAGAGTTGTGTCTGCTGGTAACATGCTAAGTCATGTTGGGCATGTTATTCTTGGTATGAATACAGTTCAATTATACATGAAAGTGCCTGGAAGTAGAACTCCTGGTCATCAGGAAAATAATAACTTTTGTTCTATAAATATTAATATTGGTCCTGGTGATTGTGAATGGTTCGCAGTACCCGATGCTTATTGGGGAGTAATTTGTAGTTTATGTGAACGTAATAATATTAATTATTTACATGGAAGTTGGTGGCCATCACTTGAAGATTTGTATGAGGAAAATATTCCTGTATACAGGTTTCTTCAACGACCTGGTGATCTTGTATGGGTTAATGCTGGTTGTGTTCATTGGGTACAAGCTGTTGGTTGGTGTAACAATATTGCTTGGAATGTTGGACCGTTAACTGCACGTCAATATCAACTGGCTATTGAAAGATATGAATGGAATAAATTACAATCATTCAAATCTATTGTTCCTATGGTTCATCTATCATGGAATTTAGCTAGGAATATTAAAGTTTCGGATCCACGTTTATTTGAGCTTATTAAAAATTGTTTACTCCGAACAATGCGACACTGTTGTTTAATATTAGAATTTGTTAAAAATAAAGGCGTAGAAGTGAGATTTCATGGCAGAGGAAAAAATGAAGCTTCTCATTATTGTGGACAATGTGAGGTAATTGTTATGATTTTTTTTTTTTAATTTTTTATATATGTTAATGTTTAGTATGAATTTTTTACTAATGTTAATTTTTCTTTTACAACAGATTGAAGTATTTAATATTCTCTTTATAAGAGAACAAGAAAAACGTCATGTAGTCCATTGTATGGATTGCGCTCGGAAACAATCACCATCACTCGAAGGCTTTGTATGTCTGGAAGAATATCGTATGCGGGATCTTATGGACGTTTATGATGGTTTTACACTTCATACACCTGCAATTACAACTGCAATTTTATCACAATCCAATTTAACATCCTGAGAATCCTATATGCATCATAAATATTTAAATTTTTTGATGACTTTATCATCAGTAAGAATTCTGTTTGTTTTTTTTTGTGACTAAAATATTCGTGTGATTGGTTTTATTATTATATCAATTTTTAGGTTAATCAAGTCAACACATGAAAGAATTTTTAATAATAATAAAAAAAAAAGTGACAAAAAAAGACAACAAGCCTCGTCCATGTACCTGAGTTACTTTGAAATAAAAACAGAAAAAAGGAAAAAAATAAAGAAAAAAAAATATTTATAGAGAAAAAAAGGAGAAAAACTCGCATGGTGAGAGAAAATAAAAAAAATGTTTTACATTGCTTTTTTAGACTAATTAGTTAAAAAATATCTATAATAATAATTATTAGCCTAATTATTCTAGGAAAAAAAAAATAACAAAGAAAAAGTATTTAAATACTTTTTCTTGAACACTAGAATTTAAGGTAATAGCATTAATTGTTTATATACCTTCATTTTTATTTTAAATAAATTGTTATACTGTTAGGTTCAGTCATAACAGTAATAACAATAGCATTAGCAGCAGCGATGTTAGATAATTGTGTGGCATAAATGTGTGACAAAATTTTTCACTGCCAATCATTGTCAATAGATTTTTTTATAAAATATATGTAATGTAATTGATGTAATTATAATTATTAGCAAATGATAATGAATAGAGCGCAATATTGTATTTAAATCTGCTCAAGCAGTCTGGAGAAATAAATTTTTGTAGGGTGACAATGAAATTATTCTCTTTTCTAGTAACAATGATAGTAATAATAGAATCGATTGTTTAATTACATAAATTTCTTGTCTACTCTCCAAATTTCTCCTTACTTTTTTCAATCTAATCCTTCCCACCCTTGATCATGTAAATTGTTTTATAAATACTAAGTATCAGATAATTATTATAATTAAAGATAATAGAACCTATTTTCGTAGACGGTATGTCTAACGAGACATGATATATTTTTTCAAAAGTCTAAATACTTCTGTTAAAATTAAGCAGCCTTTGAATTTTTTTTTTTTTTTAGTATAAATATTGGAAAAAGTGATAAGTTTTTGTATTGATATTGTACGATATAATGGATAAGTAAAGATGATAAACGAATTAATTTAATTGAAAAAAAAAGTAATAGTAATTATCAAGTAATATTAATAAATATAATTTTAATAGAAAAAAATAATCTTGTAATAATAATGACAGCAACAATAATAATAATGACAATTGTTTCATGCAATTATGATCTCATAGCACGATATTGGCAGTCGCAATTTAATTTATGAATATATCTGTTTAGCTAATTAGCCAATACTTAAATTAATTGAATTAAAGAATCAAGATTTTATAATTGATTTATTGATTGATAGATTTTTTTTTTTTTTATCAAAGTATCAATTATAAAATATAAGTATATCAATTATAAGATATAAACCAATGTAGACGATAGACTTCAATATTTCTCTATGATGAATGTATTTTTTTTCTCAGATTATTTTTAATTAAGATATTTATTTCAATTCAATAATAAATGCTCTAAATAGCAATTACTATTTTTATACATAATGTATATTGTACATGATTTTTTTTTTTAACAATTCTAAAAATATGGCAAATGTATAGGGAATAATTCAAATACGTATTTTACACAAAAGTAAAAATATTTTCACAACAAAAAACAAAACCGTATAAATAAATAAATTCATGAAAATGACTATTTGTGTAACAAGAAAAATAATAATAATAATAATAAAAACGTGATAGAGTATTAAAAATATTCTGTTTTTTTTTTTGAACAAAAGGAAAATTTTGAAGAAAAATTTTACAGAAATCATTTGAAAATAATAACTAATGTTCAAAAATATTTTCTCTTAAATAAAATAAAATAAAAATACAGCATTATATTTTTTGGCTTTTTCATATTTTATAAGTTAATGAGACCAGTTCAGTAATGGAAAAAAAATAATTATATATATTAAAAAGATAGAACAAATTGATAAAATAAAGTTTACCAATAACGAAGAAGAAGAAAAAGTAATAAATATAATGTAAATTTTTATATTTTCAATGTGAAAATAATATTTTCACTGCCAAATTGTGATATATACATATATATGTATATTTTTCCCAACATAGGAAAATAATAACAAAATAAATACAATGTAAAACATCAAATTTTACATAAAATGTTAAAAAGCACTTACAGTTGACATTTATAAAATTTAGTAAACAAAAATACTCAATTAATTAATTATTGGTGCATGGTCAACTATCAGTGCTTTTATTTTGTAACATAATTCTGCTTAAATTCATACTATAAAAAAATTATGTAAATATTATATTACTATTTAAAAATTTATTCAATTTTTCATCTCATCTAATTAAATATTACATGGTTAAAATGTAGTCAAATGATTTAACGTAATTTTGGGTAAGAATTCAATTTTACTTTAAAAAATAATAAACATCATTTGTGGCGCTCAGTTGTATCTATATAAAAAAAAATATATGTACAACCATGTGTATAGTGCCTTTTCTATGAGATTTTAGGTTTAAAAATACCAAAAAAAGAATTTTTAACAAATGAGTAAAGTAAAGAGAGAGAGAGAGAGAGAGAGAGAGAGAGAGAGAGAAAAAAACAAAATAAAATAGAAATAAAATATTAATTCTTTTTCTCAATTAAAAAAATTTGGTTTAATTTAAATATTTTCAATGTCAAGAATGAATTCCGAATTGAATTGATTAATTTGTACAAAGTATTTTAATTTAAAATCAATTAATTTGTGAATTTTAAATCTCATAAGATTTAAAAATCTTCTTCCTGATGATTATTACTATTGAAAAAAAATTTAGAGTAAAAAAAATTTATGTTGTTTTACATTTGTATACAAATATCTTATAACTCTGATTTTAAATAGTTAAAATCAAGTTACAAGTCCTTATAATATTTTAACTTATTTTCAATAATAATCCCCTTTATCGTAGATAAATAATAATGGAACAATTGTACAGTAAAATAAAAAAAAAATATGTAAACAAAAAATTATATAATAGGTAGCTTTATTGTTATCATTAAGATTATAATATATTAATAACAATAACAATAATAATAATACTTGAAATAATAACATTTCTATAATAATATTTTAATTTTAATGCCTGTAGTCATTTTATTTTATTTCAATTTAAATATAATATTCTTTGGTTTGATTTTCTTTGAATTTTGAAGTATCGGTCATAGTTGTTTTGATGGAATTTTTAATAATCAGTTAATTATATACATTTGTAATTTTTTAAATTATATATATTTGTTGAACGTCAGTTAGTAATATTTCGGAACATATTAAAATTTGTCTTGTCAGAAAGATGGTGAATACTTGCAAAAATTACGCCCAAATGATGTTATTCAGAATATTGAATTACTATATTAATTATCAAGATAATATTTTACAATTCTTTCATCAATTAAATCCCTTATGTTCTAGTAATTAATTGTTTTTGTTTTCTACGTGCTTGAACAACACCGTAAACAACAGCAGCAAGACTTCTGCATGTACTTCTGTGTCTTGAGATACCTTCTGATTGTTGAGTATCTCTTCCTAAGACAAAATATGTTTCCATTGCTCCTTTTCCCTTGACCTGAATTAATCCTCGCTTTTGTGTATGATAACCACGTGAATCAAGAATTCTTGCGATATCACGTGGTACTTGGATCTTTCCCATAACTCCTGTTGAATCCATTCGGGATGCTTCATTGACTGTATTACCCCAAATATCAAAAACTGGTTTACGAGCACCAATGACACCACCAACAAGTGGTCCAAAACTAATGCCAACTCTTAAATCAAAATTATTAAATGAATGAATGTTTACGTCTTCCAAACGAAGACGCATTGCTACAGCGTAATCTACTAATTTACACAAATGATCCATATCATCTTTCTTATTATCTAGTGTACTTGGATTAAGCCCAGAAGCTGCCATGTATGTAGCACCAACAGTTTTTATTTTTTCAATACATTGAAATGGTGCTTCATCAAGTAATTCATCAAAGTCAGCTAAAATATTACATTTTTTATTATTTATTTGATTTTTAATTATTAATTAATAAATTAAAATATTTACCTATAATTTCGTTTAATAATCTAATACACTCCATTCCTTTGTTAACATCTTCAGAATAAAATTCCGTAAAGTTTGGTATACTAGCAAACATTACACCAACTTTATCACGCGATTGTGAATATAATTCCTATAATAATATTTAATAAATTAATTATAATGTTTAGTTAGATTAATTCTAGTTAGGATATATTAAAAATTATTTTATTACTTCAGGTGGACGTTCAGCAGTTAAAAAATGATGTGCCACATGATCTGGTAAGATATTTTTAAGTAATTGCATATTATTATGTTTCGACTCCATCATATCACTTAATTCTCGTTCAGCTTGTTGTTTCCATAAGAAATCTAATCTTGATGTTACTTCAACTTGACGACCGTGATACGTTACGACAATTAAAAATACTATAAGAAAGATTAGCATTTGTGCTGAGAGCGGTAAGGCAGTTCTATAAATTAAAAAGCAAATAATAATAATTATTTATGGTTAATATAAATATAAATAATTATTTTAAATTTTTTAAAACTTACTCATCAAATTCTTTATGAGTAACAAAAAATAATTCTTTATATTTAACAAGAATTAATGTTGCATACATAAAAACAATCATCGAAGCAAGAGCTGTTTTAACTAAATAATATAATTTAAGTGCTGATGCTAAAGCAATTAGACAAAGTATCCATGTAAAAATAATATATTCAAATCTAAAACAATTGATTGTTTTTATTGAAAATTCGAATTCTGTTAAATTAAAGTTTGAAATATTATTGTTATTGTCAATATTATTATTTTTATTATCATCAAATATATTTAATATTTTTCGTGATTGGAAACTTATTCTTTTAAAAATTCTCGGTGATGGTGTAGCATGATGAAACTTATGCCATTTTAAATAATTGCGTTTATATAAACGTCGATGATGATTATGATTATGATGATGATGATATAATTTTTTATTAGTAAAAGTATTGATAAATGTTTTTTTAGACTCATCTATAAGTGCTGTACTTAAAAAATGCAACAAAAGTTGATCAAATTGTTTTTCAGTTGATGTAATATGTACAATATTTTCATTTGGCACTTGTTGAGATATATTATCATGTAAAGATGACAATTCCATTGATTGAGGATCTTCTAATAAAAGTAATTTCTTTGGAGAACAAACTAAAACACCAGTTATCGATGTACAAGCCATTAAACTGATAAGACTGCAGATAAATATTGTTCGATATAATTTATTTTGCGTTAAAATAGTCGATGCGTGTTGTAAATATGTTGGAAGACTATTAAATTCCTCAGCCATAACTAATATTGCACAAATAATAAGAATTGTAGTTGTGAAGAAGAGTGATATCAATAAAATACTACAATCAGGTACAACAATGGCTTGACAAATAGCAATAAACATCCAAATAACAAAACAACAAATCATATTTGATTTAAACATGTCTTCTCTTAATTGTCCAAATTTAGTTTCAAGACTTTCATCATTATATCTTAATGTCCATGCATTAATGTTAGCTAATCTCATACGTTTGTTACTTGCTGTCTCATAACTACCACCCTTTTTTTCACTTGATCCTGGTTCATCATCATCATCCTCAAGGTATTCAGCTTCAAGATTGCTTATTGAATTCGTGCTATTTAAATTTTCAAATGGAATTTCCGGAGTCCAGTCAATTCCAATGTCAATATCATCTTCTTTATAATTAGCCATATTATCTTTATTCGAAGCATTATGATTACTTGATAAAATAGCATTTGCTATTTTAAAACTCTTCTTAGTTCGATTGCCCGTTTCATCTTCCGTCCATGCTTTTGGTCTTGATGACTGTCTTCTTTTTGATTTCAATGGTTCAGTCTGTTTAATTAAATACGTTACGACATTCCTATCTTTTAGATAATTGTCTCTATCAACTCCATTTCCAGGTTCAACTTCATAAACGTCATTCAGACATTTTAGAGTTTCTTCTGATATATGAACTCGTCTGTAAATTTAATATTTACATATCTTTTATTATGATTATATAACATTATTATTTAAGTTAGTTGTTTGATATTACTCGGATTAATTATAATATCAATACCCAGGAATTCCACCACTTTCTAAATGATTCGCCAAAGTAACATCATAACTCCATACATCGAATTGCCATTTTCTTAGACCAAGAACACCACACAGTACTGAACCACTGTGAATTCCAATTCTCATGTTAAGATCCACCTTGAAAATAATTTCAATTGTTTATTAAAAAATTGTCTATCTTATATGTTGCGGAAAATTTTTCAATAAACAGTTATCAATATTATTAATAATAACTTTTAAAGTTTATTTATTTAATTAAAAAATATATATATTAAAAATTATTTTGAATAAGTAGAAATTAAAAAAAGATTAAGTTACTTTAGTGGTATACCGAACATCCCTTATGGCTTTGATCATGTGTAAACCCATTTCAACACAACAGTGTGCATGATCATTTCTTGCTGTTGGAAGTCCTGATACACAATAATAACAATCACCAAGAAGTTTTATTCTTAAGCAATGATTTTCAGCTGAAAGTCTGTCGAAACGAGCAAATAGATCGTTGAGTACCTTGACCAGTTCTTGAGCGCTACATTGACTTGCAAGAGCTGATTAAATTTGAAAAATATATTCATTAGCTATGATGAATGTTTAAAATATAAATAATAATTATAAAATAAATTTATTAAACGAATTTAAATGTTATTATAATCCCTGATGGATTCATCATGTCAACTATTAACTGACAATAATAATTAGGTTAATCGTAAACTTAGCGATTACTTGGAGTCATTTTAGGGTAATTTTACCTAAAATCAACTATAAATAAACAATTATTTATCAATTATACTCTATATCAAATTATAATCAACTTAATATTAATAAAAGATAAATAAATAGCTCAATTGAGGTTAATAGTTGTTTTTTTTTGCAACTGTTGCTTTACATGTTTAAAAAAAATGTTACATTGGGGTTAACAGTTGTTTAGATGTTGTTCTTATCACACGTTGCAATTGTTGTTTTGAAGTTAATAAGAAAAAGTTACCTCAAATCCATCAGGGATAATTCATAATTTAAAAATATTTTTCCATTTTACCAGTAAATCCTTTGATGTCAGCAAACAGGATACTAACATTTTCATATCGATGAAGATATATTCTATGAAATTGATTTGGAGTAAATGAAAATGTTCCTCCACTTGCTGTTTCACGAGCAATATCTCTAATCATTTCTTTCGCTACAAAATCTGGTAGAACTAGAAAAATAAAACATCATTGTTTTGAATTTATTATAACCTGATTAAAATGTAAATTCAAAATACATTATCATATTTATGTATATATACATATACATATACATCTAATTGCTATAAAATTTAAAAAATTTTTATGAAATTATTATTATGATTCTTTTTTTTTAAAATAATAAATCGATTTCCATAAATAATACGTTGGATTATCAAGACGATATAGGTGATGCAAAGTCAATCGGCTGTAAATCCACAAGGTAATGATCCTTTTGACATGCAGTCAAGCGCATCTTATGGGCCAACGATTTTAGCTTGTGCTTTTCAACAAGGGAGAATACATTGTACGTTATTATTTACGTTTATCTAAACTTTCGTTTTAATTTACCTTATGTCAATCAGATTTTTTTAAAAAAAAAGCAGTTAATTATCCTTCAACTACTAAACAATAATTATAATTTTACCTGATAAAAGTAATTTTTCTTGCCGATTATTTTCATTCTGAGTTCTTTGTCGTGTTTCCATGGATCTATGAGTCTCCAAAAAAGCTTGACGTTGTCCACGATCTGTAAGATATTTTGTATACATTCCAGCTAAATTAACTGCTGAATAAAGTAAAGTATTGGTCGTAAGCATTTTAACTACACAGACGATATCTCTTGACTGAAAATAAATTTCTTATTATTTAATTTCAATTATTATTATTTTTAATATAAGTAAAGAGTAATTTTGGTTTATATTACGTAGTCGGAATTATGAAAAAGCGATGCAATAATCATTGTCATGTGTACAAATGCTGTTCCAGAACCAGCAATAACACACCATCTCAATGGAAGTGGTAGCATAGCATAAGGTGCATAAACCACAAATAGAATGTACCACATAATACGTTGTTGTGATTGAAAATTAAATCCTCCTGCTACGAAACCTTTAATTGTTAATAATTAAAAACATTAATAATAATATTAAAACATTTATAAAATTATTACAATCTCTATTTTATTAATGGCTATTATGTCTTCAATCTTTACTTCATAATGCTCATTAGAAAGAAAAATAGTTTTGTATAAAAAACAAAATAATAATAATAATTAAAAACCAATATCTATGGCAATCTAAAAATTAATTAATAATGCCATTTTTTACAATTAATTTTTTAAATATCATTCGAAATGATTGAGATTAAGACTATGATTGTTTTTTTTAGGATAATTTTGATTGTAATTTGTTATATTTTTTATAGTAAAAGTTGAAAAAATTTTTTAATGTTTATATATTATTAGAACATGACATATAGAGATGAGTTATTTGTACATACATCATATGTCATCTACATGTAGTTTTATTTCATTTACAAATTCTCATCTAAAGAACATAAATACCTTGGATATTTATAAGCAGCCAAGTAAATATAGATGCCCAGTAGAGATAATTATGCGAAAACCAACGGCACAATCCAAGTACACATACAATTATGTTAGCAAGCATACAACAGGATATCCATATTAGTGTTTGCAATAAACTATTTTTATTTTCATCATTAATTCTTTGGAGCCAAATAATTATTATAGCAATCTGTTATTAAATAATAATTCTTCAATTTATAATAATAATAATAATAACAATAAATATAATGTAATTATTAAAATATTTACCTTAAGACCAAGATCAACGACATTGAGCATAATTAACGATTTTTGTCGTTGTCGAGAAGAATAATGAAAATATAAAGTTTCTAAATTAGGACTGTGAAAGGCATTTGTTAAGGATGGACAGAAAATTCCTTTATATAGGCAGCCACGCTTGAAAACATCTAAAAAAAATTATTACAATAATTTGTAGGCAAGAATAGACTTAAATAAATAAATAATAAATGTTGATATAACCTTGTTGATAACTCATTCCTTCAGTTTTACTAGGTTGTTGTTGCTGTTGATCGGATAAGTCATCAGCTAATGATGGCGGTTTTGGTAGTGGTGGTGGAGATGGTGATGGTGGTGATGATGGTACAGCAACAGATGCTGCATCTAAATTATTGTTGTCATTCAGCGGATCATCTGAATCCTCTGATGGTGGTGCTGCTACACCCCAAGCTGCTAATCCTTCTCTCCCAAGTCTTTCAGATGTCAATTTTTTAACTGCTTTAATCCATAATTGCTTCCTTGGTGAGATACCCAACCTGCAGGCCCCATAGAAAAGAAAAAATGTTAATTAGTTTTTTTTTAATTTAAAATTAAAAAATATTATCTATTACTCAGTCAGATTTTTTTACTGTATAAAAACTTATAATAATTAAGATAAAATAATGAATTTTTTTAATTAAAAAATACTTACTCGTCGACGCTTGGTACGTCGGGTTCCAGCATCATGGTCCAAGTCTGTTCTGTAATCATTATCTCTTGATGATGACAATTGCCCCCGTTCCCTTATTATGGTCAACTCTCTATTGAACTTCACGTTGCCATTAAAACATAGCCACGCGGTTCATCACTACTCTGCATGCTTTTCTGCGTGTGTCATTTTTGTCAGGAATGGACAATTAAAGCAGGCAAAACACTGATAGTGAAATAGAGACAGGGATGAGTTAAGATGCTTAATTAATTCACTTATGTCACCTGTAAAGAATACGGACAAATTTTGTTTCTTGGCTTGTGGCTAAATTTTTAATATTATTGCCGGAATCTGTTGATTTCCATCTAATTAAACCAAACGTTTTTTTTCTCCTATATACAATTGAAATAATGATTATTAATAAAATAATTATCATTAAGAATAAGAGAATTTTAATTTTGAAATTTTCATATTAAAAAATAGTTAACTAAAAAATAATGGAAATTTAAAAAACCAATAATAAAAGAAGTAATTCACACCAATTGAAGTACACAAGCCTTTTTTTGAGCCAAATATCTTGATTTTTAGAAGTAGTGGTGTTGTGATGGTCGTAGATGTGGTAGCTTTCCAATAAGAGTTGTATATTAGTTGTAATTAATCTAAAACGCGTGATACAATACTAATGTGATTTGATTTTAAATATAATGTATATAAATGTATAATGATGATTTAAATAAATCTATATTTATAAATATATACGTTATGGGAAAATATGCATCTAATTTGTTTCTTTTTTTCTTTTTACGTTTTACCTTTTTAGACCGATTGACTCTCGTCAACTGGTTTGTCAACTCTCAGTTTAAAAGACACTGACCGTTCGAGTCGCCCCAATGTTATCCATTGACGTCACTTATACTACTGATGTGTGAGTACAAGCAATTGCACCCCTTCTTTGCTCATATAAACATGGTTTATGCGCTACAGGTAGTTTTATTCTATTCAAAAATTCATTATTATTATGATAATAAATATAAACATTTTGCTATGATAACTAATAAACTTTTATTTAGTTGCATTTAAAATAGTTGATAAATAAAAAAATACATTTAAACTTTTTTTTTTCTTTTTTTTCGTCGTCGATTAAGAAGTCACACTAGTTGAAAAAATTATTATTATGCATTTTATATAGATATATTTAAACGTGAAATATGTTATATAAAATACATAAATTTATAACTTAAATATTAGTAGTACCTTCTGTATAAACCACCACTCCTACAAATAATCTCAAGTCTATTACAAGTTATTTTAATACTGTTAATTACTAATATTTAGCTGTTATTTCGTTCTTCAATAGTAATTATTGGTCATATAAATTTAAACATATTAATTGAAGTAAACAATATAAATAGTTAATTTTTTTAAACTTTTTTCTTTCATTAGTTATTAATTGAATAATAAATATTAAACGTTAAACTTAGTATATTAATATAGATATATATTTATTATGATATATTCAACAAATAATTGAATCATCTAACCACAGCCAGAGGTTTAACCTCATATTGCTTTTATGTTAGGAATTAAATGACATCTTATTAATTATTATTGTTATTATTAGAATAATTTGCTTTTAAAAAATAAATTTTTTTATCAATTTAATGCTTATTTAGCATTAATAGTTTAATAAAATATAATCATGTAACTTCTTGTTATGAATAACTGAAAAATATGAACGTAAAAAATACTAATATATAATAAAATATTTATGCGAATTATTTTATTAAATTTTTTTTAATTTTCATACTCTTTACTGATTAGCAAAAAGCATTTTTGCATTCATTTATACGCGTGCGCGTCAAATTTTTTTTTTTTCATTCTCTACACAGAAAAATAGTACCTCTATTAACCTTCAGTTGAGGTAAAATTGAAATGACACAAAAAATAATATGTGTTACTAAATATAACTGCAAACAAAATAATATATAATAAATAGTTAAACATTTTTCATCGTCACTAACTCTTTTGCTTTATTCTCTTCAATTAATACTTGATGAATTTGAATGTCTTTCTCCGTTGAAGTATCAATAAGTTCAAGAGTAATGATTAATTTTGTAGGTGGATTTTCGTCTCTTTCTATGTTTCGTATTATTGAAACAAAATCTTTCTCAGCAACTAAATTCTTGAAACGATTGCTAACAAGTGGACTCCAATCGTCTGTTAAAATTGGTTTTACACCTAATAAAAAAAATTTTTAATAATTTTAATAACTATTATTTATGATAGATAATATATGTATTTTTAGAAAGTAATAATAAAAATAATATTTACCGTATAGTTTAGCTTTAATAGCTTGATAAGGAAGTCTTAAAAACATTTTATCTAGAGGCAATACCAAATCATTAAATATAGTGGTCATTTCTCCGGTGTCACATAAATAAATAACGACTTGATCTAGAATTGTTCCCATAATATAAGCTCTATGCCACTGATTCATGTGTTTAGCAGCACACAATGTTCCTTGTGCCAATGATTGCTCTGATAATTTAGGTCCATTATATTTATCACAATACTCGGCTAGCTGCCTCATCATTACTGACAATAATCCCGAAGAATCATATGGTTGTACAATAAAATGATAAGGATTAGACACGAGACTTGTTACGTGAACGTCAAATGGTTCTCCGATATCTGGAATCAATGGTTTACTTAATAAACCAAGTCCATTATCTTTTTTCATATTTGTCAGTCGAGGAGAATTTTTTTCTAATCGTTTTTTTATTTTAATATTATTATTATTTTCATTAATCATGTCAATTTCGGATCCAATAAATAAAGTATTGTTAATAGAAATAAGAACATTATCCAGTTGGTTTCGTTTAAACAATTCTACAATAGGTTCAGATGACTTTGGATAAGTTTCTATGACTTTGCAGACTAATTTTTCAGTTGGTGGTGCTAATTCCTTCAAACGTTCTACCATTAATTCAGTTAATATCAAATTTTTAGGATTATTAAGCTGAACTTTATAGGCCAAAGCTGGATATTTTTCTAATGATACTGAAGTGGCTGGTAGTTGATATAATTTAGTGTGATTAACAGTCATAGTTTGGCCATAATCTATCAATAATACTTTAACAGAAGTTTCATTTTCTTGGCTAACAATTTTGACACGTAACCATTGGCCATCAGAACGTTGTACTAAATAAATTTTTGAATAATTAATATTATGAATAGCACACATTTGAATGGCCTCACTGCGATTCATTAATTTATTTAATAAAATATTCATAACTTTAAGACTTTCATTGTTAATATGAATATATATATATTGATTCAATTCAATATGTGAAAGAAAAACTTCACAAATTTTTTCTTTTTCATTAAGCTCAGGTAACTCCAAACTGTTCCATAAACTTTGTGATATTGCTTCATTCATATTAACTTCTTCATCACCACTAGTATCATAAAGAGTACCACTTACTATTAATTCTCCATTAATTTCTTTTTTATTAGTTACTCTACAGTAACATAATAAATCTTGAAGCAAATCATTAGCTATAATTTTAATTCTTTGTACATCCTCGAATTCTTCTAAATCAGTCAAGGAAAATCTTATTGCTTGTGGAGGTACTTTATAAAAACGTTTATCGAGTATATATAATTGATTGTAAGAAACAACTTCATAATCACCAAAATCAATAAAAAATATTTCAGCTGTTTTTGTGGAATCATCAATGGCATTAACTCTAACACGATGACATCCATCTTCAGTTTTTATCACGTAATAATTATTTAGTTCAATTTTTTTGGCACGTTCATTATAAGTTTGATAAAATTTAACCATCTCAATTGACATAGCATAATCTTCGTCACTATAATTTTCACCAATAATAACACCCCAAATTTCATTAATATGTATAAAATTCTTAATATAAATAGGCCAGTCAATATCAGTTGGAAGAACTAATTTTTTCATCACTGCTTTTGAATCAACGTTTGCTGTTAGACTCATCTATAATGAAATTTTAAAAATATATTAATATATTTAAATTATTTAAATAAATTTTGAAAAAAAGATGAAAAAATTAATAGAATAAATTTAATAAATACCTGAGAAATTTTAGGATTATATGGCACTAAAATAGTCGAATTGGCAACACCATTATCAAAAGCTAATTCTGTTGGGCATTTTTCAGCAATACTAACCCAATTATCTGGAAGGGCTTCATTATATTTATCTTTATAATAAAACGGAAGTTGTTCAACAAATATTCCATTTTTGTGAATATTTATTATTTCAATCAGTCGTTGTTTAATTAATTCTTGATCAGTTGTAATCTTTCCTTGATGTAATTTTTTATATTGAGTATAAAGTTCTACTACAGCTTGTTCTGCAGCTAATATTTCAGCTTCTACTTCACTCTTTGCCTCACGAGGATAACTAATCCATTTATTTTTTCCAATACTTACTTGACAGAAAATACCTTTTTTATTGCAATCTATTTTAATATATTCAGGTTTTGGCATATTTAATTTCTCTACCAATAATCGTAATTTTGCTCTAGAATCTTGTATACTATCTATTTGTTCGATTTTAAGTATTGATTTTGGGGAAGAGTATCCATTATCAATATTATTTTTATTATTACTATAATTATCATCTTTTTGACGTGGTAATGGCACTGATGATGATGATGATGATGACGATGATGATGATGATGATGGTGGAAGGTGGATGAATTTTGTATCAGCTGCAAAAGTGACTCTATTCTCAACACGAGAATTATTTTCTTCAACATTCTTAGATACTCTTGGAGATTTTACCATCAATCTATCACTTAATTGAGGACGTGAATTCGAATTATTATTTGCAGGATTTGATGCCGGATAATTTATAACCGGTGATGATGAATAATTTTGTTGTGATGAATCAACTTTTGTATAAGACTGTACATTTTTGTTTAATGCTGGTCCTGAATGTCTCTCTAAATTCGATGTATTTTTATTGACAATTGGTGTTGTATATTGTGATTTTGAAAGTGAATTATTCCCAAAATAGTTATGTCTTTGATCGGTCCTATTATTATTATTATTATTGGAAGCAGATGAATAATTATTTCGTTGCCTTGATGATGTTGATGCCACCATTCGTCTTGGTTTACTCAATGGTGCTGCTTTCCTATTAAGTTTTCTAGGTTTCTGTTTATTAATCATTTGTGAAAGATGAATTGTGTCTTCATTTGGAATTACTTCTACGTATGTAGATCCAGCTCTATCATACATTCGTAATTTTGGAATGCTTTGAACAAATTCTTTAAGCGATGAAAAGCCATATTTTCTAAAAGGAATGTTAGTACCTTCAAGTGCTCGATAATTTTGGTTTAAATTCTCCAATGATATGCCACCTTTTGTTGTTAGAATTGTTGAACGTACAATACTTTTTATTTCATCCATCTTGTAATTAATTAATTTTCAATCACTCCTATTGTTAGTATAATAAATCTTCTGTCTAGTTATCTCGAATCTAAAACCCATAAAAATCATGTTGATAGTCATATGAATACTTGGAACACTGTATCAATATATCAGATTTGTGCGATAAAATAAGCCAAACAAAAATACGATTCAAATGGAAAGAATAATAACCTTGGTATTGAAAGACGTATTGTCACTTGTTATGAACCAGTATGTATTCGAATATACTGCCAAATCTCCTTACAGGCCTAAAAAAAAAAAAGATTTTTATTATAAACATACTTTAAAAATATTTCAGATCTTTTCCCGGCAATTATATTTATAAAATTATTTAAACAGATGATTAATATTGAATTATATATGTTATAACAAGTGTAAACAGTTATTAATTAATTAAAAATATTTTGTGATTACCATATGGTATAATTGATGTATTATAAAAAAATTCATTTCTATTGTATGCAATTTAAATAGGACAAATAACTGTCAACAAATACTGCGAAAACGTATTTGGCAGTGAATAGTTTTCTCTATCAGCGACTAGTGTCCTATATACACATGAGTTTAAATTCTTTTCAACAAATGAACTATGCTTTATTAATTTTTGTAATATTCTGTCCATAAATATTGATGAAAATGAAATATTATCACCGGAATAAATATACATAGAAATAAGTAATTCAATTAATATACTGGAATTCATTACAAATTATTTCGATGAATTTTTGGAATTAATTCTTTTACTGTAAAGTGATAGAGATATAGATAAATGAAATGACATGTATTATTTAATGAATATACATACCTTTTGTATTGCTGCTCGTGTCTACTGCTAGAATGTACTTCTCGGCAGTTAGAGGTTCATACTACACACACATACACAATAAGACGCGACGCACTAATTTGAAATATGAGCTACATACACTCTCATGATTTTGTTTGTGTACATACATATGTATTAAAGATATGTGTATGTATGAACAGGTTAAGATGCAGCCTCGTGATTAAATGTTGATATCCACTTAATAATTTCTCGTCAGATGGCAGTAATGAATATTTTATGAATTTGAATATTCATTTTCCTTTCAATTGGATTTAATTTACATTTTATTTTCATTAAATAATCAAATAAAATAATTTATTTTTATTAAATCAAATTGTATCAGATTTGTCTCAAAGTTGAATTGTTTTTAACTACACAAAGTGGCAACGTATACTTTTTTTTTACAACGAAATAAATCTACAGAATTGAAATTTCTTTTTCCGGATGGTTTTTTTTGTTCAGGAGAGAAAGTTTTCAAGCAGTTGAAATAGGTATTGTATGCATGTATTTATTGATACATATTTACTTTTTGTTTAATTATAAAAAAAAGAATGTTCCATTGGGGCCATTGTTTATGTAATTCTTTATTTTTTGGGCTCAAAAAAATGTCTAGCTTTCACCGAATTTATCAATAAATGTGAAATAAATATTGTAAGAATTTACCTTGAATCATCACAATATATTTGGAATAATTATAACTCTATTTGATATATTTATATAAATTAAATTAACTTGATTAATTAGTAAATATAGATTATTTATGAAATATCGCGACTGACAGTACGTTTGAAAGTCATAGAACGCAACTCAGTAGATGTTGAAGACGTTGATGGATTTTCACTAATTTTAACTGGTCCTCCTTTAGCTAAAGGTGTAGGACTCTGTGAAAGTGAAGCACGATCATCATGAGTAGATTTTTCACGTTCTAAACGTTGTTTGCTGAATTTACCCATTCCTGGTCGATAAATTTCCATTGCCGGACGATCCTTTTTAATAAATATTAAAATTAATTTAAAAACAATAGAAAATAAAAAATAATTATTATATAATAATATGAATTAATTGATTTACTTTGTTTCTAATTCTTCGTTCCAGCCGAGGATCCTTTTTATCTTTATCTTTTTCATCACTTTCATTTTTTTGTAAATTATCTTCGTTTTCACCATCCAACGATTTATGCCTACGAAGATGTGTGCTATCAGTGACACTTCCTTCTCCACCACTACCACTCTCCAATGAACTTCTTCGTTTTGAAATTTTAATATTTTGTTTTAATAAAGTTGCATTATCTTTGCTACTATTTTCTTCATTAATTTTTAATTTATTTAATAAAACTTCTGTTGAATCTATTTGATTAGCTACGACATTCACGTCAGTATTTTGTTGCAATTTATTTGAATTATGTGTCTGCTTTGTATCATCAGTGTTTTGAGTATCATCATGTTGTGTTTGTGATGATTTAATTGGCAACACATTAACATTACATACATAATTCTTAGTATCGCTCTTACTATTTTCGATCTCTGTACTTTGTGTAGTATTAATATTTTCTTCTATTTCTCCTTTCTTCAATTCCACCATTCGTTTTTTCTCTTGTCTCATTTTTTCATAACTTTTACCTTTTTTTTCATCAGTCGTTTTTTCTTTTTGCAAACTACTGTCTTCTTTAAATTCTTTTCGATCTTTAAAGTAATTTTTACCGTCATATTTTTTATCATCCCTTGAATAACCATCTTTTTCATCGCGTTGTTTTGAGTATAATTTCTTTTCATCATGTTTTTTTAAATTACCATTCTTATTATCTCGTTCATATTTTTTATCTTCTCGATCTCTGTAACCCTTAGGTATGCCTTTAGAATCACGATCTCGAGAAACAACTATTTTATCTCTACATTTTTGATCATCTCGTTTACGATTTTTTATTTCTTTCAAAGACATTTTATCCTTTTCATCTTTATTCTCTTTATTTTCTCGATTAACTTCACGTTCAGAATCTGAATTTTTCAAAACCTAAGAATCGTTTATATTATTTTATAATAAAATAAAATTTATTTATTACATTCTATTATTTACAATTACTAATACCTTTGATATAGTTGGTTCATCTTTGACACGTCTCCTCTCTAAATCTCTTCTACGTCTCTCTTCACGTTTTTCATCTTTCAAACGTTGTTTCTCAACTTTACGTTGTTTTAAATATTCCAATAATGGTGTTGTTGTCACTCTTTTTAGTGAATCTATAAATAAAAAATATAATATAGATATTGAACATTATTTATTTGATTATAAACTTTGTAATAGTGATAAATAAATTGTTTTGTAATATTGATAAAAAAATTAAATAAAATCATACTATCAAATGGTTGATATGAATATTCAGTTTTTGGTTGTGAGGTAGAAGAATCAGTTTCTTGGTTTTTCAAACTTTCAAGAAAATTAATATAATAATGATCTGATTCTATAGTACCACATTTAGGATCTTTCTTTCTACCAATTCTTTTCTTTGGTAACCTTTGAAATGGTGCAAATTCCACTACAGCAGGATATTCACTACCTTTGGAATCAACAAATACATAATTATCAAACTTTTCTCGAAACATAAATATATTTTGTTGTTCTAAAAAATTAATATAGGCTCGAGAGAATGAATTTTGGCCAAGGGAAGTATCAGCTTTAACAAAATGAAAATAATCATGTTCAGGAAGTGGTGAAACTTGTTCAATAAATTGACTTTGAGTCATTGTAGGTGGCAATCTTCTTATAACAACCTGTAAAGGTAAATAAACGAGTTAATGAATGGAAATAAAAAAAACAAACTCTATTTCTAAATAAAACTGATGAAGTTTAATATTGTTAAATTCTTACTTTAGTCATTGGTTTACATTTTTCTTTCTTGGCATCTATTTTATTCTTAGATAAATCCACTTCCACATTCTCCATTGAAGGTACATTATTATTATTAGCACTATTATTATTGGTATTTAAAACATTTAGATTTTCATTATTAACTTTATTCTCCAACGATTCCATCTTTTTGTAGCATAATATATTTTACTGAAATAGAGAAATGTTTCAATTTATAACTTTAGCTTTGGACACACTAAACGTGCACATATGTATATAAATATATAGTTTTAATATTTATTAACAATATCATTTCTAAATACAGGATGAACTTGTATTTATTTGATAACTAAATTTAAATATTTTAATGCGATAAAGATTATATAGTTTTTGCGAAAATTACAATTGAGTAGTAAAAGTGATTCGGTTTGCATGAAAACGTTGCCATGAATGACAGCAGCGACATCTATAAATATCAAAAGATCTGGGAAGTAACGAATACAGACTTCCGGAATTTAAATGATAGAATTAATTATTTCATAAATCCCATATACACTCGGTTTCTTTAATGCCTTCCCTAATCCATTTACATTTTCATGTAAAATGTAAGGTTATAAATGATCTGAAAAATGGTATGGTAAATTAGGAAATATTGTTTATATATTTTAAACAAATTTTAAAAAACATAACATGCTTTGAGATTTGAAATGATGCGTCCCCTAGTAACATTCAGGATGAACAAAAGCGGCATCCATCAAGTTGGGTTGACGAGGGGGAACGTGACTTTTGTCCATAATGGGTCTGACTGTAAACACAAGGTCACTGAAAATTACTTGATTACAGTCAAAGTATCAAAAATATATTACAATTAATACTTAAGTAATACCCAAACTCTTAACAATATATTAATATCTTTGGGTAATTTAAATCTTAAGGATAAATATCTAGTCATTAGAAAGCTGGAAAAATTCGGCTCTTTTGATTTCCGAAAGCTTCCCAGGTAGATTCTAGGAACTCTTGATTACTTCTGCAAGTGCAAGTGGTGGTTATGATAGCCCAAGGATGACTGCAGGTAGCAATTTTAAAAAAACAAATTATAAGTACTAAAATATTTTATTTTTAATTTTAACTAACAATAAATTAATAATAATTTAAGTTGTACTTATTTATAATTATTTATTATGAATAAAACTTTTCATGACTATTGTCAGACCCATCATGCCATTTTGCGAAAGTTTTTATCTAATTTTACAAAAATAAGCCCGATAACATCTAATTTTTTTGCATAAATAAATAGTAAGAATTTTAAAGGTTATGAAAGTATGTTTTTTTCATAAAAATTGATAAAACATAACAACTTTTGTAGCTTTAAAAGTAAAATTTATAAAAGTATCATGCATTCTTAAGGCTGGGCTGAAGTCAGAAAGTTTCCCGGAGTTGACTTTACGCCCTCGCGTTGTGCGGCAAAAGGCTGAAGCTTGACATCAACTGAAATTGAGTAGGTAACAGGGAAATCGTTCGAAAAATGATAATTTTCAGGGATGCACTACAAAAAGGGAGCCTTAGGGCACCAAGAAATTTACAAATTTTTGAATAATCTGTTTCGAGCAAGACAGAGCACAGAATATATCTATCTATCTCCGTCTTATTTTTCAGAGAAGACTGCGAGTTCGAACAGTTGACGAGCAAGTACATCCCCCACCCTCTGTTACCAAGCCTGAAGCTTATGATATCTAAACGTAAACAAAGCAAATGAAAATATGTTGGCTCTGTAGTCAGAAGATTCGACATTTATTTTACCGAACGGTGTTCGATTCCAATTGCGGAAAATTTTTTTTTTTAATTCAAATTGCATGTAATTGCAATTTTATCATGCCGAAAATGAGTTTTAAATTTCAATTTTTATGTAAAATTATTTTTCAATCAATCGATGACAAATGAGACAATATTTGAACAGGGTCATTAACCTTTTTTTGTACAAATACATTGATAATAGCCTTTTTTAACAACTTATTAACAATAAAAAATAGTTTAAACAATCCGCGGCAAGTTCCGACACTTCACCGGCAAGCTCTACCCCCACTCTCTGTGCCCAAGCCTGCAGCTTATAATTTTCAAGCATCTTCATTATTATTGAAACCATAATAGCTCAGTGGTTAGAGCACCAATCTTTTATTTTGCTGGGCAGGGTTCGATCCCAGTCATAGGCAATTGTTTTTTCTTTTTTTTGCTTAAGTGACTTTAAATACTCATAAATTAATTCATATATTTGATTAAATTATTCTTCCAATTAATTACGGAAAACAACTTGTTTTTCTGAAAATACGCTGAGGGTGAGGAACGAGTTACTATGAATTCTCTTTTTTCGAAAGTGTTGTCTTTAAAAGACAATAGGAATTGATTTTGAACTTATATAAACAACCAATTATTGTATTTATATAAAATTTTAATGAAAAAAAAAGGAAAAAAAAAATTGACTGGGATCGAACCCTAATCGGTAAAATGAAAGCTTGGTGTTCTACTCACAGAGCTAACACATCATCTCTGACATTACGTTTATGTTTATAAATTGTATAATGCAGGCTTGGGTACGAAGGGTAGGGATAGAGTTTGCCGGCAAAGTGCCGGAAATCCCCGTGGATTATTTCAACTACTTCTAAATATTTCTAAATTGCTTAAAAAAAAGCTACGTTCATATAGCTATAGTAAAAAAAGTGTTTATAACCCTGTTCATATGTTTTCCGACTCGGCGTCGATCAATTACATAAATAATTGAGAAAAAAAAAATCAAATCGTTGTAAACAATTACTTTTGGCATGTTAATATTACAATTACATGCAAATCTAACAAATAAAAGAGAAAAAAAAAATTTTATCATGACTGGAATCGAACCCTGCCTAGCAAAATAAAAGACCGATGCTGTAACCACTGAGCTGTTATGGTTTCAGTACGCTAATATATGCTTAAAAATTATAAGCTGCAGGCTTAGGCACAGAGAGTGGGGGTAGAGCTTTCCGGGAAAGTGCCGAAACTCGCCACAGATTGTTTAAACTACTTTTCAATGTTGATAATAATATGATTAACTTGTTAATAACATAACATTGTTAATACATGTAAAGATGTATAAGTATAAGTTGTTAAACACAGGCTATTATCAATGTATTTATACAAAAGAAAGTTTATGGCTCTGTTCAAATATTTTTCGACTTAGCGTCAATAAATTCAATGAATAAAGAGAAAAAAAAATCAAATTGTTATAAAAGATTAATTATAGCATGTCAATATTATAATTACATGCTAATCTAACGAATAAAGTAGAAAAAAAAAATTGGTTATGACTGGGATCGAACCCTGCCCGGCAAAATAGAACTTTGACGCCCTAACCACATGGCCAGCATAATCTCGATATTGAGTTGATGTATATTTGTTTTTACACTACATGCTTGGATACGCCGACTTGGAATTGAGCTTTTTGATTAACATTTATACCTAATAAAAATGATAATAATGGATGAGTATATGTATTTGAAGTTATTTGCAGGTATTATATTAATTAATGTTAAATGAGTATCATCATTTTTATTTATCCTAACTGCAATAGTCATCAAAGTGTAGGGCATTGTAAAGTGATACACTATGTTTACATCACATACATATATTACCCGTACACACACATACAGAATTTACTCGCCAAAATGCAGGGCACCATCAGTTCTGGATACGGATTGAGCATTTTTTCAATATGGATGACTGAGGTCATCTGCGAGCATAATGCTGTCACCTATCAGAATTTTTTCGAACTAATTTTCCGGAGAATATCATGTGGAATACAAGATTTCTAATTATTTCTAAATTATTCAATTTTACACTATGAATTGATTTTTTTAACATTCAGACAGGTGGCAAGGACTGACGCAAACACGAATTTTGGGCGAAAAACGTATAAAAATAGAATAATTAGTGATTTTTCATCTGAATGATGTGGCCGCCATCTTGAAATTTAAGCGCGGCAAGTCAATTCATAATTTTTTCATTATTCTTTCTAATTTTTTTAATAAAAATATTCACTATATACAAAAAATTGTTGTTTACGTCAGTCCGGCATTAATTCCTCTGTAATTTGGTACCTAATTTTATAGAAATAATTGTAAATTGGCGACGAAATTAGAAATTTCCCGATCCCATGTATTTGGATAGGGGGAATCAGTCGCCTTTCTGACTTCAGCCCAGCCTTAAGTTTAAAAAAAAAACACGTCTGTCTTCTCTGACAATAAATTGCAACGATATAGAGATAGATGACGCCATTTTCTAATGCTTGAGTGCGCTTGCGCAGTAGCGAAGAACGTGGTAGAGGGGATAAGAAATCAGTGGTGGGAAGCTTGAAAGCATCAGTTGAAGCAACTGAGGAATTCTTTTAGTTTTATGCCAACTCCCGGCAAGACGAAAAGCTACGAATAATAGTAATACAATAACTCTCTCAGTTTGACAATAACAACAAAAACAAAACAGTGAAGACGAATACCGAATAACGATTGTTATTTATGGACATTTTTAGTGTTAAATAAACGTTCTATTATTTTATAAATAATGCCGAAAGTTAGAAGAAGTAAAAATCCACCTCCAGAAGGATGGGAGCTCATAGAACCAACACTAGAGGAATTGGAAGCAAAAATGCGTGAAGGTAATGAATTTATAAGTATTTGTTTATTGACTTGGAGGTTATACGGGAAATTATTTACCCTAAGTTATTATTTATCAAAAATTATTATAATAATAACAGGAATAATCTGTGCGAATGCGTCAAAATAATTCCCCTGTATAACCTCCAAGTCTACTTTCTGTCAGTGTTTTGATTATATTATTTATAGTTTTGTATTTTATTAATGAAAACAATTATTCACTTAAAATTATTTTTTTTAGCTGAAACTGAACCTCATGAAGGTAAACGAAAACAGGAATCATTATGGCCGGTTTTTAAAATTCATCAACAAAAATCTCGCTATATCTATGATCTATTTTATAGAAGAAAAGCTATTAGCAGAGGTAAGAAACGTCAATTGCGCGATACATTAAATTTTTATATAATGTTTATTATTCATTTGAAATCATTTATAATGATTTTTTAAATTAATTATTTATTAATAATAATCATGGAATCCGCTAGAAATTTTTAATTTGTAGCTTTAAAAGTGAATTAAAAATTACTATAATCATGGAAAATCATTTGTTTCAGAACTTTATGACTACTGTATCAACGAAAAAATAGCGGACAAAAATTTAATTGCAAAATGGAAGAAAGTAGGATACGAAAACTTATGCTGCTTACGATGTATTCAAACTAGAGATACGAACTTTGGTACGAATTGTATTTGTAGAGTACCGAAAAGCAAACTAGAAGAGGGTCGCATCGTCGAATGTATTCATTGCGGCTGTAGAGGATGCTCCGGATGATACTATTTAATTTACTTGAAGAAATAACGGCCGATTAATTAATTGTAATTAATTTATTGTATCATAAGTTTATATCTACATAAATATATGCATATATTTTTCTATTTATTTGATTATTTTATTTCATTTGTTATGTCCTGACAATTGAGTAGCAAAATACAATGGAGTTTTTACAATCCAATCATATGTTACAATTTTATTATTTGATTCTATATTTATTCTTGATGATTCATTAAGAAAAAATTATTATTGATTTAAAGATTCAGTTAAGTGAATTTGATCAGTGTCGACAATTGTATCAAAATTTTTTAGAATATGAAGTTGAAAACTGTACAACATGGATGAAATATGCTGAATTAACGACAGTGTATTGAGACTAGACAGGGATGTTCCACTTTGAAATCAAAATCAATAAAATTATCATACACACGAATAAATTAATATTTAATCAATTAATTTATAATAATATCAATACTAAATAAACATGATCATATAACCTATTATACCTTCATCACAATAAACGACTAGATGAAGTTACACTCATGGTTGATAAATACACACACACTCAAAATGAAACTCATGAATATACTCAAAATTTAATTTTTTCATACCTACGTTATTCTATGATACCGTTCTCGTGTTTGATTTGGGGAAGAAAAGAAAGCATAGTACAAAAATGGAAACGTCGAAAGTAAGGTTATACATATAGCAATAATTGGACGATACCAAAGCCATCCAATGCCGACAACTAAAATACTTATTGAGAAGGAAGTAGTTAAGGCCAATGAATCAAGTGGAATTATTCCACTTAAATATTGTGAATTTAAGGTTATTTTCTTGATTGTATTTGAAAGACATGTTGTAGACATGAATATTACAAGCCATCCAATACACCTAAAATGAAAATTTATTATTTTATTAATGTGATTTTATTTTTTAAGTAATAATATTAGCAAAACTACATACCGCATTATCCAAGTCCTCCAATAATTATAAACATGCTCTAGGTGAAACATTATTTCTATGGTTACTTTATTTTTCCTTTGGAGCAAAATTTCATTCCCATGGGGAGTAATAAATGGCACTATTGTTCCTCGTACAAATTTTCCAACAATAGTATATATATCTCCTGCTTTTCCAGCAAAAGACAATAACACTCTTACGTCTCCAACTTGTGTATTCCATAAATCAGAGCTATGATAATACAATCCAGCATGCATTTTGATGTCACTTCTTTCAGGCCGTTGATCACTAGTGATTTCTCTAAAATCATTGAATTTTTTCTTCAATTCTGAACCCAGAATAATATTACCAATTTTCACTTGATCTGCTATTTGAATTTGACTCTTAATTGGCATTTCTTTTGGATTTTCGTGTCCATATCGAATATAAAATTGATCTGAATCAATCAGCTTATCCTTCCATTCAGTGGTGTAATAATAATGTTTACCATCCTCATAATTTTCATAGGTACGTTCTTCTTCTATTTCAACCCATTGATAAACTTGAACTCGTCTTTTGAGTTTAACACTTTCAATAATAACTCCATAATCTGGTTCTGTTAAAGGTTCATTGATCCACAATGGACCAGAAAAATAAACTAATCTATCTTCATAATCTTTTGAAAGGTCATATATATTTTCAATTATTACTATGTGACTTAAAGCTTCATTCAAAGAATGAGATACTGAAGCAGCTTCTCCCTATAAATATCAATTTTCAGTTACATATACAATAACAGAATGTACAATTATATTAAAATAATTATGAAATACATACCTCGTTTGAAACTAAAAGAAATATCCCAATTAAACATAAAATACAACCTATAACTGTAGTAAATCTAGATTGTTGGAATTCTTGATTAGATTCATTGTTAGTGGAAGAATTTTCTCTACGCATCTTTATTCAATTATTTATTCTATTATATATAAATTATTATACCCGTATTTTTCTACAAAAAATATTCATATTCTAATATAAGTACTTTGATCAACTAACGCCATTCGTTATAATAACATAATTATTTTTATTGTATTATTAGGTGAGCACTATTTTGTACATTAACGAAAATATAATATTAATAGTACTTGTATATAAACAGGAACATAGTAAACAACTAATGGCTGCCTTTAATCAAAAAAAAAAATTTTACAACGGAAAACATGGCGTCGTAGTTTTGGCGCGAAATTAAAAGTATTTAAAATAATTGATAGGATTGTTATTTATGTATAATAATTTTGGTTAGGTATAAAAATTTTGAAAAATGTAATCTTTTTATATCATTATTAGTAGTAAACTCTAATTTTGTCATTTTAATAAACGAAAAAAGATGAGTAAAGGTCTTATTGCCACGATAATCGTTTGTTTATGTATTGTTGTACTAGCTGTTGTTTTGAAACCTATAATTTATCCAGAAGTATCAAGTCCATCCGAAGTCAATTCAATATTAAGGCGTTCTGTAAGTGATTCAGATGCTACAAATTTACCTAAAAATCTGCCTGAAAATTTAGCTATCCCAGATCCAATTGTTTCAAATGTAAAACAAACAATAGTTGCTGATGATTCATTTACCAAACAAAATTTAGAAAGTGAAGAGTTTGAGAAGCTACTTTCTCAATATAAACCAAACTCTCAAGTTCAATTACCAAACACATTGAAGAGCTGGCAAACATCATTTTATGTTTTTCAAGATCTCTGTAATTTTGGTTATCAATTATTGCAATTATATGAAACAACAAATCATACAGATAAAATTTATGAAACAATTGCTGCTGCTTTGATTCAAGAAATTGGTGAAGCTCTTAAAGACTATCAAAGTGATAGCAAAGAAGCATTTGGATTTTCTAGAACCTGGATTTATGATATGACTTATTTAGCTAAGTTTCTCATTGCTTATGAATACATAGGAAACAATGAAGATATTAAACATTCAATATGTCATCCATTATTAACAAAAATGGTACCTTCAATTAATAAAGGAGCTGATGTAGAAATAAGCCCGCAAGATGTGTTATCTCTACATTTTGGAGTGATACGATTATCAACAAATTATTTATATTATAGAACTAGCTATAATAATGATCTTGATAAAATTAATCAATTAAAAGCAATATCATCATTAAATATCACTATTAATGATTCAGATAATATTGAAGAAGGAGTTTATAGAGATGATTCATGCATTAAGTCTCCTAATGTTGCCAGTTATGAATATTTTAGACAACTTTACACCTGCCCTAATTACATTTTTTATTCAAATATGTGTCGAGTAATTGGTCCAGACACTGGAAATTTGCCGACCGTTATTGAGACAATATTTAGAAAAATATTACATCCTCAGATAAATTATGCTCCATTTGGTCTATTTGATACGGATGGAAGTATAAGAAATTTAAATTGGTGGAATATTCAAGGAGCACTTGGAGTATTCATTTTTCCACTTATTGGATTGGGAGTATTTAAAAATAATGAAGTGATGTTTTCTGTACGAGTTCAAAGACCAAATATTGCTGCATGTATGATAGATAGAGAAAGGAAGGGCGATTATATACTAGGATCTATTCAGTTGCGAAGAATTTATCAAGTTAATAGAACTTATCCAACAGAGTTGAAATGGAGCCAGTTGAGCAAAGAGCCTGGTATTATTTCAGTCATTGGTGAAAGGGGTTCAATGTATTACAAAAATCAATTGGTTATCGACAGTAACACATACTCTTGCAGCGATGTTGATCAGAATAATTTAATTGGTCGATTACCAAACAATGAAAATGTAATGTTTTGGTTCAACAAGTATAAATGTAATCTCATTCAATGCACTGTAACAGAAATTGGTCTAATGACTAATAATGGATTAGAAACTGAATTTATCATTCACAATTATGGTTCATTTGATGTTCAATTACGTGTTGATGATGATCCACCAAGTGACTTTGATAGAAAGCTTACCTGCATTAGTAATGAAAAAAATGAACAAGGCTTTGTTGTGATTCCATCTTCAGAAACTCAAAGAATTACATGGGCGATGGTTTTCAATCACCGAAGAACCTCTAAATTAATTTATGATGGCAAAATGAAAACATTCAAGTTCAACTATGCATCAAAACTTTACAGTGTAATTTTGAAAGAGAATTCGCAATATATTGTTAAAATAGGAAACAGTGGTAATATATTTGGAGGTAGTTCATCCAGTAATCCTGATGATTCAATGACTCTAGATGGACTTAAACCAATGAAAAGAAATCCAGAAACACTTATGTATACATAATGAAATTTGATAAATTTATTGAGAAATTACTGATAGTAACACTGATTGTTCTCTGGTATACCATTGATGAATTGATTGTAAAATCTGAATTGATAGATTTTTGGGGAAAAAATTGTTTATTTCTAATACTAATATAACAAATACATGGTAATCAAGTAAAATAAATATCACTTACTCAGACTTAATAAAAGTAATCGTTTTCTTTGATTGTAAAATTATTAATACGTCAATTTTAACTGATCTCTGTTGGTACGAAATGATATATAAGTATTCCAGAATATAGCAATCGATTGGACGACAAGAACTTGGTACTGAAGAGGCACAAGTTTGAAATTAATTAATTGAACCAACGGCCAAATCTTGAAATTAAATAAAAGTCTTATATTAATTATTATTTTTTAATTACAATATTTGATTATATTGATATTAATATTACCTTATAGTTGTTGATCAAAATGTCCTCATATTCGTTACTTATTTTTCTCTTGACTCCATCGATATTATTTCCTTGCATCAAACCAATTGAAGAGAGTAGAATAACAATGAAAGTTGGTGCAAATAGAAGCTGATCACAAGCTACTTTTTTTAAAACCACGGTATTTCCTTTGGAGCCAATGTATTTGTCTAAAATTCCATACCAGGTTCGTGTTGCAGGACCCTGTAAGTTAATCATTTTAATTACATACTTTAATAATCGAATATTTTAATTTCAGACGAATAAAAAAATTCATACTGATTATTTAAAGAAGAAGACGTTAATTTATTTATTTCAACTTACACCGATACAAAAGCCAATAGCATAGAATTGAGCTGTACGAATGAAGTCTAGGTCTTTAAATTTTCGTTTTTCAACTACATTTTGAGCCATTTGGTCACCTATGGCCATCAGTGTTCCTAATAAAAGAAAGACTGTTTTAATTAAATTGATTATCATGAAATAATTCAACGTTTTAAATTTGCAACGAGTGTACATCATTTTGAACCCAAACAATGAAGTTGAGTTACTGGAAAACTAAGATGAAAGTTTATTTAAAAACTTTCGAAGCTATTAGATACTTTATTTACCAGCTTGAACTGCTTGCATTCCAAGGGGATACTTATTAAGTAGATTTTTATATATTTTCAATACTGAACCCATCTTTGTTTTAACAAAAAAGAGGTTAGTTTTAATGTTGATTCGTCGTAAAACGTTGAAAGCCATTATTAATTATCTTTTATTGAATTCACATAAATTCATGACATCATTTTTACATAATTAGTCTATTTTTATGAAATTAATGTATTCAAATTTTTTATTGACTGTAATTAATGAAACCGACAAATACATTTTTACGGGTATTCTCCATTTGAAAAACAAAGCGCAATTGTGTTTTTGGGCGCCATCAGGTGATATAGCTTTTCAATTTAGCATAACCTCAAAGAATTCTATGTAGATTGGAAACTCAATAGAAAAAATTACCATTCCCACGGTCGGTAATTGATCATTGGATACATGCCATGCTCAAAAGGTACAAACCAGATGTTGATGAAGGGATTGGATTTCTATATTGGCATCTGTTCTCTGTTCTGTGCCAATAAACAAATGTCATTCTGTAGATTTTCAATTAAGAGTCACTTGATTTTAAAATCACAAAATATTTTAATTAACAATGGGTGCAGAATTACTTTTAGGCGTCAGATTAACATCTCAATCTTTAAAAACTATTAAATTAAATGATGTAGACTTGAAAACAAAAGTGGAAAATTTACGAGTTGAAACTGCAGTGAAGACTGAACTACCTAAAGATTCGTTTGGTAAATTTATATTTTTAATTACAATTTATAAATTATTTGCTTTATTTATTTAAATAAATACTTTTTTCTTAAAAATGCATTTTCTATTGTAGAACTTATTTACTGTGGATGTATCCTAGAAGATGATGTTACTTTGGAATCTTGTGGTCTAAAAAATGGAGCAATGGTTCATGTTTTGAAGAAAAAAGAACCTGAAAAACCAGTGCCAGCTAAATCGATATCAGAAGGAAGCATTTTTCAAATTGCCTCTGCATTTAGATCATTTGTCGAAAACCCAGCACTAAGAAGTGCATTGCATGTAAGTTATAAATCTTAAAAATTATTATTTAATATTAAAAATATAATTTCTATTGTTCATATTATTTTAAAATAAATTTATTAAATTTCAGAGATTGAGCAAACGTCCAGAAGTAATAGAAAATATTATCTTGACCACTCCAGGTCTTAGTGATGACCCTGTTGCTATTGCTATGCTCCAAGATCCTGACTTGATGGCTCATTTTACTGATTCTGATACTGTAAAAAGGTATTTATATCTCATCTACATTGATTATGCAAAATAATCATCATTTTTCACAATAATAATGCTAAACTTTATTTTATAGGATTGCAGAATTACATCCAATTTTGGTAGAAGCAGCTCAATTAATAGCCACAGCAGTTCATGAAGAAGCTCACAACTCGGCTGCATCTGGACCAAGTTCATCAACAATGACAGCACCATCAACAGCGTATTCTTACAGTCTTGATAATTTAAGTGACGATGAAGAGATGGCTGGAGATTCATCTCAATCTTCAGATTCAGCTCAGCATAATGCATCATCTGGAACCGGTGGAGGTGCTGCTATTACTACAGCTCAACTTGCAGTAGCTCTTTCTCGAGCTGGAGCTGGAACTGGAGTTGGGGCAAGATCGTTTCCCCTGTCTAGTTCATCATCATCTACATCAACGGGAAGTTTAAACTCTGTCATAACAACAGAAATGTTTAATCAAGCCATGCAACAGGCTTTTGCAAGTGCATCAAATATCAGTGGATTACCACCAATGCCACCTACACTACCTCAAGCGTCTGATCTTCAGCCACAACTTGCTCAGATGCATGAAATTGGTCTTCACGATGATTCTGTTAACATACAAGCCTTACAATTTACCAATGGAGATGTCCAAGCGGCTATTGATCTTGTATTTAGTGGTTTTAGTGATAATTAGTGAAAATGTAAAAAAAAAACATTATAATTAAGTGGAAAAAAATTAATTGGAGTAATGAAACTTTCATTGATATTCTGAAGAAATTCATTGAGTTGGACTTTGTTATAAATTGGAATATTACACTCCATATATTTAAAATTGACGACGAATTTTATTTATCATAAACAAATGTTTGGTTAAGTATATAATTCTTGTTTTGTTTAATCAATATTTTTCTTTCTAGACGAAACTTGATCTACTTCTAAACAGAGTTTAACTGTGGGTGACATTTTTGATTGAAAGGAATTTTGTACAATTATACTTGAATATAATAAAAGAAGAGATAGAAGAAGGTTTATAAATTCCAAAAATTCATTTTCCATTAATCCTCATTTATTTTCATATGAAATAATAATTTAAAATTCATTCGTTTTATTTGAAAAACTGACTTCCTACTGAGTAGTATCATAAAATATTTGAATAATTTAAAAATTTCATATTCATATGTAAAAAAAAAAAAAAACTTGCCACCTGAAATAACATACAATTGGATTTAATTCAATAATTTAGTTCTATTCTTTTCAGAAATAAATAATTCATAGAAATATTTCATCAAGTTTATCTCCATTGATTTCCTAATGAAAATTTAAGAGAAAAAAAAGGTACATCAAAAGAGTTAAATACCGTAAATAAAATAATTATTCATCAAATATATAATTCAGAGAAGAACGGTTTTAAATATAATTCTAAAGGATAAGTGTATTGTTGCAGGACGACAGATGGATTGTAAGTAAACGTATTGGTGAACTGCGCATACTCAAACGCATTTTTCAATAGTTACGTGTGCGTTTATAGACTCACACTAATATTTAAGTCTTTTATATATAGATGGTTAATAGAGATATAGATACTCTTGACTGTTGCTTGAGAAGGATGCTCGACGAACATCGCCAGCTGAATTCGGGCCTTCATTCGAGTAACACGTGTTCAGCAGTGTCAGGAAACCCGGCGTCCTTTTATACACGTGCCTTTTTTACTACGCAAAATCATGTCACAAATATTCTAGAATTATCTCAAGTATTTGGTGTACTATTTGATTGATTCTGATATTACATTTGGACTATATCCAATGGGTATTTAAATTGATTCATCATATTCATGGCTGATAAAGAGCTAAAAAAAGTAAAACGTGCAACGTTGTTGATTATCTACAAAAGCTATCATATTCAAACTCATAATGTTCCGTGACGGTTAATAAGTGTTAACGTATGAGTGTTTTATTTAAACGGCGCCGGGAAAATTGGTGACTTAATGTGTCTTGATAAGATTACTTATCATTCAGAAAATAATACCAACACCTGAACAAAATAAATGTAAGAAAATAAGTGGCAGATTTTTTTTTTCAAAGGAGTTGCAAGTTCATGTAAGATTATATCCAACATAAGATATAAGTTTCAAGAAGTTTATTTATTTTATTGGAAATATTTTTAGAATATGAAAGATAAAATTGGAATTATTGACACATGTATATATGTTTATATTTATATTTTTAATCTAAATGGTTTATGTTTCCTTGAAAGCAATATTTTATTAACTGCGCTTGGAATCTAAGTCTTTTATTGGTGTATAAATTAGTAGAAGTCCGGTATTCTTTGATCTAGTAATTAAAATGTCGACTTGAATACCTCGTTATTTCTGATTAACGAATTCGGACGAATAAACAATATAATTTCATAATTGACAGGCCCACGCATCATTCATTGAATAATTGTTTCAAGGTAAAAATGCGTTAATTGGTAAAAAAAAAAATTCAGAACTTTTATTTTTATTCAATCATTTAATTGTTCATCATCATTATTCCTGAAGGTTAAGGAAAATTTTTATAAAATTATTTTGATTAATCATCAATAGTAATGAATTCAATGATGAAAGAGATTTTTTTCTTACCAGAAATTATACAATGCCGTACGAAATGAATGGAAATAATGCTGAAGGAGGAATGGAGCACGTGGAGCTGAGTCCTCTTCAACGTCGAACACGATTTCACGTAAATCGAGTTGACAGTATGGAAGGAAGAACAAGTCTTTTGGGTGAACAAGAAACTAAAAAATCCTTCAGACATATGACACGTGAAGCTTTACCACGATTAGATAATTATCGAAATATTATGAGTATCCAAGCTGCTCATAGACCTACCCTAGATGAGCTTCATCATGCCAGTCTCTTTAATAAGGTAATAATAATAATTAGTGAATAACTGAATAAATAAATAAGTTGGTAAGTTTTAAATGGAATATAAACAAATGAAGTGTGATAAAAGAATATTATAAGTTGATGAATAATTAAAAGGTCAGCAACAAGACCTGCACGTTTTACTTTACTAAGAGCTATTAAAGTGACTGATGATAAATTATAAGTGTCATCATGACTTACTTTTCAAGAATGTTAATTCAAAAATAAATAGGCTATCTAACTTTTTTACAACTTTTCATCTTTTTCAGTAAAAATTAACATAATCGTATTTGATTGACATAAATGATCATTTTTATCTTTTCTTTCTTTCAATTTGATATCTTTTTTTTTTGATAACTATCTCTTCACCATTGGACTATTTTTAAATGAAAAAATAAATCAAATATAATTAGAGATTAAATTTTGCCAAGTGTCGGAGTACCTTTTAGAATATGTAAATTGCTTATACAAGTGGTTTTCCCACCTTTGCTGGATTATGATGTGAATACTAATATTTTTATTCTCAGATCAATAAGAAATCAAATAAATTCATAGGAAATTTATAATTAATTTTATCTCTGGAAGTAGAAAAATATTCAATTTAATTATTTAGAAATCTTTAACTGATAAGAAAATTGTGCTACTAAGCTAAATTTATTCTTTAACACATCATGCAGTGTCTTTAAAGCTATTTTTAGTTTTTCATTTGATAATCCTTTACCCTCGCTATATTCTCTTTCCCGACTTCTACTGCACTAGTTCTCTTGTCATGAACTTGAATCGTCATTAAACTACTCGTAAATGAGTTATGACTTCTGTTAGGGGAACGAAGAAGCATGCAAGCATGATCATCTACACATTCCTCTGAGATTACAGTTCAAAGGAATCTTCACTAAAAAAAAAGGATTAATACTCGAGGATAGAAAAGTTTTTTAATCAGCTGTTTATATTTCACAGTCTATTATTTTCATGCCAACTTCCAAGATTTTAATTAAATAATTATTTGCATAAATATTGATTATTATAAAAAAATTAAAAAAATTGTTATCAATCTTGTTTGCACATTGAATATTATCTTCTATTATTATTAATTGGTGTATTTATTCAATCTTCTAAGGGAAATGCAAGTAATACTTTGCCTCCAAACCAATCAAAAGAACTAGAGACTGGTGTTAAGTTTGGATGGATTCAAGGAGTTCTAATGAGATGTCTTCTGAATATATGGGGTGTAATGCTTTTTCTACGACTCTCTTGGGTCGTAGCACAAACTGGAGTTGGTAAGAAATATTATTATATTAGAAAAAACCAATAGAAAGCATTCATTTTTATTGACATAATATTTTACTAAATTTTTTGTTTATTAATAAAGGGCAAGCTATTTTGTTAATTTTAACTACAACTGCTGTCACTACAATAACTGCTTTGTCCATGTCTGCAATCAGCACAAATGGTCTTATTAAAGGAGGTAAATATATTCCAAAGATACCTACATAATTGATTTGAAGAATAAAAAAAAATTCAAACTATTTGTTGAATAATTCAATAATCTTTTTTCAGGTGGAACGTATTATATGATCTCGAGATCTCTAGGACCCGAGTTCGGAGGATCGATTGGTCTAATATTTTCCTTAGCTAATGCAGTGGCATGTTCTATGTATGTTGTGGGTTTTTGTGAGAGTCTCCAGGACCTTTTACGTCCTGCTCAACGATGCATAATAGATTGTGCTGAATGGGATATAAGGATAATAGGTAAATCGTAAGATTACTTTCTGTCAATGAAAATATTTTTCTTTAGTAATTGAATTTCCCTACTAGTTTTTTTTCATCATCATTAATGCTATATTCTTTTACAGGATGTATTACTATTATTGCTCTTCTAGCCATCGTTATGATTGGGATGGAATGGGAAGCAAAAGCACAAATTGGTCTACTAATAATTTTACTGATTGCTTTGGTAGATTTTTTTATCGGTACCTTTGTTGGTCCAAAAAGTAATGAAGAGTATGCTAAAGGATTTATTGGTTATAATGGTAATTTGTAATATTCTTGAAAAAAAAAGAATTGAAAAGAAAAAAATTAAATTACTTCAAAATTAAGTTAATAAACCCTGCTATTAATTATTCATATCAACTATTTTATTTTACAGCACAACTCTTGAAACAAAACTTTAAACCAGATTACAGAGAATATGATGGAGTAGATCATGGATTTTTTTCAGTATTAGCTATATTTTTTCCTGCAGCTACAGGTATTTTAGCAGGAGCAAATATTTCTGGTGATTTGAAGGTACATTTCTGCAATTTCATCTAAAGACTTTTGAATTTTAATTTTCAATAAATTCATTTTTAGGATCCTCAGAAAGCAATTCCAAAAGGTACTCTGCTAGCGATATTGCTGACGACAATATCTTATATTCTAATGGCTATAATGGTTGGAGCAACTGTAGTCAGAGATGCTACTGGAGATATCAATGATATCCTAATATTCACTAATAATACCACTATGTCTTTCAATAGTTCCATTATCTCAAACAATTCAGTCACTCAATCACCCAATGTTAATTTATCTAGTCTATTAAATTCAGATTTAAATGAAACGACAGATGAATCGATTTTAACAAACTTAACATATATCATAAGCTCTAATTTAACTAATTTAAATACTACAAATCCTGATAAAAGAGTTTGGAGTGAATATGGAACTGCTTTTAATTGCAGTAAAACTGAAAAAAATTGTAAATATGGATCACATAATAGTTTTCAAGTTATCGAATTAGTATCAGTATTTGGACCTTTTATTTATGCCGGATGTTTTGCTGCTACTTTATCAAGTGCTTTAGCATCTCTAGTATCAGCTCCTAAAGTTTTTCAAGCACTTTGTCAAGATCATTTGTATCCTGGTATTGCTTGGTTCAGTGGGAAACCAGGAAAAGAACCTGTTAGAGGCTATCTATTAGCTTTCATTATTGCCGTTGGATTTATTTTAATTGGTATTCATTAAATTCAATTTGATTTTAATTGTTTCATTTATTTTCCATTATTTATTTAAACTTCATTTATTTTTTTTAGGAAATTTAAACTCTATTGCACCATTGATATCTAATTTCTTCTTAGCTGCGTATACTCTGATCAATTTTAGCACTTTCCATGCATCCCTAGCTAAACCTATTGGATGGAGACCAACATTTAAGGTAAGTTAGTTGATAATAATAATCTAATTCAAGTGAATAATAATTTAATTTTTACTTATTGTAAATTTTAGTATTACAACATGTGGTTAAGTCTAGCTGGATCGATATTATGTGTCGCAGTGATGTTTTTAATTTCTTGGTGGACTGCATTAATTACTTTGTGTGCCGTTCTTGCACTTTATCTTGTGGTTTCTTATAGAAAACCCGGTAATTAATATATCAATGACAATTTCTCTTTAGATGTTTAAAAATAAATAAGACTACTCATTTTTATTTATTTTTAATCCTTTTAGATGTTAATTGGGGATCTACTACACAAGCTCAAACCTATAATAATGCTTTAACAGCTGTACAACAGTTAGATAGAGTTGAAGAACACGTTAAAAATTATAAACCACAATTTTTAGTACTCAGTGGAAATCCTAGTGCCAGATCAGCATTAATTGACTTTGCTCATCATATAACAAAAAATCAAAGTCTTGTAATATGCGGTCATATTATTGAGGTAAAATCCAATAATTTATGCTTATTTCATTATTAAAATTAATCCTTAAAATATTTTATAAATATTATATTTCTATAAAAAAGTAATGGATAATAAAGATTAATTTGATAGTTTATGAATAAAATTTCTTTTGTAAATAAATAAAATGTTTTAGAATCCTCTGAATTATAAAACTCGTTCAGCAATGATTGAAAAGTCATCTAATTGGCTGAGGAATAATAAAATAAAGGGCTTTTATTCCGTGATTGATGGAATGAGCTTTCAAGAAGGTGCTACGTCACTTTTACAAGCGTCTGGGCTTGGGAAACTACGTCCTAATATTTTATTAATGGGGTATAAACAAGATTGGGCAACATGTGCTCGAGAAGATCTCAATATGTACTTCAATGTCATGCAGTAAGTTTTAAAAATCTTTTCATCGACATTTTTACTTTTATAACAGTAAAATAAAGTTTTAATATTAATTTTTTTTTTTTTAGTAAATCTTTAGATATGCATATAGCTGTCGCTATTCTTCGTTTAAGTGAAGGTTTTGATCACAGTGCACTCGTAAATGAGACAGAAGATTCCAAAAAGAGTTCTGTGACCATCAGAGGCAATCAAAGTTTTTCTCAACTCAGTCAAGGTATTTTATACTAGCGAAAAAACTTTTATAAAAAATTTTCTCATTTCAATTAATGTTACACCAACTTTCAAGGATATTATAATTTAAAGAAGAAAAAAAAAGAACAATTGAAATGAGTTGTTTTTGCTAAAATAATAATCACGATGAAAAATAATTGGATTTTTTCTATTTATTTCAGCCAGTAGTACTTCAGACATTTCAATGCCCGGAAGTCCATCACCTAAAAGGTCAGAAATTATTAATAAAAGTCCAGATGCATCTCCAAGTAATCGTCAAGAAAGTAAACCAATGATTGCTGTTATTTCTAAAGACATCATAAGTTCCCTGACTAAGTTTAAAAAGAAACAAAAAAGAGGTACAATTGATGTCTGGTGGTTATATGACGATGGAGGACTCACATTACTCTTGCCTTATATCATTAGTACCCGAAGAAACTGGGCTAATAGTAAATTGCGAGTATTTGCATTGGCCAATAAGCACTCTGAACTGGAGTATGAACAAAGAAAGTTAGTAATCAATTTAAATTAATCATTAAAAGTAATTAAAGCTGGTAGTTATTCAAAATAAATAATTAATTCAACCAGAAACTAAAAAACATTCATATTTCCAATAATTTTTGATTATTATTACAGAGATAGTAATGAAAATAATGAATATAAAAATTTATTTCCAGTATGGCGAGTCTTTTGTCTAAATTCCGGATTGATTATTCAGCATTAAAGATTATTTCTAATATTTCAAAACCTGCTGATACTCAAACGAAAAATTTCTTTGAACTTTTGATAGCTGATTTTCAAGGATCTTCATCTTCAGATGACAAAGGTAAGAAAGCTAATATTAAAAATCAGAATGAAAAAATAATATTTGATATCTTCAACTAAAGAACTATTTTTACTTCTATTTATTATTTAACTTATAAAACTATTTTTAGATATTACAATAACGGAATCAGAACTTTTAGCAATGAATGAGAAGACAAATAGGCACTTGAGGTTACGGGAGTTATTAACAGAGCATTCAATGGACGCAAATCTTATCGTTATGTAAGTTAATTGATTAATTTTTATGCTGTTGAATTTTTCAATTGATTTAATTATGAGTATAAAACAGTGATTATTAATTAGATCATAAGTTATGCAATGCTGAAAAGATTATTAATAATCTAACAACATGTTATTATTAATTTCTCATTGATAGAATTAATAAGAAATATTTTCCTTATTGTTTCAGGACTCTACCGATGCCTAGAAAAGGAGCAGTATCTGCACCTTTATATATGGCATGGCTCGAAACATTAACACGTGATATGCCGCCGTTTTTGCTAGTCCGCGGAAATCATACTTCAGTTCTTACTTTTTATTCTTAATTAAAATACCGCAATTAATTTCTTTTCGATTTTTCAAATGATCTAGCGTATTTTATAAAATAATATTTTAATTAATTTTTGAAAATTCTTCATGTAAAATTGTGTGATAGATTTTCAGCATAGAGATAAAATAAAATAATTAAAGTATTTTTATAATTATAAATTAATTAAAATTTTTGCGGTTTTTTAAATTAAGATATATCGAATTTTATAATTCAAAATTAATGAATACTAAGCAGTTGATAGCAGTAATGAAGTATTTTTATAATCATAAAGCTAATTTAATTGTAATTTATTCAATTTATTATTTAGAATTTATTTTAAATTTATATAGTGTACGTCATGGAATAATTTAACATCGCCCGGATAGCACTCGTGTTTATAGATATTAGTTGATATACACCATCATTGGCTATTTTTACAATAAAATATACTGTCTATTGTATACACTCGGTACAAGAAATCAATCAGGGTTATTCAACCCTCACGTGTACTCACATCGGTTTCAATTGCATTCTGTAAGCTTCCTAGATAGACATGCAAACATTATATTCCGCGAATATGACATCAAATGTACTTTCGATCAATCACTGATAATTCATTTACGTAACATGATAATAATTTGTACTGTAGGAAATATATAGATTTTATCATTGAAAAGTACTTTTCCATAACTATTGTTATGATCATTGCATTTTAACTTTGCGGAAACATGACAGATAATATCCAGGGAACATATATATACATAGAAATGAATTTTTATAAAGTCGTGTAATTGGATCTGATAGAAAAACAACGCCTCCTCAGGGTATTTCACTAATCCACTGGAAAAAAACGCCCGTAATCTCTTTTATCATTTTGTTTGTTAACTTTTTTACTGAATCGAAAAAATGTTTCGACTGTAAATTATTGTGAATTAAATATCTTAAAAGAATTTTTTAATTTAATTTCAAAAAATATATACGTACTAATTATTGATGATCATATAAAAGAATTATTGTAATTAAATCTTCAAAAATGTTCGTAGAAAAGTTTTTATAAAATTTCACTATTTTTGTAAAATTTAAAAGAAATAATATTTTTTATGTATTTTTAAATATATGAAAATTTCATGCCTTTTTATCGAATTTATATTATTTTTGTTCCACAAAGATATCTTGATAAAAGAAAAGCTTTCTTCCGTTCAAAACTCGTTCGAATCTCTGATTTAGTCTCATCTGAAAATTTATGTTGAAAAGCTATTTATTTAACTGCTTTTTTTTTTATTTCTCCCATATATTCATGGATGAAAATGCATTTGATCCCAATTAGAAAATTAATCTTTATTTATATGTAGAAAAAAACTTACCTACGTTAAAGTATATTCTATATATAAATAACTTTATGTATATGTATATAAAATATAACTGTATGAGCAATCAAATATTTTACTATCGTTCCAATTACTGCCCAAGGTCAGTACGGTAGAAAATTATTTAGATTCTTGACTAAAAAAGGCTTAATATAGTGGGTCAAGGTTTTATTCCATAAGCATTTTTTAAATCTCCTTGGCTAATGTTTATGAATAACAATCATTCAAAAATTTTTCAACGCACTCAGACACACCAATGACTTCTTTGATTTGATTTCATTTAAAATAGAAATCTGTAGATATTTTTCATTTTATTATTTAATTCATTTATAAATATTCATTGTGTCTATAATTTGTATCAATATGTGACCTTTTATAATTTTTATAGTCATCATTAAATTATTAATATTATCATTATCATCCTTGTGATAACTACTGTGCCATTGTACATTGGTATTAATTAATCTGAATAGGATGAACAGTTGGATAGCAGAGCCTCAATAATTATTTAGATAGAGATTAACTGCTAATGGACATGGAATTATTGAAAATCCTTTATGAATATCAGAAAAATTTTATCAGAACGGGTGTGTAATTGAATGATAAAGGGAGGGGCGTTCTTGATATATTTTTAAACGGTTTTATTATTTTTAACCATCCATTAGTGTATATTATTCCATCATTAATTATTTTTTCATTCGTTCTTGTTGATATTTTGATTTTATTCCATTTTATTTTAAATAAAAAATGGAAAATATTCGATAACTATTCGTTTGTTTCATTAATAATTCGTAGAATAAAATATCGCAACAGTATTTTTTTATGGAAATTTATCAATCTCTCATGTCAATGATATTCGACATAATAGTACACACATTTTGCATTTTATTTTTATTGTCCATAACAATAGATATTTTAGTTATTGTTGTTTATTTGTGTATCTATGGCTGATGAATTTTTCGTTTAACGGAAAACAATAAATTCTTCTTCGATTATGATGTAAAAAAAAATGCCTCTGGTGTTGTTTGAGTATGTGGTATTTTTTTATTATCGTGTGAGTAACCGTTTATTGTTATTGATTTGAATTCGATCAAATAAATTGTGGCAATCATTCAAAACATTTGTTACCTGAAAATTTAAAAATGATTTTTTAGGTTAAATTTAAACTGATTCATATAAAATAAGATATTACTTACAATTTGATCAATTATTAACTCCAAATTTGTAATTTATATTTTTTCACTAAATTCCTTAAAAAATTTATAAATATTTCAGCAGCTACTGACGTCAATTTAACGTTCTTATCTCTTTCTAAAGTCAGCACACACATTTTTTTTCTAAACTTTTTTTCACGAATTATTTATTCATCAATTATTTATTCATCTTTAATTCCATCCAAATATACTAAAACTACATACATATTTTCCTCTTGATGATGTCACAAAATTTATTTAAAAATATTTTTATATCTCATATTCAAAACTTTATTATAAAAATCTTTTATTTACATACCAAATAGAACCATTCATTCTATCCAACTTTTATTTATTTACCTCTCTGTATATAAACAGAAGGGAAAAATTAAATAGAAATTTTTCTTTTTTTCCAGTAAAAATAGTGTTTTTAATGATTTTCACATCTCATTTTCAGTATTATCTTTTATTTGAAAAAGTAGAACCGATAATGAACCAAAGATGCTGTGATGGTCGTTAGAAAAAGAGAAAGATATCTCCGGTTAGATGAATAATCCATGAATGTAAGACAAAGTCAAACGATCTCTCGACTTATAATCCATTTCTCTCTCTCTCTCTCTCTCTCTCTCTCTCTATATATATATATTTCACTTGACGAGCATGCGCAATTGACGATTCTCAGGTGCGCGGCATAAAACATACAAGCCGATGCAGCTTATAGTCGTCAGACACTTTAGTATCGCGCCGGACGTTGGTCAAGTTGTATCATTAATTATTACTTTGATTACCAAATTACAATTATTAAGTACGAATATAAAAAAATGTTATTTATTTAATAATTCATCAATTAATGTATAAAAGTAAATTTATTCAAATCTATCAGTATCAGTATTTATAAATCTAATTATTATTAAGTCATATTTATTGAGAAATTAATTGTGAAATTCTTCTACTTGATGTTCATCTGAGGTAAACAGGTTAAATTCTTGATCACAAAGACACGCGGCGTCGTCATGGGTGACGAGTGTTGTGTGCTTGATGTTTTGTGAAAGAAGAAATTTTGTCAAATTTAAAATAATATCTTTCCTTAATATTATTTATTATTGTTATTTTTAGAATTATTGTGTTTGCTCATGTGTTTATTCTTTGTTCAAATAATTGAATGAAAGTTCTTACAAGTTGTCAAGAGGATTATGTGGCTCGAGAGATTGTTGTTTAGGATCAGCTCGTGGTAAGTTTAATTGAGATAATATATTGCAATTATTTTAATAATATAACTCATGAGAATTATCATTATGTGTATAATTAAAATGTTTATTTCCTTTTACTGATAGGTAGGGATTTCTTTAATTACTTTGACACCAGTAAAAATGGATTCACATTGATGAGGTATCTTGAAAATCTCTCGACTTAAAGAAAAACATTTCGGATAAACAAAAATTCTCCATCTGGTGATCATACAGAGATTCTTGGAATTAAAAAGAAACAATTCATGGGAATTTTTTATTCTCAATTTTTGTTTTCAATTTCGATGATATTTGACAAGTGATTTTATTGTCGTAGTTTTTGTTGATTAATAATTTATTAAAAACTATGACTAACAGTGATTCATGTCGAGATTATTTAAAAAATAATAAAAAATATTATTCTCAAACAATATGTGATAATGTCATAGTTCGAAACTCTTCAAAAGTTGCTTTAATTTAAGCAATCATTTTTGTTTCAACATTCTAAACAATCACATAGCTCATAATAATTAAATTTTCATTCATAAATAGTATTATTTAACAAACAATGTCTTTTTCATTTATTTAAAATCAATTTTAATCAATCATTATTTATATTTATTGATAATTAATTATCACAGCTATTTCATTATCATTCAAAGTCTCAAAAAATTTTAAAATTTCAAATCATATCTTTAGTCAGATCATCCTACCTGATAATGATCAAAAAAATAAACTGATAGTGTCTTTTGATAAATAACATTGGGTATCAATAACAATGTAAAGTTCATTACTTAGGAAACTATTCAAAAAGTAAAATTCCAACAATTTAATTTAATTCCTTTCTAAAATTATGAAAATAATCGTCAAATACAATTGTATGGAAATTTAATTAAATAAATCAGACAATTGAATAACATTCATGAAACTATTAACGTAGTTGTAAAGACGAGAGCAGTGCAAATTCTAGGGCACAGGGCATGGAATTCAATTACAAAGTCTTAGAATCAGGATTTCAAGTATGTAAAGTTATGTGTTACCTCAACTATTGAACAGTTGCAATTTATCGTATAAAAGTGATGATATAATTCTGTTGATTTCCCATGTCATGACAATATATAACATCCAGTCAAATTATAGATTAAATCATATTGTCTGTATATTATTGCGGATAAAGCATATTATTAAGCAGAAAAGTAATTAAAAAAAATTCTTTAACCATCATCACGACTTTATTTTCAATGATTTATTTAACTTTAATGAATTATTATATTTTATAAATATTTTTTCTTTATCAACGTTTACGATTTAACTTATGATTTAACACGATAATTAAATTACAAAGTTACTAGTCCATTAAAAAGGAGGTTTCAAAGACATTTGTGAACATAAAGAACGTGGTCACGCTCAAGGAACAAGCACTCTACTCGTATCGTGAAGCTTAGCTTAGACAGGCACACGGTGGAAAGTTTTAGTGAAAAGAAACCAAAGAAACTACATAATATAACACATATAAATGAACGTAAGCATACTGATGACTCACCTGTGGCCCCGGTCTTAACTGCATCGAACCACAAAGCGGCTTTTCATATGAATGTTGGAACAAAAAGAAATGAAGAGAAATTACTACCTACTATTATTGTCATGTTTGCTAGCATTATTATTTTATTTTGAAATAATTGAAATTAGTTGATAGAAAAATGGATAGTATATTTTTTTTACGAAGAAGAAATATTATTGACGTAAATTTATGAACGGAAATCCGGAGGAAGGAGATAATTTAAAGTAAATTCACACGCGAACAGAAAGTGAGAATTGACTGAAAGTTGCGATTTTTTTTTTATCTTCTTAGAAACAAATTTATATTTATTATCTAATTAACTAATTATTTTTTATGGTATTAATTTGTCATATTATGTTAAGGATATCATTATAATTTTTTAATTTTTGGAGAAACTTGGTTGTTTTTTTTATAAAAAATGGAGTTTAATTTATTGGAGATTTTTTAGCAAAAATAATTAAATCAAATAATTAAAAAAAAAACAATTATTTATGATTAACAACAATTTTTCACATTTTTTAATTATTGCTATTTTTTTTTTTAAGACATTTTTATAATATTTTTTTTATACAAATTTTTTTAACACGCAATAATAATAATATTACTCAAAAAACGTTTGGATTCTGTGTTATTAAATAGTAAAATTTATAAATTGCGAAATTCAGTTAATTGGCTTTTTTGTAGTTTTTTGATTTTGCATAAAAAATGACTGAATCGATTTTGTTGAAAACCTAATCGGTTCTAAGTTACATGATTATGCATCGAATGCAATCAGTCTCACGTTGATATCATTTCTTTGTTTTCAATATAATAAAGGCGAAAAATAAATCTGAACACACATACATACATTTATAGACATACACAGACGTCCACTTAAAAACTGTTGTGTTCGACTCTAGGGACATTTAAACAAAATGTGTCAAAATTTGGGATTTACAAAATCGGGTCAAATTTTGAGAAGGACTTACTTAAAAATATTTTATTTAATATTTCACATTAATGAAAGTTATCAACAATAATGAATAACAATTCATTGACATTTTTTGAAATTAAAAGCATCTGTTAATTTTAATTTTCTACTCTCATTTCCTTAATATAATCAAATTGAACTTCAAAAACCTTAGATGGTCGGTATTTGGTACTTTTACCTTAGTAACTTATTACTAGAAAGTTAATAAACAATTTAAAAATTTAATATTCAAAAATTTTTAAACTTGTTCGATTCCATAAAAAAAAAACTCATTTCAAAATTTCGACTTATAATAATTATTATAATACAATCTATTTAATTATAACTATAATAATTATTACAACTCAATTGATTTATTTCAATAAATTCCATATTTTATTTTTAAAATAAATAACAAATAATATCTTCCATTAATTTATAATTTGTATATATAAAATCAAATGATTTAATTTTCTTTTCATCACCTAGAAAAATTCCATTTCCACTTTAAAGTGTAAGAGAAGGTAAATTTTTTTTCATTCCCACAATTAAATTTCCATGTTGATTTCTCTGTACACTTGTAAAATAAATTTCCAACAGAAAATCATTGGATAAATTCTTAACAAAAAAAAAAAAAACTCCTTCATAATTAATGAAGTAAATAAATAAAAAAGGAGAATAGTAATTAACATTCAAGGCAAAATTTGAATAGGCTCGAAAAGACAATAAAGTGATAAAAAAGATGACATGATCTCGAGATCGATGTCACGTAGTAACAACTTGACTTTACGAACGTGGTTTGAACTCTTGATTATCCCCTAGAGTGTACGCGCAAGTATGTCGGGAACTATAAGAGCAAAAGTCCACGGCAGAGGATGTGCCCGAGGAATCGTGAGATCGAGAGTCGAACATGAACACATAAGTGTTCGTTTATTATATGTACATGACTATGTATTACAGTACTACCGGAAGAATGAACGCATTTAGGTTTTAATAGTCAAATAAAGTACGTGCGAAATAATCAAATGAAAACCTTTCTCTTTTGCTTCTCATTCACGAGCTTCATGTTGGCATTTTTCTTTTCATCCTGTTGGCAATTTATAAAGGATAAAATTCTTATGTAAAATAAATATTAGACATATTTGCTAAAGTTGATTACATGTAACTTAATACTGCCTTGTTAATATAAGCCATGTGAGTATACACCAGGCTCTTCTCTTATTCGATCTGACAAATTATTCATAGACCCAACCTGATCTACTATGCTGTAAAAATTATTCATTTAAATTGCTAATATTACATTTGTAATGATAAATAAATTACGACTGGATTTTTTACATGGAAATTCCAATGGATTATTTTTTATTATTTTTATCATTGAGATGCATTCACTTGAAACTTGCTGATTATTTTTTTTTTTAGTTTTTTCATTATTGTTATTACTACTATTTAATAATAATTATCGATTTATTTTATTACATTGTAATTAATAGTTACTTACTATAAATTCTACTTTAATAAACGGTATTTTATTAAATAAGTTTCATTACATTTATTTTTTTATTACAGTCTTTTATAAGGATTATTAAGAGCAAATCATTAAACATTTATTACGATTTCAACCTTAATCATATATCCGTCTTACAATGTTCTTCATTATCATTAATTTATTTTTATTATAATTTAATGGATATTTATGAATATAAATTTTCTAAGTCGACTTTCTTACCTTATTTTTTCCTTTTTTTTAATTATAAATATTTTATAAATATATATATTATAAAAAAATGGCAATTTATTTATTAATAAATTCCTCTTTTTCTTTTTTTAGTTTTAATTGATATAACATATGTTTGACTATTTATTTTTAATACTGTTAAATACTAGAATTAAATAAATAAATCGATAATTAAAATTAAATTAAGGATTGAATTATTTATCACTGATAATTCACAGCACGTATCCCAAAGTCGGATATACAGAGCAAGCGAAAGCATTTCCTCTATAAGCCACAGATTTACAGCAAACCGGAAATGGTCATTTTATCTATCATTTCTTTTTTTTTTCTTTCACGAATTTTTTTATTGGTCTATAGGGAAAGTTAGAAAAATTTCTAGTTTACGATACTCAATCTGACATGAACATTATACGGAATTTGAGAGATAAAATGGAATCAAAGAGAAGTTGAGAATTATACGAAAATAAAATCCTCTACATTTTCTTCCAATCTCTTGACCTGACATTTACTATGTGTTGCATCATAGCATAAAAGAGATGAAAAGCCTTCCCATAATTTATTTCTCAACAATAAAATCCAATATTTATTTATCAGTGTCATGTATGTACTCTTTATAAAGATAATGTTACATAAAAATAAAATTAATTTACCGTAAAAAATTTCATTTTACACATGGAAGTATTACAAAGTATGTTAAATTATTATTTTAAATCATCCAGATAGTAGTATATATTTATAACAAATTGATGTCTAATGA